AAGGGTCGTCGCGACCTCACATGTGACCACCCTATCAGTGATTCTGATTCCGAAGAGCACTGGTCCACAGGGATTTCCTGACTGTACTGCGTTTCGTCGGAGGGAGGACCATTTCCACATGACTTGCTACAGAAAGCATGTGAAAGCCGTTGCTTTTGGGTATCATTGAGAAACTGAGAAATCGATGAGGTGTTGCCAGTTGGGCACTCGTCATGCTTTGGATCCTTTATCATGAGTTTAGCCAATAGTGCTATGCATTGCTCCAATACTCTGAAACTTCACGCTGATGGCTTCTTCCCAATGCTGCAAACATTACTCAATTTATCGGTTTTCTGTATACTGACTTTCAATCGCGTTAATTCACTTAGACTAAGACGGAAAGGAGAAGGCACGCGGCTTTATACAAGTTGCCATTCATATTGAGGGTCAATGTCCTTGGCGACTAGGATCGACTGGAAAAGTGTGGCCATAGGTGCGAGACTCTAGCAATCACCATGATTCCGACCACTGCATGGGTGAGGGCAGACGATCTTCCAAGATGTAAGTAAACAGCGGGGTTTGGGCTCTGAGTCACGAGAAGGATCTGACCCACGAACCAGGCTAAGTTGTTAAGACATATACGACCTCCTCAAAATCATTAAAAGATAGATATGCCATGCAATGTACATGATGATCACTTACTCAACCTGGGCTAGATCATTACCTTCATCAGTGGCTGCATGCAGAGCATAGGGCTTTGAAAATGGAAGATGTAATCTTCTCATTATTCGGGGCACCAAACTTCCACCACAACCAGAGACCAATCCTGGCAGCCATACCAACATGTGCACAGATGACGGTGCAATACTTCCTTGGAATAAGAACTTTCAGAATTAAACACTGCACGTTGATCTGAACGTCATGGGATCCACAGTCTGCTTTCAAACAAGATCGACCAAATACCATACCTACACAAACTCAAATCAGACTATACGGTGGCAGGCACCTTCTTGCCTGCCTTGATCCCAGCGATAGCTGCAACGAGAAAGACAACAAGAAACGGTGTGTGAGGACAGCTCCAAGGACACACAACATGAAGCATGAAGATAGTGCTAACAATCTGATCAGACAAGAGCTTTCGATTCGTCATACATGGTGCACAATAGAATCAAAGATCCAGCAAGAGGCACTTTCCTGGGACCATAAGCTGCCATCAGGACACAAGTGCAATCCTCACCTTCGCTGTAGCTCTTGGCGCCGAACACCGCCGAACCAGCCACAATCGCGTTCGCCCCAGCCTCAATGACCTGCACCATTGGTAGGGGCGTTTTCATAATGTAAGAAGCACAGCCATGCGCAAAACTTTGAGCTGCCACTTCAATTCCATGGGTCGGCGAGCACGCAGCACGCAGCCCAAGCAAAAAATCGCCTGTTTGAATCCCTGACACGACACTGGGGACGAGACTACAGACTTGCTTACAGCAGACCTTCTAAGGATCCACAAATGACCAATTTAAGATTGCAGCACAAAGGGCAATGGTCAAAAAGCTTTGAAAGCGCTGAGCTCCATGCGCATACCTTGTAGGCGTTCTTGGGAGAAACACCGCCGTCGACCTCGATCCAGGGGTTCAGGCCCTGCCATCACGAGGAGGAGCACTTCAACGGTGCTTCATTATACAAACTTTCGCGTCTGATTCCTCTCTATTGCAGGATTGAGAGAACGTCGTCTTCTCCTACTAACTCGGCAACAAATTTGTGTAACCTGCTGGATATTGAAGCAGAAGGAATTACGCAGTAGCCTGATTCATTGCGTTCTGCTGTTTGATGAGCGTAACGCCGCAGATTCATGAGCAATCCCTTGCAAACCGCATGCAATGACTGCCCGAACCGAGGCACAAACGCAACCATGTAAGGAGATAGCAAAAAAGACAACCTTCTGACTTCTCTGCACAGCTGAAAGCAAGCGAGCGTCTCACCCTCTCGTTCAACATGGCTCTTAGCTCCTTGATTTTCTGTACTTGGCTCTCAATGAAGCTCTGCCCGCCGAACCCGGGGTTTACGGACATGATCAGGATGAGGTCAACAACTGCAAAACAGGGCGCTTGTTAGTCAGACGCAATTTGCTTCGCCAGTAGCCGATTGAATCCGCACTCAAACCATCAAAAATTGGCAGGTGAAGTCGACAACTCTTGCCTGTACAATTTGTTGCCCATTGGAACACCCCACGCTCCGCAGTTTGCAGGTCGCTTGGGCCCAGAGAGTCTCAGTGCCAAGTTCAAAACCCAACTTTGAAGACTGGAAAGGAAATGTTCCGTCCGCTACCAAACAATTTCTCAAAGGATGCTTCCGTCTAATCATCCAGACTCTTTAAGAGGGCGTCAGATTTCAACGTACACTCGTGCATCCGAGTCCTGAGGGAAAGATTCGTCAAACGGCCCAGATTCCATCTTGAAAACTGCCTTCGGCGACCAAACTGGCTGTGTTGCGGGGCAATTTGGTCCTTGAGGTTGGACCGGTCCTCCGACGCCCTCTTTAACCTCCCGACAAGAGTGGACGCTAAATACTTAGTCAAACGAGGCTCACCATCTAGGACGTACTCGATGGAGGAAAGGGGTGTACCAGGGTTGAGGACCACGCCTGCCTTGGCGCCCAGGTCCTTGATCTGCAGCGCAAACAGATGTATAAAGCCTGACGAAAATCTCCGGAATAACAGAGTTCGATCCGCTGACGTCGAGATCGCTGACTCAACATTTATGAGAGTATGTGGACTCCGTCTCTAACTTTACCGCGGAATCCTGCTTTCTCCTTCCATCTTTCCTTGTCTGCCGTCCTATGTGCTGTGCAACCAATGCGGTGCAGCAATTCTGAGACTTGCAATCGAAACTGTCCTGCACCTTCAAAGGAAGCGGAAAAGCAACATCACTTTGTGGACCTAAACGGACAAAATGCTCATCATTGACTTCCGGGCACCCTCGGAAAACCCCGTCGAGCTTTCGTTTGCCCACCGGTTTCGACCATCTAAGGGACATGCTATGCCCAATCCGTTTCTGTGAACTGAAGTACCTCGAGGCTGGCCAGATAATGGGGCTCCATTGAATCATGAATGCCGTAGGAACCCAAGCAAGCCAATCGATGCCCTGCTGTCCTATGTGACCCATCACTGACATATACCGTCTCCATTATGGTTGTCCAACACTCCCAATCGGTTCACAGAGTGCAAAACTGCCCCACGTCCAATCAGTTCACAATTTGCAGACCTGCCCCAATCACCACCTCTTGACAAGTACGTCGGGCCAACTCGGCAGAGCGGTCCTTTGTTCTAGGCACAAAGCTGTTGGGCAATTGATATCCAGTAAAAAAGACTGGACGCAATCCTCCCGTCACCTTCTTCCTGTGTGCAATCCCTTTGCCACAGCGACTGAGCTCTACCTCCACATGACGCGGCCAGATATATCTAGTCTACTACTTCCTATAACTTTCCAAAAAGAAGATCGTCGGGGCCCTCACCTGGTTGACTGTCCTGTGCAGGTGGATGGTGGCCGCGGTCTCTGCGTGCACGCTGACGATGTCAGCGCCGGCCTTAATGAAGTCGGGCACCCGCAGCTCGGGCTCCACAATCATCTGCAGCACCGCCCAGCGAGTCACTTAAGGAGTTCTAGCGAGAAGCACAAGGAAGTGGAAGCAAGCGGATGCATGCACTGCCCACTTTCAGGGCTTTGCAGCAAAGACTGAACATTGTCACTCTGCTGAAGTACAGCCATAAAGCGATCGGTTGACACAAAAGAGAACAGTGTGCCATTACGCCCTGCCATTTGCAAAGGTGTGCTTGCTCAACCTGGCAGAGTTGAAGGTGGTAACTATTGTGGTGCAAAAAGATGTTAACATTTGTCCTGCTCAAGCCAACTCGTTGAGCACCAACTTTCCAAAACGGAAACGGGAAATCTTTCGCTGCTTGCTCAGAATTTTAATTGATGTCCAAAGAAAGCAACTGAACTGCAGGAGTGCTGACAAACTGCTTGCCAGACTCGTGAGGGGGCATCTACTTGCAAACATGAATGCCTGGTGCATGCAAGGCCCACCACAACACTCGGTCCACACCTCCAGGCCCTTCAAAGAAAGTGCAACTCACTACCGCGGCCTCTAATCACATGTTCTCTACACCACAGCTTCACTGAAGAGACGACCGTACTAGAAGCAAGATTCAGAAAAAGACCGAGCCAGGGAAACTTACGAGATGCACGTCAAGGGGCTTATCTGTGATCGGCCTCAGAGCATCGACCACGAGAGGTCCGATGGTGATGTTAGGCACAAAGCGTCCACTGCACGGGCAAACACCAATGCCTTTTCCCATCAGAAAGAGGTCGACGAGGAGACCGTTGGAATCAGATTCATTGAGTGATATGAGACAAAATGCTAAATGACACCACAACGTCCTTGATGGACCCCCAACTGCACACTGCTTCAGGCTCTCTGTGGAGTTTTGACAATGGAAATGAGAAAATTGGTTCGACGTTTTGCGCCTTCTGCAGTTACTTGCAGACACTTATGCGTTAAAAAGAGACGGTACACTTGAAACTGAGGACTCTTCAAGGCAACCAAGAGGCCCCTCAACCAACGGCTCCGCGGGTCAGAGAGGAATCTTTGGGAGGGCTAAGCGAGGCAGGCACCCGAGCACATGAATACAGCCATTCGTCCAGCATTTTTAAACCGGTGCTCTGAGTCAGGCAGCCAAGAACTAGAATTGACTTTGAAATTTAGGCACAAGCCATTGGAAGGTGACGGCTGACAACCTCATTATACGAATGCATCGAAACGAGTATTTTGAGACCTTCAGTAGAGGCGTTGCAATTCTGGCGAGTGGTGGCTCAGTGAGAATTTAGAGGGTTTAGGGTTTGCAAGTGGCCCTAGAAACAGAAACTGCAACCGGGAAGAGTAGGCTCCAGCAGATGATACATCCAACAGAATGCTTTTATCGTCATGGATAATTGCACTCCTGCCGGTGTTAAATGAGGGCGATTGGGGGCCAAAAGAGCTAGATGAATTTATGTCAATACTCACTCCATGACATCCACGTGGATCCAGTCAGCACCCGCCTTGTCAACGGCGGCAACCTGCACTTACATGATAGAATCAGCTCCTCAACAGAGAGGATCTGGCTGCCCTCGTTGCTCAAAAATCTTTCGGCATTGCGGGCCAGAGCACCTGACAAGCACGAGGAAGGAGAACATGGACTTTCATGACTCAATCCTGGCTTGGCCTTGGCTTTTAAGCCGTTCACCAAGCGGCCGAAAATGCTTTCCCACCGTCTCTCCAGGGGTGATAGCCAAAAGGAGGATCCGATTGAGCGGCGGCAGTCCATTTTCTCCAGCCTCAGGCTCTGAAAGCTAAGCATTTCCCAAGCATCATCAAGATTTTACCTCACAACTACATCGACAAGAGAGCGTCCGGTTGCAAGGCCCCGGTATTGGCTGGTGACGAGAGCTGCCCTGAGACTTACATCTTCGCCCAGCCGGGAGAAGTTGGCGGACAGGATTGAGGGCGACACGATGATGTCGTCCTTGCTGAACTTGTCAACCCTGGAGGAAGCGCGCACCCCAGAGGACAACCTCTGGCTGCAAACAGAAGGCCGCAATGATTGTCGTAATTAGGCACAAAATTCAGGGGTGGAGACATGTTGGGTATCTTTTGGACTGCTTCTTTCTGCATTTGAGCACCTGTCTGCTGAGAGCTCCCAACAAGCTGGAAGGTCCTCAAAATCAGCATTGCGCGACACCAGACGCATATTGACGAAAGTCAATATGCTGTGGCAAATGCAATGAAATCAGAATACAGTACGGCCCATTAGCAACTGAAAATTTGGAACGGACGCACTCGTTACTCCCAATTCCAAAAACTCTACCTGAACCCTGGGCATTGAGAAAGACTTCAGCTGACACCTTCGGAGAGCATTGCAATGGTAAAACCGACGCAACTCTGGTGAAGAAGAAGATCAACGAAAAGCAGGAACAGGGTGCGCGCACCTTCTGGGAAGGGCCTTGCAAGGGGCGGGAGCAAAGTGCTTTGCCCCTAGGAAAGAGCTCTGAGACGCCCCGGTCGCAAAAGCGGCCGCCTGCATAACAGACACAGATGCGGTGCAAGCCATGGCGAAAAAAAGTTGCTTGCAAAAGGAAAGGCCGTTCCCGGTTTGCAGAACGCCTTGTACAAGTTGTTGAACGGCTGGCAGAACGGAGCTTTTGCACAGGCAGAAGGAACTTTGAAGGAAAAAGAAATTCTAGGGGACGGATGACGTGGCACAGACAACATAGAGCTTGAGGCTCAGAATCCACGAGGAGAATCTGGAATCCTGTCATAAGTGGACAGAGCAGACTGCCTGGGTACATAGCTTCTGCCAGTGCCGGTGGACATTTCGCTAAGAAACTAGGCGAATGCCGTTAACGTTTTGGGTCATGTTTGCGGGAGCAATCTGGGTACAAAAGAGCTTATCTGTGCGGTAATGACTTCATCGTTACCGTTCACTCCGGGCGAGGCGCGGCCCAATCATCCATGATGGTGGTGCATGAGCTGCCACTTCCAACTTGGCTGCCACAAATCAAGAGCACATCCACCTGGCGGAGCCAACCTTTACTAGAGAAAAATGGCGGCCACCGCTGCAGCAGCAAGCACCCTGTCACCAGCATGCCTTCACGCCCATTTGAGAAGCAGTGCCAATGAGAGAGCATATGCGAGTGGACCAGCTTCTACATCCGGCAGCTTTTTCTCGCCTCCGCTCCGCCAGCAGAGGTCCAGCAAGTTGGACCTTGGTTGCTGGGGTCGAGATGGTAGCAACTCCCCCTCGTTACATCAGGACAGATCTAGATCTGGGTTTAATGTTAAGCAAGCAAACCCAGATCAGTGTCGGAGTTCTGGGGCTGTGAAGGTTCGAGCTGCCAGGGCAGGCGTGCTTGACAGGCCTGGAGGCGCTGGCGTCTTAGAGAAGCCGCCTGCGCTTGATACCTCGTGGTTGGAAAAGCTGTACCAAACAGAATCAGGTACTACTTCATGGACCTTGCTATACTTAATATGCCAGTTGCTGCTGCATGCTGAAAGAGAAGTTTGATCTTCCCCCTCACCTGGTCGGCATTTAGCAATCACCACCTTGTGAATCTAAAAAGATCTTCGTTAGTTTCTGATTTCATAGTAGCATGGTCCCTCTGCCCTTTTTTGTTTATCTGTGGGCCATGTTTGCTCTTTAAACGGCGGAATGTTCTTCCAGTGTTCTTTCAAACATTTAACTGGTTGTTGATTGACTATTAAAGATTCATAAGCACAGAGCCCGCGCAAGTTTCTTTAACTTGTGGCACGCGGTAGATTGCCTCCATGTGGTTGAGCTGGATTGTGTTTCTTGGATTTCTGAGTGCCACCAACCAAAAGCCCCACCAATTTCGCATTCACTTTTTGACTCTGGTGTCCTTGGGGCTCGAGAGGGGGTACCATACATGAATGAGAAGTTTCCTGCGGTTGTACAGTCCCATTTGGTGCCATCCACTTTGATGCCTTTCTCACATAAGCATGAGCAACTGTGTTTCTACCAGGCGGGGAGGGAAGCAAGGAGAAGCAGAACAAGCGGACAGGCGGCGGGGATCAGTTCCGTGTCCTGCTGGTTGACAGCCCCAAGCACACTGAGAAAAGAGGTGGGTGCCAGACCTTCCGGCCCTTCTTCTGAAGGCAACTTCATGATTGCAAGGCTCGGTGATTTTCAGGACATGTTTGGACAAACGTTTTCTGCGCTTCTTTGGAACTTTCACGACAAGTAGTGTGAGCAGGTATTAGGTGCTTCTTTGTTGTCTGGCTTGCTGTTGGCGAGGAGTATGCCGCAAGTAAGTGCAGACTTTCATCTGAGATGAAAAATGTATTACTGGCCCTGTTTCATAACAGTGACCCTGTGTCCTGACCCAGAGTAAGTGTTTTTGGACTGGATACGTCTCCGTCCTTTGTCCTGCAATCGATTTTGGCGAAATGTTTGTCTGGAATATGTGATCTTTCTTTCCCTCAAGGGCGCCTCTGCATCAAGGGCGCCTCATCAACAATCAGTTGTCCTTGAAGTCTGGACAACCCAGCGCATGTATCTTTTGCACGATTGTACATGTCTGGCAGGCTTTCTCAGGACGTCGTTTGAGTGTGCAGTCACCAACGTCTTGCCCAGGGTGGTCCCAAACGTCTCGTCCGAAGCGGCACGCGGGATATTTGAAGAATCCAAAGTAAAAGGCTTTGGAATAGTGATCGTCTGTGTGAAGGTGAGCCCGTTTTGAGATAATACTAAATTCCGAAAAGTCACTCCTTGTTTCTTGTTTCTTTTAGGTATATTTGAACCGCTTCTTTGTGTCGTTCTTAGCTGGGCTGGCCCTGGGGGCTGGACCTGTGATGTACTGTTGCAGGGACATAGTCGACTTCCTCTGATGGCATTTACGAGCAAAGATAGAGCGTGCCTGACTCATTGCAGCGGAGGTAGTCAACTTGGATTTGGAACTGCCCCTTTTCACGCGTTTGTTCTTGTCAAGGTCAAAGCTCCCCTCTCGGTGCGGCCTTAAAGGGAGAGCCCGAGGTATACTTGGATGCAGCCCAAAATGCAAAAGCTACTTTCGAGCCGTTCTTGTTTTCAAAAGAAGTCTTACTGTGAGAGGTCTGTGCTACCCATGAAACTTGCAATTCCTATTCGTCTAGCAAAGGTCTGTGGCTCTTCTGCACTGCTTCTCCTTCACTCTTCTGTGTCTGTCGCAGTTGGGATTAAAGTAGGTCGACTTTCAAAGGTCAGCTCTTCACTACGTCCAGAATTTTTGGCATCCAGACTTTCGCTTTCCTTTCTTGCTTTTGAGAGGCCCTCTTGCCACTTGGAAATGAATATGTATTGATCTTATTGTCTGTCTCGGGACTGCAGGAATATGCTGAAACGTATTGTCAGCTCCTCATTCGGAACGGTCTTAGTTCCAGGATTGAACCCGATGCGGACACCGTTTGAAAGATCCTGACTCCTCTTCGGCGTCAGTCCATTTTTGTTAGAAGCGACTGGTCAAATAATCGAGTTACTATTGTTGAAGCTGCTTACATACCCCTTCGAGCAGAAATAAGAGTTTCTTTACACGCAATTTTTGAGGGGACATAACGGTTGTTGATGGTTCATAGGCTTAGAACAGATACGTCAGTACTGGTTGAATATTCACCATTAGCATCCCTGCGAAGCGGCGCAGGGTTGCCACCATCCCTAACTTCAGAGCAGTTGTTCGAAGTGGGAGTCTTGCATCGATTTAGGGCGACTCGACTCTTCAATAGAATTGCTTGCCGTAGTACGCTCGCAATATGGTTCTGACATCCGCCCGTCACATTCCTTGCTCGGGCTGAAATAATCTGGCACAATGACATACCAATGTGCAGTGAAAGTACTCCATGCCACGTGTGCATGTCGTTTGCTTCTAGGCATCTGCCGGCTCGCAGTGCATTTCAACAGATTGTGCGTCCATCATAGGCCGCAAGGTGACCCTCTCGTATATGGTCTGCTTGCCAAAGAAGATTAATCATGTCTCTCTGGGTCTCAACACACTAATGGATATATATGCATACCCGGCATCTGGCATACGTGCAAAAGAGAAGATGTGAGATCTGACATGACATCATGACGGTAAACTTGAAAAGTCATAAGACATGCAGGCGTTTGGTAACAAGGAAACATGATCGACCGTCCCGGCAATATGACGTTTTGCATGACGGTGCCGTGAATCTAGCTGACCATCCAGTCAATATTTATTTCAAGCAGCGTGGGCAGGTCATGGACAAGGGCCAAATGGATCTTAGCTTAGTCACGGTCCAATCGAGATTCCAGAATTCGCGCTGCGATATCACTCAGGAATCCGAGCTCGGATGGGGCGCGCACTGCCAGCGCATGCTGACGGTGTTGTGATTCAGCTAAAAACGTTTGCCGAACTCACTTGCATGCGCGACTCACAGTAGCTCCTCTGGGTACTAGGGTGTCAGGATCGGCCTGCATTGATGGTTCATTTTCAATGATCGCAAAGTGAAGGCATCTTGCAGGGGCTAGCGTGCGCAAGCCGTGCTTTTTGGTAGTAAGATCGGTATCAAAGGCCTCGCAACATCGACATCTCAAGCTTCGTAGGAATAACAGCAGCTGTGACGCACGTCACTCGCAAATCGGCATTTCATACTGCATCGAAGCGGAACAAGGGAGCGATTGAAGCGGACCGAAGGAGCTGCCGCAAAAATCAAATGCGTTGTGCGTCTGGCAACAAGTCTTCAATTCATGCAAAACCGAGCCACCAGCGCAGGGGTGTCTCCGACGCGACTATTATTGCCCGATGGGATGACTTGCTGAAGCGGTTAAAGGGTTGCCATACAGTAAAGGTCAATTCAGCAAAAGGAAACAATCAGGCTTCCGAGCTCATGTAGAGCTGATTGTAGTCCCATTGGGTTCTTGAAAAGCTCAAGAGTGCGGAGTCCACACACTCCTTTTCCTAGCTAGCAGCTTTGCCCGGAAGCATTTGCCAGTGGCCTATACACGTACAAGCGTCAGCCTAGTACGAGATGTTTGACACGCTCTGGAAACATCAGAATCTCACCATCCGTCTATTCGCGCTTCGTATCTACAATCTACAATTGAATGTTGTGAACGCCCCTATTATGATGGCGTCCTCTTGCAGCAAGCTTGCCGTCCGAAAACCCGACTACCGAAGACAATCAGTCCCGCTACACGTAACGCCCTCGCTACATACAAAGACTCTTCAAGAAAACCCCTCGCTACTGACCACCGCGCCTCGCTACTTTCTTGGTCAAACCTCCTGCCCTCGCGCCAATCTTCGACCGCCGCTATCAGAATCCCACTCAATCGCCGCCGGAACAACATTCTCCTGACGCTCTCCGTTCGCCAATCTCACTTCTTTGTCCCCGGCCTCTCCGACCTTCTCTTCTTCGTGACTGGGGCGTCGCCTTCCGCGGCACCATCCTCCCTTGCACGTCTTTCGCCCCGGCTCGGGGTCGCTTCCTCCCTATCAAAGGCCTCCGAGTCGTCCGCGGGTTCCTCCTTGATCTGCTGTGGCAGGGGCGCCGTGATCGGGCCGGTCTTGAAAAGCTGCCCTTCGAGTCTCTTAAGCTTATCGTCAAGGCGCTGAATCTGCAATCGAAGCGCAGATTCAGGCCTGAGTGTACGCGGTGCAAGCGCGGCTGAAAGAGAATGAGCTAACATTATGTCCGGGTCAGAAACTGCCTTCTCTTTAGAGCCGACTTTTGCCGCAAGCAGTTTGGGCCCACACAACCAACGAGGGCCATCACCCGGTGAACCAGCAAATCACCGCCACGTTCCGGGGATCGACCCACATTCGAGCACTCGAACACTCGCGCCATACTTGAGTAGACAAACAGATTGGAAACCCGCTTTCTAAAGCTTACCGTCTCGGCAAACTCAATTTTAGCAGGACTAACGGTTAAGTGGTTATAATGGGACGCCGACGCGTTAGCGTCACAGGGCGTGATCCAAGGGTGTTTCGCCGATCCGGTTTGATGTAAAGAAGTTCAGTCGCTTCTCACCTCCTCCTTTTCCTTTTCAAGACGGGGCCCCAATAATCGCGTTCCGGCATCTCGCTCTGCGGCTGCCTGCAGCTCCATGTGGTACCTAAAGAAAGGAGAAGACGATCTGTCACCGGTCAAATGCTTCCCGTTCCAAGGGTATGGGGGGCAAGGAAATTCCTCTATCTGCTATTATACGCTTTCCCTCGAAGAGTGTTTCCCAGCAAGAAGCAGGTGGTGCCCAACTGGTCCGGCCATATATTCACCGGTTGTTACCTCCTAATATGTGGGCCAAGTTATGATTATGGACCTCTGCTCAAGAAAATCTCGCTTCCATGATTTTCTAGAATGACGTTACTATACTCCTCGATTGAGTCTTCTGGGGGGGTCAGACGTCCTCAATCCTTTACGTCTCCCTGAGGGTTGCAGGTTTAACTCGGGCGGCATCAACAAACTTTGCTGATGCAGGCATGCTTCGCGTCAAGAACAATTCCACTTGCATCTGCATCCCGTCTCAAAGGATAACTCATTGCTGGTCGTAACTCACAGCTTCTCCAGTTCCTTTTCCACACGTCTAAGCGCCCGCAGAGTATCGATGATCTGATGCTCGCGCGCGGCAGCGGGGCGCGGGCCGGAGCCGAAGAAGGCGGGCAGATTCTGGATGGTCGCGGGGGCGCGGAAGCACCTGCCGCCCGTCTCTCCCGAGGCGGCCACGTGGCACCCGTCTTCGTACGTCAGGATGGTCGGACACTCTTTCATCATGTCCTGCAAGCCAACAGTAGATAGTTGAAATGCGAGACCGAGTTTTAGTCAAAAAACGCTGCTCAGCGCTCGCTCATCGGCGAGAGTACCCCTGATCAGATATCGACTGTCAGACAAGTAATTTTGGTTAAACCATGTTGCGGAGTATCCGCTCCAAAAAGTTGTCAAGTTAGAGAGTTTAGTACTGCTCTTTTCAAATTCAACTCGCGTTCCTCACTTATCCCCCAAAGATTGAAACATCCAGATCGAGTCCGATTAACGGGGAGAATGAAGCGTAATAGACCGATCTGAACCGAGTAAGCTAATCTGCTCACAACATCCCAAAGAGTCCGAGCGCGACCTTGCGCAAGCAATGGAACTTTAACGGAGACATGTTTATTCGGTGTGCCAGGAGCCATCAGGTAGCAAATCAGCAGCAGCTGAATCAGCAGCATCTGTTCGCTTTGATCTAAACTGTAGTGTACTTACCTTCAACTGGACACGCAGCTAAGAGCGCAACAGGAGTTTTCAGAGGTTTGACCTCGTGACACTAGATATTCGAGGCAGAAAGTTTCTGTAGTAACAACGTACCCGAACTAGGAACCTCCTGTAAGCGATGGCGTCGACTTTCTTGGGCAGCAGCAAGGTGTTACCAAGAAGCGCCCAAAAGACGGATGCACGAAAGGCTTCGTGCTCCTCCCGCAGGCGAAGGACGTTGACTGCCAATTCCGGTTGAACGCCTTGCAAAACCTGCAATCGATCGCCCCTAATGATTATCTCACGTCGCATGATGTAGCGTTGAAATGGAGTTGAACGACGATCTGGAGGGGCTTTCCAGATGCAGTCACGTCTTACTGGCCGATTGAGGGAGAACGAGCAGGAACAACGATCTTCATCTGGAGAAAGAAGTTTTTAAAACCCCTGACCAAGTCGAGCAATATATTCCTGGAGTTCAGCTTCTTGCATGAGGTCGAGAGTTCCGAATCAACAGGAAGTGGACGAAGATCGAAAAAGAAGCAGATTGATGCCAATAGGACTTCGCATAGACTGTCTTGAATCTAAAATTCTGACTTTATCCAGCTTGAATACAAAGCAACTTTGCCTCTTATGTTTAAGCAGAAAGCTGTCCTGCCGGTCAATGGGATGCTTTCAGCAGACCGATCGTCGTATGTTGATGCAGCTTAGAATATAAGAACTTTATCCTTACTAAGACAGCATTCTCAGCGACCTAGGGAGATGACATCAAGTTGTGGACTGGACTCCTTACCTCAGGAAGGCTCTGGTTTCCGTGTGGGACCGTGAGCTGCAGCTTGCCTGCCCCCGCTGGCACAAACGACTTCACCATCGAACTATCGAGAACGCGAAACCCGTCATCCACGTCAGCTAGGGCCATGATGGCGTCCGAGCGGCAGACCACCATCTCGAGCCTACTCTGTCCAAAGTACCAGGAAATGACACGTGCCCTGCTATCGTCCTCGATCTCCGCCAAATCACACAACAGGCCATAAAAACCTAGCAGCCCCGACACTTTGCTCTCGACGGTGCATCCAGCGCGCGCCTTGCGCTCCTGTGGCAGCGCATCGCGAGCTCTCTGATGATTACGAATCAGCTCGTCAGCCCGTTGGCCTCGCGCGAGGGCTTCTGTATCAGCTGCAGGTAGCCTCGACTTGATATCTTCGGCTGCTCTTTCACTATCCCGTTTCTTGTTCAGACAGTTTCGGAGGTCCGCCTCCGCCTGAAGCAGACTTTCTTCCAGTTCGGAGGCCATTCTAGACGTCTTCGCTCGCTTTTCCGTGCACTCGGCGATCTTTCGTCTCAGAGCGGAATCGTTTGTCACCAGGAGCACAGTCTCCGCCGGCACGAGCTGACCAGACTTGAAGCGCAGCTTGCAAGCCGCGGTCCCGTCTCTGGTGCATCCTTCTAAGGAGAAAGACAGAGTCCTGAAATGCGCGCACCCGTCGGCCCCGCAGCTCACCGTGCAGCCTGAGTCGTCCAGCATTGGTGCTCCAACCGAGGGATCTTTTGAGATGACCTCAGCTGAAATCTGCTCGTTCCAGAGACCCGCAGGCACGAGGTTTCCAAAGCAGTCCTCGACCCGGACAGAGAGGCACGGCAGGCACTCGACAAGTTCGCCCTCGTCTTCCTTTCCGACATGAACAAGGAGGGGCCCCTCGGGCTTCTCAGCAATCTGAAGCTGGTGCGGGTTGCCCGGAATCACTTCAAGAAACAGCTTCTTCACCACCGTGCGATCGCACTCCTGAAGGTTTGGAAGCAGATCGGAGCGGCGCTCGGTGTACACGGCCGTCAGACTGTGCGATCCGGCTTCTGTAAGCGTCAACTTATCCGGTTTGGAAGGCTCAAAGACGAACTCTCCACTCTGAAGAACTCTGGACTTGAGTTCGTTAGACGGGTTGGGCAACAGAACTTGGCGGGAAGGGGATAGCAGCGTGAACTCAAGGCTCCGCTCCGGCAGCACTCCGCTCAGATCCGTGTCTTTGCCTGCTGAATTCAGAAGCCGCAGTCGAATGCAAGAAAGACGGCTCCCACTGGCAACAGACTTTGCATCGAGGTCGCTCTCTTGCTGGGGCGAGTTCTCCACAGAATCGAAGTCCAACCAGGCATGAAGACTTGCGACGGTGTCCGTAGGCGACACTGAAAGAACGAGTCTTCCGCTTTCCACCCCGTCTGAGTCAAACTTGAGCACCCTTCTCTCGAGTTCGCTGCCTCTCATCCCTGTGCACTCGAAGAGAACGTCTTCAAAGACGGCGTCCGCATTGAAGCCAACAAGTGAGCACGGCCGGTCGGGGCTGTTTCTTGCAGCCGGGACGCTCACGTCCGTGTCGGCGTCATCGGTAGAAATTAGGACCCTCCCCTTGACTTGCAGCTTGTTGTCGGCCTCATCGTTGATGCTTGCTCGAATGACTGAAAAGCGGTACCGATCTTTCACCGGAAAGTGAACTTCCATCTGAGTGGGGCCGGGGCTAGGATCAAGGCTGATGCCGACATGATGCGGAAGACCCTGAAGCACGAAAGCAAGCGTCAAGTCTGAACATCCCTTGCATTCGTCTGACCTGAGAAACGTCATCACGTCGAGAACCCGATCAGCAATCTACAGAGATAACTCAAGATTGCCCTCCTCAAAATGACCTTGAGTTGAAAGGAAGTGAAGGGCTTTGGAGATCTGTCAGATCCTGGCTGCTACTTTTCTCAAACGGTACGTACCTGTACAGCTGATGCCACAAGTTTCTTCCATATTGGGAAAGCCGCATTCGGCATTAGAGTGGTAAAATTCTGCACGTTTCTTCTTTCTGCCAAGCATTTGGTACCGAAATGTCAAAGCCTTACCCTGACGAGACGAATCTCTAGAAGCGCGCTCTTGTAGGAATCCTTCTCATCGTCGACCCTCAACTGAAGAACAGAACCATGTTTTCCCAGTAGTCTCGCAGCGGGCAGATACCAGACAGCTCCGTCACGCTGGGGAGTCCAGCCCTGCCTAGTCACATCCCCTGAGACCCGCTCGTCACGCAGAGAGATTCGTGGCATTGCAACCTCCACAGGCGGCTGACACGCATTCCCGTAGACGTCGCCAAGAAAGATGCGCAGGCGATGCCCAAGGGACTGCCCGCACGGCACGATCAGCTGGCCCGCGGCACCATCCGTTCCGTTCTCCTCGCAAACCCAGGCTGAGGGTTCAAGGGGCTGGGCTTTCAGGGCGGTGCGACAGCAGAGGCTTGAGTTGTTGCACGTCAGTAGAAGCTGCTCCGGCGGTTTGCTGGCAGACGTGGGCATGCGGTACGGCGGCAGCTTTCCGGTTCGCAGATCGCAGGTCTGGTTCCAAGAGCAGTTGAAGGGCTGCATAGAAACGACCCTAGACCTCAGTAGTTGGACTGCGGAATCTTGAAATCATTTGATACAGTTGCTGTTTCCTCATGTGGCAATTTTCTTAATATACTTGGCATTTCCTCTTCAAAGGTCTTACTTTGTCGCAAATGAACTTTTCTTCCCCGCGACGGCAGTCGGGGAGGAATCTTTACAACAACAACTCGGATCACAACGGCCACATGCGAGCATAACTCTCAGGGTTTGAAGTCAGAAATCAAACAAAGTGACACGGAAGTAAGAAGACGTTTCCAAGCGGCTTTACGCTCGGTTCATCCACACTAGTAGCTTATTGAGCAGCCGAAAGCGACACAAAAGAACAGGAAGCAGACCAGGTGGAACTTACTAACTTACGACCAGGATCTTGGACGCTACATCGTTTCAGTACGCCTTGCACAGTTGAGCCGTAGATCGAAGGCATCCGGTTTAGCCGCCAGCTCTTAAGATCCTCACTTGTGGCTCGCTCGCAAGCTCCTCGACTTGACGGCCCGCCTCGTCCCAAGCCAGGAGTTGCCAGTTCTCGATACTCCTTCCCGCAGGCAGCTCCAGCTCGATAGGGCCCCCGTCAGTTGATCCGTAGAGTTGACCCTCGGGGAGGAAACCAAGCGCAGCCGGCGCGCGCCTTGGCAGAATGCGGGAGCGCGCTCGCGCTTCCAGGGCGGTGCCCGACTTGTTGAAATCACACAAACCCACTGTGACGTCTACAACGATTCCGCTGAGACTATTCTCCCAAGCGCTACGATCTTTGACAAGGGCGACCAGTCCATAGTATTCCACTCTTCCGGTTTTGCTGCTGACTTCATGGCTTATCGTACCGGTGACAAGGCCCGGCGAAAATTGTGCGACCAATTGTGCAGAGCCACCCCTGATGAAGGTGGTCTGGTTGCCGTACGCGTCTCTTGGCTCCACGGTGAGGCTGAAAAGGCTGCCATTCTCCATGGCTTCAGGAAGCTCTAGGAAACTTAGCGTCTGGTCTGGCCCAGCTTGAACTGACAACCGTGCCGGGCTGGTATCAAGCTGCTTGTAACCTGGGAGAGCTACGACCAGCTCAAGAAGGCTCGGAACGCTCGTGAGAGAAACCGTCACCACGACGCCTCGCAAGCAGACGGAGCCATCCTCGATCAGCACGCTCATCTGGTCCACGTGGAAAGCGAAGCCCTCCTGCACAGCTTGAAGCTCTGGTCGAAATGTGGGCAGCAGGTCGCGAAGGCCATCTTCGTCAGAGAAGTCGTTTTTGGACGCGTCTTGAAGAACCAGGCGGAGGCAGAACGTATGGCCGACAAGGACTATCTGCGGCGGTCGTGCAGAGAATGCGACCGGAAGTCCTGCCTTGACCTGTTCCAGAGCAAAGTAATGTTACAAAAGGTACAAAAAAGCGAGTCGCTCTCGGAGCATTGAATACAAGAAGATGTATGGAATGCGTATAGGAGCACGAATCATCATCGTCAATCGTTCAGTTGATATCGGCAAGTGATCTTTCTCTTGCTGCAAAGCAATTCTACAGTGTATGACAGATGACCTTCAAATCCACGGCGGCTATGAAGCAGCCGCGTCATGACAAGAAAACAACCCTCCAACAAGGCCGGATTGGAGCCGCTCCAACACTGAAGTCGTTCTGCAGTGATCATTACTTACATGCAGATTGTGTTGTAGCCTTCAATCCACAGTAAGCGACACCTCGCGGAGGCTACCATGAGCATCTTCTTACCTGGAAAGTCTCCTCGAGGGGCTGTTGAGGCGAGAGTCCGTACTCCATGAGTGAGGCAGTGACGAGGTAGCTTCCCGCTTTCTGGATGGCGGGTAGGTTCAGGACGTGACCGATGTTGCAGAGGAATTGGGTCACCGGACATGAGTCTGGTCTTGCCAGATTTGTGAGAACGACTTTGGTTCTTAAGGAACATTTACCGTCCTGATGCGTCTGCAGTTCTTCCCTGCAAAACAAAACGAGGAACAGAGGTCTATACACTTCGCTATAAGCAAGGGATTCGGAACGACGACAATGCCAGTTTCTATTGCTTCCTTGATAGATGCGAAATGGGTTTCATAACTATAAAGACGGTTGTCAATCTTACGGTTCCTTGCATCAGACGAGGAGTGGCATCAGACTTGTGTCTCCTATTTTCAAGCCTTCCGTGTTGACAGTGACAAATGTATACGCTGACGAGTCGCTAGTTGTGAGAGATCTTATGAACATTTATTCTTTGACAGATGAAACCAGATCTAAATGTAACACCTTCAGTGAGTGGCGGAGATATTAACATCATCAATGCTTACCCCTGCTTATTGATGGCCCTTAGCCGGAACCGCTCGGTTTTGTTGCTGATCGGCGCAGAGAATACTCTAGGGCCCATCACGTCCATGGGAGCGTTATCTGCTGTGAGCCAGAGGAGCTCGAAAGTCTCTACGCAGAGTCTGTCATGCAGTTCCGTAAGAACACCTCTCCACTCGCAATCGTTCAGCACTGATCCGAGGTCGTAGATATCGATCTGAACTTCAGCAGAGTTTTTGAGCTCCTGTAGATCATCAGAGGATGATGCAATCAGTAGAGACGTGATTCAGGAGGTCGCCTTGCTATTCAACTTCAAACGGCTTCTATACAGCTATCGTGCATCATCTGTATATATTGGAGATCGCATTGCCAGGACTTCTGGACGTTTCAAATCTTGCTAATGATTCGATCAGTGGGCTCTTTTCCTCTCTCAACTTCAAGACGCCGTAACGCAGACGCAATCAATAAATGTCTCGCATGATACAAGAAGGCCCTCACAACTTCGAAGAGACTCCAGTCCGACAGTCCAGAGTTAGAAGGATTAAACTTATTTCTGATGCTTCAATGCTGATGACCGTGGTGAATGTATTAACTTCTTCTTACATTTCAACGTTGTTCTTAGCTTGGAAAAAGTGGTTTTGTTTACGCTCTTACCTCTGGTGCCTGCCTGACGGAAGCGGTACCTGTCGATCCGACCGTTTTGTCCTCCTTAGTCTTCCAAGGACAGGTCAGCGACTCGATCCTTCCGTAGAACTTGAAACCTCTCCTCCGGAACGTCACCTTGTCTCCGACCTCGAAAATCCGTTTCTCTTTGCCGGCGACGCTAACGCGCTTGAATCGGGTCCTGGGCGCGTCCGTGTCGTGAACGCGGTCCGGATCTTCGAAGGTCAGAATCTCGTCAAACTTGCTGCATGCTCGAACCCATTTGTTGAAAGCCCTGCAGAATTTGAAGGTGGATACTTGAGCTCTCATCGTTAGGAGCCGGAATCTTGACTGACACAAGAGGGGAAAGCAGCCTGTTGCAATGGAAGAACAGTGCTACTTTTGCTTACTTTGAGCCAAAGCGGCTCCGATGCATTTACGCAAAAATGAAAGTTTTTTGTGGGAGCAGAATTTCTGTTCAAAACAACAGGAAAGTCTTTCTACAGCATAGGGTCTAATCATAGATCACAAGCAATCTCTCCAAGTCAAAACTCTTATTCTGCTCATGAAAGAGAAACTCACTCTGAAGCTCCCCGGGGCTCGAAGATAGTCTCGTCGTGAGGGAGGCCCAAGAAAAGGGCCTTCAAGTCTTCAGAGACGTGCTGCTTTGATTGATCGATGCTGTAGCTGTCATTGATGAAGAGCATTCCGGTGATCCTGCGATGAAAGGACTTGCGATGTAAGGACTGGCCTTCCGGCACTTCAAAAAGCAGAGCAATAGTCAGAATCCAGATTGATCCTGAGGACGATCGAGTAGGCACTCTGGGCATTACCAACTAGCATCGCAGGATGCATCGTCACAGTCGAACGGAGGAAGTCGTATCAGAGACCGTGCCTCGAATCGTCATGCAAGAAGAGGGGCAAGCCTATGCACGGTCGAAGACAAAATCAAGCGGATAGGACGCATGTTGTTTTGAATTTTAGCTACTCAATAGAATGCCAGTCCTTTTACAAACTTTCTGGCGCTTGGTAGAACTGGCTCACCTTCTGAGGCAGTCGGAGTGCACATCGGAGACCCTCTTCGTAGCAGACCTGAATTTGCTGAGGCCGTGCAAGTGAGTGTGAGGAACCAGACGGCCATTCCAAAATACCAGGTCGTAAAGCGGCGTCTCAGGAGCACGGAGCCCATACTCCCAGCCTGACGCAGGGGAAATGTGAGCACTGACATCTCGGTCTTGGTCGCACTGTCGAACCACCTTGCAGAGAGACAGGAAGTAGATTTTAGGTTCGCTTGGGGTTGATCCCAATTTGTGGAACGTGTTTGGAAACCTATGTTGACGCGGCCGACAGGTCCGAGTCTCGATTTCTGAACACCACTCCCTGGCCAGCTCATTGGCTCGGAGTGCACTAAGGCTAAAGAACCATCAGCTGAGACTCTGCTACGAATGCGCGATATAAGTCTAGCTGCTTGACCAGCAATGCAGTTGGTACAACCAGGAGTATATGGTACTTGTGACGGAACCGGTGGAAGCAATCTGGCTCACGGGCTGCCAACGAGGCGGACAGAGAGTGCGGGGGGGAAATAACCGGAGGTGCTCACCGGTGGGTTGTATCTCCTTGGAAGGCTCTCGCGCCCGTCCTTCATGTTGTGGTAGAAGTGGAGGAGGTAAGCCTTCGACTTCCCCAAGGGCTTGACCGTGACCTCAAAGAGGTGTGAAGCACGATCCAGCGTCTGGCTGATGACGTCAGCGTTCAGTTCGTTCAGCCGCCACGTGACCTCTCCAGGAAAGCTAGTCGTCTGTGCGGGGAGCAGCTCGGGAACAGCCCTCCGACTGGATTGTTGCTGGTAAAAGGATACCTAGTAAACGGAAGCGAAAACGTTCCTGCTTTAGCGAGTGTTTGGGAAAGAGCAGCGCACGACTTGCTGGCAAATGACGTCACCTTTTCGTATCTAACCTAACAAAGCGACACTGCATAATTGAAACAGACAAAAATTGTCCTGTTCCAGGCCTCTACGCGTCTGCGGTCCATCAATGCTGCAGCATCCCCTCGAGGAATAGGAAAGGAATCTAGGGCTTTCGCCACAATGTTACCACAATGCGATTTCTCTGCAAAGGCTTTATTTTAACTAACTCTGAAATAGAATTAGAACGAGATGATACAGGGATCGCAGCTCAGGACAAGAAGTCATCACGGGCTCTCACAGATGCCAGTAAACAATATGCGCGTCTTCTAACCTGCAGTTCGAGCTTTTTGCTTTCGTTCAACTCCCTTTTCACGGAGGATGTCGTCTTTAGAGCTGGCTGTAGGCGCCCGACGCCGTGCATCTTCCAGTAGAACATAGCCGCCAGTTGCCGGCTGAACTCATAACCTCGATCGCCGATGATCTCCCTGGAGTGGGCCGCGTAAAGTTCTGGAACAACGATGATCTGGAACAGAAACGGAGGTCGTCAGTTGAAGCATTCTCTTGTTTTATTTGCACAAGAGTAAACAATAGTGCTGTGTCCCTATCGTCTTCTCTGAGTCAGCTGAATCATATTGCAGCAGAAAACACAACAAATATTCTTGTTCAGAACGGACGGTCGACTTGCAGACGCAACTCAGGGACACTTACCGTGAAATGCCTCAGCGAAGCCACTTCAGCCACTGCTTCATCAATGTTCGGCAGGTTCGTCTTAGCCTGAGGGATGATCGTCTCCAAAATCTCCCAGAGGCTCGAGATATTTGACGCATTGCCTGCAGGCAGATCGACGGTGACGGTTCCGAACATATTCTGAGTCTCTCTCTTTCAGACCTGTAAAATCTGGCAGGTGATAAGGATCTTGGTCTCGCAGTATACAATAATCCAGAATCAAGAGCCGCCTCGACAGTGGATGAAGTGAATAGAATCAGCGGTCCAACAAGCTGCGAGAATCTCAGTTGATTCGAAGAATCAGGGCCGCAGGACGGAAAGGAACGAAGAGCTACCTTCGTAAACAGGGGCATTTTCTCGTTGGCGCCTCTCAAATTCGACCTGCACGAGAGCACCAACCAGGTCAGATTGAAATTTCTGACAATGGACATGATGGAGTTAGCTATCTAATTTAGAAGAAGCATGGAAAGACAAAAGCGACGATACCCCTTCAGAAATGGTTCGGAGTCGAACTTTCAAATTAGAATCAGCTTGAACGGACCCTATTCCCACTGGTCATATCAGGACGAAGAGGTCCTTTTCATTGTCAGCGGAAAGATTGATCTTTCAACAAAGATTTTGCGCTCGTTCTTTCTTCGGTCTGAAGAAAAGTCGGGACTGCAGTTCCCCTTCGGTTATTTTTATTTGCCCCAGTCGTGTCTCTATCTGCAATAACTTTCGTAAAATGTGACGAAGAGGAAGCTTCACGCACCTCAGACATCGAGAAGTGAGTCACTTCTTCGCCCGTGCAACCCGCGGCTCTGCTTATGATGTGGAACTCAGGCCCCGCAAAGAACAGCGCGGTCTTCGCGCCCACCCCGTGGAATGAGATCTGGTTGTCAGACGTGTACAGACTCTCCGAGTCCTCATCGGCAGGCTTCTGGGAGTTGCCTCGATCTTCCTGGCTCAGGTTCATGGTCGCAAAGGCCTCGAAGTCGTCTATCTCAAAACCTTTGCCTTTGTCGAAGACTGCCAGGGCGAGCTGCACATGATTAGAGGGACATCAGGCTTTCAGCCTCAACACGGAGTTGAAACCTTCCGTTCCTCTACAATGTTATATTGCCTAGAGAGCTTCGTCAACAAATCAAGGCGGAGCACACTACCGTGTGACCATGAGAAAGTGCGCTTCTACTTTTCATGTAAAGAAGGTCTTTCACAGCTTCCTCGGAGACCTTGGAGTTGGAGTCCTGAGTTGCAAGATGACGCATTTGGGTAATGTAGCACATCAAATGCAGACTGGGTCGCTGATCCGCTTTCTGCTTAGGAAGGATCTTTGAAGACTTCAATTTTCTTTGTGACGACATACCTTGCGTCGAGGGGTCTCGCAGAATACAATCTTGACCCACTTTCTCAGTCCTTCGGCAGGATTCCACAATGATGCATCTGCAGCATTGTCGATGAGCTCGCCGGCTGCGCTGACCAGGGAACTCTTTCCATCCTCAGCTGCAAGACAGAAGCAGTGAAAATATTCAATGGCTGAGTGTTTGATTGCACGCAAGCTCCTCATACATGGAAAAGCTGAGCATCGTCTCTTCTTGTACTCAAAGCACTTTCTTTTAGGCCTCTGTAGACGTCTGATTTCGAAACTCTGCATTGGAAACTCTCATGCAAATTTCCAAAACTCCTCCTTACTTTTCCATGGCATTGTATCCGTTCAGAACTTTTGTCAACAAGCCCCTGGAAAAATATTACGTGAGATAATACCATGTGCGCAGATCGAGTCAGACAAGAGAGGTCTCTAAAGAGAAGACCAAAAGACGAAGCAACCCTCTTGGAAGTCTCGATGTGAAAACGATCAGAAAGGAGGCGGAACAGGAAAAGGAGTTTTCCAGATCTTGGAAGGCATGTCATTGAAAACATTTGCTCACTTGTGTATGTTTCCTGGCCTCGTTTGGTCAGGCTCTTGTGATTTGGTACAAAGCGCAGCGGCGTGGATATTGCTGATCCCTCCGGAATGGGCAAGTCTGCCATACCATACAAGACAAGCAGGAGTTCAATCTGCCGTTTATTGCTTGCAGAGATCAGAGAAAGCAACAATCTCTAGGCGGCTGGTCGTGGGAGAATGAAGCTTCAAACGTAGGTTTGGCACCGTCTCGTTTCCTTGTTCACATGTCAGGTAAACTGGTTCGCAAGAAACCAAGGGAGGGGCCTCGACCGTTGTAACCACGGGGCTGCACGCAGGTTGAACATTGGAACGGAAGAAAACCCTACCTCTTGACTGAGTGAAAAGGATTAGCTGGCCTCTTCTCAATGCTGTTGCAAGATCACCATCCAGAAGATCCCTCCGGTTCAGATCGGTGACCAGGAACTCCTGCAACAAGTGACAAGCATAGGTCATCACGTTTTGAAAATCCTCAAGTTCTTCATACAAAGCTGAAGGAAGTGCTTGCTGTTCTACTTACAAAAGACTTCGGCAACTCTCGAAGCGAGGAGCCTTTATGGAAGAGAAGACAGTTCTTTCTGTTGCTTAAGGTAGACGAAAGGGTAGGCGGTGTATCAATCACCTTTTGCCTTATGCCCTTCTCATCCAATCTCGAGAGCACGCTCTCTCTCAGTGCATCCAGGTTCTCCAAGTCACTTCCGATCCTCTCCACAAAAACCTCCTGCACTCTTCCTTCTTCATCTTCGTAGAGGCAATGCACATTCGCTTCGGCCATCTTGCCTAAACGCAAGACCGGGTTTCTAGGCTGGCTGGTAAGGAGTTCCCAAAAGGTCCGAGCAGCTGGGCTTTGGATCTCTTGCAGCTGGTTAACTTCTCTAGGACATTTGGAACCTGTCAGCTCAGCAGCTACCCGATCCGAGAACCTTTCGAATCACTCTCCTCGAGGTCTTGGTATCCCCCATGTCCAACCACAACCTCAAGCGTTGCGGATGATGCAAGCGTTTATGACGGCGAGGAAGGGAACGATCCGCCCTTCGCGCACAGGTGGTCTGTTATTCTCCTCAAAGACTGCCTGGAAAGACTGCTGTCAACATCGATCAATCTGGGGTCGCAATGTCAGGCCGCTCCAAGTGATCTTGATGTTTCGTGTTCTCGAAAATCTCACTCAATTGTGACAAAGTCGCTGCATGGGCATGGTCTCCTCGGGCTGAGCATTCCTGCTCAAATTCTCTTCTGTTTATTTGTCATCCCGTAGAGTGCATGGTCATAGTCTGTATACGTCCGACCGTTTGGATAATAGCATGAGTATACTTGCCGGGGCCTGCTTAGCCGTCAGAGTCACCCCATCTTTTGAAGTCGGAGCCAACTTCGAGTGTCTGCTGTCATACTGAGAGTCTAGCACGTATGATAATGTATTGCCACCGTCTATTGGTGCCGCCCGCTTGATTTGGTGCGCGGGTCATACCAAGCAAACGTTGATTGAAGTAAGATCTTCTCCGGCATGCTCATCCTGAGAATGGTCGTGGCGCGCAGAAAACTGCACAGCAATCATATCTACCACAGCTTGTCCAGTGCATGCATGTATTGGGCCGGCAGCGCCTGGCATGTCGGATCACCGCTCATACGTCTGCACAGCAGCGCGCGCCATGCACGTGCATGATAGGGGTTTCAATGACCGGACGGTCACTGTCGAATGATGGTTATGAAGACGGCACTCTACGTAGCCTCAGCATTTGCAATTCGTAGGCCTGCCTGTGCGGCACATGTGAGACCTGAGCTAACGATTTGATTCCACAACATAGACTTTGTGCGGGCTCGCGACCGGCGCGTACATGGCTGCTCGACATTCTCGAGAAGATGCAATGAATCTTGACGTAACATCACATTCATCACCACCTGACTCGCACATGCCGCACCTCAAGTGCCGTCCATCAGAAGCCCAGATCTGGCCATGAGAACTATTGCCTTGGATGTGTACGACCACTTGCAAGCTAGCTCAAGGGGAACTGGCATCAAGCTTGCATTGCCCACTGCAGCTTTGGCCGTTCGTACTTCCTCCCTGGTTTCAAAACCAATGTGGGCAGGTAACGATCAGAAAGTCGGCTTAACCTGACCGTCTCGAAAAGCAGCAGCACGTATAAAATGTAAGAAGTACTAAGCAGCTTTCACTGTTAACCCATGCAGAGAGATTTTGCCGGATTGACAGCAACCTGTGCAACGCAAAAAAGGCGCACACCAAGGTCGAATCGAATTTTTGCATTGGGATGCATCTTAGTGTTGCGTATTTGGATTCACAATGTCCGATGACTCCTGCACTCAGACACACTGCACCCTACCGCACCCTACTGCACCCTCTGCCAAGCCTTGGATGCTCGGCCGGATGACTGCCGTTTAAAAAGTCAGTTCCATTTGCTGACCACTATACGCATCTGAACAACAACTGACGACAGTACAGGAATGAATCGGCACCTCTCTCACAACATCATGACACAGTACGGCCGTAGGCGACGCCGGCAATGTACAGGTTCTTTGCCCACTTTTCCTGCAAGAGAAGGGGGCACAGGTCAGCAAAGTCGTCGAGAGAAAAAAGGGCTTCTATGCTTCCTCGGAACATCGAGACCCCTTTATAATGAGTCTCGTGGGGATTTTGGCAAGATATTAACGCCTCCCAATCACGACATTTGGCAGAGCCTTCTCGGACTCCCTGCCACGGCAGATTAGGAACCAACGAGGTGAGCTCTACTTCAAACGGTAAGGAATGGGCTTCCTAACCAAACCAGTGCCGATAACTTCGATCGACGGGGCACAACGATCTCCTGAGAAGCAGATTAAACCGCATATTTTGTCCTGGTGATTGCCCACTGATGCAGTACAGTGAGTTTTGCAATAGGCATGTGCACAGAGCGAAGGCCCCTCCTCCATTCACCAGATACTGCAATCGCCTTGATAGAATTAAGGAGTCCGATCAAGTTCCCCGAGCTGCAACCGACTTGCAGAGATGGAGCATCTGCCGGTAAAAAACACTCATTCCAATTAAAACCAGACTAGTTCTGACCTTTACATGTGTGCTAGGGAAGGCGGACGTCCGCAGCGTCTCTTGCGTCTCGTCCGCTGGCCGCCGCCGCGGTATGCTGAGCACAAATGCGGCCTGGTCCCAGGTGGCGGCGGTGGAGGTGATCCGGTACCCGCCGTCCCATCGCCGGTGGATTCCCTCGCTGGGGTACAGGAAGTCCAGCTCAACCACCTGCGCAGATTGTCCAAACGGTTCATCAAGCTGCGAGAGAATTCGGGGAACAAGACTCGCGCTTGCTTGCGAGCTGTGGAAAGCTGTGTGTCGTGCTTGCAGATTTGGGACTGGTATCCTTGCTAAGAGTAAAAACTTTCAACCATTCCAATTGAGCAGAAGAGGACAGCAGATGATCATCAACCATGAGACAGCCTCTGCCCCCAGCAAGCCCTCTTCTGCCGTGCTCCCCCTCCGCTTATATCGAGCCAAAAGCCAAAACGTTCTTAAATATGCTGATCGAACCACCGTTCTGATAGATTCTTCACTCCAGCCGACTGAAACCCTGAATAATAAACATCCTTCGACTCCTAAAAGTTGTCTTGCTAGTAAGCCACGACCAGCCCACTGAGCACGATTGGGGACCAACCTGGTCCGAGAAGCCCGCGTTTCTGGACATGACAACGCCCCATCTGCTGCCAGCAGTGGCCATGGACGTCACGTAAAAGCCTTCCCGCCACTTCTTGTTGATCCACTTGAAGGGGAAGGAGTCGCTGACCTTGTACGACTGCTGGGTGTACGACGTGCCTGGCACACATGCAATCGGCGGGTTAAAAGATGCTGAAGCTCGCAAACCTGCCCAAGCGCATAAGCAGGTGATGATCGAGCCACGGATAGTTGACGACTAGACAAAAACTTATTTTGACAAACAAAGACCTGCGGAAAAGACAGGAACTTGAGACGACAACACTGATTGCAAACAATCCCCCTGCTCGGCGAGAAGGTCCCATCAACCAGAAAAACGTTGTCACGTGCAATGCTTTGTTTGTGATCCTTGCCCTCACCTTTTGACATGACGACCAGCGAGCTCCCGTTGTTGGACCCGGCAATGGCGCTAATGTAGTAGTTCTTCTCCCACTGCTCCATGATCCACTCCTGCACAAGCCCACACAGAAGTAAGCAACGAATCCCAAGCTTCTTAACGACCCCAAGCTCTTTCTGGAGACTCCAGACTCAGCATCCAAACTTCCATCTCGTCCCCGTTTTACAAGAACCAAAAGGTCTTGTAAAGAGCAAATGACTCCCTATTGTAACAAAGTATCAGGTGCTTTTCATGCGCCTTTTTCAAACAAAGATCTAAACGCGCTCTGATGCCCTTTCCTAGCTACCGCCTGCATGACACTAGTCCCTGAACAAGGGCAAAGCGACAGCTGCGAAAGACTTCAAGAAGCAAAGTCAGCGCTTCTCGCACTTTGGACCATGCAACAATCATGGCTGCCGGTGTCTACACGGCTCTTATTGCCGGGAGCCCACCTTTGGCAGGAAGACGTGCGCCAGCTCGTAGACCTGCGCCGTGAAGCCGGTCCCCGCGTCCATGATGAGCGCCCACAAGTTCTGGCACGATGCCACGCTGCTGATGCTCAGGCCGTCCTCGTTGCCCTTCTCCACATGCTGCGCCAGCCGTGAGTCCGCAACGTTGTAGTGGTACCTGCAGAAACAGGAAAGCGGCACTTAAGCAAGGCAATCTTGAGAGACACACGAGCGAGTGCCTCAACAGCAATTGCAGTGCGTTGCCACAGGCGATTGCAACGCACAAGTTGAAAAACTGACCCCTTCTGGTGCAAGTGCTTATCCGCTGAACCAACAGTCCAGGTCATTCGGCAGTGACATAAGCAACTATGCAGTAAGAGAAGCTGAGCCCAAAAAAGCAACCCAGTTTGTAAAGCAACAACCAACTCCACTGAGCCCAAAGGACAGCACTGAATAATGCCGACTGTGAGACTCTTCGCATAAGCAGAAGCATCTGCTGACTAGGCACAGACATTACTAAGCGAAGCACTTGTGGACGCACCTTTGCTTCATTGGTCGCCTGGCGTTGTAACACGTGATCCACTGGGTGGCGGGCATGCCTAGCCGGATCTTCTTCTTGGGCTGGTCGTCGTCCTCCTCCTCTTCCACCGCCAGCCGGGCCCGCTTCTGTCCGACCTAAGAGAAAGAAAAGATGCATTCAAAGCCAGCATTTAGTCATAGTAAAGTGCGCCACACTTTGTGCTAGGGGCTTATCTTTGTACAGCCGATCCCTGCTGTTAGAGACTCCAGAAGATGGTGCATCGGTCATGGCTGAAGGGCTGCTATCGTATATGCCCTTACAAGCTGATATTCAAGCTGAGTATACCGGATGCTGTTTCAGTTATGCTGGACAAACATCAAACGAATCTAAAAATCCGGACAGGCATCTAATTATGGTAAGAGAAACCCAGCTCACTTAAAACAATGGACATGCTTTGCGCATAGTAGCAGAACTACCCGAACGCAAGCCACAGCAGGAGCTTTGTGCAGAACTCATGAAGCACAAAACACAGTAGCTGCAAGAACCGACGCACCTTTTGCGAGATGACGCGGGCGGCCCCGTCCGTGTTGATGGGCCGGAGCGCCATGTTGGCGCCGCACAGGTGGTCGAACAAGGCAATCATCTTAGCATAGTTGGGCTCTTCATCGAACTTCATGTTGACCACGTACTCGAGGAAGGTCTTGAAGGGGGCGGGGCAGAAGCAGCAGAGCATTTCGGGGGAGGTGGCCATCTTCTTCTTGCAGACCAGGAAGCCCTTGTTGTCGCCCTGGAGGAGGTACAGGATAACGTGAGCAACACATTAGGAACTCACTTGGGTGTGTCTGCAAGAAAGGGAACAGCTCGACTGCCTGCTCTGAGAAGCTGGTAACCTGTGCGCTTAGCAACAGAAGAGGGTGCTCAACAAAGACCAAGGTGATTCAATCGCTGAAACCGAACGTCTCTTTGCAACCTTGTCAAGTCACCGTTACAAGCCCCTGCAAAATCAGGATGTTAAAACAAACGTGCCGAACACAAATCCAGAAAAACTCGCAGATGCATAAGCTGGGGCAGCCCTCGGTGCTTTTCCTGCACAACATGGTCATGCCCAGCAAACGATTCAACAAAACTCGCTCCAGTACTTTTGAATACGCCAACGGGCTCTGCTCCAGTCGGCCTACCTGGTAGCCCTGCCACGGCAGCCTGCCCCGCAACAGAAATACCAGAGTGTAGGCCAGCGACTCGAGGTCGTCACGCCGGCTCCCCGTCCTCCCCAGATGCGCGTGCACGCTGGCGTACCGCACGGTCCCCCTGCAGAGTCAAGCTTAGCTGTCAGCGTCAACACTCATACATGCACAATGAATCGCGCCTGCAGCACACAGCACACATACGACAGCAGGCCGCACGAATGCGGACCCCACGGAGACTCGAGGAGTCACCTGAACACATCGGGCCGCTGGTCATAGTCGACATGACCCCCGCCAATGCTGTCTCTCCACTTGGTTGCTGCAAGCCAAAAGATGGGAGAGTTGTCAACAGGGCAGGTGGCGGGGCGCAGTACCTGAACACATCGGGCCTCTGATCATACTGGACATGCTCCCCCGTGTACTCGTCTTGCCACCTGGTTGCTGCACGCACGAGACGTCGGATGAAGTCAGAGCAACAGAAAACTAGCCTTCCAGCCTGCAAGATTACCCACGCTTCCAACGTTGGCCACAACCTCAGAAAAATCAAACATCACGAATCGCATATCACCAATCAAGACAATCATGCCCTGCATCAATCTGCAACCAGAAAAGGGATGAAGCGAACATGTTCATACCCATCAGCCACATCTCTTAAGAATACAGCAAAATTGAGTTGCAAGCGCAGAACTGGAGTTTCAGCTAGGCTTGAAAGCCTCTACATTGTTGACAAGCCACGAATGATGAATAAAGAAATTAAATCCTACATCCAACTTACCCAACCCCAGATCTACCAGGAACAGCTTCTTCTCATCCACTGTGCCAGGCGTGCCCATGAGAAAATTCTCAGGCTTCACGTCACCATGCACGTACCTGCAAGGAGTACGTGCAGCTCAAAACTAGGCACAAATCAGCTGATGGCATCATGCAACACAGCCCAATGCCAGCTCTGAAAGGGCTTGACATCAGCAGCTGTCGAGAGCAACAGTGCAGGGGACGATAAAAGCGCAGGCGCCTTGGTGGATACTACTAGCCCTGGTGTCACAGATCCAGCCAAGAGAGTTCCTGGGCCTAATCAACATATTATTCGAAAATGCAGTCAAGAGCAACTCTGATTGGCTGAAGCAGAAGACACCAGCTCGTGCAGCATGTCACCAACCCCATCCTTGAATCTTGTTCCTACCAAATTTAGGGCACTGTATGATTGCTTTTTTGCACGATGTCTTCTACTTGAAGTAGAACACATGCTCGACGCAGATCAGGCATTGACAGCGAACCAAATCCAGCGCAAAGGCAAACGTGAAAAAGAGCGGCACGTACCCTCTGCAATGGAGCTTCTCCAAGATGGAAAGGGCTTCTATGGCTATGCACGCAACCATCTCCGTCGACATTCTGCGACCAGAAAAGAGACAATTAGACGATTCCGCTCGGCAAAACCACCACTGAATAGTGGATGCTGTGGCACTTTCTGTAATAGCACTGCTGGGTTCCGATGCTCTTCGGTTCCATTGGGGTCAAGATGGAATGCTGCTGCTTGGAACTCCGCGCAGGCCACGAGGTTAAAAGCGATTGACCAAAGGAGCAAAGAAAGGCCGGTCAACAGCTGCAAAAGCTGCCAGAGAAGTAGCCTGACAGCAGTCTAGCTTGAGCTGAAGCGGAGGCGTCACTTAAAACAGTCTGCAATTGGCCGCAGCAAAATAAGTACTCGTAAGATAAATGAAATTGCTTGCAGGCAGAGAAACTTACGCTTGCCCTGCAGAGTTCCAGTAGTCCCAGAGACTTGGGCCAAGCATGTCCATGACCATGACGTAGAAATCTCCCTGCCGACCTTTGTAGTGCACCCTTGGAACCCCATGGCTCCCTCCAAGAGTACTGCACGAAGTCCGTAGAGACAATTTAGAAAAGGTCCAAAATACAGCAGCCGGAACCCTGCACTCAAGCGGCTTATGACCACATGAAGAAATGTAAAAGCATGCCCACATGAGCCATACCAATTATGATGATGCACCCGTCACAGAGACAAGCCAACATGCAGCGCGCTATGCAACTGTTACCAATAACCAGCGTAAGCTGACTCACTCATACACCTGCCACTCATAGGGTGGCCCATAATTGCACCCCTTACTCGACCTGTGCTCAAATTTGAGAGCAACCTGCAAGAAACGACCTCCCTGAAAGTCAGGGGGACCACCGAGAGGCGCTCCTCGAGGCAAGTGCTCTGCTGCACAGAGAAATTTGGATGCAACGTCTTCCAGAACCTCTGAAGCAGATAGTCATGAACGCGCACCAAAATGACACTCTCCTCCACAAATTAGCTCTCAAAAGATACGAGCTCTTTCGAAAAGGGTCCCACCTCTACTGCCTGAGGACCTATCCGCTCTGTTCCTCCGCTTATTCTCCGCCCAACATAGACCTGTCCAAAGCCACCTTTACCAAGCTTCCTGTCAATTTTGTAGACAGGAGAGCCACCCACTTGCACCTGCATCCAGAATGTAGATTAGGTTGCAGCCAACAACAACAAGAACCTATTAACTGTGGCACGACAGCTTCCACCCAAAGTACAAGCCCAGTTAGGAGCCGTATATAGAGAAGAACCAAGTTGACAGCAACCTATCATTGAAACAGTGCCTAATGCTACATCCTGCTGCCTCCAAAGGTTGGACAATCTGAGAAGCAAGGATGCCACACTGAGAAGCAAGGATGCCACATACCCTCTCTGGTAGAGGCGCAGTGTTTCCTTCTTCCTCTCCTGCTGCAGCCTTGTCCCCACTCTTCTTCTCGCTCTCCTCTTCCATTTCTTCCCTCTCTTCGCTTCCACTGGCTTCCCTTCCTGCCTCAGAGGACGACTCTCTCGAAGAACTTTGCGAGCTATGAGATCTTTCAAGCAGATCTTGGTTTCCAGCTGACTCCTGATTTTCTCCTGCGGCTGGACTTTCACTATCTAGAGTCTCAGGCAAGCCAAGCTGCACAACAGCAGCAGGACCGCAATGCAACTCGTTCTTGTCCTTGCAACCGTCCCTCTTCTCCTGTTGGTCTTCCTGGATTGGCGCTCCCTGCTTCTGTCTCTTAGGCGGGGCTTGAGGTGGCTTCTTGTCACCAGAATTTACTTTGGGCTCGGCGAAGCCTCTGGCCAAAGCCTTTGCAGCTGCAGCACGAAGTTGGCGTCCGCTGCTCCGCAATTGCGGCATACTTCACGTAAGCCCATGTGTGTCTTGCTATCTAACAACCTGCTGAAGGCGGTCTTCAGAGCATGCAGAACCGCATCCCAGACCTCCAGCTGGTGTAAGGTCCACTCAACCGTCTTGCCATGCCACTGCCAGTGCTTGCGTATCAACGTTGGAAGGAAGCCATGCCGGGACCGGCAAGGGAATGCCTCATGAATGATCGTCTGACATCAGATCCAGAGCTGATTCAATCGTGGTCGCCGCTCCTGGCGGCTCGTGGGTGCTTCGGTTTACTCTCCGGCTGTAACGTTCTCGAAGCTTCTGATTTTAGATCGACTGTGCGTTACAGGACAAGCTTTTGGCGCCAAAATGATTGCTTCCTCTCGGCGTGATCTTCGTTTCGCGGCGACAGGGCAGATATTACGGCGTGCACGCTGCGTTGTCTTCCACCATGTGATTCGGTCATCAGATAAGACATTCCCTGTCGCGAGATCTGAGAACACGTATTACGCTACTTTAAGTCGTCGATCTGTAGTAGGGGCTTCATGAAGCTTATCTGCGTCGTCCGATGAACATTATTCTGAACCATGAAGATGACCGCAAGATCCAGCCCTAAATTTCGATGACAACCGTCTTGCCAAATTAGAGAAGAGCACGCTTCTGCCCCGCTTCTGCATTTCAATTTGGCTGCATTGCCGGCTTTGCATCCATGTATCAGGCCTTTATACGACTCGTAATACGAGTCGAGATGATGCATCATGCGATTCTACCACTTTTGTGCAGAACATGGCGCAGCTGAGACCGCCGTGGCTAGCTAGGAACAGAAAGGTGGCTGGGGAATAAAGGGGTTGGCACCATCTGGCTGCAAGGAGACCAATTCATTGATGCTGAAGAGTCAACGATCAAGTGCGGCTTGAGTCATCATCACAGATGCAATGAGCAGCGGTTTTGGAGACCATTCCTTGATCTTATAGTTGAAGGTAAGTCTCACCATTTTCAACAACAAGCGGGCCGCCAAAAACACCTGCGGTGGTAACCAAGATCAAAGACGCAATGAAGCAAGAACGTCGTGTATCAGTGTCAGACTGGCAAACACGAATTGCTGCAATGCTGCCGTGTACTAATATATACGGCCTGCAACAAAACTTGAATTCAGAATGTGACATGTATTATGCAGAACAACATTACGTCGGTCCAAATCAAAGTACATGAGTGTGATCGCAGTGGGCCCTTTGGAGATTTACCGCAAGGCCCTGTGAGGCAGTTGGTAGCATACTGCAGTTTCTGTTACTTGTCATGCCAAGCACTCTTGAAAAGCAGTATCAAAGCCCTTCTACGTATCTTTATGACACCCTCAACAAACATGCTGGCTACGCCTTTGCAAATGACCTATTGCTCTTGCTCCAGGTGCACCACATCAGCATGGAGCCTTTGGACGAACCCTTCCGCTTCTCGGACGTAGTCGACTACTTCTACTCAACCGAGCTTCCCCAGGCGCTGACTATCTCTGCAACCCTCCTCTTGCTGCTTGTCATCCTACCCACCATCGTCGGCACCATTTTGAATAGGATTGAGAATCACAAGCTGGGGGAACGCATCCCAGGGCCAGACTCGAGGGGTAGATGGGGGCGGAAGAGTCACAAGAAGGCCTTTATGGCTGGGGGTGGTAGTGTGGGTGACCCGACACCCTTCTTGTCGGCGCTCCACCATGAGTACGGACTCCTTGCAAGGTTCTGGATAGGAAAGGTATGCTCTTGCCCTTTGCTTGCACCACCAGCAATCAGCAGGCACTGCCTTTCTGTTTCAAAGTATAGACCTCCACTTCATAGTGTCAGAGGTAATAACGGAGCTTACCTGTGGGTGGTGAGTTGTGAGGCCCTCATCCTATCATGCAGACTGGTACCTGCATATACACCAGGACTTACACCAGAAGTTGGAGGTGACGGTAGCATGTTCACATATTCTGACTGTTGTTAAAAATCATGCTGGTATTGGCTGTGTTTGGGTTCCTCTTCACTAAGTCTATCAGAAGATTAAGCCCAATGGCTGCAATAATCTGCTTCGGCTGAGGTCAAATTACTTCCTTTCCAGGTGCCTCTTGACACAAGGGCATTTTAAGGTTCAAAGGCTCTACTCCAGAAAGGAAAGTGGGATCAGACGAGAAACAGCAAAGTGTCTTTGCCTTTTGCAGCACCTGTGGGTCTCCGTTGCCAACCCTGTGTATGCAACGGCGATTTTGGAGACCGTGCCTGGCTCCTCCGCCGCTGTCGACACATCTCTCAAGTCCGTCCTGAACTCAGAAGCCATGCAATTGAAGCAAGCGGACGACGGAAAGTAAGGGCGGCGGCCTTCGCATCTGCTTTTTCGTGCCTCCTACTATGCCTTCCCTAAACGGTAGCTCCCATTAGTATCCTGAACGAGCAGCGCCAAGAAGATTGCACGTTATCAGTTGCGAGACATGTAAGCCTTACGCAAATGCTTGCGTTCACCTTCTATCCAGTTCTTTGTAGGCTCAGTTTCCTCTTTTCCCTTGCCCACCTTCTTTGCCCCCTGCTTTTCTTCATCTCCTCTGCTTCTTTTGCAGACACCTCCGTCTGGTGCTGCGCAAACTGTTCTCTGGGGAAGTAGGGGCCAGCAACCCCTACCCTATTGTTGCGGAGGCAGCCGACGAGGGGGTCCGGCCAGTCACAGACAGCTGGCATGCCGCAGTGGAGGGGGGCAAAGAGGTGAGCCGCATTCACTGTGAAGAATTGAGGTGCCCGTTTGCAGTGCTCGCATTCCTTTGGTCGCTTCAGTTGTTTTTAAGCTTCGTGATAAGAGCAGTGGTCCGTTCAATCGTTAACAAGAGGATTTTGACGCGGCTCACTTCGACTCAAATCCGCAACAGTCAATGCATGTACTGAAAGTAATCAATAGCACTCGGGCCACAATAATCTCAGACTCCATGCAAGTGTCTGCGTGTCCAACGAGAAGCACTCGCTTGGCTCATGCTGAATTGTTCCTCTTCAGGGCGCCAGCATTCACGTGCTTCCGAAAGGCATAGGATCAGGACCAAGCTTTCGGCTTCGGCTCCCCCACTAACTTCTTTTCTGCCCCACCCGTCCCCCTCTCTTTTTCCCTCCAGTATTCATCACCCAACGACGACCGACCGATCTAAACGTCCATGTTGCTTGCAGGTGGACGCCCTAGCGGACTCGCTTCTCCTCTCGTCCGGAACGCTCCTCCGCTCCCTCTTCGGCTCGAAGTTGACGGCCAACGAAGCGAAGAACTACGCAAAGCACCTGCTGCGCGCAGCGGCGGGGGCCGACCGCTGGCGCCGCTGGAGCCTCCCGCTGCGCCTGCTGTTCCCCAGCTACTGGCTCTGGAAGGCGAGCATCTTCCGGCTCAGCGAGATCTCGTGGAACCTGGTGAGCGGCCCAAGCGATTGTCTTTTACGTTGCAGCTGGACTTGGACATTTTTGAGTTGCTTCTTCTTCTTTCTTCTTGCTTCGTTCGTCCGGTTTGATTTGAGAACTGTACTTCTTGCATCTGCTGGACAGTTGTGTAAGGGGATGTAGTGAACCCGCTGAGGGCATGGGAAACACTGTCCGACTTCCGACGTGGCTTGCTGTTTGCAAAGGCTGATGTTGAATGATGTCGAGGTCTACCCGTTTTAGCGTGTTGTTCGCAGGAGTTTCAGTCTCTTTTTTGCCTTCTCTGGCGGACTGTATAAAGAAGAGGCATTGTGCCTGGAGAATGGTGATATTGGTTACCGCTGTGCTGAGTTGGTCACCCAGGGAAGGGACCCAACCTCATGAGGAGGCCGTTCTTTGTTGTGACATCGTAAGCCCATGTATCAAGCACAACGAGAGAGCCGCTAAGACCATGTTTATCGACAGATTGGACGCTATCCTAGCTGCTCCAGGTGAAATTGCCTAGGGACTTGTGAAAAGTGCCATCTTTTACCATATCCAAATATGACCCAGCGCGCTCGGAAGTCCAGGTTATTGGCCACCTGACACTGATATGTGCAGAAGCAGTGTCTCAACCGATTCGAGCAGCTGCAACGTTGGCAGGGTTGTCGGTAGGCCTCTCTCCTTTCGTCAAAGTTGGCCTTCATTGAGACCGCCGAACTTTCCTTTGTACGGAATCTGCAAAACCCTCTCGGCTCCAGATTGCCGCCGTCGAGCGCGCCGAGACCGAGAAACGCGCCGAGGCGACCGTTGGGCAGGCGGCCCAGAAGCCGCCCTACTCCGGCGGCCGCGCGCTCGACTTCATCGGCAACGTGGCACACGCGCGGACCGCGTCAGGCTTTCCAATCATCGGTTCCAAGCGGGCGATGGGGGACCAGGTATGTCCCTAATTCAAGTTTGATGAGCTTTAGGTGTAGCAAGCTCCACCGTAAGCCGGAAAAGCCAACCCTGACACTTGCACCTGCTCCACACCTGTACTGGGTTCGGGTATTTCTAACCAACCCCACCCCTCGCCGGCTGGTTACTTTACGATATTCAAAGCGTACTATTCCTAAAATGCAAATCTTTCCGGCCAGGTCACGGCCCTGGTCTTCGGGGGCCTCGCACCGGTCGCGAGCCTTCTCGCGTGGGCCCTGTACGAGCTGGCGCGGCACCCGGAGGCACAGACGAAGGCAGCCTGGGACGTGGAGGCCGCGTGCGAGGACGGGGCCTCGACGGAAGACGCGGTGTGGAATGCGGACTACCTGGCCGCGGTGCTCTGGGAGACGCTGCGGCTGCACCCGCCGCAGCCGAACATCTACCGGAAGCTTGAGTCGCCGCTCAAGGTCAGAGCGCTGGCGGGCCATGGCTCTGGACCGGGGTCTGTGAAGGTTCTCGCTTGCGTCCGCCTAGCAGAGCCAGTGTTTGCTTCCATTAAGCTCAATCTGGTGGACGGAATGGTTTAGTACTTTGTCTCGGCTCCGTTCAGTTCTTTTCCTTTCTGGCCCTTCGCATCCGCCCTTTTCTGAGAGCCGTGCAACACCGCAAGGGAGGGATGAAGCGGATCCGTGGTCCGGAAGCATTTGTCGACGTGGCAGTCTTCTCGTTCTCCTGCAGTTCCAACATCATCAAAATCTTGCATCCGTATCTCTCGTGCCATGCCTTCAAAATTTTGTCCGGCATATCAATTGGCTATCAAAGCAAAGTAGCATTCTGCCCGCATTAAGTCCTGCAGCACTGCTAGAACGGCACTTCGGAAATTGGAAATTGAACTCCAAAGCTCCCTTCCTAACACTGTCGTAACGCGCCTGCAGATTGGGGACATCGTCATCCCGGCTAAGACGACCGTTGTCATCCCGGTTGGTGCGATGCAGCGCGACCCGCAGGTCTGGGGACCGGACGCCTCGTCTTTCGTCCCTGAGCGTTTCGTCCGCCAGGCGCCCGCGCGTTCGTCCGACGAGACGGAGGGTGAGTTCACCGAGTTTACCATCGGTTCCTTTGAGGTTGTGCTGACTTCGCTTGTTAGACTAGGTCCGGTTTGCGTACGGTGTCGGCCCTTGGGTCGTTTACGTACTCGAGCCCTGTGCCCGTCTTCGAGGCCCCTGCTCATTTGTCCGCGGACGCGGATGGCAGCCTTTAAGGACTGATTTGTGGAAGTTATTTCGGGCTGATGGACCATGTCGTACTTGATCTGCTGTATTTGGCTGTAGTGGGCAGTCTTCCTCGATGCTACGTGAAAGGGCCGGAAACTCACAATGGTCAGCTCGAGCGTTGCAGCCACCAAACAGTGCTGCAGAGTTCTGCACATATTCCGTAGGACCAACTTTCCTTCGCGCTTTCTGAAGTTACTGTCTTGCAAGAGTCGCGGCGACCTACAGTCGTTTCGTTTCCCCAATCGTAGCGTCAGCCACTTCATCGCTCCTGTTCCCCGGTGATGACGTCCCACCAAATCTATTCCCTCGCTTTCTGCGCAGTGGTCGCTACGAAGGACGTCCGCCCGGTTGGAAAGGAGCGCCTCGTGCTTGCGTTCGGGCAGGGCCTGCGGGCGTGCCCCGGGCGCAACATCGCCCTCTTCGAGGCACGGACGATCCTGTCGCATTTGTTGGAGAACTTTGAAGTGGAGCTAAGCCCGGGGCAAGGGGCGCCCCAGTCGAAGGTCCAAGGCTTCGTGAGCCTGCCGCTCCCGAATCCAAAGCTGTTGGTGAAACCGAGGGAGTGAAGGGCCGGGTTGCGGGCATCAGTCCGTAATACATTTGGCAGAATGGCCGTTTGGGACTTGGCCTTAGTGCATCTACACTCGGTTATCTGTAGGTAGTAGGGTTGCAGTTAGGGCGTCCAGTCAAGTAAGACTAGGCTTACTGTTTAAAGCTATATAGAAGAGGAATGTAATGGTGCAGCGTTTGTTTAAGGGGCGGAGCTTTGCATCGGGTCTTAACTTCCGCCTTGGAGAGCGCAAGGTGGTTCGTAATTGAGACTTAGGGGTGCAAGCTTTTCCTTCGACACAAGAACTTTCATCTTTAAATTCTCCTCGACCGTATGAGTCACAGTTGAGGGGTTGAGCAAGAAGGAAAGTTGAGAAAGAGAATAAGGTACGTGTTAGTTAGTCATTTGGATGCACGCTACCGGATCTACTAGTGATGATTTATAAAGCCCACTTTGATTTCCATGTAGATAATTGTCACTCGACACGTCGATACGATGCGTATCAGCTGAGTGCTTCATGCACCACCTTTCATCGTTCCTCTTGGTCAACAGGAGGAAAAGCCTTTTTGATTCTCGTTGCTGCACATGCTTGTCAGCTTATGTAAGCGAGACAAGCAGTACGTACTAGTGTCAAGGAGGAGGCAATTGCTAATATGAGGTGGGATGAGATATGGGAAGGAGTTCTGCTTGACATGCAGTCCCTGAGCGTGCCGCTGGACAAGGACGTCAACATGACCGCCTCCGACAATCTAGATACTTCGATTAATAGATTCGAAGTTCTAGCTCGATGAGAGATAGTGCGCCTTTTCCTCGCTTGAATGGATCATTTCCTTCCCGACGGTATTTCTGCTCAAATTTGCAAAAGCCGTGATGAACTCCAAGATCCAACAAGCGGCCAGCAGGAACTCACGACGTACCATGGAAACTATATTGACTATTGACTAATGCAGCAAGTACTGGTGCTTGCGCGCGCGCACGGAGCCGGCGCGGCCGGTCGCGACGGCTATGAATTGTTCAAGTTGCTCTAGCTGGCTAGAGTTCGGTTTCGTCGGACAGGATTCCGGACGAATCGGACGCTTGTGAGAGGCAGTTTGAGCTCTGCACTTCAATCGGTCTCGGAAGTGTCCGACAGCCCTGGACTCTGGAGCCTGGAGGCGTCCGGAACCAGTGTATTAAAGATGTAAAGTAGGTACCTCCAGGGCTCTTCTGGGCTCAGAACTTGATTGATTCATATTAGGAGGTGGATCGAAAAACACATCATCCATTCAAAAAGCCAGCTCCAGCAGACAACAGTTTAGATCTTTCAGGATGGCTTCCACTACTGCGCTCTGCAATGTTGTTGGTCCAGGCGGCATCAAGAGCAGCTGTCAAGCCCCAAAAGCATGCACCGCGTCAGTGAACGCCGTTGGCAGCATTGCACCCTGGCGATACCACAGCGCATCATCAGCTCCCTCTTCAAATTTCCTGCACAACGATCTTTTGAAAAGCCAGCGGCGTCTCAGTCTTCAACAGAATGCTGCAACCAGGAGTGGTCCGCAAAGGGCCACACCGAGGGCCAGGGTGGCGGAACAAGTGGGGGTGAAGCAGGCGCTCAAGTACAACAAGCTGGGGGAGTCGGACCTGATGATCAGCGAGATCACGCTTGGGACTGTATCCTCACAGCATCACTCAGTTTCCTTGGGTAGACTCTGCATGCGGTGTCAGTCCCGGAGTTGGTCGAGCGCTTGTCTCCGCTTGACACTCCGTTGGGCAGCGCTTGTGGAGGCTGGCAGCCACACGTGGCGCTCTGCATAGATCTCTTTGTAGTGGTGACTTGGTCGCTTTGATCAGTTTTGTCTGCAGCCACTGCTATACCACCATATCAGACGTCCGGTGACTCTGGATGTATCAGACCGGGTATGGGGAGCAGAGTGTTTTCCATGATGCATCGGTGGTGCAGTCTATATTGGCAGCAATTTGCTATTTCGCCTTGACTGAAAGCCGGTGCAGATGACGTGGGGCAACCAGAACACGGAGAAGGAAGCACACGAGCAGCTGTCATATGCATTTGACCAGGGGATCAACATCTTTGACAGTGCAGAGATGGTAAGATTTCTCTCTCTTTCTCCAGGAATGCACTGTGTCAGCTCAAGTTTCATCAAGTAAAAGCACATTCAACACACTTCTCTTTGCTGAAGGTTTTCTAGGCTAGGTCTCGTTGGCATCTACTGCAGTGGAGCCTGTCTGTGCAAGATCTACCTGCAATTCTCTGACAGTCTGCTGTATTCTTAGTGAAGAGTTCCTGGCCCTCAGGTTCATCAAGTGGTCTGTTTGGTAGTCCAAATTGACCAGTTTCTGAACTAAGTGCCATTGACAGACCACCTTTCAAAACCTTTGACAAAGGGGCTAGCAGGTCTGGTGAGAACGGTTGTGTCATAAAACTGTGGAGAAATGCGTGCTGGTATGAAATCGATAAGAGCACTGACTTCATGTTAAGGCACTGAGAATAGTCAGTGGCATCTTGAGATTGATTCGTTAATGGGGTGTCCGCCTGGGACTGTAATGGAAACTCTAGTACTCTGACACTGTCACCACTAGAGTCCTCGAAGCTGTCAACATATGCCTTACAGTAACCTTAAGGCTCTTGCTTTTTCTCCTGTTATCCATCCAGTGATATTGCAGCAGCTAGGGGACGGGAACTGGCCACGAAACTTTCCTCATTCTAACATTGGCTGATACTGCATTTTTGAGCATCCCATTGACATTCTGTTTGACAAGTGCGACCAATCAACGACCTTCTTCTTACAGTACCCAGTTCCTCCCGGTCCAGACACCCAGGGGAGCACAGACAGATACATATCAACCTGGCTCAAGTCGCAGCCTAGAGACAAGGTGGGAATCTGGATATTCAGAAGGTTTATCCAGCCAATTATTGTTGATTGTAGTTTTGATCGACCTGTCTATAAGTGGATCTAGCCGAGTCCGAATAGTCTTTGAGCTCGGGGTTATACATTGTGGAGTGTACTTACGTTTTTGCCCCTTCCTTCAAATAAGAGTCTGGATCAGATTTGTCATACTTGACGTGAGCATATGGCCTACGAGCATTAGGTATTCCGATCTGCAGGGGAGACCGTTCAAAGCATCCTTCCGTTTTCCTTTGTTTGCTGATGATCCTCGGGAAGCAACTCGCCGATGCTCCTTTTCGGACGATTGCGGGCATGGATAGATAGTCTGGTCGAGCCCTCCAACAAATTCTGGACTGATCTTCCACCTCTCTTGTCGAATCTACTCACCTCCGGTTCGGAATTATCAACTCAGCTCGACTCTGGATCAACTATTTCCTTACAATGCCTTCGACAAAAGTTCCGACCAGTCTGCAAACCGAGCCTCCAACCCGTTCTTAAACCAACTTCCGTCTCCAAACGAAGACGCCAATCGACTACTAAAACGTCAGTCGAGCGCCCGTTTCCGTACCTGCGTGAATCCACAACCTTGACCCTTTGTTTGACCGCTCCTCAACGGTTGTTCGTAACCCCGTCCCCTTCTAACAGGTAATTGTAGCGACCAAGGTCGCCGGCCGCAGCGACCGCATCAACTGGCTCCGAGACGGCGGGGAGGTCCCGGCGGTGGACCGCAAGAACGTCAAGGAGAGCGTGGAGAAGAGCCTGCGCCGCCTGGGCACCGACCACATTGACTTGCTGCAAATTCACTGGTGCGTGGCAGAACACTCTGAGTTCCTCGTTTTGTGAATGCAATGTTTGTGCCTTCGTTTCTGTCTCTCTTTGTGCCTATTTCTGTTGTTTGTGCGTGATCTTTCTGCTTGGGCATGGAGTACTTAGACCTTCTGCAGATCCACTGGGGCGTTGCAGCACACTCGTGACTTTCTCGTTCCGTCGCTGTCATTTCCCTTTTTTCGGTTGTTTCTCTCTGATCCCTTATTCCGTTTCTCTAAACCGCTTTATATTCGGCTGCGCCGCCTAGACACGAACCACTACGACCTGCAGCAGGTTCGCTGTGCGTCGCGCGACAGCCGCGTCCCTTTGCCTTTTTCGTTCTGTCGCTGTCGGTCACACTTAATGTAGTGAGCGTTGGTGACCAGAATCGGCGTCAGATTTGCTAAGATGCGTGTGCCACTTATCTTCGCTTTCGTTTGTCCCTCTTTGTGTTCCTGCTGCCGCTTGCGGTTTATTCTGCCATGTCTTTCCTTCGTTATGGTACCTTCTCATTACTTGTCTGGTGCTCGGCTGAGTGGTGCCCCATTTACGGTACGGTGAGACAAACGAGAGCGAGCGGCGAGGTATATACGGACTTCCATTCAGCAGAGGTTCTCATCGAGCGTTCACACAAATCTCCTAATGCAAGAACCTGGTCGAGGTTGCGCTCTGACTCTGCCTGGTTCTTATGGCCTCCTGTCTCTTGTACTTTCGATTCGTCTCTTGGGTTGGTTTGCGCCGCTCGCAATTTATCGCATGGAGGAGTCTCTCATCAAGCCAATCGACGTGTCGATTTCTGTCAGCCCCTCTATTGTGTTGACGTCGAAGGACATCAAGCCAATCGACCTGTCGAGTTCTGTCAGCCCCTCTATTGTGTTGACGTCAACGTCAGAAGTGCAAGAATGCCAAGACGCTGTAGGGAGGAAGTGAGAACAGATACTGTCTGGGAAGCATACGAGGAGATGCAACCTGCGTGATCAAGGATACCGCAGCAGTGTGCAGGCGTATTGATTCTGGTTCACTCGACACTCTCCCTTTCTTCTGCCGCACGGCTCCCGAGGAAAGTTGGCCCATCCTTTGAATCGACGTAGGGACTCGGAAGTACTTTTTGTTTGTTTAGACTTTTGGCTCAGATGACAACATCCTGTCACTGACACCTTTAAAAGCCTGCGTGGTCAGACTGGCTCTCTTTCTCTGCCGATGGGGCTCCTTATCGGTCCACTTCGACAGCAATCCCGCCCGCTTGCCTGCCAGGCCCGATCGCTACGTTGCACTGTTTGGAGAGGACCAGTTTGACCCGAGCAAGCGACGAGCAGCCGTATCGTTCGAGGAGCAGCTGCGGGCGTTGGACGAGGTGATCAAGGAAGGCAAGGTGAGCACCCGGGAGAAGGTAACCGCCTTTGTAACCAGGCCCATAGCCTCAAATGCCGGGTGCAGTTCACAAGAGGTGCCTCTGACCGTTAGAAGTCGTGTGACTAATGGATACCACTCTTAGGTCTACAGATGAGAGCTGGGTGCTCATTGAACTGCAGGCACCGAGTCCTGACAGGAATAGAAATCGACTCCATTCACCAGAACTGCGCGACTAATCCTTTATGTTTCGCTCTTTCCTCGCTCTACTTCCCGGCTGCCCATACCTTGGACCGTAATATGCTGATAGAGCGCACTCCGCCTCGCTTCATTCGGAAACGGATTGGTTTATGGATCTGCTGCAAGAAAGTGCTGCCGTCTCCCTCCTTGCCGCTACTTTTGCTTAAACGCATCTGAAGGAGACACACCTGAGACGTGGCTTTCCCCCAGGTGCGATACGTGGGCGTGTCCAACGAGACCTCGTACGGCGTCCTCAAGTTCATCCACGCGGCCGAGCAGCACGGGTTGCCCCGCATCGTCAGCATACAAAATAATTACTCCCTCCTTGTGCGGAGCAAGTTCGAAGGTGGGCACTCAACTGTACTCGCTAGACATTCCTGGGTGACCGATTGTTTAGCATCCGTTTCTTTCAAAGAGTCTGTGCTGAAAAGTGGCCCCTGAGTGACTGCCAAAACGCGTGGGCCTGTTTGCATATCCTCCGCTAAACATTTCCGCCTTTTTCCGCAGCGGATCTGGTCGAGACGTGCACGGCGCCGGACGTGAACGTGGGCCTGCTCGCGTACTCCCCGCTGACGGGGGGCGCGCTCAGCGGCAAATATCTGGAGCCTTCCAGCGACGCCGCCAAGAAGGGGCGCTTCAAGGTCTTCCCCGGGTACCAGAACCGGTACATCAACCAACTAGCAACGGTACGAATCCAACCGTTCTCGAAGACCCGAGCCAAAAGCAAACCGTAAAGTTACTACTGACCTGCATAAGCAGCATCGCGGGGACGACGACTGCTGACCTCAATGACTGGAACGTTCATGCACGCGGCTTCCGATGGTCGTGGTTGAGTACCAGAACCGGTTATCTACCAAGTAGTATCGGTGAGATCCAGACCTCTTTCGGAAACCCTTACAAGCCAAACCAGGCCCGACGAAGCTCATAATGAGAATCTGCTGTCCGGAATACGCGGCTTTGCAAGGTGAGTGGTGACGGTTGCTGCTCTTAATAGGCCTCTGAGTGAGTTGCTTCTCAATACTCAAGTAGGCGCTTACCGCACTATGAAGACCCCATAGCGATCGCTGTCCCGGTGCTATTGTAGCCAAAACAGAGGGTAGCCACGAAACCGTACACATCCTGCGTTCCACTTCGAAGAGTCACGGCGCTGTCCTACTTACCATCAGGAAACTCGGCACCTCTACGCCTCCTCCTTCTTTTCGAGAACCGCGGGCTCTTCAATGCGCCCTCAGCAAGCCCGGGACCCTTTTTAACTCCCGCATTCCGCTCGCACAAGGCTGGGAAATCCTAAAGATTTTTCTTCGTTTCCAGGAAGCCATCCGGGCCTATGCTGACGTCGCCGCGAAGCACGGGTACACCTCGACGCAGCTGGCGCTGGCCTGGGCACGTGACCAGAGCCATGTGACCAGCGCAATCATTGGGGCGACCAGCATGGCCCAGTTGAAGGAGAACCTCTCCGCCTGGACGCTTCCGCGGCCATTGCCGCAGGTGCGCGAGGGCTGCTGACATCCATCTCTTTGTCGCTTCCAGTCGTCGTTTACCATGTGCCTTCGTTCTTTCGCTCCTTTCGCTTCGAGAGTCGTCGGTGTCTTCGTGATCTTGTTTGCCATTTTATAAATTGAATGCTACACACGTTCGGGCATAACCAAAGTGGTGAAGTCGAGAACCCAAGAACGCGACCGGACAGAGTCTGTTTCGGTTGGCCTTGTTCCTGGCTTTCTCGCTCTCTTTTCTTTGCCATCGTTTACTCTTAACTCAGGCGAAACCGTAGTTATGGACCGAACCTCATTCTCTTCAAAGTATATTTGCCGTAAGTGCGCCGAAACGAATCCGACATGCCCGTGCGCAGAGTGAATGAACTCTCAACGACGACCGCTATCAAGCGGCAGTTTCTTCAAGGCAAGTCCAGAGTTGACGTAGTGAATATCTAGTTTGGGGAGTGTCCATTCTTCAGTAGGGCCTGGCGTGGCTGCCGTAGATATTCAACACGTTCTTTCATGCTTGCTGCAGGAGGTTCATGACGACATAGCTGAGGTCTACAAGCGGTACCGGGACCCCACCTTGTTCTGAGTTGCGGGATGACATTGATGTTGACCGAGCTTCGGTTAGCCGAGTCTTGAATTCAGGTTCGGTGATCCGATCTGACTATCAGTCCGATGAACGGCTGTCACCTGAAATTGCTCGCTTGTAAATGATATTGACTTGCCCGTAAGGTACCTACACAGCGTTCCGCTCCTTTTTACACATACGAAGCCTGAGTGCTTACGGAGGTCACGAAGATAGCGCGGTGCATGCAGAAGTCTGCGCCGCATGCTGCCGATCATGTGATACTCTTGCAGCCAATGAGCATCATTCTGGTCCGGCCAATTGCGCGATTCATGTCATCAGCTTGGATAATTGAATCAGCCCTTGGGCTACGTTTAATGTATCATTTGATCACGAAATGCAGCATGCATGCAACATTTTGCAAGAATGCTCTTAAAAGCTTTCTGCCAGCGTTTCTGGCAAATGACCCTGTTCAATGCTGCATGAGCCAGTGTATATGATAGATACTGCATGCTTGAATTAAAACTACTCCGAGTTATTTCAGCTATTACATGATTGCAGCGCTCAAAGCACATGTACAGCGACTCAGGGCAACAGCAGTACCTCAACGACATCAAATAGATCGACAATTACAGGTGTACGACGGGCAGTCATAGGCTTAGAATAGCCATGCGTGCGACCATTGCAGTGCTTTTCTTTAAAGAGAAATTTTGTACGCTATAACCGACTCGATTGTCGCAGAAAAGCTGCTGAGCTAGGTAATCTGTGTAACATAATCTGATGGTCTGCTGGCGCAAAGTGTATCACTGAGCTGCCTCTAGCTCTACACGGGACAATTAGTAACATGCTTTCCCATTGGATTCATGGCAGGCCTGGCACCGAAAGGTCGATCGAATATTCATCGATTCGCAAGTCCGAACACCTTCGAAGACTAAGTGAAGCAGGATAAAGAAGTAAAAGACGTGCCTACAACAATACAAACTGACGGTACCAACTTGCACAGACTGCAGAAACAAAGCCGGTGACAGGTTGTGATCGTCCACATGACTGATCGACGAGAACTTACGGTGTAGCCCTGCAACAGGGATGCTCTCATCGCTTGCACTTACTCTACGGCTGCTTCCTGAATCCTGCAGCACTTCCTGTCCGACTCTCCACATCCTGCGGACTACTTACTTAGTAGCATTCCGAGCATGCGGACTATCCTACTCAGTAGCATTCTGAGCAGCACCACAGCTCGTGCGGAGTGCCACTTATGCAATCGCCAGCTCAGCATCAACCTCATTCTGGGGAGCGTCCTTGGGGGCGGGGGCCTCAGTAGGCCTAGGAGCAGGGGCTTCAGTCGGCTCCTCAGAAGGGGCGGGGGCGGGGCTGGGGGAGTGCTTGGACGCGTGGTTGCCGTTCCACATGGCCCAGCCGAGCTTCAGGTCCAGCTTCTTGAGAACGGACCCGCCCAGGTAGTCGTCCACTTCCTCTGCAACAAAAGCGGGGGCGACCTTGGGCTTCTGCAGCTCCCAGAGGCACATCTGCTTGCCCTGCAGAGGAACAGAAGGCGACGTCAGATGGAAGCACTCCACCTTAGCCAGCCAGCGGAGATTCTTTTGGGGATCCATCGATATGAAGGAGCTTCTGTTGCCAGAGGACGGCTGCCGCAGCATGCTGCGCCTTGCAATGCTTTGAGCATCCAGCACTGGAGCGAAGCGGAAAACCGATTGTTGTCTCGCACCCATTTCAGCTCCATCCTTTATAATCTCAAATCCTGAGCTTGATGCAAGTGCTCAATTCCCCTTGACCAATCCATCCTTCCATGTCAGGTGATGATCGTACCTTGCTAGTAAACCAGCCATTGGCACTGTCGTCAGAGGGGTGCTCATAGTCGCTCTCCTCAAGCACAAAGTGCTTGATCTTGGTCTTGACGCCGTGGGTCTTCCTCTTGACCTTCCCCTTCAACAGCAGGAGCTCGTTGAAATTGCGGGTGGGCGGGGTCAGCTGCAGATGAAATAGGGGTTCCAACTTGGAACTAGTTACCTTTAAAGCCATGATCGCTCCTCAAGCTGGACTCTGACCACTTGTGCAAGGTCATTGGTCCAGTGTAGATGGGATGGCACATGCTTACTCGTACATTTTCTCTAAGAAGGGTGGCAGTGATGTCACATGCAATTCTGGAGGTCATCAAATGCAGATCCTCTGAGCGTGTATCGCATTATGGAGGCCAAGGCAACCAGTCAACAGCTTAAAAAGGTAGAGATTACTGAGAGAATATACCAATAGGCTACAGCAAGTGGTTGGCAAATGGTATGTGGGGCTCCAGCTTGACAAAAGGCAATGTTCAAATGGACCCAGGCGCCTATCAGGAAGTATCAGGCAACACCCCTCTGATAGTAGATTGCAAGAATTTTCTGCCTGCTTCAAGCACCAAGTTTATCAGAGCGGGGGTCTCAAACTCAATTGGTTGCATTATAAAGGTATGACCTTGATTTAACACATGAGTACGACTGAAGCAGGAGCAGAATTTTAACTGAAGCAGGAGCAGAATGCACTTGTGCTACTTTTTGAAAGGACAAGCAACTGGAATCAAGAGAGAGACTCACGCTCGAGCCCCCTCCAAAGAGCTTCTCAAGGGCCGCCTCCAGCTTCTCGCCAAGGCCAGAGATGGAGCTGGCAAAGGGTGGGTACAGGTGAACATCATCTGAGAAAGTCCTCTCCACTCCGTGGATGTCCTTGGCCAGGATGGACTGATGGAAGCGGTTCCATGTGGCATTAACAGTCCGAGCGAGGCGCACGGAGAGGGGGGGGTCTCCAAGCGCACCAAACATGGCGTCGACCTCAGCCTCAGGCAGATCGTCCTCATCCTCAGCATCAAACACATTGTCCAGGCTAGCGTAGGCAGAGCCCTCCTCATCCTGGTCACTGTTGGATGCAAACCACCTGCAGAGGAGATACGCGGAAGTTGGACGAGGCTATTCTAGCAGGTGTGATGCACATTGAGAAGGTGCATTCTTTTGCTCACAAACGGATTGGTGGATTATAAACACGTGCTATCATTGGTAATCTGCAATGAGCCATGGGAATGCCTTGCATGTCAGACAGTACGTCCGAAGGGACAGCTAGGGTTAGGATAAGGATCCATATAATCTTCAGCAACCAATGGACACATCAATGAAAGCATTGGCCTAAGAAAAGCAGAAAATACCTAAATTTCAGCTGCCCGAGCTTGGGAGGATCAGTGAGCCCGAGGGCAGCTACAATCTGCTGTGCTGGAGAAACAGGCAAAGGCAGCCACTGGAATAGGGCAATGGAGGCGCCAGTGTCTCCAAGCACCTGCAGTTTGGAAAGTGGAACTGAATGGAAGCAGGTGTTGCTGCATGCATACGATCTTCCCAGGTAAACAACCAACAGTGCCCATTCAGAAGATGCTTCTTGGCTTCATTGAGGAGTCTGTTTCTCCGTAGGGATTGCCTTGATCCATCTACAGCATCTCTGCCTGCAGCTGAACATGGAAGCACGTTTCATATGATGCCAAATGTTTGCTACCATTGGGCCTCGTACTGTCAAAAGGACCCCTCGCAAACAAGCCGGTTAGCCTGCTCACATTCGCATCATCTTCTGTCAAGTTGTACGCATTGCGTGTAAGCACAAAGTACTCCTTTCCATTGGCGGCGTGCTTGTTCTTCAGGTAGATGGCGTCGCTTGTCGTGATGTTTCCTGAGAACTGCACAGCAACATGTTACAATTAGATGCCAGATGTGATTACAACAAGGCGCCTTATAACACATTGCTGCTATGAGAGTACGAACCCAGCTGAGGCAATTACAATTCACAACAGAGCAGAGACAAGCGGCTGAAGGTACAAATCATCAGAAGGGTCCACCACTGTATTTGCCAGACTTGTGTATGTTCACCAAGTGTATGCAGGAAAATGCTTCATGAAATCAACAACTTACAGGGGAGGTGCCCTTGAAGAAGAAGGACAGGAGCTTATCCCAGGCCTTGCCCACAGCTCCAGTGATGGGGTGGTTGTTTGGAACATTCAGCCTGGCCTCTGGGGCAAAGAGGGAGGAAAAGAGCTCGTGGTCACCCGATGCAACGGCGGACTTCGCGACAGCCCAAGTTTCCCCTACAGCCGCCCTGACATCAATCGGGAGGCCTCCATTGAGCGGCTCTTCCTGGAGCTTGCGGGAAGCACCGCAGCTGGCAGCTGACAGTACGAAAAAGAGGCACGCAGTCAACACAAGCATCCGCGCCATGCTGCCGGCGGCTACTGCACACGCAATTGGAAGAAGGCGACTAATTGAAGGCGCGTTGTGCGAAGTGAATTAAGCCGGAATACTGGATAAGCCTGATGCGCGACTTACCTACGCCATTCACTGGCATCAGAATATCTTGTCACTTTCTAGTTGCTTGTGTTAGAGCTGTAAGAGCTGAGCGGCTGCCAGCCAGCGGCAGCCATGCGCATCCTGCACATAGGTATAGGTACCCAAACCGGTTGCACTGCATTGCACAATGCAGACTCAGAATGACGGTACGGAGCACCTACCCAGCCGGGTTGCAAGGATCAATCATGCCGCCGCTTCATTGATCGGCATGCCGCATGCCTCCCCGGTCGTACTAGTACCAAGCCGCCGAGGCTATGTACCGGTACATATGCCGTGTTACAGTTTACGGCGCACTCTCTTCGTTCCCACAGTTTGAGCACGCCGAGTTCCACCGGCCCGAGGTTCACGTCAGCAACACGTGAAGCTCCCGGGAGACCACCCTGTGACGGTTGACCCTGACATTGGGTAAGTATTACAACCGTGCAGTTCAACAAAATAGGTACGTCCTACCGTAGTAGAAGTGTAAGTTGTACAATCTTTAAAGGTAAGTGCCCGGTGCAAAGTCCTAACCCAAATTCAACCAAATGTGAGGAAGCGCTCCAATGTGCGTACCGTACCCCAATTTACAGGTGACCCGTGAGCCTAACCACTTGCAATCTAGCCGTCCCCGGGCAGATCCTATTCCAAATGAATTTTCATCCTATGCTCCAACATGACATCATGCCCAGTGCAACTGTTCGACGGCACTGACTCCGGTCATGTGATGGTGCAGTTGACATACCGGTACCTGTGTCAGGTGCCTCGTGTAGCCTGCTTGGCGTGTTCACATACGGACAGTTGTCGTGCAACTGCTCGTTGTAGCACCAATCGCCCAATAGCAGACCTGATGAGAGATACGGAGATTTTCTAGCTCTGCCACGGGGGATCCAGGCCGGTCGGCGGTGCCACTTAGAGAAATCACTGTATTGCCCGGTTCAATGCATCGGATGTACGGACGAATTCTTGAATCATTGGCCCGGCCAAAGCAATGTCTGCGGAATAGGGACAAACCCGAACGGTGCATGTGAACCCGGTACTTGCTCCGCCAATCCCCGGTCTTGCAAGTCCTCCCCCAACTTTCAAGGGCCAATACTTTTTTAGGTATGCTACCTAATGTTGCATGCCAACAGGCCAGCCGCCGCAAGTGCGGGAAGTTCGGAGGAAGTCGGGAGGTAGAGCCGGGGAGTCGGCAAGTACCAGCTAAACACGCGGCAGAGTCCGAGACCATGAAATCGGTCGTCCCCGGAGTACACGGTACTGTTGGCCAGGTGCGGTGAACCAAGACTCGAGGGACCGACTCCCGAGTACCGTACCTCGGTTCCTACCAAGCCCTGCGGCGTACCTACTGGGTATCATACCCGGTATCGGGGCAACTTGTTGGAGGCCCTGCATGGCCAGGGCCTCCAACGGCTCGGCGAATCATAAGTCCAGCGTCATGAACGATGCTTGTCCTTCCTTCTTCAAGTTAAACTTGCAATCAGCATGCAAACCACTGGCAGCCAGGCAGGGATACCTCATCGTGCACCTACGTACCTAGGTACAAGACGTGCACTACCGTAGGTAGTTCACTGATGCAATCCATCACGTGAAGAGAAAGAGCACGCAGTTGGGACTCTGACAACTTGCTTTCATCAGGTGACTGGCAACTCCCTGAACAGCAAGCAGGAGTAATTTAGGTATCTTATCCTTATCAGGTTTGAATCTGCTGAACGGGATTCATACCAAGCGGTCACACTTGCAGACATGAGCACAGAACGAATCCACATCTATTTTGATTTCGAATTCGTCAAGCTCTGACTCGTTGAAAGTTGATGTGTCTGCATCAGAGCTGCATTTTGCTCTGCTGTATTGGCCCTTGGCTCAAAAGACGTCGCAATCTACTGGGCAAACATGGAAGGTCAGCAGGGCGACAGATAAGGAGCTGCCACGGCACTGGCAAGCCTTGTTTTTGACTAACCTTGTACCTAGCATGGAATACATCAGAAGGTGCTGCAAATGCCTCCAAAGCACCAACCGGCTCTTCTTTGAGAAGCACCACCAAGCACCAAGCTTCTCTGGTTTTTCTAGCAGGGTAAAAATGGGCCGCTTGATCTGCATTAGCCGCCCACCATAGAGGCTCTTGATGTGCAAAAGTACCTACCACTGTTCCTCCCTGGAACCACACTTCTGAGCAAGTGTCTGCTGCGAACTTCTTTAGTGCTTGGATTCCTCCTTTCTCAGCACAAAGAAAGTGTCCAAGGTCAACATGGACAATCAGAGCAGCTCCATCCAGCCAACCTCTGCTTCAGATAGCTCAGCGGCAGCTGGTCATGGGACAACAAGTGACTCCCTAGCATGGACACACTCGATAATAACAACTGATCCATCTGGTGACTCGCACACAGTGCCTATGAGCAAGAGAATTCTTCATCCTTTTGGAAGAAGGTAAGCTTTGAGTCAATCCGTTTGATTCTGCTGCGATACGTTTGAGCGAACAAAGGGCTGTCATTTGTAGACAGCTGAATTGTATATGGATCAACTGTCAGACTGTTCCAGGAGTGTGGAATTGAGTTGGTGCCTCACAGTGGTTGATGCTGAAAGACTGATTGCTGATCTCAACGTCTTCGCAGGTACCTCAAATGGGCTGGCTTGCTGGCCTGCCTTGTGTGGTACTCAACATTTGCATGTGAGTTGATCAAAACCTGTTGGCCATCTCACTCCCCTGGTGCAAATTAGTGGGAGAAAAAGCACGCGCTTTTTGTTGTTCAGCAAGGTCAGATTGTTGATGACTAATCGATGACTTGCACATCCTTGTCAGATCAAAGGCTGACTTTGCAGATTCCCATCACTGAGGCTGACTTTGCAGATTCCTCATCACTAATTCAAACCTTACATACATCCTCACTGCAGCTTGGTTTGTGTGGGGCTTTGTCCCCAGGCCATCGTTCCCACTGGTCATGGTGCACTCGATCATCGACATCATCTTCATGATTGACATAGGCCTCAAGTTCCGGACTGCCTTCGTTGATCCGCTGACATTCAAGTTGGTGCAAGATCGAAAGAGAATTGCGCAAAGGTATATTCCCTTTCGGTTTTGAGACCATGTCACTGATTGCTGTCCTAGTTGCAAGAAGATTTCGTATGCCCAGAGATAGGGCCATCTTAAAGGACACCCAATCAGCCTCTCATTCGAAACGAGCTTCCATTCTTTAGATAGTTTGACCTTCAGCTACCTGCTGCTCAACTTCTTTCCTATTTGTCTCCTTCGAAATTCACTGCAACATCTTCTCACCAGCCCCCCAATTGGTGCAAAACTTGGACAATTTTTGAGAGATTGGCCTTTGAATGTAGGTACTACTGAATACCTTCAATTGAAGCTCCTGACTTTCCCCCAGGTACCTTGTGCACGGATTCATCCCGGACGTCATATCCAGTGTTCCACTAAATCTTTTCTGGTATTTTGCCGTCCGCCACCCTGCTCTTGGCTGGGGTGGGGAAGTGGTGCGCTTTCTGCCGGTCTTCAGGATGTATCGCCTCAAAGGAGCTTTCCACTACATGTCCAGGTAAGCTACCCCTCTTGATCTTGCCCTTCTCCTCTCCTCTACCCTGCTGGAAACGTGTCATGTTTCTTCCATGTTTGGCAGCCAATCAGAATCAACCACAGTACCTTGTAAGCCTCCTTCGAAATGTTTATCATTGAAGTTGACTGATGGAGATGCCAGATCGGCCTTTGCTCTGAAAGCTCCCAATTGTGCCAAATTTATATGGATTGTCTCTGAAAGACAGGCAACGAAGGAACACGTATAGAAGGGAGCGTATTCATCTATGCAGGCTGCAAAAGGAGAACTTCACAACATACTTCTTACTACGCATGGCCAAGCTCGTCCTGGTAAGTTCCAAGTTGCTGCAAACTACTTATTGCAGATCAGTCTTTGTGAGGAGCGGGTGTTCCTAAATCCAAATTTCAACACCTGAGAAACTTGAGCTTGTTCTTGTCTGAAAGCGAAGTTTTGATCGCCAGTAGCATGTCGAAACAGGTAACCAGTACATTGTCTCTGCACATGACACCTTCAGTCTAATTTCCTCATCAAACTCTCTTCTTTTGTCCAGCTCATCGTCCTTTCTGGCCACATCGCTGCTTCGGTCATGGTGTTCCTTGCGCGCCGTGAGACCACCATAAGTGGAGACCCAACAGGGTGCTGGCTTGGCGCTGGATCCTTTGGAGGGTCGCCAAACTGGCAGCAGTGGCCGATCCTGAAGAAGTATGTGGTTACCATCTACTGGTCCGTCATGACCCTAACAAGCATCGGTTATGGGGACCTGCTGCCAGTGACCGTCCTTGAGCGTGCCTTTGTGGCGCTGTACGGGGTGTGGTCCATGGGCCTGGTAAGCTGCCATCTGCCATACATTCTGCCTGTGTTTGAAGCGTGCAAAGAGTCTTGCTTGCATTCCAGTAACTCGGTGCCCCTTGGAACTCAAAAACCGCAGTCTTAACCTATCCTTGGATCAATGGTGAGTGGAAGAGCCATTTTCAGAGTCAACGACTTTCGGAATGGTTGTCGGATACGCGATGAGCCTGCCACCTGCATCGGAACCCTGTCACGCTCTTTCTCGAGACTTTCCAGACGATTTTCACTTGCTCACACGATTCTCCTTCCTCTCCAGTTGGCCTACGCTCTGGGCAACATGACTGTTATGCTAGTAAGGGAGAACGACCGCACCGCACGCTACGTAAGCCACTCCTTTGTAATCTCTAGTTTGCAGCTGTTCGCTTTCAGTGGGTATAGGAGCAAATCTGAGAAATCCAGTACAGAAGTATCTGCAGCTTCATCTGACACAGCCCTTCCAATCCCTGTCGGTTCTCTTACCTTCTACAGGCATCTCTGCCACATGCTCTGATTGTCTTTGGCATGCGTCAATGGACCCCTCCAACAGAATCTACAAACCACCCCCATCTCATTCCTCGTGTCCGTTGCAGCACGACAAGATGCGGCTGCTTACTTCCTTCTCCCACCGCGCTGGCCTCCCCAAGCACCTGCAGCACGAGCTGGGGGGACACGTGGCCCTCGAGATGCGCGTCGACAAGGAGCGGCCCGACCTCCTGGAGGATTTCCCCCACCACCTGCGCGCGCAGGTGCTGCGCCACCAGTACCGCGCGCTCGTCGAGGGCACCTACATCTTCAAGGACTGCTCCCCGGCCTTCCTCGACCAGATCGTGAGGAGACTCCCCATGTGCTTCTGATCGATAACGCGGAAAAGGTTATTGCGTGCAAGGAAGTCATGTATAAAATATTGCTTGATCGTCTTAAAGTCGCCATCTGAAAGATGGGTGGCTGGTGAATTCCACGTGCATCTGGAAGAGAGTATGAGAGCTCCTGTTCGGCGGTCAATCGTATTTCACTGCTTGCTTCAACTTTCTAAAGATGAGTCGTCATCTCATAAATTCCAGCACCTTCGGCTTGCTCATGCTCGGTGTCAAATCTGGTGAAGCAACCTCGCGAAAAGCGGCCGGGGTCGCGCTTCAGAGAGGGACGTAATCTCCAAGAGTATCTCTGAAAGCACATTTGCTTCTGCTTTCCAGGTAGGAGAAATGAAGCTGGAGCTGTACGTGCCTAACAGCGTGGTTGTGACGGAGGGCGACGTTCCCCAGAGCCTCTTCATCGTCGCCAGCGGCACCGTGGTCAGGGAGAACCCTGTCAGAGACGACGGCTCCAGCAACTCTACCGTGAGGAACGAACCTCAACTTTGACAAAGCTGCGCAATCCAGGACCGGAAGTGACTTGAAGTACGCCGGAATTGAATGCTCATCTGTTGCTCTGGGCCCCTTCGGAGCTACTCTGATCTTGCGAGAAGCAATCTCTTTTATTCTATTCCTGACGTCCTCTCCCCATTTCTTTTGTCGCATACGACTTGATGACCACTCTAGCGTACTGTCTCTGCTAATCTTCGTGACAGATCGCGTCAAGACACATACCTTCGCAATCTGCTATGCCATCTTTGTAAGCTATGCTTAGCACAATACGCGATGCCTTGCCGTGCAGGATCTGGTGGAGATGGGCCCCGGCGCGGTGTTTAGCAAGGTGGCGGTCCTGTGCAACGTGCCGCAGCTGTTCACCGTGCGCACGCGCGACGTGTGCGAGCTGCTCAAGCTGGACAAGAACGTGCTCGCGCGCATCCTGCAGGCGTACCCCAAGGACAGCCGCCAGATGCTCGACAACCTCAAGCGGGTGAGCGCGCGCGGTCCCATCTGCAGCTGCTCGGGAGAGATTTTCGGAGCCTCAACGGTCCGGACGAGTAAGATTGACAGACACGTTCGGGAAGAGGCTTTCGTTTCTGACGCTTCTCGTCCAACTTCGAGATTTTTTGATTGCCGACTGTCTGACCAGAGCAAGAAGGTGCGCCTGAAAGAGCCTACAGAGTTGCTTTCCTTACACTTTTACCCTGGTCGTACGTTTTTTTTCGATGATCCACCGCCTGCTTCTTCTACCGACTCCTTCGTTCAAAGCGTTCAAACAGAACCGCAATCCGCGCCATTCCCAATCACCGCTCCCCAGTTTCCGGCCGCTCATTTGCGCGCTCAAGAACGATCTGGTCACTGACGCTAGGCATCTCGCCTCGAACGACTTCAAGACTGACGCCTCCCCTTCTCCTGCTCTCGCAGCGCGTCAAGGAGCGCGACGGCGCGTCGCAGCGCGAGCTCCAGGAGATGGCGCACGACCTGTCTGACGTCATCTGGCAGCAAGACGCCGGACAGTCCGCGGTCGTGTGCCGCGCCGCGTCCGCGGGCAACCTGCCGCGCCTGCAGGAGCTGCTCTGCGACCCGGAGCTCGCCAAAGTGACGGACCACGACGGGCGCACCCCGCTGCACCTCGCGGCCGCCCGGGGCTACGCGGCCTGCGTCGAGTTCCTGCTCGGGCAGGGCGCCGACGTCAATGCGCAAGGTAGCTCTACTTTTCTCTTCATCGTCTTGAACGTTTGCTTAGATATTTTCTCGACAGGCCGGGACTGAGGATGTGCAGCTCTGGTGCTGGTACGAAAGCGTCGAAGCGACATCTGCTCTCGGTTCGAGCACAAAAAGCCCTGTGACATGACTACCTTTGCTTCCTCTGAGCTCTTCGTATCTCCTTCCTACACCTCGATCAGCACTGCCGTTCGTTGCCGGGTGCGCGGATACGAATCACACATTGAGTGCTCTCTAACCATAAGCGCTGACGTGTCGACTTCGCATTGGTTCGTCCAGACGACGCCGGCAGCACCCCGCTGCTGGAGGCCGTCCGCGGCGGCCACCGCGGCACGGTGGAGGTCCTGCTGGCCGAGGGCGCGGCGCTGGAGCTGCGCGAGCCGGGGAGCGTGCTGTGCGACGCCGTGCTGACCGGCAACTTGGACCTCCTGAAGCTGCTCCTCGACTGCGGGGCGGACCCCAACGCGACCAACTACGTCGGGTAAGTCAGACGCCCGGGCGACGACAATGTCTGCAGAGGTATAGGCAAGAAGTCGAGGACCCAAGGCGTCTCCTTTGCCTCTCAAGTCAAGATCCCAACAGCCCCTGTGGCTTTGCGGGGTGGATCTGGGCTGAACTTCAGGCATCATTGAGAAGTTAGGTGATGCGGGACAAGCAGGGGGGACCTTGGTGTCATCCTCATCTTGGACAGCCCGACCTTGTACCCCTTGTTCACCAAGAATCTGTGCAACGTACTGCCTTGCTTGGAATGCTGGCGTCCGCTGCTGATTCTTCCTCTCATAACCAATCTGCAGCCGCACTCCCCTCCACGTGGCCGCCATCGGCGGCAACACCCCCGCTGCTGAGCTCCTGCTGGAGCACGGCGCGCGGCTCGACTGCAAGGACGACCGCGGGAGCACTCCGCTGGACGAGGCCCGCTCGCTCGGCAACAGTCGGTTCATGGACGTCGTGACTGCGTTTCAATCCGACAAAGGCAAACGGGCAGTCTCCTAGAGAACCGACAGACGATCATGACGGCGGCTTATCAAAGCCTGGATTGCAGAAGTGAATTTGCTTATTGAGCGTCCAACTTATGTTGCCTTACTTTGAGTATTACGAGTCGCGCTTTTCAGATATGCGGGGCCCGCGCTTTCTTTCTGCATTTAGAAGTACTATGGCATGCCTAGTACATTAGCATGAGATTGAACACAAGCAGCGCAGGAGCTTTGTTTGATCTAGCATTCCTTTTGCATGAAATCGTGTTTTACGCGTAGAACACGTGTTGCATATAGTAATGAATCAGGAGCATTTTGCAGCAACCCATCGGAGAGCTTAGAAAGCCCGAATAACGGGCCCTTGTAACGTAATCTAGGCTAGTCCTGCTTTTATTGTCAAGGATATCAACGCTAGGCGTAGTCGTGAGCAGATGTTAATGTTGCATGACGGTCAGTGTATTGTTGCTTAGCATTTGCTACGATTGCCTTGCAATTGAGTCCAAGCGGCGAGCTGCTCAGGGAGGTTATTAGAGGACCTCCTCTTTGAACTAATCATCAATCTTGTTTGCCTCAACTTAACAATCGGTAAGGGCATATCTTCGCCTGACATGCCGCACTTCTCTGCTTAATACTGTATGTCGCTTCATAAGTCGCTGCCTCGGAATGGTCATGCAATCTGCCGCCGGCCCACGGTGGTGGCCATCATGGCATGTGGTGTGACTTGCCCAGAAAATATGCGAGTACATTCAAATTTTTACACATGACATGTAGGTCAAGCTTGCACGAAGACGACGGTATGCTCCTGCATTGAAGAGTGAGTCGAGGAACCATAAATTCATGATGAGGATCGCCCTAGTTGCATATTCAATATGCAGACTCATAGGTTGTTCACACCTGATTTATTTTCTACCGGCGGCGTCGGATCAATCCGTCGCGCCGGAGTTGGCCATTTTCGACGGAAAACGAGGGTTGTTCGCACTGCGCTTTTGACGGGGCTCTCCGGTGCCGGAATCGAGATCACGTGCCAAAATAATAAGCTGGCCGCGCGGTTCCACAGGCTTTCGATATCGACGGAGCAATCCGGCGACGGACATCTCCGGCGCCGGAGGAAAGTTGTTCCAAAATTCTCCGTCGACGCCGGTGATGCTCCGTCGACGGAAATTTTGGATTTTCGACGGAGTACAGTGGCCGCCGGCGCCGGCGGCAAAAATTTTGTGCTAGTGTGAACAACCTATCAGATCCGGTGCACGAGCAAGCCAAACAATCATATATAGATTTTGCAGCCTGCCATGCCCAGAATCTGCCCGGCGGCAGCAAACATCTACAAATTCAACTTCCATCATCAGCTGCATTTCATTGAGCGCTCGCGACTGGACATATGCACAAGTGGACAGATGCTCGGTTGGACTGCATGTTTGCGTCCCCACCATGACATGCTCAGTCTTGTTCCGGTATATGAAATGGACTGATCTATAATAGTGTGTACCATATCTTCACGCGACTAGTCGCTTGTAGGTTCCCTTTCTGATTGTCCGCACGAGCAGCGCTAGCAGACCCTATCCGCTAGCAACCCGAGCCCTTCCGAAGTTCCGAGATGCTATCCTAGATTGCAGCGAGCTGAGCCTCCAGTTTTGACTTCTGGGATGGTTTTCGCACCAAGCGGCCGGTGCTGGCTGCACTGGCCCCTGGGGGCGGCTTCAAGAGCTCCTCAGGATACGCGACGCTCTGCATAACGAGCCCGTGCGCCGGCGCCGACGTAGGAACGAGCCGTCGGTTCCTCAGCTCCATAATCTTGGGTACGATCGACGGCTCGTATTGACCCCTGCCTATCTCGACTAAAAGTCCTACCATATTGCGGACCTGCCTATACAAGAACCCCGTCCCCTCGATTTCTAGTCGAACACCTTCTTCCGTGTCTACAACGTCGAACCGCGTAATTGTACGGACGGTATCGGCATTCACGTCCCGCCGCGGCTTTGGATAGAAGTTGGCAAAAGCTGCAAAGTCGTGCTCCCCAACGAAGTGGAGCGCCCCCTCTTTGATCCGGTCAATGTCAACCTGGAGTCCGCAAAAAAGCACGGTGAGATGTCGTCCTATCGCTATCCGTAGACCGATATTTCGCAATCTTTAGCAAATCCCACAACGTTCGCAGGCAACAAATCCCTTCCGTCCACACGAAGCGTACTTGAGAAGTTTTCGCTCCGAAGTGATCAGCACTCTGGAGCAATGTTATAAAGAATCGGAGAAGCATCCTTCACCTTGCCACTGCTCGGGAAACCAAGAGCGGAAACGTCGACGTGTCGGCTGCTCCCACAAAAACACGTGACAAGCGGAACGAGGAACAAAAAATTGCGTACAACCACTTCGGAGACCTACACATTCCTTCCCCACAGTGCGCGCACCCAAGAGCTCATCGCAGGTGATGCGTCAAGCAGTCCGACAGGCCGATTCACACCCTGACACGGTCGGTATAGCCGGACGAAGGCTGACTTCCTCGATCCACATAAGGAGCGGAGCAGAAGCCTTCATCGCAAACGTAACGAGTCGAAACAGGTCCAAGGGCTTCACCTCATAGAACACGTGCGCTGAATACAAGCGGCTGAGCGGATCAATCACCGGCTTGGTCGCGATTGAATAGTGGTAGATCTTGCTGATGGCACTAAACCTGCATTCAGACGACGTAAGACCAGATGATCACCATTTTGGTCCTTAGGTTTATGTTTAGTTTGCAAATGCTGGCTTGACAGGAACAAAGTTCGGCAACTATGTATGCTCAAGTTGAGGGATGCCGGAAAAGCGAGAGTCCCAGAATCCCTTCTGAATTCAAAGCAGGAACGGTTCCGGCTTTGAAGCTTCGCCGCTGCGAGAGTTTCCGCCGAACTTTAAACATAGCGCGTCCATCCAAAGAGAAAGCTCGTCGGAAAACAAAGCCTCTACAAACACCACCTCAGATGTACACCGCCACATTCAATCCGCAACACCGCAGAAATATGATAAACGATGCGTTTGTCAAATTCGGCACTTGTCGTTGCGACATAGTCTGAACTTCACCAAACGCCAGCGAGATCCATTTCGCGTCGCTTGGATATTCAAGCGCCCGCCACCTTAGGACTGGCTCTCACCTAGCGTGGAAGTCATGCGTGACCGGCGCCAGCTCTAGGATCCGGATGTCGACGGGTAAAACGCCTGCGACAAAGAGGGGGAATGTGCTTCAGAGTGCCTACAGATTATCAGGCCTTGTGAAGACAAGGCTCCTTCTGAGCATGGAAAGTTTGGCGCGGTGGGGGGCGCAGCAAAGACAGGCTCCAACAGTTGTGGCCGAAACAACACAAGCTCTTTATATGCGTCTCCTGCAAGCATGTGCTGCCATCGGCCATCTGGTGGCTTGCGCTTAAAGCACTTTCTGGTTCGCTGCTTATCGGACAATATGACTGCAAAGAATAATACTGCGCCGCAATTCGACCACATGAGGAGCAAACTCCTGACACAACGGCAAACAAGAGGCCCGGCGGCGACTGACCTTTGGGCCTCAGCTTAGTGGACGAGTAGGGGGACTCGACAATGTTCTTGCCTGCGGGAGAAACAGTCTCGTCAGCTGTGCTGCACACCTCGGGTTGTAAGGTTCAGCGTCGACCGAAAACTGTTGGGCTCACCAGCTTCGCGTCTCCGGTCCGCGTACAGCTGTGTACACTGTTTCTCTAGCAAACATCAGTACGAGGTCTGTACTTTCCGTACCACGTGACCAATTAAAGCGTTCTCATTGGTAAGGAGGACCAGAGATGAGCGCTCAGCCATTTCGGTCGACGCGGAACCTAAGATGAAACATCGGGAATAGTGAAGGTAAGAAAAGGGGGCTCGGAGGGAAAAGTAAGCAGCACAGCTGACGGGACTGTCCCCGGACTGTCTCTCAGTACCTATGGAAGTTCGCCATCCGGAAATCAGGGGGCAAGAAGACGCTCGTTTGACTGGCCTTCGATCGGCGTGCGAGTACACTCGAAGACTGCTTTGCCCTGAACCGTACTCCTGATGCAGCAGCTGTTTTTAGTCCACGGATACCTCAGTCCGATTAGTCTACGAACAAAGGGTCCAGTGGAGTGTCGAAAGAATCGAAGTGAGATTTGTCCGTGGCAACAAATAACTGGGGAGACTCGAGCATTCTTAGCAAGCCTTTCCACAGAGTACTCGTCCCAGGATAGAAGTCGAGTCGGAGCCGTTTCGTGGAAGAGAAGCCAAGGGCGCCGAAGACAGCCAATTTCAGAGCATCTTCGACTTTGACTCTTGTAGCAATCCCGTCTGTAGATCGCCAATTGTCCCCAGCTCCGCAGCACCATCAAACTTCGTATCCCCAAGAGCAAAGGGCCGTGGGTCTCACGCAGGAAAGCCTTTACTCTGTTGCGGCAGTTTTCAACTATAGTGACGTTTCTCGAAGTATGAGGCAACTGAGCACTCAATGAACATAAACAGCACGCGCCATCTGCGGTCTTTCCGACCTACAATCCTCTCAGCAGTGTCCGTACAGACTCAATCATTAGCCTGGCAGGTTTCGTCCCCTGATATAAGGCAACTACACTCCCTGAAACCACGCAACGATCCAAAGTCGTCAAAAACAACTTGATGGCAAGTCAGGAGCTCAGCTTGGCTGGCCTCAGACTGGCGGGTCGGTCTGGCTGCTCACCGTTCAGTTTGAGGTGGATAGACTCCAGATCTTCGAGCGGAGAGCTCGTGAAGAAGTGCGCGACCTGCCCCCGCGCGTGCACGCCTGCGTCGGTGCGGCCGGCCGCCAACACTCGGAGCACCCCACGCGGCTCCCGGGTGATGGTCATTAGAGCCTCCTGCATTGGACGAGTCAATGATGCCGTATATGTCCTCTCAGAAGGGCTGGAAGCCTGTTTTCCAACTCGGCAAAGCCTTGTCAAACTTGGCGCTGCTCAAGAGTTCTCCCTTGAAGTATTAGCAGGTTCTTCAGCAGTGAGGCCTTTTCTGGCGGGCCTTCTTTACTTGCTGCGAATCTGAAGTAGTGTCCAAGTGAACAACCAGTTTTCCAATGAGATTGGCAGGCAGAATCATAGACGGCAACAACCTGCAGCGAACAGCGGGAACGGACTACTTGGACATTGTTTCGCAAACTCTCAGGGAGCTAGCTTCCAGAAGAATAGCCTTTCAGCAGGAGTATTCAGTCCTGGGTGGTGAGGACTTTTCAAGACTACGTCTATGTGTCTTCAAAAGCATCCGAGCTCTCTAAAATAACACTGGATGGCTTCACCACCATATGCTTGTTGACACTTAAAACACCTTACATAACAAAAGACACCATGCAATCCAATCTGGAAGAAAGAAATTGTTCACTGGAGTTCTTCACCCCAGTCGCAGAACAAGCAGGACATTCAACACCACCACCAGATCATTAGACCATCTCACCAGCATGAATGTTTTGTCAGTCCCAGGTTGAAAACCCTCTAAGAAGTTGGACAAGAGTGCAAATGAAAAAGAAGCGCTGCCAAAACCATGCAAATGACAAAGAAGCGCTGCCAAAACCATGTAGCGCTGAAGGGGAGAGTTGGAGCGCTCACCTCAATTCTTCCCTGGACCGTCGGCAGGCCGCTCTGCAGCTGAATTTGCCACCCCCAGTAGTTGGTCCCATCGTATGCTACTCTCATCCGGTACTTGGAATACTCCCTTTCATTCTCCCAAGGCCTGGGATCAGATGGGAGGTGAATGATCGGACCCGAGGCAGGGTCTTTTACCTGAGCCCCAATGTCCGGATCCTTAAAGGAGGGGGATGCTTGTATCTCCTGTAGAGTGGCCTCTAGAGACGTCTGCAGACATCCATTACTTGCACTGTGTGCGGACTGCGAGGGTGGTGCAGTTTCCCGATGTTGAGGAGGTGCTTTCTGTATGTTTTGGTTGACAGCGGAGGCGGAGCGGAAGCGAGCAGAGAGACGCCCTAGGAGGCGCACCTTCTGAAAGGACTGCCAATTTGTCTCAGAGGGGCGTGCGCCAGTAATCCACCGGAGGGGGCTGCAAATGGCCGCCGCATGGGGGTGCAAAACAGTTGCCCGAATCATCTCCTACCAAAGAGAAGCCGTTGCCTGATCATCACATGACTGGACTCAAAGCAGATTCGAAGAAGTGCACAAAGTTTAGAGTTCTATGATAATTGTCCTGCTAGCCTGTCAAACCTCTCTGGTTAGAAGAGCATTTGTTTGCCACAACCAGCGTTCAATGAAGAATAAGCTGCAAGAGAAGCCGATGGCTGCCTTCTCTGCCCCGCAGGCAAAGATGTAACTCCTTCCAGATTAATGCTGCTCGCAGCATTGCGAATGCTGCCCGGGCGGCACGTGCCTCAACCCACACTTGCCAGAGACGTACCACCTTCGTGCTGGTAGCAATGTGAACGGACTTTCTAGCAGGTGCCGGCTGCTATCTTCCCACCTACCCCTGGTACTACCCCTGGTACTACTGTCTCAGAAGTCTCATGGAATGCGCATTCCCCTGCTTCGAGTTCAGCAAAGCATGGTTGTGGGCTTTGGTCCGCGACCCATGGAGTGTGGGTATACAAATCGATACGGGAGAACCTCAAGAGAGAAGGTTTGGGCAGTCAAGAGCATACCAGGCCGTAATTCGGAACTTCTTATGGGTCCCGACTTCTAAGGGGTCATGATTCAACCCAGGTGGTTAAGAACGAACCTCGTCCAACACGCTGATATCGAGCTGGCTGCTTCCCAGTCATTGCTTTGACAACTTGCGACGGCGGTCAGGCCCAGCTAGGTCCTACTGCAGAGGCGGATCAAGCAAAGTCGCCCAGGGCGGCTGGAGATTGTGGTGTTGAGGAGTTGTTTTTGACCACTTCTTCCTGCTATCAACGATCTGCACTGCAGATCTAGTTACGCGCATCCCCGCCTCGCATCAGGCAGTTGCATCCTGTTGTCATGCCGACAGAAACAGAAATGACGGGGAGGAAGGAGGAAGAGGTCGTTGTGGCGACCCCGTACTTGGCTGGAAGCCAACCGGGAGGCAAGTTTTTCAAATTCATGATAACGTTGCAATTGCTTCATAGCAGGCTGTTTGTCTGGGGTTGGATGCTATGCTCCGGAGTTTATTTCAGCCCGCTTTGTTTTTTAAACAACTTGTATCTCCTGATTGCCTTCTTTGTTCAGCATTCAGCGTCAGAACTGCCTGTAGACATCCGTGCACATGCTGCACGAGCTGCTGTCTTCTGCTTCAGCCAATCAGAGTTTCTCTTGACTGCATTTTCGAAGTATCATGTTGATTAGGCCCAGGAACTCTCTTGGCTGCATCTGTGACACCAGGGCTGGTAGTATTCACCAAGGCGCCTGCGCTTTTATTGTTCCCTGCACTGTCGCTTCCAACAGCTGCTGATGTCAAGCGCTTTCAGTTTATCCATTTCATCATAGAAATAAGCAAGACTCAGAGTTTTCCCTTGCTCTGTTCTCAGGGACCACAACCACCACTCCCCCAAACATTGAAGGGAAGCCGGACGACCGGGGCTTCCAACAAGGGTATCCAGGGCAAGCATACGGACAGCCTGGCTACCCTCCACAGCAGCAAGGTTATCCAGGTCAGTGCCCCAAAAACCTAAAGCCCAAAAATATGGTCAGAAACCAATCACAGATGTCGTGAACAGCCGTTGGTTTTTATGGTCGTTGTTCATGAGTGTATGGTGCTCGTCCGATTGGTGATTTAATCAGGAGAAGCGTGAACTGATTGGGTTTGGTTGATGTGGAGATTCGCCCTGATGAGTTGGAGGATCAACCGTGCCAGCATGGGGTCTCACTCATAGAGAAACAATGTTGTCATAATTCATAATGATCTCGAAGCAACGGTTTTTTGATCATCTTACACAGTAGTGCTTATTAACAGACACCAATCCATTAAAAGAAAAGCTGAATTTGAAGGTGAAGAACAAAACAATTGCCATACCTTATTAAGAAGGGTGGCCACCTTTCTTACCGAGTCCGCCCCAAAGTGATAAAGTTGCGAAGTGGATCATTCGTGCATCTTTCTGTTTTGTGTCAACAGATCATTCCTGACGTGCTGCTATGCAAAAGAATCAGTAACCTTGGCTCTCTTCATCCTTTTTCCGCCCACTATGCCTTGTTCAGGTCTGCTGCCGGTGCATCACTCAAGATGATTTGTGTGGGTTGCCTTCTCTTTTTTGTTGGAGAGCCATTTTTCATCCTTGTCCTTTTTGCTTTAGGTGGCTACCCGGGTCAGCAAGGTTATCCTCAGGGGTATCCCCCCCAGGGCTACCAAGGTCAGCAAGGGTACCCCCCCCAAGGATATCCTGGCCAGCAACAGCAAGGATATCCCCCCCAGTATGGTCAGCCAGGGTATGGACAGCCGCAGCAGTACGGACAGCCAGGCTACGCTCCCCCCCCCCAGAAGCCGCAGAAGAATAACAGCGACGCGCTGATGCTTGGATGGTAAGCGAGTATCCTTGATCCTCGCGAGGGCTCTGCGTTTGGGACTGAGTTTGCTCTGTGATTGTCACAAATTTCTTGGTCTTTGTGGATTGAGAAATAAACCTTTTGTTGGGCCTCGTGGCTGATGTCTTCCTGGATTCCGCACTGCTTCTCAACTTGGGCATGATTGTTCTCTGTGAAGGACGATTGTGAACAAAGCACAGGCTTGCCATTTCTTGGTTTTGCCGTGAGCATCAAGTCTGATTTTTGTTGACGGGGATTGCTCATCGTGTTGGACTTTCAACAACGACTTTCAGCAACTGATCTATAGGCATTGTATTGATTTGTTTGCCTGCATCACATCTTGCAGCCTGGGGGCGCTTGCGTGTTGCTGCTGCCTGGGGGCCATGGACTAGAAGAGCTGAAAAGCTCAGGGGGTTTGGCTGAGCAGCAAAGTGCATCCGCTGGAGCCCGTTTGGTGACCCCAATTAGACAGGGGTGCGCGCATGTTGGCGCTCACGCATTGTAGAGGCATCTGGGTTTGAAGTGAAGTTGGATTCATTATGTGCATTATGTGCAAGGCTCTTCCAGAGTCCTGTCTTGCACCATGTGCATCAGCCGTTGGCTGATTGTTTCGAGTTGCCTCATAGTACGCCAGCTCTTACGGAACACCCCCCTACAACTGAGTGTTTGAGACACATATGTACATAGGAGTAGTTGAAAGCGCTACACCAAGCGGTTGAGGCATACAATCTGCAGGTACCCGATAATAATTATCGAGGATTTCTAGACACAGTAATTATCCCAATTGAGGACGTTCAACAAAGCTCTAATAAATTGACTCTAGGTGCTTGATGTACATGCATAACTTAATCAGATGTAAGCTAATTTGGATTATGCATGTCGATCACCGAGGCAACTGGGGTAACTCCGGCCAGTAAATAATTGCATGTCATGAACTGTGGCGGCCGTAAATACTCCCATGTAGCTGGAGCGGCTTAAGTATTACTGGTCACCCTATCTAGATGTACGTACGTATGGAGCTGCGCATGCACATGTGACAAATATAGTGATCAGATCGACGATGAGTCCTGTACGCAATCTTGGCCAAACGATCTGATCTGTGGACTACAAGGGGCGCCATGAATCCAATATGCTCATGCAGGCCAGATTATACCCGGCACAAATTCTTAATTTCACTGATGCTGACTCAGCTCATTAGTATACCAATGAGCTGCATTGTTAGCTCTCTAGCTCTCATTAGTGCATTAAGGGAACTTTGGAATATAGAAGTTAGTACTCTCTCGTAAAACTAAGAAGGTCAGCAGTTTCGAAACCATGATAGCACACTGAAACTTAATTCAAGTGCAGACCTCATATGATTTTGGAACGATGGTCTCTTTTCGTAACGATCCCGTTTCAAGCAACCGCATGTTTTTTACAATCTGATAGTTGCCGAGTCAGCCCAGAAGCATCATTTTCATTGTGGTCTCTAGTGATTCCTCAAAGTCGAACGTTGAATTGGCACTCTTCGCCAATGCTCATCCTAATGATCTCTCCCAGTCAGTCCACGGATCAAAACCATCACCTCGGGGCTTTGGTTTGCTCGCTTAGCTAGTACAGCTGTCTAACATGGACGGTTCCACGACAGACCGTCGGCATCTTATTGGCGACTCAGGAAGCCCACACACCGCTTTCGTGGTCTCTCACTTCATGGCAGTTGCGGCACGTCCACTGTGACCATTTGCTGCTGCAGATTGGGCGACAGCCGTAGAAACATCCCCTGCGGAACCAACTCCTCATACCGCTCCCCCAGCCGTTTCAGCGTCGGGTGCGCAGCCTCAATCTGGAGGACTACTTTCCGGTCCCAGATGATTTTAGGCTCTCGTCGGGGCGGATTCCGCTCCGCAGTCCGCTCTGGATTTCGCCGGATCTGCTGCTGGTACTCGGCTTCGTACTGGGCATGCCGCACACTGTTCACTCCCGGCTGTCCCACGTCCGGCAGCGGCTCACCCGTCGGCAGAACGTTGGGCACGATGCCTGCACACCAAAGGACAACGTGAGCACGTTCGCCCATCTTCAGGGTTTCGGTGTGAAGCTCGATCGAAAGAATTGTCCGCAAGCAAACGACAGGCTCGTGCAGCGCACACAGAGACAAAGATGGTTGAGCACCGCAGACAAACACAGACGGCCTCCACTGAGTTACAAGGGCTCCAACCAACCACGGCGCATTTCTCCGTTTCACAAGATGGTACGGACAACAAGGCACAACATGACAAGACTCAAAGAAAGACACAGGATGCGGGGAATGCGTATGAAAGACGTAATCCGCCAAATGACCCGGTAGACACACGCACCTGCAGACAACTCGAAGCCCTGGAACTCTTCAACAAAATACTTACCAGCGGGGAAGAAGAAGTCGGGCCGCGCCTCCGGCCGCGGCGGCTCGAGCAGCACCGCAGGGCCGGGCACCGTCATCTTGCACTCGTTCTGCTTCCAGTCGTGCAGCCGCTGGATCACGCGCTGCGCGGCTTCCCGCTCGTGCAGCGGGGAGTCGTCTTTCGTGTGGCTGTTGAGGTGCTTGTTGTCGGCGCCCGGGCGGCGCGCCCCCCACAGGTTAGCGAACTGGAGGTCGTTGGCGGCGAAGATGCGCCCGCAGATGGGGCACGCCATGCGCTGCAGGCTGATGAGGTAGTCCGCGCCGCGGCTCCTGCAGAGGAGGGGGGAGGGTGAAAATGTGAGCAGACTTTTTGATTGTCCCCAATGAAACGGTTCGACGTATCTGTTCAGTGAGGAGTGTCCAATGCAGATTGTCGTCTCAAGTGAAGATTGTCCCCGATGAAACGGTTCGACGTATCTGTTGGGGGAGGAGTCGTCCAATGCAGATTATCGTCTCAAGTGGAGATTCGCCTCACTCGCTATGGCTTCATGTGGGAAAGGGGGGGTGCGGCAGAACACATAGAACGGGAGACCGGACACTCGAAAGAGCGACAGTTCGACTTTTCCTTGAGGGTTTTTAAGACACTGTCCAGGTCCACTCGGAGGGCTTTGGATGTCGATCATCATGTATGCAGAACGGCAGCAGACCACAAGCTTAGCAGAGCGCTAGAGCAAGTCTTTTACGCACAATATGAGGGAACCCCCTCTCACCAGGAGGACAAAACCTGGGAAACGGTGTACCCCAACAATTTCTAAGAACCGGACGAAGAAGCTCCTTCGTGGCACTCGTCCCTTTTGAGAGCATCCGTCGTACCCAAAGCTTCATCAACAGTAGACGTGATTCGAGCAGGTGCACCATATACCATCCTCGACAGCACCCTCGCACCACCTTCTTATCCCATAGCCCGCCTTCACTCTTCTAGAAGTCCCCTGTATAAGCTCTGCTCGCATATGATACCAGAAGTGCGAGAAAGTAGGGCCGCAGGCTCACCCCGCCAGGTCCCCCCGCTCTAGTTTCAGCACGTGGTGCAGCATGTGCTTGTACTCCAGGAACACCGCCACCTCGCGCCGCGTCATGCGCTCTACCAGGAGGCACGCTTTCGGGAGGCTCTCGGGGCCCTCGGGCTGCAGCCGCTTGCTGAACACCTTGTAGACAGAAGCGTCGATACGACCGTCAATACGCTTCCGGTTTTGGGACATGAGGAAAGGAGCGAAGCGAATCGAATCAGAGAAAATAGTTTCGGGTTGTTGTTTAGAAAGGCAACCTTAGAAAATGAGCCAAACCATCTGTGAGGCCATTCAGAGTGAGATATAGCGAGGTTGAGATAGGTCAGCGCCCAGGTGATGGTGAGCTCTACTTTAGGGCTGTCGGGTGCGGAGCGCTTAAGTTTGTATCGAGGACAGTGTTTGCGGTCCTCCGCAGGCCATTTCGCATCTTAATCTGGCTCACGTCAAGCTGAAATCAAGACGGACCTTGTAGACCTCTTTCGCCGGCAGCAGCTGTGACAGGACCTCCTCTCCCGGGTGTTCCGTTTTCGGGCGGCCGCGCTTGCGGGGGGGCTCCTCCTCGGGGGGATCCCCCGGGTGCGTCTTCCGCGGGACGTAGCTGGAAAGCCTGCGGAAGGTAGGCATAAGTGGGCGGAAGGCAAAAGGAGGTTGCAGAGTGAATGCCTTACGTCTGAGCTTGCAACTGGTTCTGCACAGGCGCCTTTGGGGGAACGTAACGAGGGCTGGCGGGGCAGGTATGAGCTTGATCAGTTGATATTTGAATTTTCACTAAACGGTATTGTCCATCTGCATAAATCTACCTGATAATAAGCATTGATCGCCTTCGCGAAAGAAAAGAAGAAAGCATGCGGCAAGCCGACAAGGCACGAAGGACAAAGACAAGGAGCCAGGATCAGAGACGAAAGATCAACCTGAACACGTGTCAGTTTGGATATTGCAAGGCCGCGAGAAAAAGTACCATTCAATGCAAACAGACCCCGATGCGTTGCATGAAAGTCGATAAACAGACCTTCGACTAGAATCGAAGTGCGTGTAGTGAACATGCAGCCGATATTCCACCCCTAGGCCTCAGCTATCAGCCAAATTCAAACTAATCATTCACGAGAACGAACCAATGACACTCGACCAAACCACAATACAAGACCATTTCCAAGCCCCTCACTTTGCCGGTTTCGCCTTCCCCGAGCGCTTGGCCTCGGCGTCGTCCGCGGCCCGCACGAGGACGTCTAGCCGTACGAGCATGCTCCCAACGGCTCCAACAGCGGCGCGCCCCTCCTCCATGGTCGAAAGCATGTACAAGTCCTGGAGGGCTGCATCCCAGTCGTCCTCCGAGCACAGGTTGCGCAGCAAGGGGGCGTCCTCGGCGCCTAGTTGCACGAACAAGCGGGGTAAGTGCACAATGCCCACCTTGAATCAAAACCACATGACTTGGAAAGAGTTACTCTGAGCACAGGTTGCGCAGCGAGGGGGCGTCCTCCACTTCTAGTTGCACGAAGAAGCGGGCTGAGCTTCCCGAATTTGACTTCGTTTTTCTGGCGCATCCTTCGAGCAGTCACTTGGGCAGCAAGGGAGCGTCCTCCGCTCCTGGTGTAAAGAGGGGAGGGTTACGGATCTAGAGTTTCAAATCAAGATTTGTGAGAGTCTTTCGACGTAGGTTGCACCACAATAGGGCGTCCTCCGCTCCTACTTGCAGGAACAAGCGGGGTGAGTATTCAAGAGTTTGACCCTGAGTTTTTTGAGGAACCTCCGAGAAGAGGTGCGGGGCAAGGGGGCGTCCTCCTCTTCTGACTGCAAAAAGGAGAGGATTGAGGTTTGCGGAATGTCGAACCTGCCTTTCTGAAGGATTCTCCGAAACATGGTTGCGTGGCAAGGAAGCGTTCTACTGACAGCGGGAAGAAGCGGGGTGTGTAGACAGCAGGAAGAAACGTCTCTTTCTAGATGGTGTGTGCCTCGTAGTATTGAACTGGAGGGCAGACAGGAGGACGAAAGTTTCTGTCTAAACATTGTGTTTTATCGCACCATATCGGTCCACCTTGGGGACAGCCGAAGTTACCTACGCACTTAATGGGGCCTCTGCTCCTTGCAATCACTAGTACGATCAGAAAATTTAAATCCAATTCTGACAGATACTGAACAACCTTGTACGACTGCCCCATGGAATGAAGACGCAGGCTTGAAGACTGCGGTGTAATATCCAACAGAGAAACACGTCAACAACGAAAGCAATAACCCTCTTGGCTTGAATGTTGAAACAGTGAGATCAGTGTGAAAATCCTCACCTGCTTCAATGGGGTCCCTGTACTGCATCGTGAACTGCTCCAACTTGCCAGTTGACAGCGATTTTGTTTCGACCCACTTGGTCACCGCAGAATGAAACTGCAGTACAAGGTCCCGCTTGAGGAAAGCAAAGACTGAGTTTCAGCGACACGTTTGCCCCCCAATATCTTGCAATGCTCTCGAGGGATCCCCCTGCAAGCTAGGTCCAGGCTCGTAAGGCCCACCCTTATAAAGATAGATACTGCAAATTACTTTGCCCTATTTCCACAGCTTCCCAACAAAGCCAGAGAGATCGAGCAGCGTAGCACCTATGACAATTCGCTTCTGCAGCACCTGACACGAATCATACGCATCTAGCCAACCAACCGGGTTCCAAACAAGTTCCCCCATCCCCTCACCTTCTCGAAAGTATCCCCACAGCTGAGGATGCGCACGCAGCTGTCTCCTGACAGACTCCCATAGTAGAGCGCGCATCGGACCCTCCTGTTGACGCTCCGGTGTGGGACATCTTCCTGCAGCTCGCGATGATCGTCCGCGTTGTCTTCAGACTCGTCATCATGCGTGAGAACGCCCCCCACGTCGAGCGCACTGTGGACGAGGGCGTCCAGGTGGCCGTGGTGCTCATTGTGGTGGTGGTGGAAACCAGACATTTGCTGCGCTTCGCTTCTCAGAACCTCATGATAGGAAGAGACTTAAAATAACCTATTCCGCACAACTCTACTACGATCTATTGGGGGTGATTGGGCAACTGTATATCTGAAAGTGCTTCACTTTTGAGCACAAGAACCATTCACAGTCTAGCAATTCAGCAAGCTAATGTTGTGGTAAGGTCGAACGTGGCTTCTCCAGAGTCCAGGTCCTGATTCCTGAGATGGCGGTCTCAGTGAGATGTCAGTGAGTTGACTGAATGAGGCAAGAAAGTCCCTTTTCTTAAACCCCCTCAGCTTCAGCCCCACCTTAGCACATTGCGTCAGCTAGCACTGTAGCAGTTGGTGACACGCAATTATCAAGCTAAAGAAACCGATGATCGAGGTAGTACAGAAGACCTTACGGGTGACCTGGCCACACAACTCGAGGACACAGAAAGAGCTATCAAGGAAAGACCAGAAGAATGCCCGTTCTGCTCCTCTCTGAGGCTCTGCTAGCTCTGGTCAGCTTGAAAGTGAATGGGGAGTCTTGTGCAATGCTTTGCTCTGCATGTGCAGTGCAGTGCTTTGCTCAAGTTTGTTTGTCTTCTCATGCACCTTGCTTGATGCTGCATCAAGGTACCAGTCAAATTCAAATGCATACGGGCATGGAATTCTGGACTTGAATTTCCTGAGGGCATTGATCATTAATCTCCCGAATCTAACCCCCCCAATTCGAATAGCAGATGATTTTGGCGCTCTGACTCCTTACTTACCGTCCATCACCATGATCGAACGGCGAAATATGCATACAACATTGGCATAAGCAAGAGCTACTGCGCAGTGGGGCCCAAATGGATTCGCTGGGGCCCATACACTTACCTATATGTCCTCTTGCAGCGTACCTACACGCATTCGTCGTTTGCACATTTTCTCAAGGTGAAATCCTGCTCAATCATGCTCCAGTGAGCTCCACACTAGTCGAGGCTTGCACGAGTGCAAGTATGAATGGGAGAGAGAGCTAGAGAGAGGGCTTTCTGCTAAATAGCGCCTTAAAATTCTGCCTGTTCAGGGGTGGTTCAGGGGCAACGAGCTCGCCACAGCGACACAAGTTCTGGCCGAGCAGAAAGCCTGGGGAATCTTTGCGGAGCTGCAGCGAAAAACTCTCCTTGGGGTGCGTAAAAGGATCAGCAATCAGGGTGGATCGAACTGCCCAGAAGGAGGTGCCCCTGTTTCAGTTGGTGTTTTGAGCAGATCGGTTGAAAGATCTTGCTTCACTCCTCTTGTGGACAGTATTGCGGTCAGAGGGAAGTCTCAGCCTTAGCCCAAAAGCCTGTCTTCTAGGTTGTAGTCAGTGGGGCACCATCTGGGTATGGTTTAGTGCCGATATAGGTAAATGTAGTCATTACAGGGCATCTCTGAGCTTGATGCTGTCAGGGGCGAAGCAGGAACCTCAACCTAGCTGCATCAAAGGAAGCTCTAAACAGGAGACAGGGCAGCATTTAAGGCATTGGCACAAAGTTGTCCAGCGCATGCAGGCTGTTTTCATGTCTGCATAAGGCCACATGCAAAGTGCACGTGTTTCCTGACACACAGCCAGTCTAGCCCCTCATTTGTCCTTTTCAGCGGGCACCTGTTTCGCTTACTTCAAGGGCACTGATCCTTTTGGAGCATTCAGAATGTGGGACCGAGGCTGCAGTCCCGTAATGATTGCGCGGGGCGCTCTCGCAATGTGGGCATAGCTCCTCCCCCCGTCTGTCCCGCCACAATGGACAGCAGCCGGGGCGGCAAGCGGCAGACACTTGGGGAGCATAAGCTCAACCGCACACTGAGCAACCCGGACAATCTGCTGGCCGCCGCTAGATCCCCTTACAAGATCCAGTCCCCCGCAGCCAGCCCCCCCAAAGCGACAACCCCTAACCCCCAGAGCACGACCGCATCACCAACAAACAATCCAAAACACAAAAGGGGGGACAGAACAAATGGGGCCCCGAACAGAGCGCTGTCTCTTGCGGGCATGCCCCCCCCTCGGGAGCTGCGTCACCTGACCAGCGATCTGGGGGGCTCGCTCGCATCGAGCATGTCGATCGACATTCCCAAGCGGCCGAGCCCTATCCCGGTGCCCCACACGCAGCGGCTGCTGGAGGGCTGGCTGTTCAAGATGGGCCGCCGCTCGTTCGGCAAGGGGTACCTGCACAAGCGCTACTTCTGCCTGGAGGGCCGGGTGCTGTCGTATTGGAAGCACAAGCCGAGCGGAAAGCAGGTAAGAACACCCCGAGCGTCTTCTCTGCTAATGAGGTGCAATGCTACCCAGTCTGATCGTCCTGGTTCTGCTCTGGACAATGCAGATCGCAATGTGGTCTGGCAAGCACATGTCGAGTTGATCGTCTCTTGGCTTTGCTGCATTATGGCTCAACGCCTGCGAACGCTGCATCAAAGGTGGGTTGGGGACTGACTATGTACCAGTGTCCAGTCCGCTGAGTGCAGGAGGTGGTTGCCCTTCGTTGTTTTTCTCCTCCTGATGATGATTCAGAAGAGCAGTCGGCCGTGGGCCAGAGAAAGTTCATTCAGGATCCTACGTCAACCGCAAGAGAGGAAGGACAAAAAGCAAGACTCAGGAAGTCTGCCCATTGTTTCTGTGCAGGTTCCCATTCGAGCAATTCTCATTGAGGGTGACACACGGATTGATGACAAGGGCCTGGAGATGCGCAAGGGCCATGTGAGTCCTTGGCCTCACTTGCTTCTCTGCACTTTGCTAAGACCGGACTGTAGCATTGCAGTACGCCGCTATTCTACTGGAAAAGTAGTGTGAAGAAAGGCTGCAGAGGATTGTGGAAGGTTCAGATGTCACTCTTGCCACTTTCTGGAGGGAAAAAGTGAAGCACCATATGACACACTTGAAGAGAAGTTCCAAACATGTTGCATTTTGGCGCAAATGTACTTAGTGCACCTGGCCCCCGCGATCATTTTTGCGAATCGGGCCAAGAACGCGACCGTACTTTCATCCATTATTTCGTTGATATGACCAACCTGTCTGGTTTGCTCTGTTACAGGTCTTTCTCCGTCAGTGCAGTGGTGCAGGTCATTTTCCATTTATGAACTGGACCCCCGAAACTTTTCAAGCCTGTAAAATGGTGCCACAGAGATGACCAGTAGGCATAAGGGTCTCAATTCACAGTTCTGTCTCATGCCATTCTGGACCCCCCTCAAACTTCCATTCCGCAGAGATCCTCGCATTTGTGCTAAGCCCCCTTCAATTTTGCCCGCCCTGTTGTGCAGGCAATTTATTGCATTGAGCTCTATCAGAAGTCCCTGGGGCACAAGCAGATACAGGTGCGTTGTCCCCCTTTCAAGCAAAGCTTGTCAGCAACGATGAGCTTGTCTGTGAGATTTCAAAGTGATAGAGACCCTACAACAGCCTAAACTTAGGTTGTATATCTGATCCCTCTCGGCGAGATTCGGCAGTTCTGGGGCTGCTTGCAGTGGTCAGATTCGGATGTTGAGCGGGTTTAAGGCAGGGTCTGGCACCACCTTTTTGCATCTCTCAAAGGACAATCCTGCGTTCAAATCAGTGCGGCAGCCCCACCCAAACTCCCCATGTCTTTCTGTCCCTGTACAGATTGGCGCGTCAAGCCCGGAAGAGATCACGGTCTGGAAGGAGGCCCTCGAGAAAGTCAGCAACGTGAGTAGATGCTTTGAGCTGCATGGGATCTTATGCTCATTGTGTCCGAGCTGTGGAGGACAGGCCCGTGCTATCTGAGTGTGTCCCAGATTGAGGCTCGGTCGCTTCCAACTCCTTTGGATTAACAACCAGTTTCCTGGGGCGTCCTAAAAGCTCGAGAAGTTTCGGGTGCAAGCACAGTACTGCTGTTTGTCTCAAAGGACTGGCAAATTTCGATTGACATGAGTACTTTGCGTCTTCCCGCTTTGCTAATCAGACACTTGTTTCTGGGGCATCAGGCTCAGGTCTGTTGACTCCCTAGATTTATGGTTATGACCATCAACTTATGCACATATTCTCCCCAGTCACTACACGTATGGGCATTGAGCCCTTGTCTCTGTCTCATAGCAGAATCCGGGATCCTTCATCAAGCGCGCGCTCACTGCAAGCGGCCTCGACAGCCTGACGGGCCCGTCCATTGGCTCCCCCGATGCTGACTGGGACAGCTCGTAAGTTTCTTTGTCCCCTTCTTCCATCAAGGATCTGGATCCATCGAACCTCTTGTTTGCCTTGTGTTGACATCTGAGCTTGATGCATTGGCCGAATTGGAAAATTGTACATTGATGGTTCGACGGTCAGGTTTGCCTGGAGGTGCAATCGGCGAGGGCTGTTGTGCAGATCTTCAGGTGGTGTAAGGACCAATGTTGCGGAAAGGGGAACAATTCGCAATCTGCGTTTTGCACGGAAGTTAGTAAAGTCATCAAAGAACGGTTCCCCTTGGGCAAAGGCGACGGGACAGGAGCCATGCCTCAGTGCATAAAAATTGATAAGCGGCACGAAGTCCCGTTCTAAAAATAGTCTCTCCTCAGCGCATGCACGACCCCTCCTTGCATGGTCCACCAACTGGATAATCAACTTGTCGAGAAGGGGTCATTGAAGATGCATTACAAAGTAAAAGCTGCAAATCAATTCGTTTACGACTCAGGAGTGCGTGGTCTCATTCCTGCTTTTTCGTCCGTACAGCGAATCCATGGGCGACTCTTTCCGCAGCAGCAAGGAGGACGCCCGGCCCCCGGTGCCCATGCGCAGGCTCAAGTCGACTGGGCCAGGTGAGCCTGAAAATCCCACGCTTTGCACGCTTTTTCCTCAAGCGGTCTCTTCTGTTCGGAATCACCCGCGGCATGCTGATCGTGAGAAAGGTTTAGTCACCAATCGGAGGTGCAGAGTTGCCCTCTGCATGGTGGATCGTCGTTTGGGGCTTCTCACATGGAATTATCTGATATGAACCAACCACTTGTTTGAGCGAGATTGGAGTCGGAATTTGCAAGTTTCCATCTTTTCTTCAACGACTGCTGAACTGCGAGCAGCACACGTACTCTGCTGATGCACATGCAGACAAAACACAGTAAAGGATGGGCATTTCATGGCGATTGCATCGACTCTTTCAGGTGCCAGCAAGAGTCTCTTGAAAGCGATTTTGCCCCCGTTGCGCAGGCCTGCCGAAGACGTTTGTGGACTGGGCATCGGCGGAGCAGGAGGCGGCATCCCGCGCCCCGGATCGCCACTGGAAGCTGCTCGCGTGCGACAACGGGCTGCGCTTCTACGAGGAGATTCCGGACTCCGAGGTACGGCCCTTGCTTCTCAGTTTTGTCTCCTGTTCCTCTTCTTGGTTTACTTGGTCTTTTGATCAGGCTCTTTGCGGCATGGGTCCAGTTGCTTGGTAACTGGACATAAGAAACTGCAAAGCTTGCTGTTCAAATCCGAGTACTGGCGCAAGAAAGCGAGCGAAACGTTACAGAATGGCTGTTGGACTCGAAAGTGAAGGGCAGGACTCACCATTGAAGGTCCAGGCACTTCGTTTTTGCTGTCGGACTTTTGCCCTTAGCCACGATCGGTCTGACGAAACGGCACATCAATCTCACCAGTGACTCGAGGCCTGAGTATTGACACCGCATCAAAAGGGGGACCGGCTGAATCGTTGCAGCGATGCCAAAAGCAGTGACAAAAACGTATAGTCCTGCTTCTATGGATGTTTCATGTTTCGCCAACATTCCTTGCTTGACATCGTCAGTCAGGCTTACTCTCTAATTGGGCTTCCAAAGTAATAAGATCTGCTTTTTGGTCAGACGTGTCGGTTCGCTTATTGTACTCGACTTGACAACGAGCCTTCTATCATGAGCGCATGGCCGACAGCTCCGTTCGAGAAGAACCTGAGCAAAGGAAAAGTTTCTCAAGCAGCGCTTGCTGACCTCATGCCCTGCCTCTGCCACTGCGCCAGATGGGGATCAAGGCGATGAAGGCGGTGGGGCTCGTGGAGGCGTCCTGCGACCTCATCTTCAACGCCATCATGGCGCTCGACGAGACGCGCTACGAGTGAGGGCTCTCGAGCTTAGAGATTTTCGGTTAAAAAGTCATGCACTTGGATTTTCAATAGCAAGCGTTATATCCATACTTTTTCGATGTCAGGGCTGCAGCATTGAGTCAAGAGGGAGCCGTTAAAGTCTTGTCTTATGCTGAGCCTGGAAGGACAAAGAGCTTCTGGACGCAATTGCTTAATTAGCTTTCAGAACTCAACAAAGGCATTGCTCGTTCCCGCTTGTTCTGGAGTGCATCCTTGCGCTCAGATTTCAATACCCTCCCTGCTAGAGAACCATCGGGATTTGCACCGGGTCTCTCTTCAGCAATAAGTCCTGCTTTTCCTCGTTTCTCTTAGAAGCTGACGAAACCGTTTCCTTCGTTCCTCAGCTGGGACGCCACCTTTGGCGAGTCGCGCGTGGTACAGCACGTGGACGGCCACACCGACATCATCCACCAGACGCTGCTCCAAGACTTTCTGCCCTGGTGAGCATTGCGCATCTTTCGTTCGCCCTTGTAATGCTTTGCAATGCAGGACGTCTCGAGAGAACGCCCAGTTCAAAAGACCTCCCGTTGACATTCTTCATGCATCATTGTGCAGGCAGTCAGCATTGTCTGTTTGTTGAACCGAATCGGCAAAATGGTCTGCCAGTGGAAGCTGGCAGCGTAGAACAGAAGCAGACGTTTTTTCCTTTGACTTCCACTGCATCGTGCCGCCCCGAACTGCACATGACGGCAGCTTTTCATTGTGCGCAGGCTCATCTGGCAACGGGACCTGTGCTACACGCGCTACTGGAGGCGAAAAGATGACGGCTCGTACGGTGAGCCCAGAACCCCACGTGGACTGCGAACCAATTGCGTCACGATCTGCAATACTTGGCATTCAGCCTTGGCGATGAACCGAACCCCTCCAGGCAAACCACGGAATTCGTGGGATGCCGCACTTCGGACGAGTTGAGCAGAAGCGTGGGTAAAATTAAGCGTCGCGGCTTGCCTGACTTCCGCAGCTAGAATTAGCGGCGTCTAATCTTGACGGCCATGACTTCGGATAGCATCAGAGGGTCTTAGCACCGTGCCATTTAAGTTGTCTATGCAGGGTTCACGCACACTAACGATTGAATCTGCGTGTGCAGAGGTGCTGTACCAATCGTGCGAGCACCCGGACTGTCCGCCCGAGCCGGGCTACGTCAGAGCGAACATGACCAGTGAGCGCCCCCAGTTTCTTTATTCGCAGCGAGCTAATCCAGTCGCGTCTTTCACGGCCTTCGCTCTTTTGAGGCGTGGCGTTGGTGTGCTGTCCTGCGATAAAAAAGGGGACTCGATCAGCCGAGAACAAGTTACCACGTGGCGTTGAGCGTGTTGCTGTCACCCTTCCGTGGTTGCGGTCAACTCGTCAAAGGTTCATGCAAGACGGTTCGGGAAAGCCAGGATTGGAGACCGTTCAAAATCCCGACTATCCTTTCAAGACCTGGAAGTCGAGCCCGCGGCCGAGTCATTGCCCCCGTCGTTTTTCCCGCTTTAATCCTTTATTCCCCTCTAGGTAGCCGGTTCGTTGTCTTCTCACCCTCTCACAGCTTCGGAGTCAATCGTATATCATCCAATTGGGCTATTCGTTTAGTATCAAAAGCGCTTTACCTGCAGGTGGCGGCTACATCATCTCCCCCGTGAAGCCGCGCGCCGGCCAGGATGTGGCCTTTTGCCGGTCGCGCGTGGAGCACGTGTTGCAGCTGGACGTGCGCGGCTGGCTCATGCCGCTCGGCCGCTGCATCCTGCAGCGCAACTTTACCTGGAACATGCTCAAGCGCGTTGCAGGTGGGCGCGAGGTTTTATTGTTGTGTGCTTAAGTCGCTCTTGAGTACGATTTTCAACAAGTGACCATCGTGGGGAAACGCTTGCAAACGAAATTGACAACTGTACATGCACTCTAGCCTTCCGCGGTGGTCGCTGCTTCAGAAGCTCCTTGGTCGATCTCTGGGTCATGTCGTTCGGTGCCTGTGTTCTAATTGTCCCATTTCGTTGATTCTGCGTTTGTGGGCTGTTGAATTTCAATTGCCGGTTCTAAGTCTCCCGTTGCTTGCACCACGCCTTCCTGCTTGCTTCGCCTCCAAATTCCAATATGAAGGTGTTGATGGAATTCAGAGGCGATCCTCATCTGCTGATGTAAGGGCTAAAGGCGAGTAGAATTGCTTACCCGGAACATTCGGGGGTCCTCTTGGTGTCGTAAAATCCGGTTGGGGAAACATATCAGTTGGGATTGCTCCTGTAGTGTGTTGGTTCGATTCGGGCTCTGCTTGCCAACTTGTCGAAACGCAATATGCAAAGTCTCCACTGCTCCTGAGGCTCTACAATCGACCTGATTTCATGTGTCCTCGGGCCCATCTTTCAGATTGAGTACTGTCGTCGCCCCCCTTTTTCTTCGAAAGCTAACCAATTTCCGTTTGATCATCTCGAGCTCCTTTCCCCGTCTCCACATTCCATCGACTTTGCTTTGTCTTTCCCGTGATTTGTCTCTTCCCAACATATTCTTTCGAATCTCTTCGCTCAATCAGAGCCCCCTCGCTTTTTCTTCAGGTCTGCGCGAGATGTTTGCCTCGGCGACCGAAGTTCCCACGTTCAAGATCAACTTTGCAAGCATCAACGATGCAGACGAGGACGAAGACACGGGCGTCCGGATGCCATCGGGACACCGTCCAAAGATCCCCTCGCGCCTAGTTCACAATTGCCAGATGCCCTGGCGGCGCAAGGGGGGAGAATGGCGAGGTGACGGGGGCGGTAACGGTATTGAGATGGGCGGTAACGGCGTCGTTCGACGGAGTGTTGAGGGCAGCGGCGAGGACCAGGCGTCGAGCTCGGAGGACGACCCGGAATTGGATTTGCAGGCAGCGACGGATCTCGGGGAAGACACTGCGGTGTCGACGGGGGAGACTGGTGAGGTGCAATCAGTCTTCCATCAGTTTTTGGTGTCAAATAAACTCGGGCAATGCTTGAGAGCTGAGAGCCGTAAAATAAGCTCCCAAACGCATCGAAGTCGTTCGAAACTCGCCTTCCTCGCTTCTGACTGCTGTCCTCTGCCTCGTTCCTGCAAAGACGATCTCGACTACCGGTTCCTTGAAGGGGCAACCTCGACATCCGGTTTCTGGAAACCTATGCAGCGCTCAATCGCATTCTCACGTGCCCTAAACTAAAGTCCGGACGCCCGAACGCCCGAACCTCACTGAAAACCCCCCCGGCTCTGCAGAATCCCCCATTGCGGAGATCCCGCTCGAAACGGAAGAGCTGCCGTCAAGCGCGAGCATCTTCCAGGAGTTGGAAGACCTGGGTACGCACCGGCGGGGGGACCTCCTCAAGGGCAAGGACAGCTGGTCCGAGCCCGGGGGGCGGCCGTTCAAAGTGCGCGGGAAGACATTTACCATGGATCGGCGAAAGGTGAGCCTTCCACTGACCTATGAGCATGAGCGATCTGGAGGAGATCACAATGCTTGCTCAAAAGGTTGATACTCGTGTTGCACCCGCATGTCTGAACGGTTGTTCAACAGCGGGATCACTTGCTATTGACTCTGCCTGTCCACACTTCGATCGTTAGCCGTCTTGAAACCCCTCTCGTGATTCAACATTCAACCTTAAACATCCGCATTTGTCTTTGGCAGATCTTTCAAATCGCGTCTAATCTGCCGGGGGGCCAAGAATTTAACATACCCCTCAAACCTCGCAGATTCGTGCTGGGGACCCTTTGTGCCGGCTCGTTGCAACGGACTGGTACCGTTCCAACAAGCGCATCGACCACGTTGCCCTACGCGAGGGAGGGGTCGTTGAGCACGCGGCGCGGGCGGGGGGCGACGTCTTTCTGTTTGTGGTCAACATGCAGGTTCGTTGAAAGTCGGTCTCATGTGCTCGAAAACGTCGTCAGATGCCAGCAGCTTTATGTCAAGACACCGACTTTGATGTTTGACTTTCAAAGCTCGCGGCGGCCTGATTGCTGCAGCTTTGTATGGAAGAAACTGCTGAAGGTTCGGAGAAAAAGGAAGCTTCTCTCGTCGGTAGTCAACCCGTTTTCAGTACCGGCAGAGTTTTGGGATTCTGCCTACGATGAAGACGTTAGGAACCATTCCCGAAGATGAGATGACTTCTGCACTCTCCTGGCTTGGCACACCAATCCTCAAGGCAAAGCATTGTGGCAGGCTTGTACTGAACCATACCTTTTTCCCTACTTGCAAGGCTATTGAAGTTCTTACAGTCGATCAAAAGTTCTTAGACATGAACCGAGTCAACGTCCCGTGCAGGTCCCCGGTGTGACCCACTACAGCATGGTGTTTTACTTTGCGCACGAGCGGCCGCTCGCGCCGGGCAGCCTGCTCTATCGGTTCGTGCACGGAGACGACAGCTTCCGCAACAGCCGCCTCAAGCTCATCCCCTCCATTCCCAAGGTGGGCCTTGTGCGAAGCGTGGCTTTGCCGCAAGTTCCCTGAATCCCTCAAGCTGGGGCGGCCCTGACATGATAGCAAAGGACCGAAAGTCAGAGGATTTTGGAAAGCCAAGCTCAATCTCCTTCAACTCCTCTGGCTTTGACCTGGGGCCCGAAAAATGATACCCTGTGTTCGAGTGCAACACAAGTAGAGCCTTCGGTCATAGTAAAGACCTTGCTTTGAGCCTTCGGTCACAGTAAAGGCCTTGCTTTGAGCGGAACGAAGCTAATCACAACAAACTGCATGCAACCTCCGGTTGCTGCTCTCAGACTGACACGTGTCCGGGGCCTTGTCACAGGGGAGCTGGATCGTGAAGCAGTCCGTCGGCTCCACCCCGTGCCTGCTCGGCAAGGCCCTCGAATGTACATACTTCCAGGGGGCCAATTACCTGGAGGTGAGACCCTCTCCGCGCGCTTGTCCGTTCAGTGGCTGAGGGGATAAGATCGTCTGACGTGGCAACAGAAAGGAAACATGGCCCGCTTGGGGGCAGGCTCCGAGGCTGACACCCATTCGTCACATGTGCCACCGGCTGCTCTGTCGAGTCGGGCTGTTGATGGGCCGTTCTACACTATTGGACAACGGTCCTGTTGAGTGATGATTATTTACTCCTCTGAAATTGGAGAGTGGTTGAGGGAAAAGATCTGCCAGGGTCATACGAAGAACCCTCTTGCTGTTTTGGGTCCTTGGACGATTGAGACGCTTCATTTGGCTCCCTTCTTGAGGAAACGATGAGAATACAGTCGGATAGAGCGCAGTGCGTGGTCTAGTTGTTCAACCATCTGTTTTGATTTGTGCTTAGCTGATTGCGCGCCGCCTTTTCACTTGAAGATCTTGGCTGCTAACCAGGCTGATAACTAATATTGCGTCTTAGGTTGTTGGACGAGGAACCGGGCTTTGACCTTGTTCCAAGGCCACTCACCGCTGAAGTCTGGTTATCGAACATATAAAACACTTTCTAACCAGCCCATAAGCTGCTCAGAACCATCCATGGGTAAGGGCCTAAAACTTCTGTGGTTCCGTCTCCTTCAGATCGACGTCGACATTGGGTCGTCCGTGGTGGCCAACGGAATCCTGGGGCTGGCCATGGGCTATTTCCCCTACCTCACCGTTGACATGGCCTACCTGGTGCAGGTACGTATCTCAGTCTGAAGCGCTCTTTTTTGACGCTGTTATTGGGCCCAAATCGGGTCCAGAGCCCACGAAGAAGTTCGCAAATGCTCGGATTTTAGCACTTCAGATACACACTTTTTCAGCTTCCACTTTCTGAAAGCCGGATGCGGCTTCAGAAAAAAGAGAAGAATAAGGGTTAGGCGCCAATGTTGAACGGAGGAAGTGGATACATGTGGTATCATTCCCTCTCTCAGAGAGTGTCCCTATGCCCTTGCGGTGAGAACATTGTGTTAGGTAATAGAGGGAGGCCGCTCTTGTGTTTCAAAGCAATGGATGCACAAAAGACTTCGAGGTGGGTCGAGACAAGGCCGTTTTCAATTGAAATGGTCACACCTATCTTAGCAGAGATCTTTTCATTCCTCACGCAGGGTAACACTGCAAGCGAGCTTCCTGAGGAACTACTGGGCGCAGTCAGGGTCTCCAATCTACAATTAAAATCCGCAGTGCATATTCCGCAATAACGCAATACACCTTAGGTACGAAAGGTAAGGTAGGAACCTCAGGGCAGGAACTAAACCTAAACCTTTCGCCCAACGATTCGTACGCTGTGCATACGCTTGATATCCTACTCACCGAAATCGTATAGCTCGCTGCTCTTGTGTAAAGCTGCAAAGGTACTGCGTTGACAAATTCGTAGGAGGGACTCAGTCTGCATTCAAGTGTCACGGCCATATGGCCTTGCCCGTCTATCTGGTCATAAGGTCCATCTAAGAAGCAAACATTGTTTTGATTTTCGAACTTGAGTGGGCGAATGCAATGCTGTGCGTGGGCGACGGCATCATATGTGAAAGCCGCTAGCTGGATTGCATGGCCCCAGGACCATGCATGCAATGGTATGGTCCACATCTTCTGACAAGCTTCCACGCAGAAGACTTTATACATGCTCATATATTCGTTGAGCCGCACGCCCATCATGGTTATATACTCAAGACTCAAGGGGCATATGCACTATTGGGCACCTCCAACAAAAACCTCGCTCGCATCTGGGATGGGCACTATGTGTATTTGAGTTGAAGGGGTCGATTCCGATAAATACGATCAGGTGCGCGCATGCAGGTTTTTCATCAGAAGCATGGTAATTTTGTATATTCGACTCGCACACAACCAGCGCGCGTATGATGCACACATGGTCCGGTTTACCATGTCGATTTGTGCAAATACGCTTGTAGACGTTTAACTAGGAGCAATATGCTCCATCCTGCAGTAATTGTCTCGATGTGACGCTGCAAGCTTTATATTATATCTCCCAGCTAGCAAAGAGCGCATGTAGTATTAGACTCAGCAGTAGGGGTGTACTATTATAAAGGCGACTCACTGAAGTGCACCATTCTCAATGTTCGAACCCAGCCCCAACTCGTGGTAGTAGTATATCGTTGTCAGCACTTAGGCATATATATGTGTACAGCATTTCCAGATGTTGTGCTTGACGAGAAAGTATGAAACAATCCGAGGGGTTGATATAGAAAATTAAAATCTGCAGTGTTTAGTGCGACAGTTCGGGCCAGTGATATCAAGGCTCAGATATAATTACACGACATGCATACTTGCAGAAACTACAGGAACAATATTTATCATCCGGGACTATGGAATGCTAGATCAGAATTGGACGCTGAATTGATTATAGCCATTCAGTGTGGATACAAGAGCGGTTGCTGTGCAAATCCTATTCTATTATGGTAACTAGTCACTGCCTCAAATGTAACCAAGACGACGTGCACTAAGTGAAGAGTTAAATACAAGACCTACAGAAAAGATACTTCCCAACCTCATGATAACGCCTGCCAAAATCGGGACAAACCGTACACTATCTTAGCTTTGGTCTCTCCCTATCCAAAGGGATCCTGTGGTACCAGCATACAAGACCGTCTTGCAACTGCTGGCTCCTCATTCTGTCCCATACTGTACAACTCAGCACATTCCAACTCAGCATATCGTACCCACACTCAGAAACCTCCAGGCTAAACATCATCTTTACTCGGCAGGGGGCGTTCCCGCAACCCACTCACCCTTCCCGCCAGTGTGAATGACCGCCGCGATCCCGCCCTTGTGCTCCCCCTGCCCGGACAGCGCAGACCCCCCGCTCACGGCCCTGAGTGCCGCATCATTGTCATATCCTTGGGACGCCGAACCCGTGCCGCTCCCCTGCATCGTGTCCCTGGCGCTAGTCGTGTAATCGCTCGCCTTCTGCTGGGCGGCTCCGGTGTAATCCGCGGCTGCGTTCTTCGCTGAAGTAGCGTAAGCGGAGGTGGCGTCACTGGCCTGGCCGGCGTAATTTGCGGCGGTGTCCTTGGCAGTAATCGCAGCGCCCACCACAGCGTCCTTGGCGGCGACCGCGGACTGGGCGACGGTGTCACGTGCCTGGGCGGCATAGGGGGCCGCGGTGTCGCGGGCCTGGGCGGCCAGCTCGGCGGTCTTGTCGGCTGCGGCCTGGACGTACGGGGTCGCATTTTGAACACCTGAAGGCGGAGAGGAGGTACGTGCTTAGAAACTGTGTCGAAGGTCTGGTTGAGACAACGAGCCGGGCAGTACTTGGGCAGAAGCGATTAGGAACACAGCCATGGGGCCAAATCGAAAACGCACATGCCTTGCAGAACGAAAGTACTTTCAAGGAGGCAGGGTGGGGAACAAACTTAGGTGCTAATCGATGTGTCTGCCGACGATAAGGGAAGGCTCGTCGACTGAGCTTCATGGGGAGATTAGAGTCCCGAACATTACAGCACCAAATATGAAAGAGGTCTCCTCGATCGTCAAGAGCCCGAACCATCCACGAAACATTATTACAGATTTTTCAATAGCAAAGCGATAATTTTCAGACTGGCACCGTCACGCAAAGGCGGGATTCGGTTTCATCGATCCTCACCGAATTGATGCGGCTGGCTAAAGACAACGTGACAAGTACGGTCAAAACCTTTCCGCATTTCTGCATGTTCATTCTCCTACGTCCCACTACGATCCCAGTAGGTCAGCAGTACAGACCAAAAAAATTACCAAGTCTGCGAAAACCAGCATCAAGTTCGGGGCCGTACCAGCCTGAACGTACGGCACCGCCGCATCCTTGGCCTGGATCACAGCCTCCTGGGCCTGCGTCGCTAGAGGCTTCTCGAACCCGTGCCTGGCAGCCGCCTCCGGGGGACCGAAGACGGACTCCTTGGTCGTCACGGCTGCCTCGCCGGCAACCTGAGTGACCGGCTTATCCACCAGCGAAGCATCCTGCATGCGGGCAACCAGCAGCTCCTTGGCCTCCGCCGCCTTCTTCTCCTCGGGTGTCATGACCTGCACAGGGGAAGAGATGATTAGATGTCGAGACTGAATGGGATTGCCAACTTGTCGGAATCAGCATATGTTCCTCCCTGGCCCCTCAACCGAGGCCGAGCCTTCAAAAGTCTATCTAAAGGTCTAGGAAAAGGTGAAGATTCAAAGCAAACAAATCAAAAATTTCGCCGTTGGGTTCTGTACGTAGGCTCGTTGAGCTCCGACAAAAGTTTGGGGACGAGGACGTAATACGACGCTGTAGATGGCGGAGCCTTTTTACTCATCGAAACATTCTTCTTTCCATCCCTACAGCTTCCTCGGGGTAGGGAATCCCTGGGTCGACGAAGTAAGTGCAAATCACTACCATTCAGACAAAAAAAGGACGCACATTTATCCATCACGTATCCAACAAAAAAAATAACTTATCATCGCGACACTCACGATGCCGTGCATGAAAGCCTCCTTGGCCCCGGTCGCAGCGTCCGCCACCTTCTGAGCGAGCGTCCTGGGGCTCGGGGGCGGCACACTTCCCGCGGCCTCCTCCTGCTGGGCCACGACCGCCTGGGGCGTCCCAACCGGGTGCCCGAAGAACGCCTCCTTGGCGCCAGTCGCAGCGTCCACCGCTTTCTGGTAGATGGTGCGCGCGTCGCCGGAGGTTGCTGACGTGTCGCTGAAGTCAGAGCCGGTGCTGATGGGGGTGGCACCGGTGCCGGAGGAGAGGGGGGCGGTCCCGGACGAGAGCAGGCTGCCGGACTCGGGGGCTGCAGTTGGGGGAGCGATTTGTGAGCAGGCAGCCTCGCAAACCAAACAATGTCGAAGAAGAACGAATGCCACAAAAAAGTTGCTGATACTCTTCTTCGGCTTGAGGAAGCAGAGCAAAGACCTGTAAATTGTTGACAAGTCGATTCTCACATGCCAATATCGAGACGTGGCCATAAAAAGTACAAAAGAGGATCTTAGGAAAGATTCTTCTCCATCCCTACAAAGTCCGGGAGTTCGGGATGTGGCCATAAAGTTCACAACATAGAATTCTTGGAGACTCATACTTCTCCGTACCCCAAGAGTCAGCAAGATATCAAGCTCAGATAGCAACCGACTGCAAACTTCCAAACTTGTGCAAAGTCCCAACGAAGATCGATTACTTTCAAGAGACCCAGCATGATCGAGGCCCTCACTCGTGTTGGACGTGTTGACCATCATGGCGGTTGCCATGTTGGAATCACGTGTTGCTCCCGCGCTGTGGATGCCCGTGCCCGTGCTTTGCGACCCACCAAGGACAGCGTCGCGAGCAGCCTGGCCGGCGGCTGTGGCGGCAGGGCTGAGGACAGCCTGGCGGGCGGCGTTTCCGGCAGCAACTGCGGCGGGGTTTGCGTCAGAGGCGTAAGCAGAGGTGGTCTTGCCCTCTGGGGTGGTCAGGCCCTCCCCGCCGATCACGTACTTAGACTCGGCGATGGTCTTGTCGTCCAGCTGGGTGGCGCCTGTGCAGGGAAGAGGAGCATATTTCACGTCAGAATAGAATTGCAACAAGCGGAGTGCTCGGATAGATGAAATAGAAACGAGGACTTCACAAGCAGCCAGAAAGCGGACGAGCAAAGCGCAGGAGAGGGGAAAAACGACGAAGTCGGGAAGCTCTGAGCACGTCCAAGACAACAGCAATCTGATAGCAAAAAACTGAAGACGTTGAAATATTTAATGATTTGATGTACGCAGAACTCCCAATCTGTTATCCGATCGTCGCTATAACCTTTGAAGGCAACACGAAAGAACGAGAGGACTTGCAGCTTTCGCACAGCTCAACCATCTTCGCGAGCACAAGAGTACCATGAGACACGATCCGTAGGAACTGACGAATGCACGGCAGTCTCACCTTTGCCGAACAGGGCCTGCTTCGCCGCCGCTGCTGCCGCTGCCACCGCACCAGCGGTCGCCCCTGCGGCGCCCGAAGCCACCTCCACGACCTTGGACGTCAGCGGCTTGTTCTCGCTCCTCAGGTCCGAGGCTCCGGTGGTCTGCTCCGTCGTGTCAATCGCCGACTCCTTCGCCGCCTCCACATGAGGCTGGGCGCGCGCAGCAACAGACGAGGCAGCGTTCCCGGCGGCTTCCGCAGTGGCTGCAGCAGCGCCGGCAACCGCGCCCGCCGCCCCAGTCACGACTTCGTACGCCTTGGTCGTCAGAGGCTTCTGCTCGCTCCGCAGGTCGGACGCCCCGGTGGTCTGCTCCGTCTTGTCAATGGCCGTCTCCTTGGTCTGGTTCAGCGAATCCACCGCGCTCTGCTTGTACGGCTCCGCCGTCTCCGCCGCCCGGTCGTAAGTTGCCCGGGAAGTGTCGGAGGCGTAGGCAGCGGCGTCGGAAGCAGCCTGGGCGGTCTTGTCGTAAGCGGCCCGCGCCGTGTCGGCAGTGTAAGCCCCAGCGTCCGAAGCGACCTGGGCGGTCTTGTCGTAAGCAGACTTGGCAACGTCCGAGGTGTAAGCAGCCGTGTCGGAAGCGACCTGGGCGGTCTTGTCATAAGCAGACATGGCAGTGTCCTGAGCATACGCCCCAGTGTCGGAAGCGACCTGGGCGCTCTTGTCGTAAGCAGACCTGGCGGTGTCTGACGCGTACGCCCCAGTGTCCGAAGCAACCTGGGCGGTCTTGTCGTAAGCAGACTTGGCGGTGTCCTGAGCGTACGCCCCGGTGTCCGACGCAGTCTGGGCGGTTTTGTCGTAAGCAGACTTGGCGGTGTCTGACGTGTAGGCGGCGGTGTCGGAAGCAGCCTGGGCGGTCTTGTCGTAAGCAGACTTGGCGGTGTCGGAAGCATACGCCCCGGTTTCGGACGCAGCCTGGGCGGTCTTGTCGTAAGCCGTTCTGGCGGTGTCTTGAGCGTACGCCCCGGTGTCGGACGCAGCCTGGGCGGTTTTGTCGTATGCAGACTTGGTGGTGTCCGAAGCGTACGCCCCGGTTTCGGACGCAGCCTGGGCGGTTTTGTTGTACGCAGACTTGGTGGTGTCCGAAGCGTACGCCCCAGTGTCCGAAGCGGCCTGGGCAGTCTTGTTGTAGGCAGTGGATGCAGTCTCGCCGGCGCGCGCGCTGACATCAGAGGCGGTGTCAGCAGCCTTCTGGTAGGAGTCGGAGGCGGCTTGAGCAGAACGATCGTAAGTGGCAGCCGCCGTGTCGCGGGCCTGATAGCTCAGGTCAGAAGCAGTGTCTGCGGTTTTGTTGTAGGCGGAGCTGGATCCAGAGGAATAGCTGTCGGCAGCAGTCCTCGGGGCTGCAAGGACTGGAAAAGAACCAGTGTTAACATCTGGAAACTGTTTCCAATCGATGGAAGAAAATCTGAACGAAGTAGACCAACAAAATACAAAAAGCAAAAGCGTTACAGAGGATTTCAGAAAGCGTTGCAGATGAAAAACGAATTACTGTCGAGGCAGAGAAAGTGCTAGGGGCATCAGAATTTTCAACGCTTGCCGCAGGACTTAGCATGGATACATTGAAGCAATCTGGAAACACCTAACAGCCTAGGTGGAAATTCGAGATTAGCACAGTAGATGCTAAATGGATTTCAAACCTGTCTTAGCACGATCAAATTCTATACATGCTACAGTACATACAATTGAATAGACACAACTTCCTCCTTACCTGACTCATCCTTGCTGTATAGGGACTTCTCGAAGACGGAATCGTTGGAATGAGCGCCGCCTGCTCCAAAAGCAGCAGTTCATTAGATTTCCATCCCGCACTTCAGAGAAGTACAAGAACTAAGAAAAGTGACGTGAACGAATCGAAACCATGTGTTTCAAAAGTAACGCAGAGGCAGCTGACTATCAACTCGGACAGGTTCTAAAAATAACACGAAGGCAACTGACTATCAACTCGGATGGAGAATGCTCAAAAGACAAACATATTCAACATGAACAAGTGTTCCAGCTCCTTCAGTCTAACAATTCAGGCAAACCACCTTTTTGATCAGGTGATGTCGCACGCAATTCCAAAGAAGAAAGAGGTTTACTCCAGAAACCAGAATCTCATGTCCCGTTTTTAGCATTCCGAGGAATGAGGATCTGCCTTGGCACTCACCAGTTGCAGGACCACCGTATCCAGCACCGAGCGTGTTCTTCTCAAACACAGATTGTCCTGAGGTCATACCACCTGGTAGGAGAATCAAGTATTCTCATAAGGACAAGGTGAAACAACAAGCAAACCAGCAAGGAATCTCAGCAAAAAATCATCACAAGGAACACAAACTTTCGAGCAGCAAGTGGTTTGGAACAAAGCCTTCAAGTGTATCAATGAAACTGTGGAATGCAGCACTGATGATAATCGAGGCCCGTACTTGAAAGGAGTGCAGATAAGCACAACTCACCAGCAAAGTGTCCTCCAGTCGCACGAGCTGCTGTCAAATCTGAGACATCCTTGGCCTTGTCCACAGAACCGACAGTTCCAAAGGCACTCGAGTCAGACTGCCCGTAGAAAGGAGCAGCCTGAGCGGTGCCAGTGGAGTAGCCAGTGGCAGATGGCGTGGACACAGTGGAGACCTGCTCCCTGCTGTTCACAATTGGGGGGGTGGTGCCAAGGCCTCCAGCTGCAAAAGAAGGCATTATAATCATGATGATGCACTGCAAAGAAGTGTGACGCAGAGCTTTCAACAGGTATGGAAAAAGGTCTTGATGACCGTACAATGAAAGATGTGAAAGCAAGTTCAAATGCTTATCATGCCACAGTACCTCTTTTGTTAAGCTTGTGTGCATATCCATTGTGTAGAAAATCTCATGATGGTAGACATTACAGGTTGTCGAAACTTGACTCCAAAGCTTTTGCAGCTTGCACCTCTTTGCGCAAGGGTAGAGCCAAAAGCTCCTCACCTCCTGAGTAGGTGCTCCCCGTGTGCCCGGTGGCCACCATAGGAGTAGAAGTCGGCATCTTCGTGGAGTACTCAGGGAGCGACTGTTCAGTCCCTGGAACAGTCCTGCTGCCAAGAACCTCTGTTCCTGCAGGAAACAGGGATCGACAAGTTTCAAAAGTGCAATAGGAGATTTGGCTGACAAACCTCAGACTTGCGAGTTTAATTTGCATTGCCTCTCCTAGATCATCAATGATTAGATACTTTGAGAGCAGGGTACAAATGCAGAAACCCCATAATAAGCCACACCAACACTTGCATGCAACGATTTTGAAGACCAACGCGTTTGCCCTTCCTTGATCTGCCAAACAATAGACGTGTGTCCCTTCCCTGGCTCGTTGGTTGGTAAGGTTGAATTGCATAACTCACCAGTAGGGGTTGACTGGCCTGATGTTTCCATGGTGGTATCAGTGTTGTCGTGACTTGAATGAGTGAACTTTGCTTTCAACTTGCTGAAGCCTGTCTTCATTTTGCTGGTAAGGTTCTGCATGCAGAAAAGCGCAATTGGAGGAGGACAACAGTAATTTGTAGTTCCCTAACTCCCTACTGCTCCCAACAGTTGTCCTCAGTCAACCGCTGCAAAGCACCAGGCATTTCAATCTTTCCATTGCATTCGACATTGCATGCAAATTGACATGTTTGAACCTCAGTAAACCAAGTCCTAAAAAAGCAAGCCCTTAAGATGCAAAACGCTGGTCACCTCGAGAATACTACAGAGATGGCACAACCACCGCTACAATGAGACTTCAACAATCTTGACTAGACATAGGAGCAAGCAAGAGACGGATACACAAACATACCTGCTTGTCACTGTCATGAGACTGCTCATCGTGTGCTTCTCCCCTGTGACCGAGCAGTCCCGGCGAATCAAGTGCCGACTCTTTCATGATCTGCCCACGATGATCCGCCATTGTTGCTGCACAATCTTACGTTCTACTTTTTCGGAACGGCGTCTGTCGGGTTCTCTGATGAAGTTTTCAAAGATTGGACTCCACAACCACACAGGATCGATTAGCAATGGCTGAAGCAAGCGCTTTGCTTTTCCTGTCTTCACAGATCACTTTCTGGATTTGTTAGGATTGTCTCAGGTACGGTTGAGGGCTACCTAGGACTCAGCTCAGTAGGAGACGAATGAAGCTCAGTTCGCAACTTTCTCTGTCCAGATTCCAATTTTCAGAACTGCAGAGTGAATCAGACTTGAGCGTGCCGCGGAGCACGCTGCCCGTCGAATTCAGACCCGTGCTTCGCAAGCAGGTTGACACACACAGGCGCCATCGGCACAGGCCTTCGCCAGCAATGCGGTGGCAGTGTTCAAGGACACATTGGATGGAGACAAGTGGCACCAAGTGGCAGCCGCCACCCAGCTATCACTGGCTGACGCGTGGCAAAAGCCGACTCAATGGAGCCTTTTGATTCGTCTAGAACTGAAAGTGCCAGCTCGGACAATCGTGGTATGCATGTGCAGCTAGGGGTTAGACAGTCAGCAAAACAGTGTCAACATGTCACGCCCGGCGAGGGCGCCCGGCCGGTCGATTTGTGGAAGTCCCTCACGGTGCCGACCGTACACTCGCGAGACCGGGGAATGGCACGACAGGGGCTCGCAGAGGGAGATCCGAGAAGCGGGGGGGCTCGGGGGGCGGCAGCCCCCCGGTCTCCATGAACTTTCTGGGAGGCAGAGAACAAAGCGGTTTGACACTGTCCAGAAAATTGATAAGTACATATACCATACAAGCTCGATTCAGCCATTCCCCGGGTAATCGTGCCCGAGCGGTTAAGGGGCTAGACTAGAAATCTAGTAGGCTCTGCCTGCGCAGGTTCGAATCCTGCCGATTACGCGTAATGTTGTTCCCCGTCCACCCTCCTTTTTCGACAGTGAGCTCCATACACTCAGTAACACACATGTGCAGACTCTCCTGCTAGAACACCTCACTTCCAGGGTGGAACAGAAATGCAAATGTTGTCCCCCGCCCACCCACCTTTTTTGAGACACCTCACTTCCAGGGTGGAACAGAAATGCAAATGTTGTTCCCCGCCCACCCACCTTTTTTGAGACTATTGCGGCTGGCCGCCGACTTTGAATGATCTGCGCCGCAACATGCTTGAAAGCTTAGTATTTTACGAGTTTTCTACTTCCAAACCGAGTTAAAATTCAATCATACAAGTTCGCCCTACGTTATTACGTTTAAATTATCCGGACTCGACACGGCCCGCATGGGCATGGGCCCTTTGCATAAGTTCCCGGTACGTTCAACGGGGCTACCGGCCGAGCATTGTTGATTCGAGACCCTGGCAATGGCATGAGCGCGTGTGACAAGTGTGAATGATGCCGCACCGCATAATTTTTGGATATACCAACATAAGTGACCTTGATCCGAATTTTAGTCGTCACATGACAAATGGGCCGCCTCAGCCGCTAGCATCAGTGCTAAGCTTGCATAGCGCCGCAAAGAAGATGGTAGAATACGGTAGTACAAAAATCACCGCTACTTTTACAATGAACCGGCTTTTGTATTGGTATCATAGTAGTCACACAATTCTACTGTTGCGCACCAAGGCCCCAGTCAATCGGACGCTACGCGCGACCAGGGCGCGACCAAGTCGACCATGTGATACTTGTGATGGTCTCTTTTCCATACCGGACGGTGAGACCCGTATCATCCCGACTGAGTGCGCGAGCAACTAGCAATATTGCACATACTACTGGGTGCACATACATGTGTTCATGCAATGTATGCCTGTTTGGGGAACTTATTCTTGCATAGGTATCACGCAAAGAAATTGGTGCCATGTGACTTTAATGCTTGTGCCTCTGCCAATGTTGATTTGTCAAGCTGCGAGCTTCGGATTGTGCCCGACACAACAACTGAGGTTGCTTTACCTTTTGCTGGAATAGCTCACGGGGTGGCAACTCCCGTTTTAAAACATGTCATGGTCAAAGTAAAACAACCGGATTCTCTTCCTTGGGCTATTTTTAAAATGTTTTAAAACGTCATCATCAACTCCGCTATGCCTTGTTTCTTTTCATGTTTTTATGGTGGAAACACACTTGCTCGCGAATATGGTGCTCAAACTTGTATCATTTTGACATTTTGATAGATTTGGAAGAAAACATGTGGTTTTTGGCAGGATAGGGGAGTCTTCAAACGTTTTGAATGATATTCTGTTTTTAAAACATGAAAATGAAAGCCTATTCTTGCACGACGATAACCTGCCCTTGTTTTAACCGTTTTAAAGCGTTCGGAAAGCGTTTTAAAAATGAAGGGGGGGGTCCATTTTCCAAAACAAGGGGTGTTTTAGGCTCCTCGTGACGAACCCAATCGAGCTATTGCAGATAAAACACAAATGCAGATTTGCACGTTGCCGTTTTGGACAATAGGAACGTTAAAACATACCTTGTTTTAAAACAGGAGTTGCCACCCCGGGGAATAGCTAGGTCACTCAGCTGGACAATGGCAGTATGCCAGTCCTCTAGTCCTAGTGACTGTTGTGACGGTATATGGATATATGGTCAAGGCTGACGAAGGTGGATGATCCCTTGCATGAGAGCATGAGTTGGAAGAGTCAGAGAGTCCAACTTGGATCCTCGCGCCTTCGGTAACCTGTTCATGAATCATGCGCTTCTTCATGCATGAGAGTGTTGAGTGTCAGTCTGTCAGTCTGTTGACATCAGTGAAGCAAGATTCCCAGAAGGCTTTACAAAGATTCCCAAGAAGATTCCCGAACTACTTACTCAGGAGTCAGTTGTCCGCTTTGCATTATCCTGTCTGGCATGAATCTCCGTCCGCTGGCCTGGTTAAGTAATTTTTGGCGTACCGGGCGCAGTCCGGGCATCCAACGGTTGAAATCGTTCTATTTTCTAAGATCGGACGGTACGCCGATTGCCTTTGCTGAACAGAAGGCTGAGTCCATCCCCCGCCTAAAGGTCGCAGAAAGGAGGGACAGCGCCCGAAAGTGGTGAAGTCCAAAATTGTTATTTTGCCCAGCACCTCAGACTGGCCGCCATGGCTGCCGACATGGCTGAAATGAGCTGGGAGCAGCACCCATGACCAAAATTTCTCAAACCCAACGGCAACCTGAAGCTATGTGCAACCTATAAATTGAATACCAGCTGCTTTCAAAGGTAAATTTGATGCACATTCTCCCCCCAAATCCAAAATGTGCCTTTCAACCCTAAAAGGAGCCTCGGAGGCGCAATGGAGGTTTTGTTGAAAGTCGCCGGGGCAACTATACATCAAATTTTGCAATCTCAACGGCAAGACTGCTCTACAAAAAGCAATCCTAGCTTGCTGAAATGCAAAGTTTGTGGAGAAAGACCTTCTACTCTCCCCCCACAGCCCGTCCCTGCCTCCTCAAGCCCTGAGCACAAGGCAGCCATTGCGGCAGTCTTCTGCTTCAAATTACTGGCTGTAGGTGTTCCGGTTTAGGCCTTGACTTCCGGGACTTTGGTTTTACTGAGCACTTTGTCAGTCTTGGGCAACCGCTGAAAGTGCCCGGGGATTCAGCGGAAGTGACCGTCGATGTCACTTCCTCTGGTTCTGAACCGTCCGATGCACATATTTATCTGAACATTCTAGGGGACAAGAAGTTTATGCCAGACAGGATTATGCAGCGAGCACCACCTCTGAGGATCAGAGCAGGTACACCGCACCACCAGCCTCGTCAGCCGGTGTTCGACACGAGCGAGTTACGCAGCCGAGTGCAAATATCCAGACGCGTCCGACAAAACGGTCAACTGACGATACTGCGAACCAGCCGAGCCTACCGAGGCCCGAGGGACTTTGCGCTGGCCAAATGGCTGTAAAGAGTCAACATTCAAGACCCATTGAAAAACAAGCCGACCGGATCAACCGGGTTTGAAGGGTTCAGCCGGCGGCAGGTTCGAACCAACGCCTTTGTCGAAGGCTGTCGTACAGTCGTGACTCGTGACTCGTGCATGGGTAATACGTATCACACCGGAATCTAGACTGGGCCGCTACAGTAGGTACGATATTCCGCATTTTTGGCTCCCGACTCCTGAGTCATATCCTGACTCGACAACGAAAATGCATTATGCACCTGCTTTTTTGGCATTGGCAACTTCCTATTAGTTCCTAAACATAAGCATGCCATATCTTGCTGGTTCATCAAGCCCAGCTACAGCTAGCTAGCTCACTCTTCGAACTTCAAAGAGCCACGCAAGGGCACGCAAGCCCCTTCCCATGCACATTGCAAGCTCCTTGCCTGGGCTTGCCTGCCGTAATGATTTTCAGGTACTTGAAACGACTCATATGAGTGCTAGGGCCAACAGCTTGCAGCACTTCCAGCCTCCTTCCAGCAAGCCTCCAGCAAGTGCGGACCGCCGTGGCGCCTCATACCAAGGCTCTCCGTCGTCAAACGCATTCACCATTCCTCATCCAGCTTCTTGGCAAGTCCATTCTCCAAGTATGGCCGCCACATTGGTGTCAACGATGTCGGTCGCTCTAGCCGCCTTCCTCCTCCTTGCTGACGTCATGACGGCTGCAGGGCTTCACACAATCACCTCCGACTCGCGGGTTTGGGGCTCGCGAAATGCGCTTGGGTCAGCTCAGCCCTCCCAAAGCACCCACCGTAAGCTGATGCAGGTGCCGACGCCGGCGCCTGTTGTGAGTGACTACCTCATTGAATTCTGTGTGGAGCAGGGTGAGCGCTCGGGCTGGTCAGCAGGACACGTGTCCTTCCTTTAGGCTTCCTTGTTGCTGCTCTTTTGTCGGTCGTCATGCTGGCCACGTCGTGAGCAGGCCAGCAGGCCCGGTATGGCAGAATGGAAGACAGGGACAACGTCAACTGTGCAGACAAGCTTGCATGCCTTGGTAGAGTTTGTTTGGAAGACAGCTGCTACCTTTCACCTATAGCTTGCTGAATGATTGCGCGGCTTGGGAGATGTCAACCGCAGAGAGTCCAGAAGGTCACTTTGCCAAGGCAGCAGTCACAGAAGCACATAAACTGGCAACTTCTGGCCTTGTCTCCTCTCTTGCTTCTTTTGAGGGCTAAAGATACGGACTATTCTGGACACTCTACCACAATTGAGCTGGTACTAAATGCTTGTTAACGGTTGAGAACAAGCTCGGAAGGGGTCCAGTTGGCTCAAAATGGAGCTCAATGATGCAATAACATTTGAACACCCTCTTTTGAGCTGGCCTTGCAAAATATCAGCTGGGCCCTCCACAGCTCCTGTTTGAAGCAATCTACAGAAAGGCTTTTAAGCATGACATCTCATTCACCGGACCTCAGACTGCTTCCTGTGTTTTCCATTACACAAACCTTGGGCTTTCCAATCCTACAGGAATCGAGGCCAGACAAGCTAGCTACCTTGCTGGGTTTGACACCACGACTTTGTACGTGGCCATCAACACCTGCGGGGGCGAGCCGCTGAACACCACCACCGATGTCTACAATCCTAGAGTTAACGGTGAGCTCCAAAAATGTGTCCTTCCTGAGAGGACTGGTTGATCAAACAGGGGCTCAAAAGAAACAGGCTAACACTATCGAGCAATATCGAGCCGCCTTTTGTCATGACTAGGCGCCACGTGCCTATCTCCTGCAAGCAATTTTTGGGCAAGCTCTTTCATTGCACTTACAGGATTGCCGCCAAAAACGTGAAGGCAGACGATCTTACAAAGTCGGCTTCAAAGCTTGCATGAGCACCTCAGAGCCACCATCAATTTCCCAAAACGGTTTCGGCACGGGTGGTCCTGTGAAACGAGCTGGGTCCCGAGAGCTGGTCAGGGTACCCCTGTTTAAACGTTGAGACAGACTGAAATTTGAGGAAAGGTCCTGTCAATTCTGCATGCAAAAAGCTGTACACCGGATGAGCGAAAGGGAGTAATCAAGCTGCAAATCTTGGGTTAGCGGCTCGAACCCATTGCGTCTCCCTTGCAGGCACCGTCACTCAAACGAGCATCCCCGGGGGTCGAACCATCTCGTGGCACGTGGAAGGCTCTGGAGTCTTCGCCTTCATCGTGGATGCGCTGTTCAACCCGAGCACGTCAGCCCGGTTCGACGAAGACACCTTCACGGACGTTGACAACTTCTTCCTCGGAACGCGCCCCAACGAGGAGGGCTTCACTGACGCCGGTCTTTCAAAGGTGAGAGCGCTCTCACGCCTGTTGCGTCGAACAAATGCTTCTGGCCTGACCGAAGCGACAGCATCTAACTCGTTCTTCAAACCCTCCTCCTCTTTTCCGCCGATTTTATTCCCGAAACTCTGGCAGCTCCTTGCTCCTTGCGAATAGCTGCCTCTCCTTCCTGTAAAAGTGCCGTCGTGTAAGAAGGCAGAAGCATGATCGCTCTCCCTTCCCGGCCCCTCTCAGGGGCGGAGACCCCGCTCCTCTACACAGTTGAGGCAGACTATCGCTTGTTGCTCACCAAAGGTCCTTTCAGAAGGGAGCCATTTAGGTTTTATCATGAACCACTACTTCAGTCAGACTTGGTTAACTTGCAAACAGTTTGCCGACTGCTTAGTCGATAACGTGCGTTACGCCTCACGTTGTGTGCGCAGGAGGACCTCAAGAGCATCCTCGCAACGGCCACCTTCGTGTGGGACTACTCCTTCTCTGTGACCGATGGCAGCAAGCCAGGTAAGCGTGACGACCTCTTCCGCTGACGTGGAAGGCTGCCAAAGGGACACGTGGCAGCCTTAAGCAAGCAGTGGTCCCTTCTTGGGTGGCAAGGAACAGGCTGTAATTCACCCATAAGCGCATTCAAAGTCACATCACTGTCCGAAGCGATTACAATTTTACGGACCTAGGTTTCGAGCTCCCTAAGTGGTCTCTCCCCCAGCCATTTCGTGCACTGCTTCACACCAGTGACGTGCTATTGTGAATCTGCTGACGTCCGTCTTGCTGCCGAGTGCCTGTGCTGACGCACCTTTGTCTTCATTACAGTGACCACGTAACCAACGCTGGATCCCAAACCCCGTTTTAACGGGATCCCCAGCCGCAAACCCCACTTCGTCCTCTCTCTGCAGGAGACCCCTTCTCTCCAGCAGCGCTCGGCGATCCGACGGCCAGGATCCTTCGTGATGACATGACGGCGACCATCAGCGGGCCCCTGCGCAGCACACCCACCCTGAAATACCCGCTTGGCAACCCGGCTGTTGCTTTCTTCCGCCAGGTAAGAGGAAGGACTTTTGCCTTTGAATTTTGAAAGGCAAAAAAATCCCAATAAGGCGAAAAGGTTCAAAACCTGGCAGAAGTCCAGAAGCAGCTTCAAACAGTGTGGATAGCTACTCCCTTTGCGATCAGACTGAAATGCTTTTCCTTCGCGCTCATTTCCTGCAAAGTGCTATCAACTCAAATTGAGTTTGTTCTGCTACGGGACTGGACCTTCAGGACGCTCGAAGTGGGAGTCCGGTTACAAAACTTCGGAGCTGCCACTTTTTGACGGACCAGATTGGCATTTTGGCCATTTTGAGCCCCGATCACCGAGAATTGCTTTGGAGTGGTCATGCATGAGGCTACGCCCACTTTAAGATCAAATGTTCCCGTTATGCACCAGGTGAATGTTGAGGGTCAAGGAACTGGCCCGTTCGACTTCCCCGGCTCGCCCGAGAGAGCGGTTGAGACCGAGTTCTCCCTCAACGTGCTCTCCCCCACCGCGAGCGGCGCGCGCGCGGCCGCGCTGATCACCCAGGTAGGTTCCTGCCAACCAGCCATAACCGGTGTCCATAATTGCAGTGGTCCAGTTGGGCAAAGAAAACGTGCTCCCGCCTAATAAGCAGCGCCGTGCGGCGGCGCTGATTGCTTCGGCACGTGCGTCCGCTCGGTCTGATTGCCTGTTGCTAGTACGTAGCTTCATTACGGCTTTCCAGACTTAGCTTTGGCTTGGTTTGCTTACTTTGGGCAGTTCTTGTGGCTTCGTTAGGTTGCGGTTGCTCCATCCACTTTGGCTGCGCTTGCTCCCTCAACTCGTTGGCTTCAGTCTTGATGCTTTGGTATTTTCGACAATGCACTGAGAAGTGAGCCGAAGAGAGCGGTCAGTACTTTAGGCATACCCTCTTCATTCATTCGAGGTTGTTAAAATCTGGACGGCCTATCACTATTTCTGATCTGTCGATCGAAAAGCACGAGCGCAGGCGAAAGTGCCACGTCCAGCGCAGCTTTCCACCTGCGACAGTAGAAAATGGACTGAACTTTGGACTGGTTGGAAAAGTCACTCGAAACAACTTCTTCCTTCGTCGGGTTCTCTTCAACGGGGTCGCTTCAACAAAGAGGCACTCGCACTCGATTTTTCTTCTCCGGAGCCAGAACGTCTTGCACACAATTGAAATCAGCCCGTTTGACCAAACTGAGCGCTTACGTTAATGTCTCCGCTTATCAGGTCACTGGTAATACTCCGATGCCCACCGAGGGAGCACCGACCCCTACCCCGGGCAGTACTACCGGTGCCCCGACCCCCCCAACCGCCACCCCGGTTCCTCCCACCGGCACCCCGGCACCCACCGCCGTTGGCTTCCCTGTGGGCGGTGTCTGCGACGCGTCCTCCGCCCTTCCCAATCAGGTGCGCGCGCGAAGCAGGATCTCCGTATTTCAGGAATCCTGGGCTTCAGACCCTACGAGAGAGGACAGAAAGGAAGCGGTCGCACGGCCTTGTTTGTCTTCCACAAGCGCCACGCTACCTTGGGCGTAAAGACGACAGTCTTCATGCTAGGCCGCCACTGAGAGCCGCCTTAAGCTTCCTGTTACAGCTGTTGGAAGTTGGTCAAGGGTTTAGAAGTTCTCTTCTCTAGTTCGCTGTTTGAGGGCCCCTCCCGTTGGTCAAATACTCGCCGGCGTCTTCAACGGGGCGTCTTGTTGAGAACGTTCTTGGAGTTTGTCCAAAGGCGTGAAGAAGCTTTCATCACGGCACAACAGGTCAAGCTCATAATTTGACGTCGCCCCTCTTTCCCTTCTTTTTGTTTCGCAGTGCTTCTCTTCGAACGGTGCTCGCTACGTCTGTTGCGCGGGCGGCTGCCCCAGTAACCCAACGGCGACGCCACGTTGCGGGTAGAGCACACGTGGGGCCATAAGCTATGGTCGGGACGCCGTCCAAATGCTCTTGAAGCATCAGATGTTGGGCAAGGACTTTCTGTGTGGCCAATCGGGAGCTGCGAAGCTCGTTGAAATAAGTTTTCTTCGTAGTACGGGAATCTATGATTAGCGAAGTCAACTTTGGACAGAGTCGCGAGGTTGACTTAGTGCAAGATCCGACGCGGCCGGGCTTTGAGAGAAAAAAAGTACATCTGCAGCATGAGTCTGCGAAGACACTGCATGAGCAAATTAAGGGCCAATTCTACATTTGTTGGCCAACTGTGTACTACCGGGTTCCAAGCATGAATTGGGTACAGTAGTATGACATGATCTCAATGTCGATATCTTAGATTTTGTATGTAGACCTCCTTTTTGGTACATGGTATTTTCATTTTCTTAAGTTTCTGAGTAGGTGAAGTCAAGGTCCCGCGCTTGAGATTGAACCGCCGCGCATCCAACCCATGCAACACAAAGATTGACTCGTGCATATTACATATGAGTATCCGTTCGCATGTGGCCTGGCTTGAAGAAGATCTCAGCTTCTAAGATGAACAAAGGCCGGAAGTTCAATCTGGTTCCGTTCAATATCAGCAATGATGTGCATGCAGATCGGAGAATATAGTGGCCGGTTGTACTTAGACCTCATGAACGTACATAGATTCTCTATCGACCTTGTACGTACCAATTTGACACTCAATTTCAATGCATGCCAGGCGGATCGAACTAAATTTACAACTGTGCTTAGTATAGCTGGTTTAACCACAACAGATATAAGAAGGCAGGTCCCGGCGTGTGACCATTTCGTAGTAAAATATACTAGTCGTCTAGATTGTCACTCTCAGAAACAGCTCTAGCAGAGTTGATCACTTTTGCATATTGATACCTACATGCATTCATGCAACGCATGCATATCTCGATGTGACACTACCGAGCGCTTTAGAAGACAATAAGCATTCCTCGTCAACGTCGTGTTTCTCCCATTGGAACAAGGTGCGGCACTTTAGTTGCCTTCTCATACAAAAGACGCCATGTTTGGGCGGCCATTCAATGACAAGCGACACTGAATCGCTTGAAGAAGAGTCCGGTCAATTCAGACAACCCATACTGCGTGTCTACGGTTCAAGATTGTTGAAGCAGAGCTAGCGGCAGTGACTTCCGATGCTTCTCTATTGGAGGGGAACGTCTGAACAACTCAAGCGATCGTGTTCAACTCCTAATTGATCTGTTAATGCACGTGCAATGTTGCCAACTCAGAAGTACAGCTTTTCGAGTGCCGCCTTGTGCACACGGCCCCCACAAGTCGGACACATCTTGGTTCTCTCCACGATCCGCAGCCAACACGCGTAGCAGCAAATGTGGCCGCACGCCGCTTTGAAAGCTTTCTCGGGGGGCCGCTTCTGACAGCTGGCGCACTTTCGCCCTATTTGTACCTCCGCTGCATTATCTACACTATTCCGTGGCTCGCTCTTTGCGAGCGCTTTCCCACCTGCCGAAGACGTCACCCTCTGCCCGGGCGCCGAGTATCCGTCGGTTGGGCGCTGGAATGCACCTTCCGCCGGTGACTCGTTACCTTGCGATCGCCCAAACGACGCGCCGCCACCTGTCGACCGCTGCTGCGTACTATGACTCCTCGGCCCATTTTGGGACGGCCCGGGCGTTTGGGCTCCATCGCTCATCCCCCGCCTTCGCTTCTCGGCGTCGATCTTCCGCTGAAGAAGGGGCCGGTCGGCGGGCTTGACAATGGTCGCGAAACCGGCAAGGAGCTTCCACCGATGCTTGGCCGCAAAGAGGGGAACCACGCCGTCGAGTAAAGTTTCGGTTGACGTGGAACCCTTTTTGAAGTCCGTTAGGAGGGTTCGGAATCTTTCGAAGTCAGCCGCGTCCAACTCGGACTTGACCTGTAAGGAGAAGAAAGGTCCGGTGTCCTGCTTTAAACCGTAATGGCTTTTGAAATACGTGTCGGGGTCGAGCAGCTGGCGGAGTAGGTTGCGAAACCAACCGAAGTTGCAAATCAGAGTGCCTGATGGTTTCAACAAAGCATTTGCAACTGCCACTCGTCATTGGCGATGAACTTCAGTTCTCGTGTCAAGCGGTGCACTCGCTGGAGAAATGTTGACTGGAAAGCCTTTCTCAGATTCGCCTACTAAATGAAAGACACGAATCTCCGCCGGAATGCATCGCTAAGTAAAAAAAGATCCTCCCGACCAGAAAACCGCCCTGGATTAGATTTGAAACGACCAGAAACGTTTTCAAGAACCCTCACACGCTCTCATCATTAGAAGCGGGTCTCCGCGAGAATACCCACCTGCTTCAGGAACTCCATGGCGTTGGCCCGCTTCTTCATCTCCTTAGTGTGCGCATCCTGCGCTGTCGTAAGCTCCGCCCCTTGCGACGTTCCAGCCTCTCCGCCCCGGTTGCCTCCCCCGGCCACTTCCTCCCCTCGGCTTTTGTCGCCCGACTGATAGTTCCGGTCGCTCCTTCCGCTTGCGTTCCGCCCTACCCCGGAGCGCTCCTTTTCCGCCGCTGTAGAACTTGGCATTGAGCCGGTGTTTCCAGATTCGTGCCTTCCGGTCGTCCCTAAAGACGGATCCAACGCAACGGACTTCCTTCCTGAACCGCTCTGCCCCAGTCCACCGTCTCTCAACTCGTCTCCTCTCGCTTCTCCCTGATTCCTGCTACTTATCCTTTCCTCCTTCGACCCACTTGCCTCGACTAACCCAATCTCTTTTTCCGACCCGCTTCCAACCACCAGATCAGTCCCTTTCTCCGCACTCGCACCCCCACTCACACCCCGCACACCCTCACGCTTATCGGCTCTAACAATCCCCGCCATGCTCCCGATCGCAGCGTTGGCCGCAGTGATGGTTGCTTCGCTCAGCATGACGCCAGCCGGAAGCGGGATCTGCACCTCAGCCTGCGCCCGGTTGGCCGCGAGCAGCGCCGACAGGCTGCCCTTCTTCTGCTCCTTGAGTGCCCGGTAGCTGCCCCCCGGTTGGTCGGGCTTGTTGGCCGCCAGGATCGCCAGGATGCCCCCGGGACGGGAAGAAGAGTCGGGGGCTGAGGGGCTGCGAAGATACATGAAGCGAACCCTGATCAGGACAAGGTCCGTCAGTGATAAGAAACTCGTCGGGAATGGGTGGCATTAGTAGAAGGATTAGGGTCGATTGGGTTTAGCAGGTCAATCAGAGCTTAAATTCTCAGTTCTGGTTATTTACGAGATTCCTCTTCGTTAATACCATCACACATGCTTACTACTACTACCGTAATTCAGGATCGACTTTGAATCGCTCAACACCAGAATACGCTCTCTGAGCGGTTCCGTTCTGGTTACTTTCAAGCGACTCCCAAGGCCCAAGACCATTGATTGCGGGGTGAACAAGGCAGGCACGAACGTTCGGATGGTCTCCCGCTGTGGCTGGCTCTCTTCCAACAGGAAAAGCTAGAGGGATCGAGAAGCGCACAAGCGATGCTTTCCTCTCATTGCGACCAGCGACACGGAATGCTCGACCACACCAACAGACTAAAGCTGCACCGCGAGAAACCGTTAGCGTGCAACTGACTGCAACGATCCGCGAGAAGCCGAACCGTCGATCCAAAAAAGCAGACTGAAAGACAGGATGGGCCACCGAAGCCCCGAACAACATCGAGCCTTGTGCATCAACTCGTGTCAAAGGAACCAAGGTCTCAAGGTCAAAGAGACCAACGGGTGTACTGCCCACCTCCCCGGCACGCCTCCGTTGGTGAACCCCGCATTCCCCGCCAACTCTTCAAAGCTCATTTCGATGTGAGGGCGGGCCCTCCGCCCATTCGCCCCTTCTTCCAGTCCCACCTCCAACCCCTCTTCCTCCGACCGGAGCCGTTTTTTTGCGCCGCCGAAAGAAGGCCCCGTTTCCGCTCTGGGCGCCACGGGGACGGCAGTCGCGGCCTGGTCGCGGAAGAACTGGGTGAGCGTGAACAGGGCCTCGCCGAACTTGGAGTGGCGGCGCAGGTAAGGGCGCAGCCAAAGAGACAGCTGGTTTTGCATGTTGTTTTGGCCGAACCTGCGGAGAGGCGAGCGGCCGTGTGAGCGAGACAACTAGACAAACCAGGAGACGGAGGCTTTGCGAGAGGTTTTGATGCCGTGCTTTTGTAATCTGGCTCTCTTTTGCAGAGTCGGAGCGCCAAAAATGCCCTCTTTTTCTGAAATCTGCTACAATAGTTAAAGCGGAGGGACGGACACATTACGGAATGGAGTTGCTCGTGCTCGGAATCAAAGCGAGTGAAGTTATCGCAACAATACAAACAACCTCTTCCGAAGATCAAGACAGGAAGCAGATCTCTTCCCTTTGCATATCCGACTGAAACACTGAAACAAGGCTCACCTTTCGTCACACAGAATGATGGCCCCGTAGTCGTTCCGGTGGCGGATGACTCTCCCGACCGCCTGGTTCACCGCCCGGGTGGCCAGCTGCACGTACCACTGGTCGCCTGACAGGGCCTTTTGCCCGGAGGAGGCCGCCCCGGGCGCGCGCGCGTTGTCATCCAGAAACTCCATCTTCAGCCGGATCTGCAGAAAGATAGAGCGGAACGGAATCGGATTTGAGCTAAAAAGGACGGATGGAGCTGTGAGGAAAGCTAGTTGGAGAGCAGTCCGGCAGTACTACCACTTGTGACCGTCAAAAAACTGCTCTTGCCAGACACGATCAGCAGGGAACGTACGACTTTGCTGTAACAGTGTTCTGAAAGCAGGGACAGGACAAATGCTTCTGGAGGCTCATCCTCCAGCGCGCCTCAACGATACCGGATCAAGCAGATGCGGGCTCACGACAAGCACTCTGCCCATCCAGACAAGCTTTCCAGTCCATGGCTTACGGCATCCCCGCAATGGTCACTATACCGCAATGCTTTGAAGCCCGAATCCGAAAGCCTCGGAAGACACAGGTATCCGAAGATCAAGGAACATCGAGCTTCTAATACCTAGGCCCACCTTGGGGTCCAGCTTCATAGCGTATGGCATCCCGGTGATGATAACGGCGCGCCCCGCCTTGTCCGCGAAGTCGAGCCCCTCGCTGACCTTGCCCCGGCACACCGCAAAGAACACGGCCCCCGAGGCCGCGCTGTCTTCCAGCTTCGCGTAGAAATCCTCGTTCGCCTGCGGGGAACAAGCGATTCCATCAGAAATGAGTCCAATCCTGCTTGCAAAGCGGGAGAATCACGAGGCGCGGCGACTGATCAATGCGGGACGAGTGCGTGGATAGGCCGCCACGAAGTTAGGAGACTGTTCGGGGAGCCTCGAAGGCCTTTCGAAAGCGGTTGGTTATACTTCTGTGGCGGCTGCCTTGTTTTGGTGTAGACCCGCAGGAGATCCCAAGGGTCAATGGAGCTGAGATTCCGTTGTTGAAGGGGCACCTATCTGGCCTTCTCTGAAGATCTCGTTTGAAAAGTACCGTTGTTAGAGCCAACACCGCGCAGTTTGAGGACAAATGATCACGGAACAAGATTGACGGATCAGGCCCAGTAAGGAACCGTATACAGCTGGCCTGGCTGAGGAGCGGACTCGCGGAGCTGAACTCCAACCAATCTGAACTCAGAGGTATAGTCAAGCTTCGAGATCAGATACCTGGCTTCTTCCAGTGGCCTTGCGCCAGGTCGAGCGCGCTTCGTTCTGCGATCTATCTTGAAGGAAATGCTGAAAGGCTGAAGAAGTTGGGTTGCATAACGAGTCGACTTTGACCACCTTATCAGAGAGCGCGGCGTCGCGCGGCTCTGCGACTGGCTGCTTGTGGCGCATAATACAAAAGACTAAAAGGCTGCACACCTGAGTCAGCTAACGGGTCAATCTTGACCCACCTGGTTGAAAAGCGCGGCCTCGCGCGGCTTCACGACGGGCTGCTTGTGGTGAGTAAAGCAAAAGGCTAAGAGGCAGCAAAACTGGGTTGGTTGACGGGTCCATCTTAACCGACCTGGTTAAAGAGCGCAGCCTCCCGCGGCTCGACGACGGGCTGCTTGTGGCGCGTGATGCGCTCCCAGATGGTGGTGGCCGCGCCGGGCGCGGGCGTCTGCCAGAACTCGAGGCATGACGTCAGCAGGTGGTACGACGGGAAGAAGACGAGCAGGCCGTTCGGGACGATGCGCGCAAAGTTGACTGCGAAAAAGACGGGTTAAGAGCCCGGTTAGGCTTCTGAAAGGGGATGGAATGCAAAGTTGACTCTAAAGCTGACTGCAGGTCAAGTTAATCCTCGTTCAGATTAGACTTGACCAATGGATGGTCACATAACGAGCCCTCAGGACACACTGACCGCAGACTTCAAGATGAAAAGTGGCGTCATTGTGAAGAGACAGGACTGCTTTGATGCGTCGACTATAAGGAAGACGGTGAGCCCCAATACACTGCGCTGAGATGTCACTGCCAGGAAGCGGCTTTGAACGGGTCCGGAGTTGCCACCGGCTGTCAAGAGCGGGGTCTTACAAACGCGTTTCAAGTCCGTAACAGTAACCTTGCCATCGCACACTTTGAACAAGTAAACCAAAACGCTCTGTTTGTGCTATGACCCCTGCGTAAGAGATTTGCAATTCGTTGTTTGAATCTCTGCGATCGGGTTTGGCAGATTCTACAGAACTCCACCCCTCACCAATGGCGTTCCCCAGCTCCGACTTGTACTCGGGCGAGTCGCGCGTGCGGTACGACGAGTTGAGCGCCTTCCCCGACGGCCCCACGGGGACGACCCCCGCCCACACCTGCCGGGGCTGGATCACGTGGGGATTCTCCAACCGGATCTACACGGAGAGAAACAACTTCAGGCTTTTGAGATTGGGTCCAGGGTTTACGGTCTGGAGAGGCCTGCCCTAGGCGACTGAGATGGGTTGCTCAGAATGCATGATTTGTTTTCGGCTGTGTTTTTAGCCGGAGGTCCGTGAAGATTAGTGAACATAAGGTCGGTTGAATCACGTGGGGGTTCTCCAACCGGACCTGCCGGGAGGAGAACAGGAGGTTAGGCGTTGCAGTCTCACTCCCTGTTCCGACCCTAACATAACAATAATCATATCGAGCTTTGGAACTATAGGATGGATGGACGCGGCCAGGGATTCGGAGACAAACACTGCTTTGACTTCTTTGACGCGTCAGGAGCACAAAAGTTCAAGCTCGACTAAGACCCACCTAGAGAGAAGAGAGTTGAGGGTCTGGGATGCCGGAAAAGTTACTATATACGTCGCTAATCCTTTATGAAGAGCTCTTTAATACTCTCAGGTTGGCAAGCTAGTTGGCACAGCTCTCCGCTTATCGCTCGATCGGGTGGTAAGCGGAATGCCGATTTTTTGTTCCGACCCCATCCACGAGAAAGCATCTGCTCTGGGACGGTCCTATCTTGCCGGCAAATACGGACCCTCCGTCCAATTCGCTTCTCCTTTCCGCAAAGCTTCAGTTCGAAGCTTGCCTTACTAGAAAGTCACCCGCCCAACGAGACTTCGCGTCTTATGAAATTTGTTACGTGACAGCATTGGAGCCCCTCTGAATTCAGAAACGAAGTCCGCACCTGGAACGGCAGCTTGAGCTCGTGCGCAAAGCTCTCGAGCGGCGCGAGCGTTCCGCTCGTCACCACCACGCTGCGCACGCCCAGTCGCGCAAACTCCCGGAAGCACGTCCCCGGGTCGAAGCACCAGTAGCTCAGCGTCCGCTGGGGGGATCCCCCGACCGCCCGGTTGGCGCGCCCGGGGGGCCCGCCCCCCTCGTGAATGTGCACCCGGTACGAGCTGCTGGACCCCCCGGGAGTTTGCCCCGGGCCGAGCATGGAGTCCTCGGTTGTGAAGGCCTTGCGCAGCGCCTCGGCGAGCGTGGACAGGCGGTAACTAGTCTGGCGGGCGCCCGAGCGCGCGCCCTTGTCGGCAGCATCGTCGGCCAGGAGGGCCGTCGCCTGAGGGGTAAGAAGTTTGTCAGAATTGGGAAGATATGAATTGTTAGCGTCTTGATATCTCAAACGTTCGGACAGCACTTCCAAGCGTCGGCTGCAGGGTCGTCGGGAAAAGGGGTTGGTAAGAGTTTCTAATTCTAAGCTCGCAATGTCACGATCATTATTTTATGGGCAGCCAAGAGGGCCGTCGCTGAGATAGTGAGCCTTTCGGGATTATGCTTGTGGGTCGGCTAAGAAATTGACTCGAGCACCCACCGTTTCGGAGCTCAATCCAAAAGCAATGGGTTACCCATCTTCCCAAGCGATCCCAGACCGCAACGATCGGTTTTCAAATCAGAATCTTAGCAGCTCAGACGTTGTTAATTGTGTTTATGAGCGAGCCCGCCGTGTCATAATTCGGCTGCCCCGTGAATGTCTAAAGCTACAAACTTCGCATTCTGTAAATGTGGCAGCGCGCACCTTGTCTGTGAAGAAGGCACGACGTCTTGTCATGAACGTTGAACACACAGAAGCTCAGTCCCCAAGACTACACACACAGTGATCTCCGTAAATCTCCACCCCGAAAGCGCACCTCGTCGATGGTGTCCATGAGCAGGCCCGCCGTCTCGTAGTTAGCGTGAGAACTCAGTACTGAGGGCGACATCCACGATATCCAAAAACGATAGGACTCTGAAACCTTCGTTCCATTTGCCGCTGAGAGCCCACCTCGTCGATGGTGTCCATGAGCAGGCCCGCCGTCTCATAGTTGATGTTGAGCTCCCCCAGGAATTCCAGCAGCCACGGCCCCGGCCGCGTGAAGCCGTCCGCGCCCGCCAGCGGCACCTCCCGGATCTTGTCCTCCAGCTTCAACAGCAGGTCTGCACAGGAGGAAAAAATGGGGTTTTCAAAAATGTTTGAAAAGTCTAGCCGGAAAAGACTCTCCTCCGACTCTTGTATCGTATCTTAAGGTTTGTGAAAGTTTTGACATGTTCGTAGTATGACCGGAAAGGACTTTTCCTGGATCCTGTCCTCCAGCTTCAGCAGCGGGGGAGAAGACTCGGGTTTTGAAAAATAGTTAGTAGTGTAACCACTAAAGAGCCCTCTCAGACTCTCGTTTCCAGCTTCAGCAGCAGGTCTGCCCGAAAGACTTTGGGTTTGTCAAGGGCTGGTGTCAGTGATGCGGATGGGAAAAGGTCCGGCTCTTGAAGCGGCCCCTCCAGCTTCCGCAATGATTCTGCATCCAGAGGGGAGGGCAAAATATCGAATCACCAATCACGGTTTTCCAGGACTTTACAGATCTTTTGCTCAGCAGGAGGTCTGTTCCTTGTAAAAGCTACTGCCGGATCCTAAACCCCCGACAATGCTATAACGTCCGAAGTAAAGGCTAGCACAAACAGCAAGCAATCCCATTTTCCTTATGAGCCGAACGTCATGTCGCCGGCATGCGCTCCTTTAGCCAGAGCCAAACGGGGAGTACAATCTGCAATGCACCCAAGATCCGATGTTCCAGCTTTTAGAACAATTCTGCCCTTTCAAGACAGTAAAGGACACTACTTTGCCAACAATCGGTCTCGCTCAAAGCCACAAATCGCGGATGCATAAACGGTGTCCGTTTTCAGGGCCGACGGAACCAGCAGTGTCTTGAGACAATCCTCCCAGAGTCTGAACTTCGTTTTTTGGACTTCGCTAACGCCCCAGGCTCCGATACCTCCGGAAGTAAGCGACTCGCGCCAACAAGCCTTTCATGGTAACAAGAACCGCCTCCAGCGACTAACGCTTGAACAGTTTCCGACGCTTTCGGTATTGTCTTGAGACGTCTCTGCCACAGCCTGGGTCCGTTCTTTCTGGACTTCGCTAGCGCCAAAAGCTCCAATACCTGCGACATCAAGCGACTCACGGCAATCAGCCTCCCAAGGACAACAAGAATGGCCTCGAGCGACTCACGCTTGAGCGTCAGGAAGTTTTCCGCGCTAGCGCTGGTCCCCCCGCCCGCGAAGCCGGAGGCAGAGGCCTGGCTGGCCAGCTCCACGCAGCGGCCCGCCTCCGTGATGCACTGCGTCAGGTGCAGCGCGGGGAGGTCGAACGACGCCGCGTCCGCGCAGATGCCCTCCTGGCAAAACAAAGCGGACGCGATAAAATCAGGACATAAAAAAAAGGATTCTCAAAAAAGAAAGGATGCTCTTCGTTCCGTCTGACGGACGGAACAAACAGTGGAAGAGTCGGTTGCAGCGCGGGGAGGTGGAATGACGCCGCGTCCGCACAGATGCCCTCCTGGCAAAAGAAAGCGGACGCGATACAGTCAGGACGTACATAAGAAAAGATGTGTGAGATGGATGGGGTGAAGAGGGGGAAATTCAGGTGATTAAGCGGGGAGGTCGAACGACGCCGCGTCCGCGCAGATGCCCTCCTGGCAAAACAAAGCGGACGCGATAGAGGCAGGACGTACAAAAAACAGCATCTGTGAGATGGTGGAGCAAAGAGTGGAATATTCGGGTGGTTAAGTGGGGAGGTCGAATGACGCCGTGTCCGCGCAGATGCCCTCCTGACAATACAAAGCGGATACGATAGCGGACGCGACACAGTCAGGACGTACAACAGAAAGAATTTGTGAGAGGCCAGAACGAAGATTGAATGGATCTGGTGCAGTGTAGGGAGGTCGAACGATGCCGCGTCCGCACAGGTGCCCTCCCGGGAGCGGAACGGAACCGGAGAAGGACAGTCAGGACGTCCAAATCAGACATGGAGACAGCGATTCTGCTTCAACTTTCGAATGCATCGGGACCCGAAAGGAGAGAGCCTGAAAGGGCTCTGTCAAAGTTGGACCCCGGAATAAGGTGGTCAAATGCGGCATGCGAAAATCGCTCGCGCCCAGGACTGCCAGTGATCTATGGCCGCCAAACTGGTATATGAGACTGTGCATGAAATCTTCGTCGAATGGTCAATTTGGAAACGACGCATCTTCAGCATCTTCCTTGTTCATTCGCTGCCTACTTTCAATGATAGATTGGGACTAAACGCCCAGGAATGTTTCGAACGTATCGGTGCCAGCCTTTTAATCTCAGCTTCGGGTCCAACCAGACCACGTCGAAACTCACTCAAGCTTCCTCCTCGAGGCTCGAAGATACGGAATGGCCGCCAAGCAAACCTCCCGCGCTGAGTCTTCCACTGCGCGAAGAACCTAAAATGTGTCTGCGACTTCAGCGCAAGCTCACACAACAGAGCAGAGCTTTTCAGGACCGGCAAACACCATTCCTTTCTGGGCAACCTGCAAACCAACTTCGGACTCACCAGGTTATGCGCCTCGTCGAAGATGAGCACCGTGTTTGCCCAGTTGACCCCCTTGAGCGTCTCGCGATGCTTCTTGTCGATCAAGTAGTTGTACGGCATGAACAGAATCTCCGCGCCAGCCGCCATAAGCTCTCGCGACAGATAATAAGGGCATGGCCCGATCTCGCGCCCTATGGTGACCAGGTCCTCGATGTCGAGCGGCTCCGCACCAAAGTCGGGGTTCCCGTGCAGGAACGATTCTATCTCGACGTTGTGCCGGCAGCCGCGTGCCTGCGAGGCAGGTTGTTGGTGAGGTTTAAGTAAGCAAGCAGGAGTTTGAGGTCCTCAAAGGGGCGTCAATTCGGTAATATGGTCTTTCCATGTATTTGTAAGTCTGGCTGGGCGCTCGAGTTGTCGCCCAACTGGCAGGCGCCCCGACTCTCTCACAAATGATGCGGACTGGAACGCAAATTGCGGCGTTTGTTGACGTTTCTTGCAAAGCCCAGAGGCCGTGTCGTCAACAGAATTAAATTTTGAAATAGACGGGGCAATCTGATCGAATCTCAAGATCGGTCGATTCATGCAAGGCAGCTCTAACCATGTCTGCCGATGCCGAAAGATTGATCGCATGACATCGGTAAGTAGCCAAAGAAATGGTGCGTTCTTATTGTCGGAGGAGGACCGGTCTATCAAGGCTTCCATACTCCCATGCTGGAAAGTTCCTGGGGCTCTGGACAAGGAACATCAGACAGCCAGCTATCCTTTGGGGGGCTTTTGACAAAGGAGACAAGATCCGGCAGGGTTTGTCACACCACTTCCGCCTTAGGTTTGTCGATAGTTTTTCTTAAAGGTAGAAGTGTCGCCACTAAAGAGCCCATTGAGCGGCTAAATCCCAGGCACGGCGCATGAGGCAGAGTTTTATCGGCGGCGGGCAAGCGTTTTCACACCTGGACTGTGGCCCGGCACGTTGTGTTTTGAGCGACGCCCCTCAGCTTAGAGATGTCGTGATGTACGCAGAGCTGTTCCCGGGACCCCAGGATCGTTGACTTGGGCCTGCACACCACGTGCGGGCCTTGTTTACCACGAAAAACAGTCATCTGAACTTCTTTTGATTCTCGTGGTCCAATAAGGAAGACTGGCGAAGTGCGTGTTTCTGACAATCTCCAACTTTTCAGGTACGTTATTGATGATGGCGTTTGTCCTGGTTTTGCAATTTGGGGCCGTGGCACGGCAGTCATAGTAAACAGAAGCTAGTACTTGCTATCAGATGTTTCCACTAGCTTCCTAGATCACCCCCCTTGTTCAAGCTTGCAGTGCCCATTGCTACCTTTTCTTGATGCAGCTGCTGGCTGCATCTTCACAAATTTCAAAAAGTGGGCATCATGAGATTCACAGCTTTGACTTTGTTCTGATCTTCCTTATGTTTTGTCATTCCGCCAACCTTGCAGAACAACCAGATCTCCGAAGACTTTGATTGTCGGCAACTTCATCACAAGCTTCTAAGAAGTAAGATATAGGCCCACCTGTAGTTCGTATTCTTGAGCTCCTTGATGACCTGCTGCAGCTGGCTGTGCGTGCGCGAAGAGTACACGATTGTGGGAAGTGCTGAGATCGTATTGGGGTTCGACACCTGGCTCAGAAACCCGCCAGTGAAAGCCTCGCCGCTGGTGAGGGGGAGCGCACTGGACTGTGGCTGCCAGTTTCCAGCTGCTTGCACTGGCGGCCCCTGTGAAGAGAGCGAGCCTTCTGTCTATGGAGAGCTTTCAGAATAGACCCTCCTGATTCCCGACCAGGTTTGTTTCCTTGTTTTCATCATGGCAGCTGACATCGGAGTCGATTAACATCTGTACTTTTGGTATGATGTTTGAGGACTTCATTGCACATTGTAAGTTTCGAGCTGCCAACGCATGTTAGAAATGAACAGACAAAAAGGCTGGGTTCTAGAGAAAAACCAGATGCAAGACAGGGAGTCCAATCTTGATGGTCCATCTCGACCACCGGATTCGCACCTGCGGATTTGGCGGCTGAGGTTTGTTGGCTGTCTTCAGGCTCTCCCGCCATGCCAAAGTGGCGCAAAGAAGGCACAGGGTCTTTCCTGTTCCCGTGGGGGACTCTAAGAGAGCATTCTGGCCCTGCACACGGACAGGGCCATAAGATTGGATCCGCATCTACGGTCAAATTCCTCTCTCCAAGATAAGGGCCGCTCTCAAATAAAGTGATACTGGAATGTCCGGCAGATAATCCTGATCTGACGAGGGGGTGGTAGAAAGTCGTGTCAGCTTCGCGACCTCTTTTCGCACAGAAACTGAGGGTCAGAAGAAATCATGGTTTAGGTGCCCCTTGTGTTCCTTCTTTGTGGCAGCCGATGAATGCTGATGAGATGAATCCTTGTGTACTAGCACTTTGCTAGATAAGCAGTAGAAGCTGTTGAATCGTCAATCAGCTGCTATACAGTGCTCCGCCAGCTGAAATGACACTCTGAGAAGGTTGGACTCACCGTCTGCAAGGCTTGGATGACCCGCTCCATGTACACGAGCTGGCAGTCGTAGGCGCTGAACGGGAAGTCCACCTGGACCCCCCGCAGCGTATAGACCGGCATCAGAGCCCCAAATTATGCACCGCATGCGCCTTTCCAGCCGAGAAAAGTTCTTAAAAGAAGTGGCTCTGTCTGCAGCTGTTCTCGACTACCTATTTTCTGCTCCCGCCTCAGCATTTGACATGGGCGAACATAGGTACTTTGTGTGACTTTCCAGTGCACACAAGTTCAACCCGTGAAAGCCTGATGTACGGTACCTCAACCTAGGTGGACTAGGTTGAGAACTTTTTCAAAAGTTTGCCCGGGAACCAGGTTTGAGTGTATTCACACTGACTAGAAGTACGGGAGACAGCCTTGTGTGAAAGTGCCCGAGAATGGTATGGTAAAGATGCCACACCACTTCTGCTTTGATTGACTGTGACTCTGAGGCTTGAGCAGAGAGGCGCTATTGAGAGGAAGCGCTCACACGGGCTGCTTTGCATTGCGCACGTTACAGAACGACCTTTTCTTCCTCAGTCAACAGTTAGCTACTTTGTGCGACTAGCTCTGCTGCCTTGGTGGCCCCTTCATATCAGTCATGGACTCACAATTGGAAGCAGAAGCTTTCAAAAGAATTTATCCAGAGGAGTACTTCCAGCGCTTCTTGTCAGAAGGCACAAGACCAGACGGAAGGCCCCTGGGAAGGGCAAGGAGTACAACCATTGGATTTGGGGCGGTTTCGACAGCGGATGGGTCTGCTCTGGTCAAGATTGGCTCAACCGTAAGTATTTGATCACTCATTTGAAGGCCTGTTTTTGGTGATCATTGGGATGCAGAACCTTCACACGGATTCTGAGCACATTCTCTACTTTGTGCCACCAGCCCATCACTCTGCAATGCAGCCTTGTAAGCGTGAGAAAGATGCGTTGCCTTTTCGTTTCTTGTATCCCAAAGTGGCAGACAATGCTGGTTTCAAACTCTACCACCAACTACAAACGTTCCTCACTAATGTGTCCACCAACTGCAAACATTCGCATTGATGTGTGCAGACATTGCTGGCTGGGATCAAGCTTGAAGTCATGACTCCTACCGCTGAGGCGCCAGATGCTGGGAAAATTGGTGAGGCTCAGCTCCAATGTTGCTCGTCCACATTCTTATGATACAGCGCAAGTTTATGATCCTTGAACACTTGTCTGAACACATCAAAGTGCTGGCGTGATGGATCAGAATCTTAAAGCAACACCACTCTTGGCTGGTGGCAGGGCTTGGTGGTCGCGGTACTTACAGTGGTCTCTCCCATGCTTCCGCTCTTGCCTTGAGCCTCGGCCCCTCATGGGTTGAAACCAACACCATCAGGAAATAACGCATTTTGAATCGTTGCATCTCCTGGTGCCAGCGCACAATCACAAGTACAGGAGCACTTATAGCACTTATAGCACTTGTAGCATCTCGTCAAGAAGCACATAGTGCATACAGCAGCACATGTCCCCGGCAGCTCTCAGCTACGACGTACGGATTCTAGATCATGCCACCTGCCTGTGCCCTGCAGCGGCCACCTTTGAGATGCCCCCTCTCTGCTCCCCGGATGCAAGGCCCGAGAGGCGGCTGGAGGAGACAAGCGTGGTGGTGCAGCAGGTTATGAATGCAATTGAAAGGTACCGGTTTTGTCAAGGCCTTCACAGGGTGGTTGTAGTCTTAATCTGGATGTGATGCTTGGGCCAAGCGGACTACTGTTTGCCATGATGTGTAATATTTGGAGCTTTTTGGGTGCTGTTGATCGATTCCACGCTGGGTGGATATAGAAGTCAGGCTTTTGCGATCATTGAATGGATCTGTGCCCTAAATAAAACACTTTGAGATAGATAACAAGAACTAATGTGAAGTTCAGAAGAGTTCTCTGAAGTTGTCTTAGTATTCTCGTTATGTTTCCACTTTCTCTCTAGACCATAGCTTGCCCAGACGACTGCAAGACTCATAAGTGTCAGATGCAAACCTTCTTTCCCATCCCTATCAGTGATCTCAACTGTTGCTCCATTCTGCAGTGCCGGACTGGTCAACACGAAAGAGCTGCTGATATCTACCGGAAAGGCTGCCTGGGTTGCGTACTTGGTAAGGCTTTGAAAGGTTGCCTACTTTGTAAATTGAGGAGTCTCTAAAAGCAAAAGTAGCTGTTCGATCAACCATTAAGCAGCCTGGTTGGCCGTTAGTGCACCTGTAAGATCAAGTTCCTGCTTTTCATGACCGCAAGATGCTGCTGATAACAGGAGAACGGGAAGTTTGACGGTTTCATGCGCACAGTGCTTAGAGACCGCAAGACGCTGCCGATAACAAGAAAACGGGATGTTTGACGGTTCATGCGAACAGTGCCTGAGATGATTGCCACTGCATCTTGACTTCGCTTCCTCAACTTTCGCCTGGGTTACATATCATTACATACAGTCGCTTCTGCAAGGGTCCCTCTCTATGACTGAAAGTTTCCTGCACTTTGTCTGAGGACGCCTTCATCCTCCACTTTAGCTCTAATCACGCTTGGGCAAGTGTCCATTGTCCTTTCCGTGCACCGACATCTCACATTGCGCTGCAGGACATCTACTGCCTGGACGCTGATGGTTCTCTTCTGGACGCAGCCCTTCTTGCTGCGGTTGCAGCCTTTGCAGACTGTGAGTGCACTCAGTATCTTCCCCTTCCATTCTACCTACTGAATGTCTGCATCGTCTTCATGGAGTCGCTGTTCACCTCAAGTCGCTACCCTTCGCCTGTGACAGCCGGAGCAGCCTGGTCGAGATAAAACTCCGTTCTCATACGCGTTTCGCTTTGGCAAGCAAATCACTGCGGGACGGAGATGCGGCACCCTTGAAGCTAGCCCTGAGAAGGCCCCCGACCCCAAATTCAATCCTTCTGTCCGTCTTTACGAAGCCTTCTCTGGGCCTGCGCTTCCTTCTGCTGCTGGTTTTGAAGATGTTCCATACCTTTTGTTTGCAGTGACCCTTCCGCCCGTCCGGGTGAATCCAGAGGGCCACGTGCTACCCGTGCTGTCGGGGGCTCAAGGAGGCAACTTGCGGGAGAACGGGGACGCATCCTCGGAGGTCGTCACCGTCGAGCGGCGGAAGCTCACGCTTGGGGCCATGCCCTGGGCTGCAACGATTGGCCTCTACAAAGGGTGAGCGTCTCGTTGCGAAAGGGCAAGACTAAAGTTTCGACTTCGAGTTCTGGGTGGCGGTTGTTGTCACTGTGCTGGTCAGTCTTGACCCGTTTGATCGAATCTTAAAGTTCCTCTTTCCTTGACGAGAAAGAGGACGCAAAGCTCTATCTGGCTTCAAACCATGTGGCTGACGTTAGCGAGTACCTCGGCTTTTCCGAAAGGTCAGACCTGTAGGCCTCCCCTCACCTGCAAACAGCCCTTCGACCGGGAAGACTCCTCTAGAACATCAAGTAAACGACTTGCTGCTTTTCTCGTTTTGGAGCAGACACCTGATCGTTGACCCCACGGCGGAGGAGGAAGCGCTGCTAGAGAGCACCGTGACAACGATACTGGACGAGGCGGGCAGACTGATCTCGCTGTTCAAGCCTGGGGGGATCACGGCAGTCACCACAGCGCTAATACAGGTGAGGCAAGGGCTCGAACAGATTGGAAGATCGTCTATATCAAATTCTTGTCGTAATGCTCAAGGACTCGTTTGAAGCAGCCCGTCGCTTGGCATCTTATGTACCTCGGCACGGGCTTGCCTGAGATGGAGTCTCATGCAAACAGTGGTACCTGGCAATCTCGTAATTTTGCGAACTCGAAATGGACGAACGGGTGTCAGTTGCCTAACCTCTGACCTGGAAACGCCTTTACTCTTAACCCCGAATTGGCAACCGAGTATTCAATCGGCACTTGTGTGCTCGACGTTTCTTCTGATGATCGTCTAGCAGGAGTTTGGCGTCCGTTGACGACGACCGCACTCACGCACCGAGCCCCTTTTATTTCTCGAAAACCGTGAAGGTCCAGTCTTTGGTTGAACATATAGATTGATAAGCTGATGTCTCAAGTAGGACGTGCGCACCGCACCGTTTGTGCCTCTCTGAACACCAACTAATTGCTGGTAGCTTGTGCGATTTCAAGTCTGCCATCCGAAATTGAGTAAGATGCGTTTAAGAACGACATGTGTACCGCTCCCTGCAGGACTGTGTGGAGCTGACTCGGCACCGAGCGCGGGAGCTGAAGCAGATCCTCGAAGAGAGCTCCCAGGAGGACGAGGACGAAGGGGACGAGTCGCAGTAGTTGAAAGCACAGCAAAGAGGGAATTGGTTCAGCTGAGCGGAGTGGGCGCGTCTTGTTTTAGCTCTTTCCAGGCTGCGCAATGGTAGAGGAGACAGTGCGAGCTGATGCCTGCAGAAATTGTTCGGCAGTTGCCCGTGGCGGAAGGAGGGAAGAGTCGCGCCCTTGAGTATAGGCAAAGTATAGGCAGTTCGGGTAATGACCTGCAAGCCCGAGTTCTGATAAATGAGGGACAGGCAAATGGATGAGGGTGGATAGCCCAGACCTGGTGGAGACGGATCGAACAAGCACGGCGACATTGCAGGAATAGGCTTGTGCGTCGTCAGCACTTGGGCCGAGAACTCGATCATCTACACCAACATCTGCCATGCTAAAAAGGTGAGGTGTCCGGGATGCGCTCAACTGATCGATTACCTGTTCGAAGTACTCCTGCATTATCTCGATAGCGATCACTTTGGGTGGCCGATTGGAACCGCCTGGCCTGCGTCTAGAACGAGCGTGACTTTGAGCAAAGTCGTTGTTCTGGCTGCAAACTTGCACTATTATGGGCTGAACTCAAAAAGCCCACACGAAAGTGAGGATCTCGCCCGTTTGGTGAAGACAGTTTTCTTCGAGCTTGCTTGCTTGCCTACCTGTCATCTGATGTGCTGTTGTGCATGACTTGCAGGGATGAGTTGTTGGCGAGCTGCGCCTGCTTCTGACATTCAGGCATGAATTCTGTCCTTCAATGGCTGTGCTCGGCCGTACAATTGTGGCAAGACCACTGTAAAAGCCTTCGTGCATAGTTGTGATGCTTTAGTGTTGGTGGAGATTGACATAAATGATCCTGATCAACCTTTGAAGCATCTATCAGATCCGCATCGGCCTTCGCGGTTTGAATAGCTCTTGACTTTCCTCCGAAGAAAGACTTGGTGCCTCGAGGTTTACGTTTGACACTACAAAGTGCCATGGCCGGGGCGTGTTGGCAGTGATTTCTCAAACAGCAATTGCATCCGCGTTTCATGCCGTACCAGTCGGTCAATCAATGCGGGGTGTATGCTTGGGCCACGATCACGTGTTGCTGTCTATATCCTTGTAAATATCTCGTGATCAAGGCACTGCGGCACTGTGACTCAACAAGTGAAACTCGTCATATAGCAAGCGCAATCATTGTCACTCAGCTTGGATTCTCAATGTCGAGCTTGAATTCTCACGGGTATACGGCTCTTGAACAAACTGAGCGAATGATCATGCATTAATTGACTCACACGTATCAATATATTGCAAATAAGAGCGCAGGCAGAGAACATGATTTAGGCGCAGGCTCCACTTGCAAGAGGCAAGACGTTTTCATTCAGTGCAGTGGTTACATGTTCTGCTGAAACATACTACGCAGTTTTGCCGCGGGTGCACGGTAATGTCTGATCAGAATGATCCGAACCGATCCGACATATGACCCTGCTCCAGCTCGCCGTGCTACTCATTGAAACTTAGCTTATTGACATTGGCTAGGATCGACTTCAGGCGCAGCCCATGCTTGAGGCCGTGCTGGCACATGCGCATCCATGACGCGTTGCTTACTGTGTGCGTATGCTTAACTTGTACCCGTGTTTCCGCAACCTTTTGAAGGGCGTGAGTCCTTGGTGCTTCTTTATCCGCATCACGCAAGGCCACGACTATTTCTCGAGCGCCTTAATCACTACCTAGCCTGGCGCGGCTATGCATCCGATTTAGTACGCCGTGATCCAAAATGTAAGGCAGCTGACTCGAAGAATGTCCCGAGCCTTTGACTTGCGTGCACAACCCGCGCGCATCTTGTTTTCAACTACGCGTGATCTTGATTCCAGCCGCTTAACCTTATAGCCTTTGAAGTACAGTCGCTTGGCAATGTCGGATGCTTAAATACAGTCTGAGAAGCAAGACTTCGCCGGTGAGCAAACAGTCTGCTCAGAAGAACCGTTTCAACAGCTTCTCGAGAGACCACTTGCGGGCCGCCGCGGCCGTCCGCAGCTCGGCCTGGCGACGCGCGGTGTCCATGAATGACGTGGACGTACGCGTGATTCCATGCGTGTCCGCATAAAACTCGAGCAGCTTGCGGTTCCCCACGGACTGGGAGAAAACGTTTTTCTTGATTGCAGCGTGAACCCCCCTGCTCATGCAAAGAACGGTCCAGAGTTCAGCCGCAAACCTTCTCCTCGACAAAACAACGCCTATCGGTGGGTCGAGAAGCAGTGCTGGAAGCTTGGGGTGCTCGGAGAAGAAGGAAGCGACACAGCAGCCGGCAGGAAGGGCCAAGAGATATATGCCAGTGGAAAGATTGAAGTTTTTTATTTTCATCTGCTCAGAACTTTCATTTGCTCAAAATTTGGACTTGTGACAGCTCGTCCAGGATTCACTGGACTCAGTCTGTCGAAGCGAGCACGTGCTTGATAAGGTGGTGACACGTGGCCGTAATAGTTTCCGCATCGATCAAATGGGTGAGCGCTCATCTCCGGTCCTCAGGACCAATGAGGACGCTTCGATCGATCACATGGTCTGCAAGGTACAGACCCGGTACAGCTAGAGCGGTACTGTTCAAAACTGTATGCGGACCAAAGATGCGGAGCTAGTGAGCCTAAGCAGTCTCCGGTCGACGCGGAACCTTCAACTTAACCTTAACCTTAAAACCTTGACCTTGACCAGCTTACCAGTTGCTGTCGACCACCTGGGAGACGCTGTAGTCTACGGACGTGGTGATGATCGAGAGTGCCACGTTTTCGGACAGTCCGAAGACGTCCATGAGAAAGTCACGTGACTTGTTATACGCGCCCGCAAAAGCCCCGTTCAAGTCCGCACCCGCAACAGTGATGGTGCTGGGGACCGTCAGATTGTCCAGGTAGTTCTGGTACGTATACCTGCACGAAATAGATCGTTTACGGAACTCATTGGCCTTTAACCAGGGATGGTTATGTGCTGGCTATGTCTGGTTAAGAAGTGATTATTCTCCAATAACTAGGGTTGGGGGGTGACCAGCTTTGAAACAAGGCTGAAGCCCGGTTATTTGTCCAACAACCTGAGACCAGAATCAAGAATCAGCCTGGTCAGCAGCCGAACTGTCCATCAAAATAGACTGCACAAGACGGAGACGATGGGACTTACGTCGAAAGCAACCGCCTAACACTTAGAGGTGCGTCCGACCGTCAAAACGCCTGCCTTTCTGGGAACTCGTTTCGTAACCGGCAGTATCAATCCATTCCTTTGGAACAGTGCTTAAGACACCCCGACCGAGGGCTCAAATCCGGCCGAAAAGTGGCAGTCTTTATTGCCTTCTCTCAGCCCTTATGAAGATCTCTTCTCTCGAGAAACTGAACGTTTGAAAGACGAGCTCACCCGTGGACGATGTATTCATCTGGCGTCTCGAGCAGCGGGAAGCTGAGCCCTTGCACCGCATCCGGAAGGTCGGCCGCCTTGAGAGTGCTCACTTGGACGGTCACGTCGAAAGACGTTTCGATTGCGGTGCCCTGGAGCTCGCTGTCGCCCTGCAGGAGTGCGTTCGCGCGTTAATAATGCAAAAGCGCGCGAGCGGGACGGTTGGATTTCGCGGTGCCCTGAAGCTCGCTGTCGCCCTAAAGGAGTGCGCGCGCACGAGAATGATGCAGCAGCGCGCGAGCACAGGGACGAGAAGTTGAAGACGTCGAACACGCCGTTCAAGTTTAGGCTTGACTACACCCGTGTTGCACGGGCGAGTCTGCTTATGGACCCGCGAACAGGCCTTTTGAGACTTGGCTCTAGTAGAGAGCGATGGGAGAAGGACACGTGGCTGCCGTGAGAACTTTAAGAGAAGGACAGGTGGCTCACCTGGGCGGCGTGTGTGTCCGCCATGACGAGCCTCGCTCCGTCGGTTTCAACGGCTGCGCAAGAAACGAACAGTTAGCACGCACGTTTCACGCGATTCGACATAAACGTCCTTCTTTCTGGCAACTGGATAAACCGTGTTAAGGCAATGGGTCGGAAAGGCGGCGACGACTCTCTCGCCTTAACTACCCAGCGACGTCGCCAGCAGCCGTTCCGGATCCGCGTTTGCGCTTGGCAGAGGGCAATGGATGCGAACCATTCAAAGGACGTGGAGCTGGGTTCAGGTGGGGAGCTGCCCCAATTGATCGATCGACGTTTCCGACCGAACTGTTTTCTACCAAACCTCAAAGCGCCTCGAATGACTAAGAAATGATCATCGAAAAGTTATTCGATCGAAATGGCCACTCGCGGGCTGGTCGTTAAGAGACATCCAGATCAAGCGTCCCCAGCGCATTCCTTGAATGAAGCATGGCAGTGCAACATTTGGGACAAGCGTCAAGAAACTTGCTGGCGCATCAAGCTCTCAAATAGCCTTACTGTAATACATGGTGGTGCCTGGTCCAATACGCCAGTCCTGGACAAGTCGCAACGCTTTCTTTTTAGCCCACAGCATTTGACGAAATCCTCGGAACCTTTGTTACATTCCACAGACTATCAAAAACGCTAAACATGTCTTCAGCTTTCGTTTCAGCCTTTGACAAAATCGTCAAACCTTTATTACATTTCATAGACTATTCAAAACACGAACGTCTCTTAAGCGCTTGTCGCTTGTCGATTTGCAAACAGAAGCACTGCAGATTCGAGGGCTGGATGCTTGCAACGAATTTCGTGCGCAAGCAGGATCGAGGGGCAAGAAGATGAACAACAAGCTGAGCGAGCTTCTCCGTCTGTGTGTTTGGGCTCACGTCGATGTTCCCTCCAAATCGACTGGGGGGCACAGCAGATGCGCCCCTGGTTCCATTCGGCGCTCCAGTCAGGTAGTTTTGGCCGTTAGCCGGCATCACTCCTGCAGCGAAATTCAGACGGCCAACTGTCACATTTATTCTTTTGACCAGAATGAAGCACCATTCACAAGAAATGATGGAATCCTTCTTCTGCGTCGATTCCTAGCAGGGAACTGAAGTGAACGAATTTGTAACGCGAGGATCCACTATTCGAACTCGAGTATGCAACTCTCACCATTACGAATTCTGACCAGAATGAAGCACCATTTACAAGAAATGATCCTTCTTCTGCGTCGATCCCTAGCGGGGGACTTCTGCGAACGAACCTGAAACGGGAGCATCTACTAGTAATCGACTTCGTTATAAAATGGTTTTGATCATCCAAAGGGGTTTAGGAGTGCGCCTCTCACCCATGATACCCAAGTGTGGCCGCAGCGGGATGCGGTAGTTGAGCGGATCCGTCAGGTAATTGATGGGCGTGCTCTGATTCTGCACGCCGAAGAAGACAGATCATGAGCTCGTGAGATCCTCAGCTTCAGCCTTTCTTCCTAGTAATCAAGCAGAAGACAGCCCCTCGCGATTCGCTTGACGAAAGGTGCGTTTTCTCTTCAACAATTCGCACCGGCAAGTTCTATAAGGCAACACCTCCCTCCGAAGGTCGGCTTATGCAGCTGCTGCACTCGTCAAAGTGCCGGCGCCTCGACGAGTCCCCCGGTCTGAAATGCATGAGACACGGCAATTAGGATCAGACACGTGTCAAACGAGGATCAGAAAAGGTCTTTCTCTTGATATTGGCACTCACCAGCGTGGTTTGGAAGCCCGCAGGATACGGGAGGGTGAGCGCCTCGTTGTTGTTGATCCCGTAGCTGCAAGGAAGGCCCAATTCGACAAGCTCAAGGAAGAGTTCCGCTGTTGCTTATGTTGTTCTTGAAACAATCATCAGCATCACGTTAATCAAAATAGAGTGCGCACGAAGTGCGCACTACCCCTCGGAACAGAGGGACTTCCGCGGTTTGGCAAAAGAGAACCCAAGGATGGGTAGAGTCCTGTCTAGACATACTAATATCGGGTCCGATTGCGTCCTTGCATTGTCTCTTGAACTCCCAACGACCCCTGAAAATGTGAATCCTTAATATCTGATTGAAGGATATGAAGGTTATGTCATTCCTGTCAGCCTCGAAAAACGGCCTGCAAGGAAGCAACGAATCTTTGGAGCTTGTTTCACGCACTCACTTGACGGGGTGCGGCACTACCACTCCGTTGTTGATGTTCTGCAACGCAAGGTTGCCGCCACCATTGGGATCAAGCATCTTGGGAACCTCGAATTGGTAGACGGGGAGTGCCCTGGAACGGAGAGACGTCGTGCCGTCAGTCGATGGATATTCGAGCGGAGACCCTTTGATATCGAAGAAGGAGGACTCATCTCTGTGCGACACCTATATCCGCATGCAAAAGCAGCTGCGAAACGCCGGGGAAAAGCAAACGCTGCGGAAAGCATTAGGGCTTTTCAAATCAATTTCATATAAAGAAAGCTAATAAGCTAGCTGAAGATGAGAACAAGGTAACCGCATTGGGACGGGTGGGGTTAGTTTGGGGGTAAGGGTGGGTAGGGTGCAGAGCGGGTGCTTTCTGGGTCCGGGATTCAGTGTCAGTCGGAGCTTTCTGTTTTCGTGGCTTATCATCACCTTTACTCGAGTCTTCGACCACGTGGCAAGGACGCACTTACCACATGCCGTCCTTATCCTCTGATATGTCGTAGATTGTAATGATGGAGTTGTTCCAGGCGCTGCCGTCCCTGTGACCAGCCCGAGCTTGGTAACTGCACACGGCGTGAAAAAAGCATAAAACTTTGATTCAGGAAAAATAAGCTTTAGGTAAAGTAAGCCAAGCAGCCTGAGACGGGTGGGGTTAGTTTGGGGTTTTAGGGTGGGTACGGTTTTTGAGGGTAAGGTTTTCAGTGTTAGGGTATGCGCTTACTATACCTAGAGCTTACGCTACCTGAATTGAAGAGACACACAAAAAGCTGCCGTTTTGAGCGAAAAGAAACAACATTTAGGAACGAGAGAGACCCCTTTGTGAAGCAGAAGAAGTTACCTCCCTGGAGCGAAATGGTTACCTTTGTGGAGGGTCTCGTGTAAATGAGGGGGCTAGTAGGAGCCTTCAAAGGAGTGATTTCTTGGAAAGGCCACGAAAACATTCTCAGTATGCGGGTCGATGATGGAATGCAGACCGCTACAGTTGAAGACAATAACAGGACGTTCGTAAGCCTCACCCAAAAAATGCCTGTCTGTTGGCTCCATACGTTTTGCCGCTCGCTGGGTTGACTCGAGGCTTGACGGACAGGATCTCCACCTATACGCAAGAGAGAAGTGGTGAATTGTAAGCTCCCTTTGGCAGTCCAACTTTGGTAGAGCTGACATGACAAGCAGCTTTCGTCCGGTGCTCAAAAGTCTGCTCGGGCCTGATCATTGGTGTTAGAAGAAGGTTATCTATTGTAATTATGGAGATTCATAGCCAGAGGAAAGAGGAATTCGATTGCGAAGACCTGATTAGGCCCAAAGCTTTTTCAAGGTCCGTGCTGAGGAGGAGTAGAGGCCAACGAAGAGCAGCTGGATTGCAAACCCGTTGTCATCCAGCAAATAGTTGGAAGGTTATGCAAATTGTAGTTGCACTTCTCTTGGTGCTTGTAGTTGCGGTCCTGGCAGGCTCATCCTTACCTGCAACACATCTCCAGGCTGTGCACCGCACACATAGATGGGCCTGCATAAGAAAGAAGTTGGCTAAGAGGCTGCACTTACCAGGGGCGATATGTTTGTCAGCGCTCTGACAAGTGGCGAGTTTACGACTTTGATAACCTGTTGCTGAGCTTTGGAAGATCGACTTGTTTCTCTGAATTGTGCCATGGCTTCTTGAGCTGTCATGGTTCCTTTATTTTGTCCATGCATTCTTGGGCTGATCCTTTAATCACTTCCATCCATAGAAAGCTTGGATGTTTGCAGAGACAGACAAGTCCACATTGGTTCAACATACATTCTCGAGATTGTCAAAACCCCAAGTTGGACCAAACGACATGTTGCCTCAAAGATGAAGGCACCGTCTTACCCCGTCACAACGTGCGAGCCAGACCCTGGATACTTTGGAACATTCTTGGTGGTAATGGGGGTGCCTGTTGCCCAGTAATAGATGTCACTCACACCAGGATCCCCCTGAAAAAATCAAAAGAGTAAGCAAAAGTAATAATTCTCAAACAAAATCCGACCGCTTGAGAAGCCTTGACTACTCATGAAAATAGATGTTGAACAACTCAAGGACGCTAGACGATGTGAAGCCCTGATACTTGCGACCAGGAGCACAGTGTGTGACTTTCTAAAAGTCTTTGTCTTGCGACAAGTTTAGCAGATCAGTGTCATCTGAAGCTGGCACATTGAGACAAAGTTTGAGGAGCTGGTAGCAGCTGAAGGGACTAACTGGTAAACTCATGTATCTCACTTCTGTATGCACTGCAACCCCTCAAAATGTCATAATTTGTTCCAGCTCCAGAATGCTGAATGTATTGAGCTTGGTGGTTTCACCTGGATCATCTTGGCCCAGTCATTGCCTGCCTCGTGTGTCACCACCTCAACAGTGATAACATCACCAGACTGGATGTACGCCACCGGATCCTTGAACAGATCGTAGAAGCCCCTACAGCATGAAAGAACAGCTGTCAGTCTCCTGAAGTGCAATTTCATTGATTTGCTATGATCTGGTGGGGGAGAGTGAAAGTCCTCAGTCCTTACAGAAAAGGGGTCACAATCATGACTATTGGTTCAAAGAAATCACAATCACACTTGATAATGTAAATGTTGCTGAACTGGAACATGCATGCATGGACAGTTTCCTGCCAAGAAGCTGGCGAGCTTGCTGACGTTCCTCATTGTGGAGGTAGGCAATTGGAGACTTCTTGGGTGTCAAAAAGTGGAGCTACCAAACCCCAAGCTTGCACAAATCCTGATTCTCCCAGCCTCTCAATCCGAGTGCCACCATCCACAACCTCAGAGGCATCCCATAGCCGGCCTCTGAGGAGCTCACCAATTGACTGTGCTGCTGTTTGCCGTAAGGTACGACGTTGACGGCCCGCTGCATTGTGGAGGCAGAGTGGTGCTTGGAGTGGCGACAGGGACAGGACCAGTGAAGGGAGCGGAGGTCGCGGCAGCTGCTGACGCCACAGGGGAGCTCGGCGAGATGCCGATGGAGCGGGGCGCAGTGGTTGGGACAGTGGCGGGAGGAGCAGCCTCGGGAGGCGTTGCTGAAATGAGGAGTGGGTTTGGGGCGTCCGCAGGAGTGGCAGCGGACATAGGCGCAGGGGCGTCCGCAGGGTTGGCGGCGGCCACCATGGGAGCAGGGGCGTCCGCAGGGGTGGCGGCAGCCACAATGGGAGCAGGGGCGTCCAAAGGAGCTGAAGGAGCGTCCGCAGGAGCTGAAGGGGCGTCCGCAGGAGCTGAAGGGGCGTCCGAAGGGCTGGGAGCTGCCAGTGGCTCCTGAGCTGAGGTGACGCCCAGCATTGCGAGGAGCGTGAGCGTGATGATCATTTTGGGGCCAAAGCGTGCCATGGCGGTGGACAAGAAGGAGCTCGACGAATAGGATGGTGCTTTGATCGGTCTGCTTGTGGAGGAGGAGTGGACGGAACTGATCACCCTACTTGGCGCACACAGCAGAAGTTGACCTTGCGCAAGCTTCGTGATTGAATGGACGTCTTGGAAACAGCTACAGAGCAAGAAAGCGGAATCCCGAAGCACGGGACAATTTGTACATGCTAATGTCATGAACCCAAACAAACAGCGGCTTTGCAACAAGCCTTTCAGCTACATTGGTCCAACCTCCTCTCATCCTCGGAGTGAGGCAATGCTGAGCAGCATTGTTGCTCTGTCGGGCGCGGCCCGAAGACAAGACCTGCATTTCCGCTGAAGACTGACCACTGAGCAGGGTCTCTCCAGGAAAACCTGACTGACATCACTCTGAGCAATGCTGCGCGGATTTACTTCGTATAAGAGCAGGTAGCAGGCAGGCTGTGACTGAGCAAGGGTCGGCAGGAGTCGGACCAGGACTGAGACGGGCAATCATTACGAGACAAAGCTTCAAACAGGGACTCCCCTGTATAATTACCCAGTTCGCAAGCGACTTTGTTAAACCAATAAGCCAAGTGCTCGGTCGCCAAAGTTGTCGGCAAAAGAGATGTCGGCCTGTCCACGTGGGGCATATGGATGTGCATGTGGTTCATGCACGTGGACTACGGAACCCATGACTTGCTTGCAACGTGGCAATCATTGAAGCAAAGAGACGCCGGCACCGATTCGCCGCGCAATACCTATGAACTTCCGGACTCTATGGCTGCCAGCTTGCATATATTTGGCCGCTGGCAGTGTGGAACCTGAAGTCTCCTGACAATGATCATCAAAGATCCAAATGATTCGGATGATCCAGATAGTCTCGCCGCACGATCAGAACTTAAGGTTCTTTCTGGAGGTCAGCGCCAGCATGACCGCATGCTTTGTTCCTAAATGTGGCGAGCTGACTGTCGCCTACGTACGTTTCACGTTGTGAACCCTGAAGTAGACCAATGCACGACTCGCTTGGTAAATGCTAGACGTTACTGAAGTGCTTACAGTGCATATAGCGCAGGTAGTACTGCAGGCTCGTGACGTATTGGGCCTGGTTCTGATCTGACAGCTTGTCTGAAATCGTTTTGCCACATGATCTGTTTAGGACTGTACGCAATACTAGGCCTCCGCTTTGAATATCATAGGAATGAGCCTTTAAGCCGGAGTTCCTCCAGACTTCCCTGATCACTTAGCATACGGAACAAATCCTCGTAAAGCTTTCTGCATCGTTTGAGAAACCTGCCGGTAAGCTGGATCGAGATGTGCCTACGGCGTTTGCAATGATAAAATCAGACATTAACGCTTCTGCACATGCATGCTACTTAACTTCGAACTTATGAAGCTCATAAGCGGCCACTTCCATTGTATCAGTTGCCGTTCTGATCAGTAGGCTGACTCACTCGCCGCAGCATCTTGCAGAACGTTCCAGCAGATGCAATCATGGACTCGGAACTCACCCGCACGCGATTGAGGTAACGATCTTAGAAACGTGGGCGCCACTCGACGGCGAATGCATGAGTCATCGTTACTTGAGTTTCCGTGTAGTTCTTCGGTTCCGCTGACCCATACTGCTTATGGAGGTTCGAAGCAATTGTAACGTCGGTGGAACTCGCATGGCGAGTCAACAGCTAGGTACGATCGTCGACCATCAATTCTGCACGCTCGCAAGGCCGCACTTTCATTAACTTACTGCAATCACCTCATGCTGAGATGCGCCGCCTGCTCGAAAGATCGAAGTGCGATGCAGGGCAAAGAAGTCAATCGCGGCAAGTATTAGTGAGCAGGAGCGCAGGTCAGGATCAGCGGACCGCCATCTCACCAAGGCTTTGAGTAGTAGGTAGCTGGCGTTAAGACCCCGGTTGTGATTTTGCGGGTGCCAGGTACCACCCAGCGACGGTCAGGGTAGACGACAAATTACGGTGTCATCACAGGGAATGTTGTGGGTAAACCATAGTCGGTTACGGGCTGGTTCGAAGCTGCTTCAATTGTCCAGTAACCAGACTCAGGCGGTAACCAGGTTCTTGACATTGAAATAAAGCGGTTGCTGGTCACTCAGAGAACCAGACTGAAACCTGGTTATCAAACCTGGTTAGCAGCAAAACCTTCCTCTGTATGCCCTCTGCCAAGGATCGCCTGGCAACGTCGGTGCCGGTCAGGCCGGCGCGCTGGAGTACCATCGCGCACAATGGTGGCGCAGCGCGCAAGGTGCCGGGGGGCTAAGATTGTCAGCAGAGCCTAAAGCGTCGAAGAAAGCTGACGATGGGCTGAGAAACAACTGCAACTGAAGAAGAAGAAGAGGCGATCAGGCGGAAACGGACCAGAAGAAATCATACTCGTTGTGCAGAGATTGCGAGGGCCGAATGAACTGCAACGCAGCCGTGGGCTGGCGAGAAGATTGTAATAGAAGCCCGACAGGTATCATAAGGACCGAGAAGGTCTTTGACGTCAGCTTCTCAGATCCTAGGACCCCGGCTCAGAGTAGGATCTGAGAAGCTGACGTCATTGAATTGTGAAAAGGCGAAGCATGTTCTGATGAAATGACGTCAAAGGGTCCGTCGAGGAAGCCGATCACCCAAGTCGGACTGTAGAGACGGCCACTCAAAAGTCGTTCTTGTCGCGGACATCAGGTTGAACGTTAGCAGCTAGTCGAACAGACGCTGAAGCCAGCTTCGCAAATTCATAATTTCTGTGAGAACAAAGATGCAAGAATTCAGATTACTCTGCCAATACTCTGCTGTGGCTTATGTATGCAAGATGGCTTGTACAGCTCGCAGCGCTTCGAAGCTGGATCGATTCTGCAGATAGCGGAAAGATCCGACAACAACCTATCTGGTTCTTGCAATCGTCAAAAGAGCGGGCGAAAGGATTTTGCACCATCTCAAGTGATGACGCGTTCGCCTCTCACTTCGCCCTTCGGCAGCTCGGCCGTCCGGCTGCAGCCCTGATGGGTTCATCTGGTCTGAAGATGGAAGAAGGCGGAACCGGTGAAAGCTGAAAGCGGAAGGGCAGGTCCAGGGGCATCGGATCGCGGATCGGGGGAGAAAAGACGGAAGAACTCGAAAGAGTCTCCAGGATCTTCCTGGTTGAGCTCTGTCACGAAAGAGAGCTAGGGGACAAAGGGCGCATTCTGAGACGTTGTTTGGCGCACGAATCATTGCGGTAGGGAAAGGCCGACTAGATCTCATAATGCAGCCCAGCTTCTCTGAAGCTGGGCTGCATGAGTCAGTTAATCGTTAAGTTGTCACCAAGACGTCGGCCAAACCGTTCGAAGGACGGTCCTCGTCCTTGCCAGTGCGACGAAGGAAAACAAGCTCCGCGCTGGGTCCAAAAGTTTTATGATCTTATGTCAGTGATGTTCTCTTTTACACGCTGAAGCCACATGGGCCATAGGCTTCTCGATCATGGCATACATGGTGAGTGTGTCACTATGATGTTATATCCCTATTGCAACTTCTAAATTAAAGTCTTAGGCTCAATTCTGATGTGATGTGATGCAGAGGGAAAGAATCAAAAGCCGAGGTAGCATACACGTCACAGAATGATGGGTTCCATGGAATTGCCCTAGTTCAATTGCAGATGTTGCATGCCCGATTGCACCGCGACATGTATAAATACTTTGAAGTCGTGCCTTTAATTCGAGTCTGATTTGTTCGCGGCAATAAGATCTGCGCGTTACGGCATGCTGCATGCACTGAGGCCGCACCGGCCCCCCCACAAAGTCAAAACGCCTTAATTTTGCCGTACATCCATGTCGCATCGCATTGATCATCTGTCTTCAAAGCATGTACGTGCTATAAGTCTCCAAAAGCAAACCTCGGCCAGTCTATAACTTCACTTTTAGAAACATGCAGCATACATGCAGATTATTTTCGGACCAACCAATAGAAGCATGCCGGCGACATTGACTTGCAAACACGCTTGCCGTGCTTGTAAGGCAACAGCTCACAGAGGAGAACTGAGGTAACGTCAACAGCTTAGCCAAGATTTATATCCGCAGTTCTGAGGTTATCGGACTCTCGTCAAGATGCACGTCTGGTCCAAAAAGAGATGGGGCAATGTTCGCCCAGACTCTCTGTATAATCTGCGCGCTGAGTCTCTGAAACGTCTCTCGGGACGTGTTTCGTCGAGCTTTTAGAAGCAAGGAGTTGGAGAAGAGCGTTTGGAGTGCGGAGGAGAGCTCCCCCGCATCGGCCAACTGCTGCACCGCATCGCCCAACTCACGGACCATGCCCTGAAAGTGCCCAACATGCGGACCTGCAGAAATTGGGAGGGCTTATGGATGGTGGACGATGCGTCTTCAATACCTGTTGTTTCCACGACAAAGTGACTGCAGCGGGACGTGGAACGGCCCACCAATTGGGGCACACCCGCGCAAAATCAAGCTCCGGATAGGATGCTGACTGCTAAATAAGCGGAAACGAAGTGACCTAGAGCCCCAAAGACATTTACAGGGACGTTCAGGAATCGAAGTGTAGCGGCAGTGCGTCAGCCAAGAACGCTGTTCAACCTTCTGAGTTCTGAACACCAGACCTCACTCGGCTTCTCCACAGCATAAGGCCGAAGCGTGCAAGGCCACAAGGCGAACGGCCCCACAACACGTGTTTCACGAGCGAATTTTCATACAGAAATTAGGGCTAAACCTTAAGGTCGATTTCAGCGGAGTTTCGAGCCCGGCATAGCCTTCGTGTCCTTCACAGGCCCGACCGACGACAGTCGCAGATAAGACAGCAAAACAATTGAAGGTCGTCCTTCGCACGCAACGCTGATAATATACGGCAATCGACGTGATTTCCCCAGCATGAAAGCCGGAGAACCAACTGCACCAAAAGCGTGCCAGCACGTAAATTGCGCCACAAGACCTTCTGGACTTCCGTCTACCGCTATTGCGTCTGTAGGAGGCGCAATCGAGGATTGCAAAGGCGCTCACCTGTGAGCAAGGCGCAGCCGCTGGCCGCCGGTTCCGCCAGATTGTGCCCCGCGAGGTGCGGAAAGAGAGAACCGCCCACGAAAGCGACGGGCGCCAAGGCGTAAAGCGTCGCGAGCTCGCCTGCAGATTGAGCACATCGCTTTTACTAGCGGACTAGGAGTCTTATGCGTGCGGAGATGAGCTATAAAGCTGTCTTTCCTGTAGAAACTGTCTAACACGCTTGTTTCGTTGGTCTCTGTTGAGCGGACCACTATCCAGCTTAGCGAGTTACGTCTCCGTTATGGAGGGGCTGTGCGCCATCCACCAACCTGGGAAAATTACTTAAGCGACTCTACCTGAGAGAAAAAGGAGGTTTCAGAACTGCGTTTGACACGCAAGTGCCTTTCTGTTGACTTCCTTTCATGAGTCTTCGGTCTTGAGTAGTTTTCGAGAGCCCGCTTTTCAAGCGGCTGAAGTTAAGAGGCAAGTCCCAGTGGATTCTATCTCCACGTCCGTCTGCTTGTGTGCCCTCCAGTTGATCACGAGTCAGACGGGTTGAGGAGCTTTCCGCTGCAAACAAACACCCCCTCACTCTGAGGCCTCATTGCCAGCTGGTCCAAGATAACGGAGTGTCGAATAACAACGCCAGCGGAACTCGCTCAGGCGGGTCGAATGGGCAGGTTCCGTCTCCCAGCGTCATGCGCTAACAGCACCGCATATTGTTTTACTTCCACTGACGTCATGCTGGGGAACGGACGCAAAACAGGCCTGCTTGGAAAATAAACCGGGAAAGAGTAAGGGAACAAAAACGACAGAATCAGCAGACGTCACGAGTTCCGCCAACTCACCAAGCGTGTCGACTAGGTAGACGTTCACTTTTGGCGTTATCGCCGCTCCCAGCGAACGCCTGGCGACGGTCAGGCCGGCCCGCTGGAGCATGGCCGCAACGGTGGCGCAGCGGGCGGGGTGCCGGGGGGCCAGGACCGTCAGCAGAGCCGGAAGCGTCGGGGAAAGTTGAAGGTGGACTGAGCAGATTACTGCGAGAGACGGGAAACCTGCGTTCAGGCGGCGGAGACCTCAGAATTCCGCTCTTGGAGTTGAGTTGGCGGGGTACGAGGGCATGATCGCATTGACAGAAAGCAGAAGAGGCCGACCAGGTGCATGACGTGACACTTGCGGATCCAACTCCCGGAAGAATGCCACGCTGGCTTCACCTGATTCGACACGTGTCCTTGTGAGATGGTGAGAGGGGTTGAGCCGATCCCAGGCCGGGCGAAAAGGAAGGTACGAAGAGGTCGTCCCAATTCAGCATTTGCAGTACGAATGAGTGGTCTAGGTAAGCCCCTGGAGGCAGCTTTCGCAAGGTCGTGACTCCCGTGACATTATAACCCGAGTCCGCTTTTGAACCCCTCTTGCGAGTACCGGATAATATGCTTGCGGTTGGGGATTGTATCTGGTTGGACCGACGTATCGAAGCTGGCTTCCGACAAGGCCTCCAAAAGAGGTAGTCAACTTCGGCAGCCGTCAAAGATCGAGCAAGGAAGATTCGCAAAACAGTCAAGGCAAGAGAGGTCAAGCCAAGTGCGTACCCTCCTCTTCGCCTTCGTGGGTGCTGGATGCGATCCAGATGGGGCGGCCCGCGGCGGCCCTGATGGGCTCATCAGTGGCGGGAGGGGAGACGGCATACCCTGCAGAAGCTGACAGCGGAAGGGAGAGGCGTCAGCTTGTCAACGGAGATCGAAAGAACGGTATGGCTGTTTCTGGAGTGGAGCGGCGTCTTGAAAGCAGATGTTGCTTAGTACAATATTGAGAAAAAGGAACAAGAGGGGAGGCAATCCCAACTCGTGGAGGAGTATGCGTAGGCCAGTCCCATTCTGGCGGGAAAGCAGTTCAAGTTTACAGTCTAAGAGGGGGCAATCTTCCAGGATACAATGGCCGTCACTGAGACGAAGGTCGAAACCGACTTTGTATAAGCCCGCTCCATATCGTTGCAGTTTCAAGGCGTCAGGATTCACAAGGGTTCACAAGCGGATTCACAAGGACATCGCGAAGTCCACAACACATCGAATAAAAAACCCGAGTGCCTCAGAAGCAATTGACAGATCGGCCATATTGCTTACGTGCCCACTGCCTTCATCGTTCAGCAAGCGGGCGATCTTTCATCGTTGACCTTTTTCCACAGTTATGTACGCCTAGACTTGGACTATCCTTACACTGTTGTCGAAGCAAGCATAAGATTCTACATTGGTATTCCAATCCTGTATCTCCTACTTGTGTATATGGGGACGACAGCCGCGCTCTGCTCACCGTATTTGAGGTCGCCGGCGAACCGGATCTGCCCGGCGCTGGCCCCCAGGAGCTGCAACCGGATCGCTTCGTGGGTGTCCTGCAGCCTGCCACGTGGCGAGAAGTCAGCGCCTTGCACAGCAACATCGATAGGGATAAGGCGGACTCCAAACGGGGAGAAGGACGAGCTTTCTACGTGTTCGAAGAGAAAGGTAGGACTACTAATCAAATGAAAGGACCCCATTGGGGTTCAGCATGTCCGTCAACAAGGCATGCGTTCAAGCAAACGAGAGTGTGCGGAAGAGAGGAGACACCCTTGGTCATCGGGTACTGCCAAGGGCGCGACCGACGGTTTGACTGAAGTGGCTGGCAAAAAGCCAACGGGAATCGGGTTGTTGATTGTGCTTACTGACTCAAACGGCTTCCGTTTCTGTCAGGGCCACGCTACAACAGCAGTCTGGCTGCTCTCAGCGACATTTGGGAAGTCGGGATGCAGCTACTCACGATCGGACAGATGACGTGGAAGCGCTGGAGCATCTCCCGGACTAGGGGCCGGAGGAAGGGGTAGGACCAACGGCGGAAGGAACGGGGGCCCATGCGGGCATTCACAAAAACCAAAGGACACTGCAAAGACGGTAGAAGAGAGGACTCAAAACTTGATGCCAGAAGCCAATGATGGGGAAGAAGCCAGCAAGGCTTGAAGTTGCGGAATTGGGTCAGAATTAGTCAGGTCGAGTGGAAAGTGCTCATACAGAGGGAGCGCACATGATATGCTCAACAAGGCACCCAGCTTGCATAACCACCAAACTTCTTACAAGTCCTGAGGCCATAAACGCACAATGAGGATGGATCTTCCTGGGGCACGGCACACAGCTTCTCTTGAGCTCACTACAGAGCTCAGCAGTGGGCAATTTGGGACAGGAAGGAAAGCAAAGGTTAAGTATCAGTGTGTCTTTGTGCCCCAAGCCTGACACTTCGAATAATGATGCAGGTAGCAGGTCAGAGCAGCTGAAACCGAAAGGACTTATAAGCTCCACTCACCTTGTTGGCCTGTGCTGTGTGGATGAGCGTCGGCCACAGCTCCCCTTCCAAGAAGATGCCTGCGTCTGGGCGCCAATGGGACCAGAAACGTCCGACGGCTTGAGGGGTGTCCAGTGGCAGAAACTGCAGAAATAGCACCGTCGAACTTCAGCAGGATTAGTATAGCAGACGGTGGCCATAGCCCGTTGATGAACCCAGCATACTTGCAAATTCTGGAACACCCTTGACCAGCATCTGATCAAAGTCTGCTGGTGAGGACCTCGACACAGGCTGTGATCCTGTTCCCCGTCCCCATCAAACCCATAATCGAGTCGGACAGATTGGGATTCTTTTGAGATTGTGGAAACGAATGACAGGCTTCTTGCACAGTCTCTGTCTGCTGGATTTTCGGAGGAAGTTTCCATGTAGAAACTGCTCCTACATTAAGATCAACATACTGGTGGGTTTGAAAGATCTACACAAGCTTGCAATCATTGGAGGGTCCGCCCCCCCGGCTCAAGCGCCCACCTGACAGCTGGCGCGCTCCGGCCTTCTCCGCCGGAGGAGGTCCCTGGGCAGAGGCAAAGAAGGACCGGTGAGGCTTTTGAGAGGATTTGAAAGGATAGAAGTACAAGCAGCAAAAAGACCAAGGGTGGTTCACCTCCGACACGTAGATACTACTGTAAATATGGATCCTGTTTGCCTTTGTGCCTCAACAGTCTCAGGAGCTTCACTTCAAGAGTCCCTTCAAGAAGTCGCACTGCAGAATCATTTTCGTCTTGGAATCAAGACTCCAGATGGTTGATTGAGTTTCAGGATCCTCACATGCCCGCTTGAGTGACGGTGGTCATCAACACATGGGCGGATGGGATTGCGGCAAGACAGTGCTCGGCGAGCGGAAGCGCGGCGAGGGTTTCACCTGGACAGGCACAATGCCGTGAAGGTTGGAGGTCAATTTTGCTCCCCCATCGTCCAGCAGATCCGTGGAACGCATATCTGCAGTAGCTTTGGGGTAGCATTGCACTCAACCGTACTCGAGTGAAACCAGACATTCGTGGCGTTGTGTCCACGTCATAGCAACTGTTCCCTACAGCTTTTCGCCGGCCAATTCAAGTGCCAATTGTGAAAGGGGTGCACCTTGTGAAGTACTGGAACACATGACTAGTCGTGCGATCAATGAACAGAAGAGCAGCTCAGATCACAGCTCACAATGGGGCTCACCGAGCGAGACGCCGTGGATCCAGATGAGTAGTCCCGGTGGTCGTTCCACTGAGGCGTGTCCCAGCCGCTGTCGCAGACACTCATCTTCTGTCCAGACTTTTGGCACTACCGGGCTGAATAACCTCCCCAAGATCTGGTAGACCTGCAGCTGCAATGTATCCGCCATGGCGGCAAGACTAATGGCCGCAACCTGGCAACCTACTGGCGCCAGGTGGTGCTCCTTTGCTTGCTGCTTGCTTGCTTGGTGCCAAAGCGCCTCCTTCGATTCGCGTACCCACAGCTCCTTGCGCGATCATTGCAACAGCCTGAATTGCTAGCTTAGCGCACCTTGAATTGAAAAAGCCGGCCGGCTCTTTTCGCCGTTTCTTGATAGAGATCGGTACGGTATGGAGAATTCAATAGGTACCTAGCCCTGACTCAGAACGGTGTCGGTGGATGTGCCGTCTCAAGCTGACATGAAGATCGGCCGCGCGGGTTTCCTCCGAGGACCGCGCATTTATTATTGAAGTTTTGCTGCATGCATGATGCACGGTGTACAGCATTCGGTGGAGCAGTAGGGTGAGGGCAGGCGCCATGGCAGCCCCATGCCAGCCATGGTGTCCAGCGCTTAGTAGAAGGGTAGAATTAAGCAGGTTTTCGACGACCTTGCTGCGCTGTGCTTGCTCACTGTTTGTTGTTCTGCAGAAAGACGTTGAGATTTCCCAAGCATCTACAGAGACGTAGGGCGGCAAAAGGGAAAACTCAGCCGGGGCCACTCCTTTGCGCAACATCAGTGTATGACCAGCGCGTTGGCAACCTGGATGCAGGCCAATGGGTTGAGTTGGTGGGTTTGCTGTGAAAGGCTCCGGTGGGCAGTTTCGGAAAAGGTGGAAAACAAATGTGAAGGCTTCAGAGCCGCAGTAGTGGCGGTGATACGAAATTGCCAGCGGAGACCCTTCGGCAAGCAAGGGCGCATCAATGCCTGTGTGGAGGCCACCTGCTTTACTAGTAGGTTGGACTGCCGGCGACAACGTTATGGCGCGGTCATCAGATACGGTTGAGCAAGCTTCCCCAATATACTGTAACAAGGGGACTGGAGAAGAGGGCTAATGGTCAGAGGCGCGCACTTGCGGCTGCAATAAGTTCTGAAAAGCTAGCGGGGAGTGCGGGCTTCACCACCGGAGGTGTTGTCAGACTGGTGGGCAGCAATTGCTCCTTTTGGTATTGAAGACTTCTTTGGTTTCTTTGTGCGAGATAGTGTGCGAAGCCCAATGCCCTAGGGTGTTTAGGGTACGTCCTTTCTGCCAAGCTGTTTCTTTGATTGACTATTCTGAATGTAACAAAATTTTTGCAGCGAATTGCTCCGTCAGAACAATCTTGCAGGTCAGCAGTCATTGCTGCATCGGACCGTTTGCCCACACACTTTTACTATAATGAGAGCAAAGCGTAGGTCGTGCGCTTCTTCTTCAAAGTTTCAACCTGACGAAGCGAGCCGGCCACACTGGAAGACCATCCAAAGGTTTGACGATCTGCCTTTCAATTGCGCATGATTTGCTGCCCCTTGTGCCCCTGGGTGATGATAGGCGCTTGCTTTTAGCAGAAGCACTTTCATTTCAGAAAAGGTGTTTTGACTGTTGATATTCTGAGTTGTGTGCAGCCCTTCAGCTTCTGCCTCCATTCCCGCCCCAGGAGGCATCCTTGCGATTCTGGCGGTCAACAAGCCTGACCATTTGGGAACCCGCTACCGGTGGAGAAAAAGAAGGGCAGCCTGTCGGCGCTGGCAGCGGTGGAAAAGGAGCGCTCAGGGGTCGATCATAATGCGGGCAGAATGAGCGATCTAGGCCATCAATCGGGTGACAAGAGCTGAGGGGAGGAAGCGGCTGAGGGAAGGAAACGGGGCGGAAGAAGCTGGGCCCCTGAAAGGAGCGGGGTATACACTACAGCGGAACGCGTAAGGTGAGGGGGAATGAAACACCGGGCCAACGTGTTCGAACTCCTGAACAGGTGGGTTCTTGCTGATGCAAAGACTGGCTCCTAAGCTGTTTGCTTTTAGATGTTTGTGAGCTGATTCGAGACACTTTCCGGTCATTTCGATTTCTATTCAAGGGCGTTTCGGTCGAGGTACGGCTTTCAGTAAAAATCTTCATTAGGGGTCACGGATTGCAATGCCAGCAGCCATGCGATGATGGAGAGATGGAGGTTATTTCCAATGCGTATCCGTGTTTGCAGGGGCGATGCTTAAGATCAGCAAGCAGGATGCAAATGGTTTTTTGTTTCGGAACTTATTCGGGTCTGCAAAATGGTTTGCGCTCTCATATACGATCCCGTTCTTCCAAGATCGAGACGTGTGGACACCGTGCCTGTATCTGTACCTTCTCTTGGATGCAACAGCCTTTGGAGTGCAGAAGTGTTCTGGACGCCTCCTAGAGCAAACTTTCAGAAAGGGGTCCAACTCAACCCAAAGTCCTTTTCGGCGCGGTGGTCCCTCGTTTGTCTCTGGCTGGAAGCACCGGTAGAAGCTTCTCGCCGGGTTCCTAACGACTGTCAAGCCCGCCGACCGGCCCGTTCTTCAGCGGAAGATCAACGCTGAGAAGCGGAGGCGGGGCATAAGCGAAAAACGATGGCGCCCAATATCTCAGACTATTCAACAATGGGTATGGGAAGTCATATCACGCTGAAGCGTTCAACGGGTGTTGACTCCGAGTGATCGTTTGGACGAGCGCAAGGTACAGTGACATCACAACATCAGAGCAAGGTGCGTCTAGGCGCCCGGTCCATAGATGCAAAAGGGCCGGGCAGAGAGTGACACCGGTTTTGTGCAAGTGCTGGTGGGGGAGCGCTCACATAGAATGAGCAACGAGTCGTCACGTTTTAAGTAGTGTGTCGAAGCTACACATGAGAAAGGGCGGAAGTGCGCCAGCTAACAGAAGGGGCTCCCCGAAAAAGCGTTGGAAATGCGGGCGCACTCGTTGCTTCTCGTAATGACTGCAGATTGTAGGAATGGACCTCCGACTTGGGGGGCTCAATGCACACCATTCGGGGTCGAAAAGCTCTAAGGCTAGATTCGCAACAGTAATCATGCGGTGGAAGGTTGGATTGAGAGTCGGCTACAATTGCGTGAGCCGTTCCATATGTTGATATGTCCCCTTCCAAGAAAATAGGATAAAGAATTGACGCCCAGGCTCCTTCGCTTGACAGCCATGTGCACCAATGACTTGGCCAATGGACCCCCAATGGACTTGCTCCATTGCGTTTGAGATGAATAATGTTTCCAGTCAAGATCTGTCAAGATCTGGAAACAGGCATTTCGCGTTGGCACGCCATATGCATGTCAATAGTTGTGATTTCTAGGTTTGAGCAGCTGAAAGCTTGGATCAAAGCCTGGTGGCCACCATTCTATGCACTTGCCATATTCCCTTCCTCCCTTGTTGGGTTGCATGCGGTAGTATGGCCGATCGTTTCCGCGTACCAGGTGCTCGCTCGGTTGGATGCTGGACTCAAGCTCGATTCAAGTGACTTTGGACATAAGCCTTTTTGTACATCAGGAGCTCTATGAAGTTAGAATGCACTTGAGGGGCACTTGAAAGATGCAACTGTGGAGAAACGAATGGGAGCATGGCACCTCAACTGTCGTTTTCGATCGTTTCAAGTATGATGGTGGGCTTTGGGGCTTACATCAACATAGCAAACCACTGTCTTCTCTGTTTGGAATCGCCAACCATTCAAGTGGTTGTTACCTTCCGACCAATATCTGTTAGCATGAGGAGCACTGTTCAAAATCCTATTCTCCCTTTGGAGCATTGAAGTTGAACTTGACTCCAGAAGCTTTCACTCTTCAACAGGCTATGTACACTGTACAGCCTACCGGTAACCTTTGGAGTCTGGAGGACGTCTGGACTCTAGAGTCTATCGGACTGTACCTACCGTATCCTGATTGCTAGATTCAATGGCGTCATACAGACTACAGTGTACTAGGTAATACGTTGTACACCGATGGCCACGTGAGCGAAGTTTCTAGCAGGCTTTTCAAAGCCGTCCGATAGCAAAAATGTGGATCCAACCGCCCATGTCGCCTAGAATCTTGGATGCGAATCAGGTTCACCAGTCACGTAGTCTTGAGTCTTGATTACCTACGTGCTACTCCTGTAGGCTGTACCGGTAGCACAGGAGAGAGAGGTCGTCCAGACGCAGCTGGCTGTTGCCAATGCTGTGCTCCAGCTTGTGTTAGAAACTTTATCTGCTTCCATTGGTCTCTCCTCCATTAGAGTAGCCGCCATTGGATAAATCAGTTACGAGCACACGCGAGGGTTGTCTGCCGTTCGTTGCTTGACGAAGTGAAGTGGGAAGGAGGTGGTGCAAGGAGAGGTGAGATGCTGTGCGACAATGATGCTTTGCTTGATCACTGGGAGTCTGAGCCAAGAGGGAGCTTTTGTGAACTCGTCCCATCGTCCGCCTCAGCGGTTCTACTGCTGATTCCTCTGGTACTTGCGCTTTCTGGTTTTGACCTACAAGATGACGAAAGTTTTTACACTAGAGCAGCCTGGCAATGTTGTTTTGTTCTGATCATGAGGGCTTCGCGGTGTACTTGACTCCAGCTTTAGATCTGAGATGCAACAGTCAGCAAAGCGACCTGTAAATGTCAGTGGCAACACCTGTGAGGCGATTATTACATAGAGTCAACAGGTTTTCCACTGGGAAAGAACATGCTGTTGGATTGATCTGTGTCGGATCGATGTGTTAAGCAGATGAGATTATCGCAGATGATGTATTATCTTGTGCCTTTGTACACGCTCCTGCATTTGCTGGTGGAGGATCTCCCTCAAGCAGATGATCAAGCTCTTTCTGGAAAACTCAAGAGCAGCCCCATTCAACTTCCCCCTGTTTCTGACGGCAGGTTAAGATGGCGCCACTGAAGATCCATGGGTTGAGCCTCAGTACCTGCACCAGGAGGGTGATGACAACCTGTCTGGAAAAGAATGTGGACTTTGAGTTGGTAGAGGTAGATCTCATGAAGGGGGCGCATAAGGCGCCAGAGTTTTTGGCACTCCAGGTGAGTGCTGATCTGAACTTTACGGCCAGGTCGTCGTAAAAGTCATTTGCTGCTTTGGCTACATGTGCATCCAGCAGCGTTGATTGACTTGAGTGTGAATGTTGCTTGGTGTCAAGCTGCTTTGAGCAAACTGAATTGCACAGATCTTGGACATGCTGTATGTTGTAAGCCGATGCTTAGAACCTGCCCAAGGTGATGGCTGATTGTGTTCTCAATCGCAAAAGTTGAATCAAAATGTGAGCAGATGGTAATAGGGCTGCATCACAAATCTGAGGTAAGCTCGGCTTCATGCTCAGAATAGCTGTTGACGTTGACCCTTTCCTCTCTGGCAGCCTTTCGGACAAGTTCCTGTATTGGTGGACGGGGATCTCACAATGTTCGGTAAGTCTAAGGACCTTCTGACATGTGTATGAGGTACCTCACTCCTCATGGTGCTGGCAATAGCAGAGACTATCGTAAGTCTATATCGCAGTCCACCAAAAAGCAGGTGATGACAAGCAGCTCTTCATCAGCACTTGAAGGGGAGTGTACCTTCAGCAGCTTCTTTGTCAGCTTATTCTCAGTGTAGCAGATAAGGACCCTCTCATCGAGACCCCGTCAATTGCACCGTTCTCCTTCACCTCTCTCAATCTGCGTACATTTTGCTGGTAAAAGGTGTCGAACCTGCCGGGTTCTTTGCATTGCACCCTTGAGCTAGGAATTCATCTCCTAGGTTGGCTGTGCTTGTGAAAGCCCCATACATGAGCCCTGGTTTATGTTCACCACAAAGCCATTTGTTGAAATGAGACTCTCCCTTCCCTTCTCTTCAGAGTCTCGTGCAATGGCGAGGTATATTGCTACCAAGTGGGCCGGCCAGGGAACCGATCTTTTCGGCAAGACAGAGAAACAGCGTGCTCTTGTCGACACATGGCTGGAGGTCGAGGGGCAAAACTACAACCCCCCTGTAGCCACCATTGTTGGCCAGGTGGTGTTTGCACCAATGTTTGGAGGACAGACTGACATGAAAGTCGTCGAGGAGCAGATCCAGAAGCTGGAGAAGGTAAGGTGCTTTGTTCACCAGAGGGTTTTGTTCAAAATGCTGAGACCCTGGTCCACAGCTTGGGTGGTGGACATCGTGGCATTGGAGCAGTGGGACTAACGAGGCATGGTCAGTTGCAACTTACGAGCATCTGTCAATCTTGTTGCTCACAAACGCGGAATGGATCGGCTGCAAGTTTCTGGATACTGGTATGATCGTATGTCCATACCCTTTTCATTCCCTCAAGCAGCCTGCCTTGATAGAGCAACTTACAGATCTCGGGGCATGGTCATGCGAGAATCCTTTCTGAATTCTTTGAAAGTATCACTCAAAGATTCTACAGCGTTTCATCAGCTGTGTTCTATGCAAGCTTCTGGTATTAACAGGTGCGGGACATGTAGAAGACCAAGTGTCAACGGGCCCCCAGCAGCTTAGAACAGTGCAATAAGTGTTTGGCTGGGCGTCGCTGAGTTCCTCCAGTTACTCATCCTGACAGGTTCTGGACGTGTACGAGGACCACCTGGCCAAGAACCAGTACCTCGCTGGAGACGAGTTCACGCTCGCTGACCTCAGCCACCTCCCCTACACCGCCTTGCTGCTCAAGACCGATGCTGGAGCGGGCTTCCTTAGGAGGGCGCACCTGAAGGCCTGGTGGGAGCGCATCTCGACGCGCCCTTCCTGGCTCAAGATTACTGGCACGGAGTCTGCCCGGAACGTTGAGGAGTACACCGCACAGCTCAAGGTACGGGAAAGAAGGTCGATTTGCAGTTTTGCAGCATGATAGTTGCACAGAAGATATGAAAGTTGCGATATGACTGACTTGACAAAGACGAACTTGGCTCACTTTGCAGGTGGTGCTTATTGCTTTCGCTCTAGCAGATTATGACCGGCTCGTACAGAAGTCGGGCAGAGCAAGGTAGTACTTTCGTGACTGAAGGAACAAAAGGGCGCCGGATTTAGAAGAACACACTGGTTGAGATGCTCGGATGTTGCAGGCGATTGTGTGTTGGCTTTGTGAAACATCCATTCCACTTTGACATCCTCCAAGATCCGAAGCATGCTTGTGTCGAGCCATTCGGAAGAGCGCGCTTGCTTACAAAGTGGTCGTCCTTGCCCGCAGGGTGCCGCTGAGGCCCTGAAGCAGCTCTTCCACAGCACCCACGCCAACCCCATCTGCGTTCGCATCGGCTGGCATGACTCGGGCACGTACGACAAGAACATCTCGGCATCCGAGTGGCCCAAGGCCGGAGGCGCCGTCGGGAGCATTCGTTTCAAGCCGGAGCTTCTCCATGGGGCAAACGCCGGTTTGGACCAGGCGCTGGCGCTGCTGGAGCCCATCAAGCAGAGGTACCCGTCCATCAGCTACGCCGACCTCTTCCAGCTGGCCAGCAAGATCGGAATTCAGGAGGCGGGCGGGCCCAAGCTGCCCCTCCGGTAAGTGACTGTTCTCAAGCTTGCGCAAGAGTGTGATGGTGGGATGCTTGAAATGCATCTTTTGCGACCCCGTTATCGATTTCATTCGGGTGCCGGGGTGAGAGCGAACGAGGACAAGGTTGATGCAAATTGACTCAACTTAAGTTGAGGGTGCTGTATCGCTGGGTGCTATATTGCAGCCGGTCTGACCTGACCAATCTATTCACGCCCCCTGATTGATGTTACATTGCTGCCTCATTGTTTTTAGACTGCGTCGAATCGGTTCTAGACTGCTGACACAATGTTCAGCCGATCACGAATGTCTGGATGTTCAGCTTTCGATAGCTTGATAAACTTTGGATATACGGGAATTGCTAGCGAAACGTTCAAAGATGCAGTTTGTTCTGTTGACCAGGTTCGGCCGTGTGGACGTGGATACTCCTGAGCATTGCTCCCCCGAGGGCAACCTGCCCGCGGCTGTCCCCGGCACGGCCAAGGCCGGCGGCGGACTTGCCTCGAAAGAGAGTGCGGGCGAGCATCTGCGCCGCATCTTCTACAGGATGGGCCTCACCGACCAGGACATCGTCGCCCTGTCAGGTGCGGCAACGACAGCCTTTGGTGACTGGTTGTTTGCTCGACTGCGGTTGCGTTCAAAGCCTGAGACTGTCTGGACTGAACACCTCGCCTTTTAACCTACAAGCAGCATTGCCTTGTCCTCAGCAGATTTGTTTATTGAGACTCAGCATTGGTGATTCGAATTAACCAAACCGAAGAATTTCTGACGGACTTGTCTTTCGCTTTTCCGGCATGGACCGGCACAGCTACGCAGGCCACAAAATCTCTGGCGCAGGATCCGCTAGCGTGATTAATTGTTCGATACGCCATGTTGTTGACAATTTAGTCAGGTCGGCTATGCTCACGGCTGACCTTCCGCTACGTTTGCAGGCGCCCACACCATTGGGAGGTCTCACAACGACCGGAGCGGTTTCGGGGCTGACAAGACCAAGTACACCGAGGGGGGCGACATTGGAACTCCGGGCGGGTCCAGCTGGGTGCCGGATTGGCTCGTGTTCAACAACAGCTACTACCAGGTACGGTTGCAGTCAGGCTGATTCACGTAAAGCAGAGCTTCTTTCTATCCTCTACACGCTCGGCAGCACAGGTCTTGCCAACACGTCGGCTGGACGAGATGTCCTTGGAGAGTTGCTTGACAAGGCAGAGGCAAACGGTGAAATGAGTCGGTCGATACAGTGATTCTGCTCGCTTTGATCAAAACAAGAGAGAGTTGCAGGCAACTTTTTCAGCTATTGCCTACAGTCACACTCGTCTTACAGTTCGACATCCTGTTCGCTTGTTCCTTGGGGCCTTGGACGTTTGAAACAAAAGCGTCATTGAGACGTTTTGCACCCACCGCATGTTTGGCTGACGAAGACGACGTCACTTTTGTGCAGGTGACCAAGGACGTGGCCAACGGTTGGGTGGACCCTGCCGAGAAGCACGACCCCGAGCTCATCTCCTTCTCGACCGACCAGGTCATCTTCAAGGATCCTGAGTTCGCCAAGTACGCCGAGAAGTACCGTGAGAGCCAGGACGCCTTCTTCGCAGACTACGCGGTCAGCCACAAGAAGCTGAGCGAGCTGGGCTCCAAGTTCGACCCGCCAGAGGGCATCGAGGTGGACTTCTAAGTTGCACGCGTTGGGCATTGCGCGGGTCGTCGGTTGCAAGTTTCACTGTTGCCACACAGTTGTAGATTACAGGAAGTGACGTCAAAGACCTCGGGCTGTCAATGGGATGAGGAGACTTTTTCTAGGTCATATCTTGAGTTTCTGCGCAGCTACTGCAAGGGAAGGTATTTGCCGTGGTATTAAGTCGAGCAACACATCTGTCTCCAAGAATATCTTCGGTTCGTGTCTGCACTTTTCCGCCCCTCAGATCTTTTGATGTAGTGGGACTGAAAACGTGGCAGGGTTCGAAAGGGTACAGACATACTCCGTTCAGAATCCGTTCCGGGAGGAATGCATGTAGTCCAATACATGTGCAAGGTAACCGCGGCCCGGTGCAGCGCGCACTAGTTGACATATACCCATGGTCGTACGCCCTTATTAAAATCTCATAGCACACCCTAATGCATTATTGTGAGGCTGAACAAGACTCGTCTAAGGGTCAGAGCTCTTGCACACCCGCTGCAAAGTCCATCGTAGAACACATGCACCATGCGACTTGTTAGCCTAACCCATCGATCGACCGTGCCGGTGACTTGCTTCTACGCAAAATATGAAGGCCCGAGGTATGACCCGTATATATGGGCATCCGAGTTCAGGCTCCTTGCAAATCATGCTGCTCACTTTTCAGAGCTGGAATACGATGATATAATCGCTAGCTCGTCACGAAAGCATGTACGTGGCCGTCCTGGCAAGGCACTGGCATGCGCAGTGGCCAGGTAGGGCAAGATCATGTAGCACGCACGTACGTTTCACGACGTTTAGGCCACAATGATTGCATGATTCCAGTTTATAAGCGGGCCAAGGATAAAAAATTTCGAGATAGGAGCCAATTGTTTCGATCAGGTGCACTACACGTCCTCCATGTCGGGAAGGTCTTGATTGAAGCGCCGCCACTGCTGCGCAAATGCATGCTTCAGGGGTTTGCAAAGAATTTGATCTACAATAGTACGTACTTATAGCTAGGCCAAAGATTACGGATACAACCTAAGTCGAGTACTATTGCCTTCACCTACGTCAGCTGTCTCCCAACCTTGGTACTAAAAAATGGGCCTTTCGAGCTGTATTCTTTCACTGTATTGAACCCGTCTTCAAAGAACCTCTCATACCGTGTCAGTCGGCTCGACGGTGTGTGGTATACATAGCTTCGGTTGTGAATGAGAAACGAAGCTCTGCGTTTTCAAGTCGTAGGATCGCGCGAAGATGCCAATCAGACAGCTGTATTCCTTGTGGACAGCTGCAAGCGTCATAAGCCACTGGTAAAGCATCTGGATTACACGTCAGTTATCCTGCGAAACTTCTGCGTGGCCTGAAAACCTCCGGTGAACTTGCTCGATACGGCGTTGAGCTTTGACGAGACATGCAAACAATTTAAAGGCTCTACATCAGCAGAACGGATCCAGAGACCATCATAAGACCACAGCTCGCAATCCGTGTAATTGTGTCGGTCAGAGCTTATTGTCCGAAGGGTGGCGTCATGGTCCTGACGTTAGGCATGTTTGTTCCAAGAAGCTCAAACCGAAGAAGCGCCACATACTTCTGGACACGTGGACTAGGTCACGTGCCAGATCATCACCGTGGCAGACGAGAGGGAACGCCAGCGAAGCGAGACTTTAATGATCCTTTGAGTGACCTCCACACGATCTGCGTGAACAAAGGCTAGCCGCATGATCTTGTGGTGACGGCGCATCTCATCTGAAGAGGCGCCAGAATGTGTGGCGACTGCAGCCAGGCCGGAAAAGAGCACATGCGAAAGCGCAAAGACGCCCCAAAAAGCGAGAAAGACAACTCCGCAAAGCGCTAAGGTCTGCTTTTGGAGGAGCACTGACGCAAGGTGCGCATCCTCTGCGCGCAGAGCTTAGCAGATAGTCTTAGAGAAGCGCGCCTAGGGAGCTTGACGTGCGCTTAGGACGCTTTCTAGAGCAGAAAAGCATTCTTGGTTTTGCGCATGCGTATGCTGCGAGGCTTGCAGAGCTTGGCGATCATTGGCAGGATTGGTTGTGATCGGTGGCAGGTGTAGTGAGGGCCTGAGCCCTTGCACCTCGCTTGCGCACCTTTTGATAGACATGCAGATGTTCAGGTTGAGTTGCGCAAGGCCTTGCAAGTCCTCATTGCAGAAGAGCTACATGTGCATGATCTGCGTTTCCGCATTCTTCAGGTCTGGGAAGCTGTCCTCAATGAAGGATTAGGGTGGAGACTCTAAGAGGAGACACTGTCCTGAGGGAGGAGTTTCAAGGTTTTACTAGAGAGGGGTAAGCTTTGCTACCTTGAATTGCAGCGAAGAGGGGTGTTTGTGATCACTGGCGAGCTGGCGTGCACTTTAAGCAAAACTCATCACCATGTATCCACAGCCGCTTGCTCGATAGGATCTCCGCATCTGCAATAAGAGGTTCATAGAGAGATGGTGAAGTGCTTTTGTTGGGAAAGCGGTTCATTCTGCAGACCTATGCAGTTCATGCCAATGTTCGAATGGGGTTTCGCAAAAAGAGGAGCAGAATCAGTAGCAGCTTAGCAAACATGTGACACATGCTTGTGGTGTCTTCATGAAAAGGTGCATAATCTGAAGCAGATTAGCCTAGAAGTGTCTTCAGACGTTTCATATTCATCTCGTTTCTGGCTGCAGCAGATGCCTTATCAGGCGCTTGTCTCCCCATGGTGACGCTCTGGTCTTCTCAAGATCCATCCTGTCAGAGGCACTCTCTCAAGACACCTCAAAGAGAAAGAAGGAAAGCAAGATGCTCTGTCTGACGATTGAGGTTCCGAGCCTGCCCTTCGAAGAGCAGGGCGTGCAGTTTCTAAGTCCCATGCCCCTGCGGGTGCCAGACGTACCGTTCGACCTTCCGCTTTCAAGAACTTATCCAGGGAGTCTTTCAGAGCAGAAGTTCACGAGACGGTCATGTTCCCAGGATGCAGCCGCAGCATCTTCTTTCAGAAGCTCTGCAGAGTTCCTGGTCCCAGATCTCGTCACGCGGCCCTTTCCAAGAGGTCAGACCAAGAATTCAACGCCTGGAACAAAGCGAAATGCTGTTGGCGGCGCTTCTTCTGGTCAGCATGAAGGTCCTCCAGAGTCACTTCCTGTCTCTCCAACCACCCCCAGAAGAAGCCCTCGGTCAACGAAAAACTGCTCAGAGGTTCCGGCCATCACCTTCGAAGGGCCCTGTTTTCACGGCCTGCCCTGCCCGCCTGCCCCTCGCAGCAAGGTCGAAAGGTCTCCTCTGACTCGACGGAGGGCCACCGTTCCTCTGATTCAGCCCTCGTCCCCAGTGCTAGCCCGCCGCCCTTGCAGCCACGACTCGACAGTAAAGCCAAGAGAAACTTGCTCCTGGGATTCTGACCGGAAGATCACCCCGGGAGACCTCTCGCTCAGAGAAGTGCCTGCCGAACCGACGGGGGAAGAGAAACTTCACAGGAGGACGCTGACGTACCCAAGGCCGTCTGAGATATCTCCGTTTTCTCACATCGATACCGTCTCACGACGCTCCCTGGAGTCTCCCGCGGTCGAAAATAGTGGATTCCAGACCCCAGCTTTCTCTCGACAGCCAATCTCGCCAAGTCCTCCCAGAGCCCCCGCGAAAAGGTCAGATTGCCAATCTCCAACGGTCAGAAAGAGAGAGTTTCTGATTCCAGCTGTCCTTCGAGAGGCGAGCTCGCCAACCTCCCCCAGACCTTCTGCAAACCGAACGACATTCGAGCCGCCCGCGCTGTTCTTACCGAGTGCTTCTGTCAGTATGACGTTCAACTCGCCGCGGCCGCGGAAATGGCAACCGGGCACCGCTTCCCCAACCGAGAGCGTCTTTGCGGAAGAGTTTGCATTCTGGAGTCCCAGAACGATCCTGCGCGATCTCGAGAAGCAAAGAATATGAGCCGATCGAGAAGGAGGGGTTTGAAAAACGGAACGCTTCCCTCGACCCATGTTAAGAAGGGTTTAGAAAGCGAGGCGTGCACAAGAGATAGGCACATCGGTCAGGAGGGCTAGCTTTAGATTGGGTGTAAGTCTGTACTATAGATCTGGAGAGTCTGCTCCGGTTCGCCAAGTCAAAACGGAAACGAGTCGTGTCTTTTCATTACTTCTTTTCTGCCTTCTGGACTCACCATTGGAGTCTCGGACTAAGTACGCAGAACGACAATCGTAAGCATGCTGCACGCGTAGGATCATTTGTAGGCAACCGAAAGGAGGGTTCAACAAAAGTTGGATTCGAGAAGAACGGACAGCAAGAATGTAAGGCGCCTCGTAGTATAGACGCACATTCATTGATAGAATGCAAGGGTTTAGGAGATTACCTCCTTCAATCTGCACGTATTTGCATCAGCTACGATTGACTCTCCATGGTCGCTCAGGTCAGTGATGGACGTGTCTGATGAACGTGAGTGGCAGCTTCATTGATGCATCTACTGTCTTATGCCTACTTACAATGTCATTCACTTGTACGTTCGACATGATGACAACTATATAATCAGCCATTCTCTGGCAATTGAGTGACCGTCAGTCAGCGATGATGTACGCGCCATGTTCTCCTGCGTCAATCACTGAGTCAATGTCGTGCAAGACGTACGGTTGGATGACCCCGCGCTTCGCGAGCTGTCCAACCGTACCTTCCATCACGACCAAGTAGTAAACGATAATAGCATTTCGTTCGCGCGTGGCCGGCTCAGTATCGTGCATCTATGTATAAAAGCGCTTGAGTTGCACTGCTGGCGCATGATACCAGACGCAAACACTGCGCTCAGCGGCTAAGTACTTGTTTGACACTGATGTAAAAAGCGATACATCTGACCCAAATTATCAACCTGGCACACCAAAATCTAGCTATATGATACGGTCTCATAGTCATGTACATGAGCTGCGCGCCAGCGGACTACTAGAAAGACTGGGGCATCGTCGTTGATTCAATCAGTGCATGTGTGCCAAACCGGAGCTCATACTGCGGCCAGCATGCATGACTCTGATCGCACGTAGATGCGAGCCAGATAATTGGACAAATGTGCCGAATGTTTCTGAATGCATATATAGCAACGTTGCAGCAATCTTGCAAGACGATCATGACACGCATGTTCTGGACTTCGCGTGTTCTTGGACAATGATCTACCCGCTCAATAGCTGTATGGTCCACAAGCTAATAATAGGACCATTCACTTCAATCTGCTCGACTTAGGTTTACCTCCACAACCAGGGTTACCGCATTAGCAGTGCCTTGCTTTCACGGAAGCTTAGCAGTGCCTATCACACAAGCGCTCGCAAGTGATCGACTTGGATCATTCGAAGCAGCTGCTTTCGCAAAATGTTCGTAGCTTCGTGTCCTCAGAGCGGGCGGGCTAAACCGCTCATCATTTCAACTCAGCCGGGATCTCGGCGACAACGTCATCGCAAACGAGATCCGAATAGAAGCCTATTTGCCTGCGTTTACAGTTCTTGATTCCAAGCAACTCAATGTCGAACACTTCAAACTGCTTGGCGCTGAAGAACGTGCTGGGTCCCGTCTGGAGAGCAAAGCGCAGGAGTTTCAATCACTATATTCGAATCAGGATTGAGGTCAAAACTGAACCGACGGCAACCTACAGGCACGTTTGCTCGGCGGCTCTGAGGAGACAGCTTGGCAAGATGCGGGAAGAGAAGCCGTAACACGAGCTTGTTGTGGCGTCAAGACGAGTCCGGATATCACCATTGAAACGAGACGAACTTTTCAGCGGGTGTAAGATCCCCGCATTTCAGTATTCTTTGTGATCCAGATCGACATGGATGCCCGCATCATGGAGGAACGCCACAGAGGAACAAGCACTTCTTACTTACCGGGGGTCCGAGGTCTGGGGGCACGATCACTCTTCGCTTGCCCCCCACTCGCATCGTCTTGACCCCTTCCTCGAATCCGGGAATCATTCCGTTGATCCCGATCCTGGTTTCGGAAGGCCGATTCTGCTGGTAGCTGCTGTCCACCCGCTTCCCGGATTCGTTGTAGCCTGTATAGTGGAATATGACCTAGACAGCAAACGGGGGCTTGAGCACGTCAGGAACATGAGATGACCGAATTGATGACGTCGTTAGACGAGAGTTGTAATGGGGGCTCAGGTTGTCAGCAGATCAGGAAAGGAGTCCCTGAACGGGGCAATGAGACTCTCTGACATTTTCAGCTACTCCGAAGACAAAAAAGATACTGTCCTTGCTTAAAATCATCAGGCACTCCGAAGATATGACGAGCGCTTTTAACTCAAGAGCAGTCGGCGAAAAAGCGGACATGCGCCCACAATTAACCCTCGTCTGCAGAGTAACCTTAATCTCGAGGCCTTCAAGTAATCTTTCATGTCGTTTGTGAATCTAGAAACTCTCTCAGAGTTTGGGAAAAGCGAGATCTTCTTTCAAAGTGCCAGCAACAGCACCGATTATGGCAGTTCTGAAACCAGGGAACAACGAACTTCCAACTTCCGCTGACCTGCTGACCCTCCTCCGGCTGCGGCCCTGAGCCCTCCTCGTAGTCACGGTACAGCAGCCCGCTGCCCGAAGTCTTGTACTCTGATGACGTCACCACCCGAACATCGTAGCCTGCGGGGGGCAAAGAGTTCAGTACCTTGCTGATTTATCAGCCAGTGCGCGTTCTTACGAATATAAACCCTTTGGATGCGACGCTTAGCAGCTATATTCCGGTCTGGACCAGCAGCAAGGATCGCCTTAAATCCGTTGAATAATGAAGACCAGAGAAAAGGGCCAGTTCATCTCGCATCTAAGATTGCAGATAGGGGACTGACATCAGATTGCTTTAGGAACGGCGGAAAAACAAGGTGAACACGTAAGTGCCTGATGAGGTGGCCTGATAAGACCAGTCTGATTCTCACGGGGCATTTCTCGCTCCACATAGGTTCGAACTTCCGCAAAAGTGTTTCCGGGATGCAGGCTGCCGGATCTTAATGGTCCTTGCTCCTTCTCACTCTGCCAGTCCCGCTCACTGTGGTCCCATTGGATTTGAAGTGGCGTTCCCAAAAACGCATGTCGTTTGGCCAGAGTATCACGAACAACGTCACCAAAAGCAGGCAGACAAAGAGAAACCAACCTTCTCGGATGAACCCTGGGAAGTCCCTCGGAGCGTTGTTCAGCTTCTGGATCTTCCTGTTGTATGTCAGCAGCTTCTTCTCGTAGTCGTCCAGCACCTCATCCTTGGCCACCGGCCGCCTTTCGTCCTTGTAAACCTCCACCTTCACCGCGTCTTTACTAGCTTCCTCCTTCCTCGCCGCATCTAGTTTCTTCCTCACGGCCCCCGGTTCTGAGGCTGCCGCGCTGCTTTCCTTCCTAGCTTCTTCTAACTTTTTCCGGATACTTCCACTTTCCGCGCTGGTTTCCGTTGACACTGTCTGACTGGTCAGAGCAGGTGATGCTATGCTCTCCTCAGCTAATACAGGGGGTATCAACTGTGTGCTTAGGAGCGCCCCAGCAGCAAATAGGAGGAGACTTCTCCGAGAGCGTTCTGAGGGGAGCGCATCATGTTGTGAGGTCAGCTCGGTGCCCTGTGATGTCAGCGTCTCACACTGCGATGCCGCTCCTTCTGCTGACGGTTGATGGGGCCTCGATAGGGCCTCGCGGCCTACTAGAGACTCTGCGATAAGCGCTCGTCGCCTGGTGGTCCTTAAGCCTGGTGACAGAGCCTGTGCTTCAATTGAGTTCTTCACTCCAAGCGTGCATTGTAGACAGGTCTGAGGAGAGGAAGTAACAATCCTGGCGCCTGCAATAGGGGCAGATATTGTTAAACAACTCTCTATACACCGCTTGTACAGAGGAGACCGCTGGACGTGTTTTTGATAGCACCGAGTCTTCTTGCGCTTCAGGGTCTCTGGCTAGCAGATTGCTTTATTATCAGTGTAAAAACCTTACAAGATTGAAACGGAGAAGGTCAACCATTGACAACCATCAGTTTCTGACATGCGGACTCATGGTTGTCAGGCGCCACAGGCAATACATGTACCAGGCCGTAATTGACTTCCGATGAAGACTACCACCACTTCCAACCTATGACAATGCTCATCACCTTAAACAAGCAGCATCCACCTTGCCTCAAGGACCTTGAGTATGTCTTGAAGGTAAGGTGACACGCGGACAACATATGTCACTGCAGGTTGCAGTCCTCTTTAAGTTCCTCCACCAACAAGTCGAAAGTGTTCAATCAAAGTGAATTACATGATGAGTGCACAATACCTTGTCTCTTTCTCCCCAATTGTTGCAATGCTGCCTCTCCGAGTGGAGTCCAAAGGCAAGTGTCGCCTTTCCATCGAATGCAATTGCCGGTTCCCTGCTTTGTTGCTCTTAAAGCAGTGCTGGTGAAGCTCCCTTGGCAGCCCGTGAAAGTGCTCGTGTTGGCAGCCGCCATCATGAGCGCCAGAACAAGCTATTTTTCAGCTTTCATACAGCTTTAGAGCTTGAAGGTTTGTCTTCAGCAGTGCCGCTCAGGAGCAGGAGCAGAAGGCTCTTCAGCTTGCCACAAGGAGCAAAAGTAGATTGTACGCCCGTAAATCTGGATATGTATTTGCAGATATGAAATTGATAAGGGGGGAGAAGTATGTCTTGAGTCGAGTGAAGGGGGGAAGGTCTAATCCCGGCCGGACCTTCGTCCGGGGCCCCGGCGATCGAGGCTCAGTCCCCCTCAGAACGCAAGAAACCCATTGTGCGCACATGTCCCACATATATACGACCTGGAGAATTGAACTGATTTCGAAGCGAAACTCCGCACAGTTGTCGATCTTGCAAACCCTTCAGATTCTGATCGCATTGTGGAGAAGCCGTCACCAGGGTCCAGGGATGCGGACCACTGGTGCCAGTACCGAAGTCTACTCTGCTCAAATGCACCACAAGGGCACCACAGGCCAACATGATGTCTTGAGTAGGCAGCACTCAGAATGCGAGGGGCGGCCCCGTGATGCTTGCGACTTGCAGTGCCATGCCAATGCTGTTCAGGCAGCTCCGATGTAACACGGCATTCAGACACGCTCAATGCTGCGGCCAAGAGGATTTGAGCTTCTCAAATCATCAGGTCTCAATGGCTCGTTTGGGAAGTTTCTTCGCGCCTTCCGCATGCAATCTCCCTGGGGTGGCCCCTTGGATGCGAAAGGTTTGCTTGTTCCTCCTCCTTGTACTAGTAGCATTCTTTCATCTCCCGGAGGCAAGCGCTGACAGAATCAACACGAGCCGTTGGCCCTCCTGGCAATTCCCGCCAGTCACTAATGCCTCCGGTCTGCCAGCAAAGCCAGTAAAGAGAGTTGAAGTCCAGTTTCTGGGAAACCTCAATCCTTCACCAGAACCGAATGCAGTGACTTTGCTCAAGGGGGTCGTCGCTCTAAGCCCCACCTCTCGCCTTCTGTTCCCCCACAGCAGCCTGCCCCCTTCAAGCCCCGCCTTCAGCGTCTCCCTCTGCGTGTTCCTCACCGCAGACAGCACTGGGGCAGTGCGGACGCTTTTTTCCAGGGGGGCAAACACGAACCAACGGACCCCCACCCTGGGCCTGCTCAAAAACAGCCGCCGTCTTCTGTTTAAAGTGACCACCCTCTTCCGCCCCGAGATCTCGGCGACGTCAGCAAGCCAGCTGCCCCTCCTGAGGTGGAGCCACGTCGTGCTAACCAGCGACGGGTATCGAACGCTAACCCTGTTTCTGGACGGGGAGCCGGACGGGACACTCTTCAGCGGGAGTGATGTCATCTTGGGCAACGGGGGCCCGTTTGCGCTGGGGAGAGATCACTCCGCAGACGGGGCCGCGGCACTCGTCTTGGGATTGAAAATGTTTCCTTACGAGTTGACCAGAGAACAGATCGGGAACGAGCGCCGAGAGGCGTTTGCGAACCTGCCGCGGTTTGAGGATCTAGCGCGGGAAGAAGCGGATGCACGGGGGGTTTTGCGACCGGGTTCGAAACCGGAGTGGAAGCCCCCTGAAAGGATTGTTGCAGAGGCGGGGTTCGTGTGGAGGGGGGCAATTGCCGGGAGCCCTCCTGCCGCCGACACCCCCACATTTGCCCGAGCGCGTTTTGGGGTGGCAGAAGACAGCCTTAAAACACAGGAGGCTGGCAATGGGGAACTTTTGGCAGAATCTTGCCATGCCGTTCCAGTTGCGGCGCAGGAAACGACCTGCCCTTTTCCGAACTTTTCTCCTGACTCGCCAGTCTTTGGTGACGCTTCGGCGCCAGCCGAGTGGGAGTATAAATGCGGAGAAGAGGACAGTGTAGAGTCAGCTGAGGCGCAGCGTTTCTGGGAGCTTCTTCAAACCAATGCGCAGCCCGTTGACGAGCTCGGTCACACCGAGACGAAGCCTTCCGATGAAGTGGTGGAGACGATTGGCCGGCGAAACTCGGACTTCGTTGAGGAAGTTGCGCGTTTGGCGATCGCGCGGCTGAGTCCCTTCCAAACAGCGGTCCGCTTCCTGAGGCCGTTTCTGTTGGCAATGGAGCTTCTATCCGAAGGGGATGATTTGCAGACTTCGAAGGACGGTTCTGTAGGCAGTTTGCCTGACGCAGTCGAAGACAGAGTTGACGCCACAAGTGCGAAAAGGCTCCAGCCTGGCACCTCGGAGCCGCTTCACACTGGCAGCCCCGAAGGAGAGAAGGCGTATCGGGCAAGGATTGCGAAGCAGCAGTACGATGCGGGAAGGGCAGCGCTTGAGGAGGGGATGCGAGCGGAGGGTTCGGACGTCCGGTTAAGGAGGGTTAGGGAGGGTCTGGAACTCTTACGGCATGCGGCAGAAGGGGGTTTAGGGCTGGCACACTTGGAACTGGCTTACGCGATGGCACGGCACACAGCAGACTCTGGGAAACAGGTTGACAGGTCGGCTTTTGACTTGCTGTCTGAGCAAGTTTCAAAAGGAGGGTCTGAGTTAGGAGGGAACCTGCAGACTGTTGACGGGGGCCTTTCGGAGCGGGTGATAACAGTCGGTGGGGGTCCGGCTCCAAGTGGAGCCTTTTTGGAGGGGCGAGTTTCAGAGGCAGAGGAAAAGACGGTCGAAGTCGGGAGGGCGAATTCTTTCGAAGACCCGAAACTAGAGGGAGCGCAGAGTTCTGGGGAAGCTTCCTCTTTAGAAATGGAAGGGCGTACTAGTCGGGTTCAAGAAGGGGCTGCGTTTAGAAACGGGACAACGGCCGTGCCCTGGCAGCAGCAGGTCACGTACCATTTCTTGAGGGCGGCAGCGGCGGGCGTGGACGAGGCGTTTGCGGCCCTGGGGTACCGGAGTCTGTTCGGCCTGGGGGTCCCCCAGTGCAACGAGAGCGCGCGCTTCTTCTTTGAGAAGGCAGCAGAGGTAGCCGTCCAAACGTGGCAGGTATGCGCCTATATTCATTACCTTTGCTTTCGCCCCACAGAGTTCACTCTTTTCTCTATCGTTCCGCTCTTTCCATCTGTGCCGTGACTCGTGCTGTCCAGCTGTGCTGCAACAGTCATTCGAGGGCTGCAGAGAGGGGTGAAGGGCTCCTTCCTTGCAAGCGACTCGAGCACAGTATACCGTTGAAACATGTCGGAGAAGTGGGTCTGTTTGTAGTAAGCTAAGGGCTCTTTCAGCCCAAGATCAGACTCCTCGTTGCGCGGGTTCAACCATATTTTGCATCAGTATCCGTCATTCAAGGTCGCACTGTCTGTGTCATCGTCTCATGAGAAACGCTGTGCGTTCAAAAGTGGATTGATTTTACAGACTCGAGGTTGTTTCCTGTATCACCTCGTTTCATGCCAACAATAGCGATGGACTGTTGCGCACTCAGCCCGCCCCCTCTGCAATCAATCCGGTCCGCATCTCATCACTTCCGGCCCTGCTTAGACGACAACAAGACGCTCTGCACTTGGCTCGACTTCTGACAAGGCCTGAACCATCTCTTACCCGATCCAGCAACCTGTGACTTGGCTCGACTTCTGAGGACAGCCTAAACCATCTCTCAAACCACTACGGCAACCAAAGACGGTGTCTGACTTGGCTCGACTTCTGAAAAAGCGTTAAAAATCTTTAACCACTTTTTGCAGCGCCCTGGCGAGCGCGTGGTGGTGGAGGGCAGCCTCCTGACCGGGGCCCTCCCCCGGTGGCTTAACGAGCGAACCCATAGGGCGGACCTGCTGCAGATCATGGCCGGGAGAGGCCACCGGGCGGCCAATCTGGAGCTCGGGCGCTGGTACCTCTGGTTCGTACCCGCACCTCGAACTTGTTCAATCGTTTGGATCCGTGACCGGATTTGACAGGATGGTATTTGTTGGCTTTCAAGGACTTCTGTGGCAAGCAGGACAGATGAGATATCGAGCGCATGCGCAAAGAATACTCAAGCAAGAAGACGACCAATCACCCGGAGCGGTGTCAAAGAGAGCTTCCCCACAGCCACCGAGCGTCGCCCGCTCGATTGTTTCGAGCTTTTATGGAACTACGTGACTGTGAAGGTCGGCTTTTGGAAGATCAGAGAATACTAGAAGACGGCCGACGCGGACCGTGACGTTTCGAGCATGTCACCAAAAGGACAGTTTTTGTTTGACTCCGAGTAACGTCACTTGCGTGTCGTAGTTGCTCGTTTCTCCAGCACAGATTCCTCGCTTCTAGGATCCAGAGCCTGCCAGGCACGGGCGCCTTATCCCCTCTGTTTGGGATGTATGTTGCAGTGATATTCTCCTCGCATTAAGTTCCTTCCCTGCATTGGACCCAACCCTGACTTCAAGTAGATTGCAGCGGCTGCGTCTCCAACTCAGGCCCCAACTATAGCAGCAGCCGTCATATATGAAAGCACGCAAAACAACGAGCCCTTTTAGCTCTCAAAACCTTGTCCTTTCTCGATGTTCCTGTGGGGATTGACCACTAGAACCTTTGAGAGCCCCGTCCTGAACCCTCAGAGTCCCCGCTTGCAGGGGCGTGAACGGCGTGCCCCGCGACCCCGCCCGCGCCGCGCGCTTCTTCGAGCGCGCACACGCCGGGGGCAACCACCACGCGACGGTGGGGCTCGCCAAGATGCTGCTGGCGGGCGAGGGCGTCGCCAAAAACGCGTCGAAAGCGCGCGAGTTCTACGAGGACGCGGCGGAGAAGGGCGACGCCGAAGCGCTCAACGGGCTGGGGTTCTTCGCGATGCACGGGCTGGGGGGGACCACAGCCAACTTTAGCAAAGCGTTCGAGTGAGTAGAAGATGTTTCGAGGGTTTTGAAATGAGTAAGGGCTTTGTTGTCGTCGAAATTTCCAAGCCGGTTCAAGGCACCAGCACTTTGATGCCGTGACTTCAGTAGTGCGTTCGCGCGAGTCTGGTAACGTCATGCAAAGATTGGGATTCCAGCGATTTGTCGTGCTCTGTTTGCGAGCGCTTCTGTGGGACTTCCTCGAGGGAGATTGCCGGTTTTGAGCGCTTTCCTCCACGCGTTGGAACCGGCACAAATCTCGCTGGCCAAATCCGAAGTCCTTCGAGGACAGGGCAATCAATGAAGCGACTTTCTCCAGCGTCAGTATTCCTTGTCGGAATCTGTTTTGCGACTTCGGTTTGGGTGTTGGGGGAACACCCTTCAAAACCTGTCCCTCTGTTGCCACATACCTTGTACATACGTCTGTCATAGAATTCCGAGGTTGCCACGACAATCGTTCTTATCTCACTTTCCGTATCACGCTCTCGTTGCAACGGCTTTCAAGGTTTTGATTTCCTGTTTTTCCTATGAATAATACTTCAAGCCCCAAGCGTTCTTGTTTCAACGGCCCTGAAACTTCTGAACCAGCTTCTTCTTCATCACAGATACTTCAAACGCGCCGCGGACCTCGGCTCCCAGGACGCTATGGTCAACATGGGCGCCATGCAGCGAGCTGGCCTGGGGATCCCCCGGGATGACGTGGCAGCCTGGCGCAACTTCCGTGTGGGCGCGCTGCAAGGGCACGTGCCGAGCGCCCACCATGCAGCGCTGGCGGCCAGTTCCGGTTACGGAACGGAGCGGAACCCCGGGCAAGCCGCGCACTGGTTCAGGTGCGCTTCTTTACTGTAAACATATTCTTTCAGGAACGAGTATGCATAAGGCTTATGGGACAGATTTTGACCGCGTCGACTCGCTTCTCAGATGTTAGGTCTGGTTCCGAAATCGAGTTACGAGAACTGGCCGTCCAGGAGAGGAAAAAATGACGCAGTTCATGGACGACAGGAAAGGCCTAAGTTGCTAAACCCAAATGCACATGGCATGTAGTGATGTTTGAGTGACACAGAAGACGGATTCTTGGACTAGAAAGAAGTTGGTGGCAGGCCAGCTCCCGAGCGAAGAGGAGATGACACCAAAGCCCGAGTCACTGACTGGCGTCCGTTCCGTTCTCCGTGCTACTTTTTCCCTCGGTTAAAGCAACCACCCTTCTCTTTCTATGCAATGGAACGTTACCAAACAGGATGAGCAAAGACGGCTTGGTTTTCAATGACTGGCTCACGTAGGTCCACTTCCGTTCCTTCCGCCCAGGCTCATGTCCGAGACGGGCCCCTGGGCCGCGCACCTCCAGGCCGGCCTCTCCGCCTTTCTGAGCGGCGATGCGCGCGGCGCGCTCGCGAGCTACGCGCGCGCAGCCGAGCTCGGCTACCCCCCCGCGCTGTGCAATGCCGCCTGGCTGCTGGAAAAGCGGTCGGGGGACCTGGGCCTGACACGTGGCGAAGGACGACTCGCTGCGGCGGTGTATTTGGAGAGGATCGTCGGAGAGGGGGGGCCGGATGGGGAGGGCTCGAGGGGGGTGAGAGCGGATCTGCGGGGGTGGGCGCACGTGAGACTGGGGGACTGTGCGTACTACGAGGGGGGCTGTGGCGGGAGGGGGGACGCGGCGGGGCATTACCGAGCAGCGGGGGAGCTCGGGAACGGCCAGGTGAGACGGCTTCGCATGCAAATGGAAGCGGGTATTGTGTGTCGAACTCGCGTGCATTGGGTGTCAATATTCGGTCATCCAGGACCTGAGCAAGCCTCAGAAACACCCGTTGCGTGTTTCGTGGTCGATCAGCCGGAGACTGCCGTGTTTCACTCGGTGTTGATTCTCTTGAGCTTTCGTCTTCTCCCCTTGACGGTTCGGCCATGTTGCAAAACGCCTCAAGTGTCGGTACTGGCAAGGAAAGACCCTCGTTTTCGCTCCCTGTACTCTATGCCAAACCGTGCAGAGGGAGATGTTCCTTCCTCGCCCTCTCTATTGGCGCATCTGCCGTAGATCGCTCGTGAAAGGTGGACCAAAGAAGTAGATGTCATGCGCACAACCTGCCCAGTATGGTTTACCGTTCTCATTAACGACCTCACGCACAAATCTCCACTCTGTTGCAGGGCCAATTCAGCCTGGGGTGCCTCCTCGAGCGGGGTACCCACGGCGCATCCCGCAATCTTTCGGAGGCGGAACGGTTGTACCGATTGTCGGGGGATCACCCAAACAAGGGGGCCGTCGCGGCGGCCGCTCTGGCAGTTGCCAAGCTGAAGGTGGTCACGTTTCTAGATTACTACGGGATAGACGTAGAAACGTGGGTTAGGGCTCTTCACCTTTGGATTGGGGACGGGTTGGAAGCGGTGTCGAACGCTGTTTGGAAGCTGTGTGAAACGGCGCTGGGGAGGACGTCTTCCAGCCCGGGGGAGGAAGCGAGCGGAAAAGAGGACGGGCCGGCTTTCCGGGGGGCTGACCTTGGTGCAAATGGGACCCCCTATTCAGAAGGTCGGGTGGGTGAGATTAACGGGGACGGCGACGGACTAGCTGAGCGGTCGCCTGCCTCGTTCGCTGCTCTGCTGAAAGTTTTCCACGCCGCACGGGACGAGTGGGTTCTTCTCGGGCTGTGCGTTGCGTTGGGGTTCACTTTGGGGTTCAGGTGGGTGCGACAACGAGGCCGGCGCGCTGCCTCAGACGGTTAATGTATTGCAGGAAGAAGTTGAGCGAACCCGTCTCGAATCTTTTCCCCGAGGACTGTAAATATGTATTTGCACAAGGCGCGGTTGATTGGTCCTGTTATTGTCGGAGCGAGGGACAAAGATCTTCATTGTAGTCGAAGGTCTGATGGACGTTCATTGCGGACAAGATCGTAGCATGCCCATGATGCAATGGTAAACGAAGTCAGTCGCCATATGTAAAATTGCACTTAGAGGACTCAGTTCAAAGGATCCCTGCCCAACTTTGGCTGCCGCTGTTGTAAAAATCCCGTCTTCCGAACGCCTATACATGTGAAGCAGGCAGAAATGAGACCCTGTCTCGAAAGTCACAAACATGCAAGATATTTCTAGTAGTGATCAACGATGTCGGAGGCATCCGCCAGGGAGAAAGATGTCAAAAGTCAGCACAATTTGCATCCGATTTGTGTCGAAACATACATGTACGGATAATAGTAGCAGCGCGGTGGCACGGGTGATGTCCGGTCAATGCAAGCTCTTGATTAGTTATGAGGGATGCATGCACCGAACAGCGATTTAATAGCAGCCGATTTATTTAACGACAACATGCCGATGTTGTATTCAAGTCACGAGGCAGCAAAGTGGAGTGTGCACTTAGACGGCCACATGCAATCTTCCTCTTAGTAGTATCAACGTATACACCGGCGTGTGGGGTCTCGATCGAAGCGGGCTCATACCGTATACGGAAGGGGCCAGCGCTAGGGCACGTACCCTTACATCAAATCGTGACGGTTAACCCAGCTCACGTGAACCCCGGGACAATCGGACGGTTATGAAGCTGTCTACGTGGAAGTAGGGTGTGTAGCTTTGCTATCGTCACATGCGCTGATCGGACGGTTGAGAAGCTGTTGTCGAGAGGGCTTCGGTGTCTCTCTTGTGCCACGCAAGCCACCTTGGACCGCGCCATTCACACTCGGGTACACCTTTTACCTGACGCATCATGATGTACCGACTGCGAACGGTAACCGGCCCATGATCTGCTAATTGTAGGTATAGTGTACAACACTGCACTACCGCTTCAAAAGGGACTGAAAAGGACCATGCAATGCGTACACACTGTGCACTTTTTGGCTGACCTGGCCTGAGCAGCTGCCACGACTTCCAACACCATTGGTCGAGAGCTGGCTCCCTCCATTCAGTCCAAACTTCTGACATGCTCAAGCGTTCGAGTTGAGGAATGCCAGCTGCAGCTGATCGCCTTTCTTTCGAGCTTCTTTCAACCTTGATCGACGATCCAATCTCAAAGGAGAAAGGCTCCTGCTTTGTATTATCTGCTACAGTAGTATGCGCAGTGGTGTGTTCAGCACAACCTTCATTGTCCAGCCACTGAACGTTCCTTGTTATCTCAGCACAGGATCAGCAAAGAATTGACCCCAAAGTTTTGCTCTGCTCAATACCTTTGAAGCCATAACGATCATTATTCACTCGCGGTTCAGCCCGTTAGATCCTTGTGAAAAGCATTGACGACTGATCAGCTGCTTTCGTGCAAAACGATATTCATGCAGAAGATCTTCTGCTAGCATAATGGTGGCATCAAGTGCCTGCAGGCTGGGCACTAACCTCAGCTTGCAAGGCTTTGCTCTCCTTGAAACTCTTGCCTCTCAAAGGCCTAGTGGTTCACGCAGCTTAATACACAGGCAGAGCAGGTTCCTAGGCCATCAAACACATAGATCTGTCTCATGCACACACAAAGTTAGCTCATCTTCTCATCTTGGTTCACTTCACTCCTTCCACAGCAGTGGTTACAGTTTCCTGGCTGATCAGAAGAACTTGTACAAAAAGCCAGATCAGTGTAGCAAAGCTCTGACAAGTCCCATTGCTGTACTTACTCCGCCAAAGCCAGTTGCTCCTAGCTCAGACAGACATGCGCGGCGCGATATTAAAGAGTCGCACCCACCAGATCAGCCAAGTGAAAACCAGGACAGCCGAAGTCATGAGACGGATGTTGTGATCATAGGAGCAGGTCAGCAATCATTTCCTGCATTTAGCTTGCATTCATTTCAACAGAAACCAGCATGCAGTTGGGATGTAGCAGCTGGTTGGCAAGGGAAGGCAGGGCCGCTTCAAGCAATCAAGACACACCTTCCCTGTGTAGCTTGCCAAGGACTATTGCACCACTAAGCGTCGCACCCTAACTTGATAGATCACACTTTGAAGCCATGCATTCGACATCAACAAGATGCCTCACTCAGGATCAGTCATTGCAGCAATGGGTGCAAGGGAGGCTGTTGACGCTTTACCAAAAGATAAAACTGCACGGTTCATCAAAGTTCACAATTAAGTCCCCATCCTCCACGATTGCAGGCATTGGAGGGCTCTGCTGTGGAGCGTTGCTCGCAAAGTATGGCCAGCGGGTCACCATTTGTGAGAGCCACTCCATTCCAGGTCAGTGTCCCTTGATTGTCACTGCCACCAGTTCCTAAAGTGGTTGCATGTTAACAAGTCTTGGTTTTACTTCTCACATTTCCCCCAGAACGCAAAGTGGTACAAAGGCAGGGGCTGTGAGTAGGGCCCAAGCAATCTCGCACAGCCCTCTCTGTCAGCAGCTCAAAGAAAGATTCCAGCCGCACGTTTGCACCAAGGGTGATTGCCACAACTCAGCTGAAGTGTTGCTGAGGGCGCCCGGGCCCCTTGCGAAACGGCGCAAAGTGTGGTCTTTCCATGTAGCTTCACTACAGTTCTGATCGTCGATGCCTTCCCTATACAATCAGCTCAGTCTTGGACTCCTGATGAGCTCTTTTCATCACTCCTGGGGAGCTCGGCAAATTGGGCAGGAGCAGGAGCGCACATTGATATCTGTGATCCCATATCCAAGCACACTCTTCGCTTCTCAAACTGCCTCATGCTGATGCAGGGGGAGCTGCGCACTCGTTCCAACGGCAGGGGTACCACTTCGACTCGGGCCCCTCGTTCCATGCGGGGCTCTCAATGGACAAGTCACTCAACCCCCTGAAACAGGTCCTCGACGTTCTGGGGGAGGAGGTGCCCTGCGTATCCTATGATACGTGAGCCGCTATTTGTCTTGCCTTATCCTTCTGGTTCATGTTCTTTTGATTGAGGGTCTCATCTCCTAAGCGAGCCCCTGTCTGTCCGGTCTGATTCATTTGGTAATAGAATGTCTCTTGTATTGGTTTCTGCTTTCAATTTATCGACTTGCTGCTTTCAGGGTTTTCAAACGGTGCGGAGCAAAGTTATGCGAGTGCCAGCTTTCCACTGAGCCCCAAAACAGCGTAAGATACGAGAGTGACAGATGCAATGCCAGTCAGAAGGTCGACAAGAGCTTCGATTGGCTTTGGGTGATGTCAGTCACGCACTTGAGATCTTAGGTGGGGAAAGCGAGATGACAGCTGTCAAGGACTAGCACTCCACAGCAACCCGCTCGAGTAAAGCCTGCAGTTTTGATTCCCCGAGTATTGCCATTCTGCAGGTGGATAGGTTACCTTCCAGAGGGGCAGTATACATTCCGTGCCGAGGCGGAGGCGTACCGTAACGAGATTCTCAAGTATGGGGGACCGGACGCTCTTGCAGAGTGGATGGAACTAGAGGTGGAATTTTCTGCACTAAACGAATCCTTCGGGTGCCTCAATGTCGGACAGATGCAGCTCGATTGTTGCCGGCTGTCTCGTTTGAATGTCTCGGCTGAGTTCTGATGGAGCGCTCCTGGAAGAATCAGTCCGCACTGGGAAACGGGTGTTGCGTCTTATAATCTGCGACAAGACCTGCGTCTGGGTTCGGTCCGAACAGCTTTGAGACCAGGATTCAGTCGAAGCAGTCTGTCCTCTTCCTTCTGAGAAGGTCAGCTGGCCATTGAGCTCGCATGTGAGCAGGCGTTTCCAAGAAAATAAGTTTCAAATGAGATGGAAGAAAGCTTTGCTCTCTGCAGAAACTCATAGAGCCGTTGGCAAAGGCTTCTGCTGCACTGCCGCCGGCGGCGATGAGGGGCGACCCAGCGGTTGCCCTATCAGTCGCTCGCTTTCGTAAGTTCGAACTCGATGGCTCAACCGACGCTATCCGTTCTTAATGTGAGCTGCTTCCCTTCGAGCCTGCCGTAAGTGGGGACTTTTGTATTCGGACAACAACCAAACGCAACTATCAAATGGTCCTTTTTGGTGACTCAAGCCTGCTCGTGTTTCGAGCCGGGAGAAGCAGGATTTTCGAGGAAAGCGTCCGACCCGAGGCTGATTGGAATCGTCTAGCTTAATTTAGCAGTGGTACTCGCATTGCTGAGTCGTGCGACTGTGACACCCGTCAGCCGGCCAGCAATGCTTCGCTTTCGCATCTTGCAAACGATCGTTTCGTTCGAGGTGCATATCCAGCCGCCTTCAAAATGCAAAGATCAATCTAGTTGAAAACTTGCAAGAGTTGATTCAAAGAGGATGGGTCTGCAGTCGGATCACCACTCCCAACGTTTAGATGTCTCTTTTGTTTTCAGTGCCCGGCCTTCTGCCGACCATCTCGTCCTCTTCGAAGCTCCTGAGGCCCTTCTCCGAAGTAGTCGACAAGGTGAGAACAGGTCTTTGCAGAACAATGGCGGCCGCTTGTGCGCATCCTATTTCGTGCGGTTCCTGTCCACGAATCGGTGCAGCCGCGAAGCGAGCTTCTAATAGCTGCGGTTTTTCATGCAAGAAGAGGTCCGCGTAGAATTGAAATCCTGTGTCATCGTGTGTATACGGTCTGTGCCTCGGGCACAAACTCGCTTTCTGTCGAAGAAAGCCGACCACACAGTGATCATTCGTCCACACCACAATGAACGTTTGTCGGGACGTTGTTACATGTCTATAACTCCATGTATTTCCTTGCTCGCCTCGGTGGTGTTGCATCAGCTGTCGTAGTGTGTTGCTCAGGCCCTCGATCTGGGGCAGTTGAACTAAGCTCTCTTGATGTCCTGTGCAGTGCGTCAAGAACCCTTTCCTTCGCAATCTCATAGACTTGGAGTGCTTCGTCCTTAGCGGAATGCTCGCAAAGAGGTAGGTCGCCGTTCTACTCCTTGCCCGTGCAGTACAACGGACTTTGTTTGACTCCTCAGAAGCCCGCTTGGGTTCTCCTCGGAACGCCTCGCATCAGCACGACTTATCCTTGAGCGAACATACTGGTGAGCGAACATACTGGTGAAACAGTTGGAACTTTGCTTCGGGTGCGGAACCGACGTTGCCAAAGACGCTGCACGGGATACGAAAGTCCAAACGATAGAAGCCGCGTCATTTGGAGTACGGATTTTGTCAAGGACCTTGTAGCTAGAGCCACCGTTTCTGAGGGCAGGATTGGCTTGCTAAAAACATGTATTTTCATGTAGAGGGCTGGCTTTATCAGCAAGACGAAGGGATTGGCTTCGGACAAATAGCGGGCTCACGCTTTTTGCTGAGCAGTCTGCCAATTTTTTGCTCATTCAGCCGTCCAATCTGCAGCACGATCACCGCCGAAATGGCTTTCATGTTTTACGAGCGGAATCGACCGGAGGGCACGATCGACTACCCAATCGGCGGAGGGGAGGCGATCATCAGCGCTCTCGTGAGGGGCTTCAAGAAGCACGGGTGAGGATGCCAGCTGTCGTGCAATCAGAGACCAAGAAGAGTTTGCAAAAGTTGCATCCGCGTTGACTCTGCTTCTCGCTAGCGGTTTGATGTGCTGCAGTTCTGCAGCAGCCTCATTCAAAAACTTACTCTTTGTACATGCATCCTCTGTTTTGCGCCCCTTCTCTCGCCTCGATCCGTAGGTCCGTCATCTTGCATGCGTAATGCTCTTGGACGGATGTGCGGCATTGGTTGTGCTCCCTGGTTAGATGCGGAAAGGTTTGTCCAGTTTACCCAAGGACTGTGTGTGGTTTCCCGGGTGTCAGTTGCGTTATCCTCGTTGTGCACTGACGAGATGGCGCTTGGTACTTGCGAATAAGCGTTGCTAGCTACCACTTTCGCGACAGGCCTCGTCTCGCCGGAAAGTGTTGAATGAGAGGTACTTTGGTGCAGGGGTCGGATACTGCTCAACTCCCACGTAGACGAGATCCTTGTACGCAAGGGGCAGGCGGTGGGCGTCAAACTGAAGGCTCGCGGCAAGGTCAGCAGCTGTCAAGCATCTCACTTTGGCCTAGACGATTGATCTTGACATGGGTCTAGCTAGCATTCAATGGAATTCGACTGAGGTTTTACATATCCTGGCAAAGCGGAGGAAATAGGCTTGATAATACGAAACGAATGAAAGGTGTGCCTTGTAAAGCAACATGGCGATGCCTGGGTGAAGTCTGTGAGCTTGCAAGCGGCTGGCGTCGCCCACTTGCGATCGGAGTAGATTTTGTACGTACATCCGGTCGTCTTCCTTTTAGAACAGGCTTCAACGTCCAAATTATTCCCCCCCTGTTCGAAGAACCAGGTTGCCTCGGTCCTCATCGCCGTGGTCGTGATCTGTATCCCTCTTTCGGTGATCTTCCTTCGAATCTTCCTCACGGTGATTTGCCCTCCGTATCATAGCCGTGTTTTTCTCTCCCTGTATCTTCATTCCGTAATGTCCCTTCGAAATTCATCGCGGTGGTTTCCCTTCGTATCTGAGTCGTGCGTCTCTCACAGGGCCCGAGCGCCGTTGTGCGCGCGCGCAAGGCCGTCGTCTCCAACGCGTCGCTGTGGGATACGCAGCGACTGCTGCCCCCGGGGGCGGTCCCCGTGCAGGAACGGAAAGAAGCGCTGGCGACACCCATGGTAAGTTCTTTCCCTGTTGTCCTCTTGTTCTTCGGATATTATTTGACTCTGGATAGGGACGCAGCAGTAGCCAAGCAGATGGGACCAGAAACAGTTACGAGCCTTAGAGGTCAAGCAGTCGAGGTAGCGTGAATGGATGGATGACAAAAGAAGTTGCAGTTTGCGAAGAAGTTTCAATGCCGCGACCAAGTTGTTTTGGTAGAGCAGGCTCAAAGATCCCCCTGGTCGAAGCTACCTTACTCTGAGTGTCCACAAAAATCTCAAAAATTGAACGACGACATCTGCTTTGGACACTGCTTTGTCGGCGACGCAATCTGCTTGACACTTAGATGGCGCACTCGAGTATGCCATAGCTTCGTCAGATGTTTTACACTTTCTGTGCTCCACCCGAAGCCAAAAAAGGACCGTTTGACTAAACTATGCGTTCTGGAGAATAGAAGGTTCTACCAGGTAGATCCTAGACTGCGTTCGACCGCACTTTCTGAACAATATCAACCGCAAATGCGAGCCGACTTTTCAAAGGATCCTTTCCTTGCCGCAGACCGACAGTTTTCTCCACTTACATTTGGGCATCGATGCGACTGGGCTTCCCGAAGACATCGAGTGCCATCACTTGGTGAGTCTCTGTACTTGGCTTGGATTAGGCGAGTGCTTGGTTGTGGCTACCCCGGTTACTGTATCTCCACGAAAACATGACTGGTCCTGTTCAAGTAAGTTGGATTTGGCAGGCTCAGTCAGTCTTTGTCTGCTTTGACCCTTCCAAGATGGTGGGTAACACTGACTGTGCCATTCGGCGTTGCGGCAGGAGCGTGCATTTCAGAAGCAACGTCTTAACGATTGGCGAAGTCTTGTGCAAAGTAGATTTACAGCCCAGTCCGGTTAATCTTGGACGCATCGCCTATGGGAGCGTGTTAGAATCGATAACCTTGAAGGACAGTATTCTCTTTCGAACTCGTTTTGCCCCTTGCGGTCAGTATGATGCCAGCGTCCCTTTTGAGCTCCTTTGCACTTCTCTTTCCTATTACTGAAAGAGGTCGTTGCCTGGATTGTGCAGATAGTCAACAGCTGGGACGCGGGGATCCGCTCCCCCCAGAACGTGTGCATAATATCCATCCCCACCATTTTCGACCCAAACCTCGCCCCCCAAGGAAAACACGTTGTCCACGCTTATACCGCGGGGAACGAGCCCTACAGGTGAGGGAGCCTGTTATCACAGCCGCGTTGGTCGGTATCACTGCTGTCTTCTTCATTCTGTGTTCAGTAGCCTGATTGAGGCATTCTGTATCTTCTTAGAGAGTCGGGAGCAGATTTTGTCAATCGCGGGGAATCTTATAGCGGTTTTTAAGTCAATTCTACATGTCCTTTTCCAGGATGAGAGCCGTACCGAGCTACCTGTAGATGTGTTTCGCCGTTGCACCTTTCGAGGAATCTGCTCAGCCTCGAAATATCCGCGACAAAGGTTTTCAAACATATTGCAAAATCCGATACGCGATGTCCTGCATCAGAATGGCAGTTGGAGCTCCTGAAAGGCCCACGTACTTTCAAGCCTCGGAAGAAGAGCCCGCTCGTTGCGATCGTTCCTCGTCGACCCACGTTTCTGAGGCCTTGTTTCCCTCCTCGTTCGCAGCATTTGGGAGGGCCTCGACCGGTTCAGCCCCGAGTACAAGGCCCTCAAGGAGGAGCGCGTGCAAGTGCTCTGGCGGGCGCTGGAGCGGGTCATTCCGGACATCCGTCAGCGGACGGAACTGGAGATGATCGGAACGCCGCTCACGCACGAGCGGTACCTGCGGAGAAGGTAGGTCACCGTCGTTTGTCAGGGTGACCCACAACCGTTTTTCTACATCGGTTGCTACAATCGCCTGGTACAGCTTGAACCTAATCCAATACTTGGCGCAAAAGTTCGCCGACTGTTTCCGGATGTCCTAACGGCTTATCAAGGTTACGCAGGTGCATTTCGTCCCTTGCTCTAGATCGGGCCTTCTCACTCTCTTCTCCACAACTTACACAGTCAGCGCATTGCGCAAATGGCGGTTCCACCCGGTTGCTTTCCGCTCTCCAGCTGCATCACCCGCTTTCTGACCTGTTCCTCTCAGTCCTCGAGCTCTAACGAAAGGTTACCTGTCAGCCGCGATCATCGTTATCTAAACCCGTTTCCGTCTTTTTTCTGCGGCAGTCGGGGGACGTACGGCCCGGCCATCGAGGCGGGCAAGCAGAGCTGGCCGGGGCCGGTGTCGCCCCTCCCGGGGCTCTACTGCTGCGGCGATTCCACCATGCCAGGTATCGGGGTGAGCTACTTTTCTGGGTTCTCCCATCCCTGGGCTTTTAACGAACGTTGAGCTTAGGTTGCTGGTTGGGCTTTTTGCGAGAGCTTGGGACTCGTTCATCAAGATTCGCTCGACGTAAAAGCCGTTTTAGGTGGCAGACTGGCAGTCACCTGGGCCTAGCGGGACATACTGACTATGCAGGTTTCCTTTCTGCGTTGCTTTCGTTCAGTGTATGTGAGGGATAGGAGACAAAGGCCTCAGGAAGAAGCTTTCGATTGGCTTCAACTCGCGGCTTCTCTTTCCGGCGTTGGTCAATATGGAAGTATTGCCGCCAAGTCCGCTTTGTTCTGGAAGTAAGTACGCTGGTGAATCTGGGATGCTGAAGCCCGGAGAGGTATGGACGGTACACTAAGGCGGCTGCATACTTTCGCAGGTGCCGGCTGTTGCTGCGAGCGGAATGATCACCGCGAATACGATGGTCCCCATCTGGAAACACTGGCAATTGCTGGATAGCTTAGCTTGACTTGGCAGCGGGATAGAAGGTGCTTAGTAAATGAAAGACATGAGTTGTTGTATTCAAGGTTTGAGTAGGACAGGAGAAATTGTAAGACATTCAAGAGGAGGTACATAGAGCACACCGATTTGTTGTTGGCGATTCTGTCTTGCATACGCTTCTAGAAGGTCGCGAAACCTGCAGCATATCCACTAAGTACAGTCATAGAAAGGCATTGAGGTATAAAGAGCAAGGTTCGGCACTTTTAAACCGAACAATCCATGCAGAGTATGAAAATAGTCGATCGCTCATAAAGACTGCTCGATCCATATTTAATTGCAGCCCGCTTAATCTTGCTATTTTTTTTTTTCATTCATGTCATCCTTGTTGTCGGAGACATGTAAAGGCAGAGCTCGGTGCGATTGACACACCCCTCCTCCCCCTCCTCAACGATAGGTATGTTGGCTTGGTACGGTCAATATGATGGTCATGCTGCAGGAACACTATTGTACAGCATGGCTTGGCCGTTCAATTGCGTCCTGATAGTACAACGACACATGTGGAGCCCGTGTCAGTACCCGGCCTTTGAATGCAGAATATCTATGCTGGTTCATCAGGCAAGCACTTACGGTATGCATGGTCCGACACAAGTACCCCCCTATAAGCATTGGCACCCCGCTGCATCCAAACGGGAAGTGCCAGCGGTGTCGTCGAGTCTATGGCATATATACTACGATTCATGTGCTGAGGTTTTGATTGGGGGCTGGGCGGCTCTGCTTGGATCACATTTGGGATAGACTGCAGTTGGCAAGCCTTTTCGAAGGTATCTACGGTCGGGTCTTCTCGGAGCGGATCAATTGTGGTCTGATATGGACGAGCCTCGATCTTTTGACAAGGTTGTGTACGTAGAGAAGAGCTCGATCCTGCATCCTCGATCTTGAAGCCAGAAAAGCAATTTCAATCTTGAAGCCAGATAACAGGAGGTAAACATGTTACTGTGTAGGCTCCTACTCTGCCCACTGGGCTTTTAGACCCACATAAATTGTTGAAAATAGGGCACCGAGGCGCCGGCCTTCCTGGCACGCATGGTTCTCTCCCAAACGTGACTGTTCAAATGATTGTTACAAGGTCTTCCGTGTTCCGGCGGCACGCATGGCGAGATTCACGAGCGTGGCGCTGTGGATCTCAGCAGAAACGTTACGGCCCTGACCCCATGGAAAACTGCGGCGGACCGTCTGCTTCTATCCGCTCCCCAGCAAAGCTACTTGCCCAGCTATCAGACGATCTGCGGCAAGCTTTCGACGACAGCGGGCCGCTTTCTTTTCCGCTGATGACATACGCTTACGTCATACTGCTTCGACGTGGCAGCAGCTCGAGGCCGCTTCGTGGCGCACCGCCTCGATCGCGGCTCAACCTGGGGACCCCGGGGGTTGCTACAGCGGGGCAGCGCGGGGGAGAACCTCGGGGAGCTAGACCCGGCTTTGCCCGGTGACCCGATCGCTCATCTTCTCCAAAGTTTCCTGTACGAGCAAACGCTCGAGCACATTAGTGAGGCGGCGCCACAAGAATATGCACCACCTCTTGGGCGACTTTCGAGGCTGGCTTGGGTTGACAAGCGTGGTTCGCGTGTGACGACATCTCTGTCGGTTTATTGGGATCTATGTTGAAAGTAATGGGCACCTGCGATAGCTGAGAAGGTGCCTGATGTTTATTCCGACCTTTACATTTACGGCCGGAGACTAGTGACCGTATACTGGATACAGGATTGTCTGACTGGCGCTTTGCGCTTTGTCTCACGAGAGGTGAGAAACCGGGTGGCAGAAGTACTTCGGACGGCCGCAAAAAGAACCAAGATAGGAACAGTATGCTGGTGGTGAATGAACCTTGGAAGGGCTCGGACGCAATCTCGAAGGTAACTTGCTCACTGTCGAATTTGGGAGGCGAAAATCCAGACAAACAAATACTCGACATGTGCTTCCAACAGCATCTTTAGTCAAGCCAGACCCGTAGCTCAAGAAGCGGCGTAACGAATAGGGCGTCTGGATATATGTTCTTGGAAGGGGGTCCAAGTAAACCACAGAGCAGATCAAAACAGAGGACGGACGTCCAGGAAGTAGTTTGCCGTTTTGACATCCCGATAGTGCAAACACTCAATACCGCAAAGGGCTGAGAAAGAAATGTAGAGCCAATTCGCCAATGTTTTGAGTTTGCGAATCCTCCGATCAGGTACTTCCCACTGAACCAGATCATCTGCAGGGTTGTGAACGGACATCGGCTCACCTTGAGCATCGCCGCAAACTGCACTGACATCTCTTCCATTTTCCCCTTGAGGTCCTGGATCTGCGGCACAGACACGTGGCGTTACGAGAGGTCCCCAAGAGCCATGCACTCTCTCTGAACTGACACGTGGGTCGATCGAGCCCCCCGTTACCAGGGTGGACGTTCAAATTCTTGCGCCTCGACGCCAGCTAGGCTAATCTTGGTAAACAGGATTCTGCAGACAGAGCCCAAGGCACTTGAGATTTGAATCAGGGGACATGTTCCTACACGGGAAGAATATTAGAGCAGCCTCGAAGGGCTTCGAGACAGGTAGGGTCTGTGAGGCTTGTCCCGCAAGATCTCTCAACCTGGTCGGATCGAAAGAATTCAAAACCTAATTGTGCGTCACCTGCCGATCCTTGTCGTGCAACACGCGGTCTTTCTCGGCGTTCATCTGGCGCACCGTGTCTTCCTTCCGGTCTGCAGGAAAGTAACGGAACGGATTCAGATCGTAATGGCAGCGGATTTGTTCATTAGGTAAACAAAGTGTTCGCTGAAGATCAGAAGCCACGGACCAGACAAACTAAAAACTCTACCTAACCTAACCACCAAACCAGCCCTACTCGTCCCCCGGGTGCCTATGTTAGTGAAACTTCGTTAGGGGGACACTTCCGTTGCTAGAAATTTCAGATCCGCCGCATTCATTGATCATCAAACCTTCCGGATATAGAAGGAAGTGGAAGCGAAGTCGGAAGCAGAAGACCGCTCTCTGAGAGCAAAAACCTCGCGTTATCAATGTAATCCGCCATTTGCAGCTTGAGTTTTAGCTTTGCGAAGAGAGACGTTTCTGTAGTTTCTTCAGGACATATCTTTTCTGACCTGTTAATTGACACCAGAACTTTGCGAAGATTGCTGTACATCACAGTCGAGATGAGTCACGTGTCTCAAAAGGATGACGGTGGCTTCTTTCCTTGCCGCTTGGGACCAGTGAGCAGCTAGTTCGTGACAATTGAAACGTCGGAATGCTCTGGCACACAGTCGACATGGGGCCTGAGAGTGTTTCTACCAGCCCAGAAGACAAGGTGAGCATCCGAGGAAGAGATAGAGAGAACGTAAGATAGAGAGAACGGAAGAAAAGGAAGGGCAAAAAGCAAAGACTACAAAGCGAAAGGCGTGGTAGAACGCCAATCGAGGATGAGCGATGGCCGTACCGAGCGTTTGCTGCAGCTCCTTGTTGCGCTCCGACAAGTCGGCAACTAGAGTGAGCAGCTGGTCCTGCCCCGCCTTGAAGCGCCGGGTCAGGTCGTCGCTAAGCGAGAGAGAAACAAGGGTCAAGGCGCAGACCAAGATCGGCTACCGCGTGAGTTGACTGGCGATAGGTTTACATAGTCGGTCTCGAATGCATTTGGAAGTCAGCTCTGATAAAAGGGCAAAATACTTGCGTAGACATGGTAAAGACAATTTCAGAGCAGAGATGTAACCGTTGGACAGAAAGCGAAACTGCTTCTCGCCTCGGTCGGACCGACATTTGACGCTGACCATTCCGATCAGTGCAAGTACAGAACTCTTTGAACAAGGGTACCTTTCGTTGAGGACAGAACCAGGACTTCGAACCGCTTACGTCACGTCTTCGATTGCCTCGTGTTGCTCGTCCAGCGCGCGCGTCAGCGCTATCAGCCGCTCGCGGAGCAGCTTCTCCTCGTTGCGGGCCATGGAAACCTCATGCTCCCGCTCGACTGCAAAGAACGAAATATAGGAGTTGGAGTGGTGGCTCCGCTTTTCAAGCCTCGCTTTCCCTCAAGTGAGACACGGTCACTTTGCGGTGGGCGGATGAAGGATCGTTCCAATCTAACAGGAGGTGTTTCATCGGTCGTAAGCCGCCTTCCCGGAACAGTCTCCGTTTCTCTCGACTGTGTTTCTTGGTCCATTCTTGACAACCTCCTGGGCACTTCCTTTCGCAACTGAAGATCCAGATTCACGAGCTTTTGAAAAACTGATCATCTGAGCAAGGTCGATACAAAGCAGGCCCTTCCTGCGTGGAGAAGCGTAAGCAGGGCTGGTGACTTGTCCTCCAGGAATGGCAGAGGAGCTGCCATACTTGCTGTTCACAGCATCTGTGGTCAGCACCAAATGAAGAACGCTTGACAGATCAATATCTACTACTTTGTATCTAGCTTCAGATTACAAAAAGACGGGCCATCAAGGATTTGCTGGTCAAACAAGACCTGCGGCTGGATTATGGTGTCAGACCGGGACGAGATTTAGGACACGGGAAACCCACCGAGCTGTCGCTGCAGGGACGCTATCTCGGACTCGGCTCGCTTCAGCTTGATCGTGCTGATGTCATCAGGGGCATCTGCGAGGAAGACGAAGTACGGTCTCCGAGTGCCTTACAAGCGCACGTGTCTCTTGATTAGAGCGATTACATCCAATGTGGCGGCGCCGCGAAGATTCAGAGACAACTCTTACTAAAAGCCCCATATAGCACCACTGAGGGCGAGGCACGTTTCAATCTCTGCCTTGACGAAAGAGAAGAGTGAGGGTTCTTGCCGTGATGAACGCAAGATAGATATATCAATCGTTGTGAGATATTAGTAAGCCTGGTTACGAGCTAAGCAGCTCCTTATGCCTGAAAGTCCCATGCGAATGAATGCCACGTTGCAAAGTGGTATGCCACAGACGCTTGACCATATTGAGCGCAAATAAGCGCACCTTTTGCTTTGCTGTCTTTGGAGCCCTTGCCCTTCTTTGGGCTCTTCTTTGCCGACATACTGACGTGTTCGATCCCTCACAGCTGAGACAGCGGTGTGTGAAACGCGGCCACAATCGAGCTAGTGATATAAGCACCTGCAGCAAAAGATTGAAAGCACGCTTTACGGGACCGTCTCCAGAGAAGAATAGGCCACTGCATTCATATTTGGGGGCCAGCGGTGCCTTACAGCAATATGGTGCGGTGTGTGGAAGCCAATACTCTGCTCTGGAGAAAAAGAGCAGAGGTTTAAGACTGTGTCTCTTATGCAGTCGCACAGCATTTAAGAGATGCACAGCTCCTTATTTACTCGAAGGTTGACCGGGTGCCCTTGATCCGTTTTGTCTGCCCAACTAAACATGATCATATGCTTAGACTCGACCCGACTTTGTGGGCGCCCAATCAGCATTTATGGACAAGGGGGTGGCTCACCTTACTGATCAGAGCTGAAGTACCGACTATCAGCATTTTGAAAGCAGTTTTGGCAATGTGGCCTTCGGAGGTTGACAACTCTAGGAGCTTAGAGCTTCACTCCCATCCACAGAGCACAACTCAAGACAGCTCAAAAAGCTGACCAGAATTACCTCTAAGTAGCTGCGTGCTTTTGACATCCTTGTACAATCGTCCAATTTAATCAATAACAGCGAAGAACGTGACAGCATTTCTTGATGAAGACTCACTCGCTCCGTCTCCCCACGCCCATCCATTTGTCCATCAGAGGCCAATGAATGGCATCTGCTCGAGCATACTTTTTAGTATTTCTTGGGCAAAGACTGGTGGCAGGACAGAGCTCCTGCAACCATTGGTGGTCTTCACCCCTGAGCTTGCATTGGCGCATTGAGAAACTGAATTGATTGATGATACATGAGCACGAGCGATCAGATGTCGCTCTTATGGTCCACTTCAAGCAGTTCCTAGGTATTCCTTAAAACAAGGGGGCCTTCGGGTGTGAATCCAGCCACTTCTCTGATCTGTGGATCTAAAATGAGAGCGAGACGCATGGCCTCGCGAAAGCTTGGATGATCGTCTCCATTATGTGGCGAAGGTTGACGTCCACATGGCACAGTGATTGAGTCTATCTGCACACGGACATACCTACAAATACCGTCGAACTTGCGAGCTGGCTAATGACAACCCTAGGTATCAAGGAGTCGCGCACATCAGTGCCAACTGGCACGAAATAGCTGGATTGAGCTTCCTACCAATGAGCACTATCCTAAGGCTACCGTCGGTCAAAATCAAGTCTACAGTTTCTCACGGTGCGCACTGACTCGGAACCATCTGATTAGCTTTAGTACAGCAGACACCTTCGGTTACACGCGCACGCAACGAATTCGTGGCCATAAGGACGGTCGATGGGCGGGGCTCTGTGCCATCGGACGGTAGTCGAATCTACCGAGCGCGTGCCGGCCGCCGCCGCCGGAGACGGTCGTCACGCGCTGACTCAGTCGCGAATGATTGACTAGTACATAGTTGCAGTAGTCATGAACAGCACGTCTGTAGGTATTATCCCTCATGTTGTGTACAGCTCAAAGGGATCACCCAGCTGGAGGACCCTGGGTGGAAATCTTCTTATTGCTGTAATGCAAGTTTGGCCACTTCTGAGCGCAGAGGGAGAGACTGATCCGTACTTCGCAGCGGAAACGGGCTCGGCACAGCGCCAGGGTTGGTCGACGTCGTTTTGCAGTGGAAAGCGCCTGCGAGCGGCCGCCTTCGAGCTGTAGGTCAGGAGTACAGACAGTGTGTTGCGGGCGTGTTGCAACTCAGCAGACGCACAGAAATGGTGGACCTCTCCGAGAGAAAGGCAAGGCTGAGGGAACTACGGACAAAGTGGCAAGAGTATGCACGTCACATTCCAGCTGAGAGCTCACAGGACACAACCGAGGACATTCTCATGCGGCTGGTTGCTGCTGTGCTGGCGAGCGACGAACCGGATGCAATCGAAGGCGATGTGCTGAGCCATTTCCACGATCCTAGTCTTGGTGCTAGAGTTTGTGTTTATGTCGAGGAATATCAGCTTTGGTTCCAGTACCGATTTGGTTACATAGGCAAGGCCTATAAAGACAAGGACCAAAAGGATTTCAGAGGGTGGTTGGATCAAATATGCAATAACCCGTACACATTCGAACGGGGCAGGCGGCTCAACTTTCGTGACTCCATTCTGACACCGCCAGGTGAGGAGCATCAGAGGTTTGGTGGCGATTACATCATTGAGGATGTGGGGCTAAACCTCTTGTGGGAACTCGTTGACTACGTACTGGCAGCAGAGTATCCTGACAAGCCCACACAAAGTGGCAATCCTACAAGAAAGTAATGCCACATCCAATCTTTGTCACTGGCAATAACGAGTACGAAGGATGCTCTTGTCATTGTCCTTTTACTTTGATTTGACCCAAAACAGAAGCACGAGGCTTGATACCTTAAAAGGCCACCTCAGCTTTTCTCAGCCACTTCGTGCAGTCCGAACGAAAATCGAGCCTATAGGTTGAAGGATACGGCCATGATGATCAATGATAGCATCTCTGTGATTTGATATGATGATAATATGATATGCCGTGTCAAGTTCCGATGTCATTGTGCTCTGTAGTGGTGCGGTGTTGACATACAAGTGGGGCTGACCCCCATGGCGTCTCAAACCAGTCCCACCCAGTTGCCAAGGAATGTATGAAAGGGGGACTGCAGGAACAGACATTCCACTACTAAATCTCAAAAGAGCTTAATGAGCCGCCGTTGGAGCATTAACAATAATCCCGTGTATGCCACAGACTTTGCATCATTGACGTGCTGAACTCAGTACTGAATGGAATCTCACAAGCATGCAGTTGCAGGCTGCTCATTGAGCGCCAACTTCCTAAATCATGGAGTTTGCGAAGCAAGCAGCTAGGTAGCCGTTGACTCTCGAACTCCTATACTTGTGCAGTATACCACTGAGTACATATGAACCGTGGGAACCATGTGTCATTATGGAGTGCCGGGGTGATCGGACCGAGAAAGTCGCGCCATGCATGCCGCGCATGCATTCAATCAAGCTAAATAAGACGGTGGGTGTCAATGATACTGGTCGACCTGCATTTGTTCGCATGCTAGGCTCATGGGCAATTCTACGAAAGAATTGCGCGTGCAACATTTCGGGCCTCCAGCAATTCGCGCATGATACAGGATATTGGTTGATGCGAGCTGATCATTCCTTGGAAGCGATTATATAAGCCTCAGTGCGCAAATCACGTTATATGGGCACAAGAAGTTTTTAATCATCAAAGGGCGGCACTGTCAGGCTTACTGAGCAACATTGCATGTGCACAATAATGAATCTGCTAGTCTCACTACAATTGATCGGATGACAAGGGCGTTGAACCTGACGCCTTGACTGCGCTAGACAGTGCAAGCAGATTCTCCTCAATACTGGCTCATCGCATGGTGATGCTTAAACAATGCAGACTACAGCTGAGACTCCAGGCAGCAACAACCATGTTGCACGCAGCGCAGGGAATATGAGTGGCAGAGCACGAAATTGAGCGCGCTTTCCAAGCTGATTTTCCCCACAATCTTCGTCCTAGTTGTACACCATGTACTTTGGCGTGGCGCTGAACTTTTGGTACCCCTTGATGACCTTGTTTACAGCCTCTAGGAAGTCCTTTTCGCTGACCGTTTTCCGCCTCGCTCTGATTGCATACATGCCCGCTTCCGTGCAAACACTCCTGATGTCGGCTCCCGTGCTGTTCGGGCACAGGCGAGCCAGGAGCTCAAACCGGATGTCCCGCTCGCAGTTCATGGTCCTAGAGTGGATCTTGAAGATTTGCGTGCGGCTCTCCAGGTCTGGCAATCCAAACTCTACCTTCCGGTCCAGTCTACCAGGTCGAAGGAGGGCGGGGTCTAGCGTGTCAGGCCTGCAATCGGAGAACATCAATTTCAAACTTTCTGTGACAAAGGGTCATGCAGAACCGACGGTCTTTCCAAGTCAAAACTCGACCACAACACTTGGCAATCGGCCGATGCACGAGGCTTCGTCAAACACAGTCACCTCATTGTCGGCGGTCTAACCAACGAGGTTTTGACACTACATATACAATACAAGTATTGTATACATATGTAAACCTTAGTAATGGCTGACCTTGCCAGATGTTGGCCTATTAACGTATCACTCATGAATCCCCAATCTGACAGTCGACAACAGAGTTAGCTAGCAGGCAGTCGGCAAGCTGAGTCGGCAAGCAGTCAGCTTGCCAGCGTTAGAATGGACAGGAGGCTGACTCTCTCGACCAGACGAAGTTTTCGTAACAAGGGGCCACAGCAATTAAGGGAACGATTGCACGTAGATATCCAATAATCACTCCTCGCTTGCTTCCTACCGCTTGCTTCCACACTCCTCCTTCCATCGCTGTGCCGCACACTCACCTATTGGTGGCCATGAGGACCTTGATGTTGCCCCGCGCGTCGAAGCCGTCCAGCTGGTTGACGATCTCGAGCATCGTGCGCTGCACCTCGTTGTCGCCGCCGCTGCCGTCGTCGAAGCGCGCGCCCCCGATCGCGTCCACCTCGTCGAAGAAGACGATGCACGCCTTCTTGGAGCGCGCCATCTGGAACAGCTCGCGCACCATGCGCGCGCCCTCGCCCACGTACTTCTGGACCAGCTCGCTGCAAGGAAGAAGCTCCCAGACTTTTAGCGGACTTCGATGCCCAAAAGCGGACTGATGAAATGTCGCTCAGTTGTTTGCAGTCTTCTGACCCAGCCTGCTGCTCGGAAGGAACTTCAAGCTTCTAGCGGGGTTCAATGAACAGAAACATGCATGTTACAACCTGTTGCTGACTCAGAATCAGTGACCTCACCGTCTCATTGCTTGATCTGTTCTGACAAGAATCTTCACTGTTCAAGATAATAGTGAATCCAAGGGCGACTGATCCAGGACAAGACAGACAGATTCGAATCACTGAACGGTATTTCTTGATAATTGTTTCGCACATGCCGGAGAGGTGGGTAAGATCTCAGACGTCGCTTGTCTTGTTAGGTGAACCTAAAGAGCCCCCAACTTGCAGAACTCCCCGAGCATATGCTTCCAAAACGTAAAATCTACGTCCAAATACACGGACGCAGACCTGCTTTGGTCAGAGGCTGCCACAAAATTTAGCCAGTGCTTTTGCAGTCGATTCGAGAAAGAAAATCCCACCTGCTACATCATGCCTTCGTCAAATGCACCAAACGTGCAATTACACATCCCACTCACCTGCCAATCACTCGGATGAAGCACGCGTCTGTACGGTTGGCCACCGCCCTCGCGAGCAGCGTCTTCCCCGTTCCGGGGGGCCCGTACATGAGCACGCCCTTGGGGGGGTCGATTCCGAGCTTGACGAACTTCTCGGGGTGCAGCATCGGCAGCTCGACAACCTCCCGCATCTTCTCAATCTGCTCCTTGGACCCCCCAATGTCGCTGTACGTGACGTCAGGCTTCTCCTCGACCGTCATCATGGTCACGCTCGGGTCGATCTTGGGAGGGAGCGGGATCTGAATCTGGTACTTGGTGCGGTCAACCCTGCAGAGGAGCAACTGGGTCAGCAGCTGAAGAGGGGTGGTCAGGAGAGGTTTAAAGAGAGTTCATCGTTTGCGAATGTCAAAGCAAGCTCGCAGAGACACTGATGGTCTGGTTTGTGAGGGGGGCCGTTGATGTAATGCTGCAAACAGATGTCAATCAGTACCTCGGACCTAGTCCGCTATTAGCCCTGAATTCCTTCGGTGGTCATCTAGACACTGGATAAACACGGAGGATTGGACGAATAGATGATCTTGATCTGAAAAGGAGAAAGCGCATCTTAAGCACACACTGGTGCAGCTTCAAACCTCTGGGGTCTACAATTGCTTCTGTGATTCGATAAGCTGTTGCAGGAGACGCCCAAGCCGCAAGAAGCCTCAATACGCAGTCGCAGGTCTCAGTGCCCCTTCTTATAGAGCAATTCAGAAACCTAGCGGGATGCCGATATCGAGCACGTGTACCCTTTCAAGTATCAATCCAGAGTGAACAGCAAATGGACGACTCAACACAAGAAAGCCTCGTATGTATAGACAGATTCTATGGAAGCTCTCAAAAAGGATGTCCGGGCGCCCTTGTGTTTGCCACTCACCCGACGCGCATGCCTTCTTCAATGTCCGTTGGTGACACCTTGTCACCAAGCCCCACCACGAACTGCAAAATATGCGAGCAGCTGAGCAACGAGGATTTCGAAAACTCAGAATATAGAACTCAAATCTGCTGGTCTCATCTTCCTGACTTTTCTCCTCGAACATCTTGGCGCTCTACACAAGTATCTTCCTCTCAGCTGGCCAGAAATAGTGTTTGACGTCGGGATCTTCAAATGGGAGAAGTGTTCATCCTGTTACAACCGCAACAAAGCTTTCTTTTTGTCAACCACTTGGTCTAAGACCTAGCCCATGCTATTGACCTTATATGGTTGTCAAAGAAGCGGCGCGGTCCTACAGCAAAATCCAAAAGGCCTTGCTGACTCACCTTTGCGATCTGCTTGACATTGATCACATACTTGGCTTCGTCAGTCCCGGGATTGATGATCTTTGTGCAGCGGGCGACCTGCGAATCAAGGGAGCTTCCTTGTCAATACTTCACAAGACAACAATCCATGAACCTTACATCCACAGTTCGCTTGTCAGTTTGAGCTGCACACATGCCGGGCAGAAGCTCAACAGGGGCCAGCAATAGTGTCCAAAATGTCCACTCCATCCGCTTCCTGACAGGACCACCAGTGACTCCGACATGATTCAAAGCAGCAAAAGGTTGCGGAATCTCTACCAACCTGCAAAGGCTGCTCCTCTTGCATCGCCTGCTTGTCAGAGACCAGATCCCATTGGCTGGGTGCTGCAAGCCCCGTGTCTGATTCCTTGATTCCTGTAAGGGTATGAAACTCAATGAGTACCAGTAATGAAAAGCGGATGCAGCTGTACATGCCTTAATCCTGACGGGTTGAACCCAAGATGGAAAGACCATAATGATTATACCATCACATAAATGTCTATGATCAAAACAGCGGCAGCTGCAGCTGAGCACTTTGCTAAATAAAGTGTTAAGTTTCTTCCACCACCCCTAGTCCATGCGGGGCAGCGAGAGCGGATGCAGAATCAAAATCACAACCTCCAAGCTTCTGCAGGCATGATTGACGCCTCTGAGGAGGAGTGACGGAGCACAGGTGATGGTCGCACTCCTCACCACAAAGGTCATTGATCTTTTTTGCCTTGTCCTTGATATCCTTCTCCGCTTGCTTGATTGCGTTGGCATACGAGCCGGTGTTCTGCACGAGGCGAAGGAGGGGGAATGAGGTGAATAGATACCAGCGACATCCCTCATGACACAATCGAAAACAATCAACCTCTTGCAAGTCGTGGTTTAGAGCAGACAAAGTGGCAGTAACAGACTCACATATCTCTTCAAAACGTTGATGTCTTCCTCATCAAGCGCCTTGGGGTTTTTCTTGTCATCCTCCTCATGGTCTGCCATCGCTGCGTGCCACCAGAATCTCTGCTACTACGAAGATTCAGAAAAATCCCTCCTTGTCAACAGGGCACCCTTGTTTGATCTAAGTGTTCTCTTCAAGCTGCAGCCTGCAGGTCGCCTTGGTCGATGCTGCAATTCCCTTGTCACTTTGCAAAGATCGTCCACAAATGAGCGCTGGATGTGGAAGAGCACCAGCTTGCAGAACTGCTGGACTGCACACCCAGAAGATTAGCGCTAACCAATGGCAATCTAGTGAAAACTCTCAAAATGCTGAATGAAACTCCGTGCATACGGTAACCGGATCGCTGACCCATCTCTTGAACCCAATGGCAATGCAATCTGTACCGTAGAAAGGTTCATCATCGACGGCCAAGTCCGGACCCTTGAGGATCCAAACGTATTCACATTTAATAGCTCGTGGAAACTTCTGGAGCTGTTTCACCACTGCAAGTTTGGGGTTGCCCTGCACAGTATGTAGATGTACCTGACCTGTGGGCACTGGGCAAGAACTGGGGCATGAAGCAGGGCGCCCTACTTTGGGTGTATTAGCTGGGCGTGCTCACGTTTACCTTGATCCGCTCCCGGGCTCCTAACACTGCCTGGAAGGCCGTTCGAAGGGCTTTCAAGTTTGCCTCGGGATGGATGCGTGTCGGTTCTAGCCGTGCATGTAATTTTGCGAGAAAAGCAGCCTGGCAAGACATGGCAGGGCGTGGGAAGCATATGGTCATGCCTGCATGGATGACTAAGCAGCAAGGAGGGGTTGCGCAAGCACCCGTAATTGGTCAGAGTGCAGAAAATGGTGGCGAAAAGGTTGGGTACCTTTCTTTTTGGAACTCATCCAGCTTGTTTGGGAACACTTGGTGCATCATGATTTCTGTCGGTTTTCAACCCTGCATTACATCGGGGCTGAAGGAGGAGAAGCGGAGAAGGCGAGAAGGGGAGCGGAGAAGGGGGTGTTCCAAAGATGATTGGGAAAGGTTTAGCTTTTGCAGGAAGTGTCTAAACATAGGACGGGGTAAATGCGGGCCTTGCTTTGAAGTCCTAATGTCTGATTTCGTCTGATTATGTTCCCAGCATCCCGACCTTATTGAAGCAATCATGGTAAACGACAGTGGCAAATTGCCAACGAAAGCATGTATGCAGTGCTTGCATCAGCACCAGTGATTCTCACACTCTCTCTCTACCTGTATTTCTTTATGATCTGTTGTTCTTGCAGAACACCCGTTGCACAAGTTTGCCCTTCAGGAACTTGCGCATCGAAGAATTTAATTATTTGCTTGCGAGGACTCCAGTCATTGGCAGTGTACTGGAGAAGCTTGTTAAGAGTGCACGAACATGTTTTCCTCCACTGCAGTGTCAACTTGAGAGGCCACTTCGTCCTTTGTCGATCAGAGTCGAACCTCCTTGACCTCTGAAGATCTCTGGCACTCAGGATCACCTCCCACATGTTTCCACCACCATCCGTGATCAACTCACAGTCTGTTCAGCATCGTACAACTTCTGGCAGCCTCACGATTACCCTCACTATTGCATCAGAATACCTACACTCAGACCTATCTACCAGTTTCTGATCATCTCATCCCTTTCCTCAGGCAACCACCGCAGCACCACCACTGCCCCTCCCCCCGAAGGCACCCCCCTTCTCCCCCCCCGCTCGTGCCCCCTCCCCTCCCCGAAGCAGCAGAAGGCCGTCTCGGTCCCCACCCCGGCGGTCCAGGAGAAGATCGCCGAGCCCCGATCGTCGGCGCAGGAGAAGTCCCACCCCAGACTTCCGCCGCAGGAGAAGCCCCAGCCCCGACCGTCACCGTAGGCGGCGAAGCAACGACAGGTGCGTTTGGACTGGTTTCCCCTCGGTCTTCTTATCTGACGTGTTCAGCTTTTCCGCAGCATTTCTGAAGCGGTGGTGCTTGTGTTTACAAAATCATCGTCCACCACCAGGTATTGCCTACGTCCGTGACTTCTCCTTGATGAAAGCTCAGAAACAAGTAAAGTCCGGGCGTGCCCTCCTAGGCAACTGAGGTGAACTCGAGAAGGCAACGCGTCAGCCTGAGGATGGCGTAGAGGAAGCGTCTGTTTGGATAAAGGGCGGGAACTGTTCCAGAGGATCGATAGGTAGCACTCACTCAGTATCGCGACCTGAGCAGATTACCGTATGAGCGCAGCCCGTCTCTTGATAGCGGCTACGGCCGGCGACCTAGCCGTACGCCCCCTCGGCGCTCAAAGAGGGGCTACTCTCGCAGCCCCTCGTATGAGCGTTACGAAAGTCGAGAGCGGCGCCTGTATAGGGGCTACAGCCGTAGCCCTAGCCCCCGCCGCTACTCTGGCCGCGGCCGTCGGCGTTACAGTTCGAGCTTGAGCCGCTCCCCTTGTTCGGACAGGTAAGGGGAGGATAATCAATGAGGGACTACAGTTCTGCACTGATCTTCTGCTGATATCGTTTCTTCTCCTTCAGTGTCGCGATGCAGGTGGGCTTCTTATATTCGTTGAAGTCAAATGTTTTTTACTAAGCTCACAACCCTTCATGGGATGGTTTCCATGCTGATGGACTGTTTTTTTATCGCAGTTGATGGCGGGGCCGAGTGATAGGTCTTATACAGCCAGTGGGACCTGGAACTCGCTTGGCTGCGCATTGTTTGAGGGAGCCTAAGTTTTGCCTGCGCTTGCAAGGCTGACACCTGGCATGTTCTTACATTGCAGGGACGACGATTACGACCGGTATTCTTCCCGAAGGCGGCGTCGGAGCGTAAGCAGGTCGCCGCCTCGGAGGGGGTAAGCTAGGCAGTCAACTCGCGGATCCTGTCTAAGGAGCTGTACTTTCATTGCTGTTTCAGAACGCCAAGTTCGACGTTCGAATGATGGCGAATGGGACGAGAAAGGTTCAAAGTCGCTTGCGAGCCAATCCGCCAACAACTTCAAGTTCAAGTTACCAGCTAGTTCAGCTGCAGTCTGCTGGAGCTTCTCTGGCGCAGGATGCTTTCGGAACGGGTTATAGTGAGCGGTGTCCTCGACTTGACTTAGACGAACGGGATGGCTTTGGAAAGTTTCTCTCGTAGTCGGGTCCAGAAGCGCCTATTCTTTGCCCCTACTGATTCTGTGGGTGTTGGCGGCATCGTTTCCATTGCCCCCTTCGTCCACTTGTCTCGATTACATGTTGACTAAGGGCCATGTTGACTAAGGAGGGCGCCCGGGGGACGGGTAGGGTTTGTTTGGGGGTTAGGGTGGGTATGGGTGCGGAGCGTGTCAAACTTGGGTTTAGGTTTTTAGTTTTGTTTTGGTCCCCGAGCACTGTCCTGAGTCAACATGCTCTTAGTCAACATGAAATCGAGAAGTATCCTTCGTCCGCCAAGGTTTAAAAATTTCTATTCAAGAAGAGCATAGACGTGCACCTCTTTGGGAAGTGAATGATGGCCGGCAATGGTTCGACAATTGATTGGCAAAGAGCTGAGCAAATGTCACGAAACGGAATTCATGTCCAGGGTTGTTTGAACCTCCCTAGAAAGCATGGCAGCCAGTAATCTGCTGCCATCTGCTGCCGGAATCTTATAGCAACCTTCCGAGGGCAAACATCTTGCCAGGAACCAGGAAAATGTTACTCTCAAAGCTGCTCATTTGGCGTTTCTTTCTCGTCTCTGCAGCCGGTATCGGAGCCCTGACCGCCGCAGCCGTCGTTATTCCCCTTCCCCGAGCCCTCCCCGCCGCCGCTACAGCCGCTCCCCCACTCCACCCCGCAGATCCTCCCGTAGAAGTCCGACCCCCCCTCGAAGGCGCCGATCGCCGACCCCCCCTCGCAGCAGAAGGTCGCCCTCCCCTCGTAGGGGCCGATCACCCACCCCCCCTCGCGGAAAAATCCCGACTCCCCCTACAGAAAAGCTGGCCGCGGACAGGAGATGGTCGCCGAGTCGGTCGCCTCCCCCTAGAAACGGGCCGTCCCCTGAGCCTGCGCGAGTGGACTCTCCGGTTGGGGGCCCTCGGAGAGAATCGATCGAAATGGCTCATGAGAAGGGAGATGCGATGTAGTCGGCAAGCGGCGAAGTCTGTGTTTTTGGTCGTCAAGAAAGTGCATGTCTGGATTACAGGAGTGACAGACTCTAACATCGGAACATTCAACGATTGGAGCAATTAACGAGATTTTCAACATGATCGTGCCTCCTTCTACGTGCGACTAACGGTCGACCATGTTGCCCAATCCTCAGTGCCCCACAAAACGTCAACAAGGTTGCCTTTGGAGTTGCGCATTGCAGGGGATCATATGGCGCGGCTCTATAGCACTGGCATTGATTCAAGCGGCCGTGTGCTGCTCCACAACAGTCCGCGAACCCATGAAGATTGCACACTGCGGCGTACTAACTTGCGCTCATGGTTGCATGATTGGTGCATGCTGGCTAGATTTAACTTACAGCTAAGCTGTGTATACTATACTAGCTCTTGCGGTGGGCTGAGTTCTATAATCAATATAAGCAATTGGTGTGAAAGAATATATAAGATGGACTCATCATGCACGCGCTCATGCTGATGCAATTTAAACAATTAACGGCACGTATAGTGCATGCATGCGCCCACATGCGGGGATATATGTGTCATAGATTCACAGGAATATATTGCGGCATGCCAATCAACGGTGCTACTGAGCAATCAGACTGGGCGGGCCTCTATTGCCCATCAGCGCGCATTTTTTCTCCATTATTTCCCAAAATGTTGCCCGCGCTCGAGGGCAGCACTTATGCAATATTCCTACTTACTAACGAGCTTCCTTGCCTGCTCTATTCTGAAAGCTGCCACCATCTTCTTTTTCAACTTCTCGGCGCCTTCCGTCAGACGCTGCCTGATCTCTTTCGGCACATTTACAAGGATTAGTTTCGCCGCCCCGACGGCTGATGCCTGGGCCGCAACCGCTGCTGCGGTGCCCAACACGGGGGGCGCGATGTTGGGGCGTGCCAATGCTCCCAGGGCCTCGCAAACCCTCTCCCGGGAGTGCTTGCGAGCATACGCTATTGCAGGCGGCAGGCCTTGTCGGCAAGCACTCAGTATCGTCTGCACATGAGGAGATTTCTGTCAGGATGAAATGCAACACGATCCTGTGGATGGTGAAAAGGGTCGCTGCAGTATTGGACCGCTTTTTGGAGCCTTTGCAACGATGGCGAGGATTGTGAGAGGATCCAGAGGCTATAAAAAGAACGAAGCCGAGCCTCGAATATTCGGCTCCTCCTTGTTCCAGATATTAGGAACCCACTCTGACTCTGTTCTTGTTGATGTCGATCCAAGACCAAACCTCTTCCACTTTGTCTCACCTCTCGCTTTCTAGGGTTTGATTTATCGAGCTTAAGTAGTTCGGAAGGAGGCAAAAACCTCGAGCGACAATTAAGAAGCTTTCAAGGCACTTATCCGCATACAATTTCTTCTGTCTTCAAAATCCCAAGCGGTTGCACGGTTTTAAGCGCAGCAACGGAAGGATGGACGGCAGTCTCACCTGCTCTATAAACATCTCAACCCGGCCAACGCCAGCTCCGTCGCTGGCGGCTCGCTCCGCCCTCTCGGCAAGCTGGGCGCGTGCCGCGGAGATGACGTCAGGACACGTGGCGAGCTGTGCGGCCAGGGCGGAGTTTGCGGCGACGGTGTCGACCACGAAGTCGACCAGGCGACGCAACTGCGGCTGCTGCTCGAAGAAGACGCCCTGCGGTTTCCAGAGAAGCGCGGCTTAACAAAGGGTTTAGAGTTGGGTTGACGATGTAGACCGGAGTACATCGACCAAACGAGGGACCAGGCGGTACAGCTGGTGAGGGACGAGAGAAGGCGGGTTTCCGTAGGACTCTCGGGCCTAGCGACTCGACATGGGGTGTTTAGCAAAAGTCGTCTCTGTTGTTTATTCTTTGATAGCATCTGAGATGCAGCCCTCTGCCACTTAGTCGAATAAAACCGGGAGAGAAAGACAATAGTACCTCGGAAGGTGAAAGGAAAGAAGAGAAATATTTGTAGAACGAAAACGATTACAAAGCTGAAAGACGAAGCTCTCCGACCTCTAGTTTCGTCCTGAGGGGATCCCTCTGCGGCGGCCGAACCAACTCCGCGTCCTCTGCAGGCAGCGCCGCCAATACATCCGCCGGCAGCCCCCCCGGTTGCGCCGCTTGCGGCGGGGGGGTCGGCGTGATCTTCCGGATCGGTCGCGACCGTCGATCGCCGGGCTTCGCCGCATCTGGGCCGTCGATCTGGCTCGTCCGCTGTCGAGCTTCAAGTAGAGTTGCGGCGAGATCGTCCAAAAGCGGACAGCAGTTTTGAATGTACCGGGCGTCGATGAGTCCCGGCATGAAGTCCGGGGTGTCGCGGGGGGGCCACGTGGCAAGCGGGGATTGGAGGGTTTCGGAGGGAGTTAAGGTTTGCGGGGGTTCTGGAGGGGAAGAACTGTCCTCGCGGAAGAAGGCTTCCAGGGCGGCGGTAATGCACATGCTCGGGAGCTGCAAAGGGGAGAGAGGGTTTGAGAAAGAGTGGAAGTAAGGCAAGGTCAGGAGGCTTCGGCTATATGAAAGGGAGTTAGGAACGAAGAGTCGAAAAGACCAGCAGAGTGATGGCGAGAGGCTCCCCGATAAAACTCACGCGGAAGAAAAAGCTCGAACATAAGACCGCAACTGGAAATAAAAGGAGTAAATAAACCCGACAACCAGAACCGGAAAAAAGCTGCGTGTCTCAGTCGATCATAGAAGTCGGTCCAACCGTCATTTCTTCTCGCTCATGCAGAAGCGATAAGGCGAAAATGCATTTCCGGACTCTCTCATTCCGCTTTGACTTTCCATATCCTCAAACCCATCGAAGAGTCCCTGGCACCATTTCTCCTTTCCGCGGAAGCGGAAAACTCCAACGCCATGAGAAACTTACAGCAGCGCAAGCGCCCAATCTCACCCCAAAGCCAGCTCTGCTGGGCAGCAGCGCAGGCAAGCCCTGCAGCCTCTCAACCTCCGCCAACGCTCGCCCGAACGTCGGCGAACCTTTTGCGGGTGCGCACGCGCGCATCATGCCCAAAACCTCCAAAACCCAGGGCAGGTTCAGCAGGAGGGAGCCGTTTAACATCGCGGCCTGGAGCGCGTCGACCGGGCTGATGGGGAGTTCCCCCGACCAGGTGTAAACGGGCGACTTGGGGTCGGTTGGGAGGGGCGAGTGGCCGGTAGAAATGGGGGCGAAGAGGAGGAACCCGAGGAAGCGCGCGAGGGTTTGGAGGGTGACCAGACGCTCCGAGAAGGAAGACGCGGAGAAGACGGAGGCGGCGCCGACTCTGTAGCGGGAAGAGGAGTCGAAGTGAGAATGTTGAAATGTTGAATGTTGGAGCAGTTGAGAAACAAGAAAGATGTGGGCAGCGGGGCAGACTAGGAACTAGAGGGGCAGTACAAAACGTCCCAGAATCATTCTCAATCTTGAAATCGTCCGGACCACTATTCAGTATCAAAGACCAACTGATTGCTAAAAGGTTGCAAAATTCTGAATGTTGTTGCAGAAAAGCAGCCTCATTATCATCCGGGAAGGCTTTATCACTTGTCGGCACACATAGGAAAGAGTAAAGACGCTGACAAAGATCTATCAAGACGACACCCCCGTCCAAAATATGTTTCTTCCCCAGAGTACTCATTCTAAAAGGTCTAAATGAAGTCCAACCTAAACCAGCCTACGCTTGTTATTATGAAAGCGTCCAACCATGGTCTACAATCCTGTTCCAGCATCGAACGACTTACTGCGAGAGGGAGTGGATGCTGTCCGCGATGCAGCGCAGCAGCAGCAGGTGCAGCCGGTGGCTGTCCGCAGCCTGCACAAACCGGACGTACGGCACAAGCGTCCGCGAGAAGAGGCCGCCGAACGGGCCATCCTCCGCAAGCGGGTCGCCGTTTCTCGCCACTGCAACCGAGAGCCCTTTTCTAATCTCACCCTCAGTATTTTCAACCCGCCCAGGACTCGTGCTTGGCGCCAAAATGGAGTTAATGGTGGACGCAAACTGTCGTGACAGGACGGTTGAAGCGGCCTTTTCAATGTTGATCTCCTTTTCCTTCACGTGCTCGGTTGCCTCCTCTCCTGCGGATTGTCCGTCAGACCCCCCCTTTTTCTCTGGAACGCCCACCGGGCCGCCTTCTCTATTCCGGTCACTCTCGCTCTCCCCAAACATGCCCTCCAACGTCCTCCGGACCGTTTGGCCTCCGTCACGTGACCCGTTTTCTCTTCCTTCCCGCAGCTCCTCTCGCAAATTTTCCCGCGGCCCCCTTCCCAGCTCCCTCTTCACCCCTGTCTCCCCCGGGGGGGTACTTTCCAACCCGGGGCTCCCCTGCCGGACCCCCCCGACAAACACCGGGCTCGTGCCGTCAAAACCTCTAAACCTCCGCCCGGGGCTCTCCCGGGTCGGCGTCCCGCCCGCCGCGAGCCGCACGGGCGCGGCCCCCGCGCCCATCAGACGGCTGTGCAAGCGCTGCAGCTTCGCCGTGTCTTCGCGTGCAAGGCTCCGGACCTCGGGATCGGTCTCGCCGGTCGAGGCGACCTGAATGATCTGCTGTACGAACAGCTTCGCGAGCCAGGGGTAGTTGCTCTCGTGCAGGTGCGCGAGCAGCTGGCGGACCCTTGAGGGGAAGCCTAGCGGTTTCTCCGGGCGCGGGGGAGCGGCCCGGCCGGAGTAGCCATTAAGGGTTCCGGCGGCAGAGGCGGCTGGCCGCCGGAATGGGTGCTTGTGTGGAGCGGACTTGAGGCTTGGCGGAACGGGCTCGGAGGCGAAGTCGGCGGAGGTCGAAGCTGCGTCACGGATGATGCAGTAGAAGATGTCGCGGCACTCCTCGCGGTTGCTGAACAGGCGCTGACCTTCCTGCACAATAACAGAAAAGCACGTCACCCAAGTGCCATGTGTGAATGATATACGTCCAGATTGGTGTACGGAATGATGTGCGAAGCAAGGCCGGTACAGGCACAAACAGAAAAACCGCGGCGGAATTTACCCGACCGCAGATCGGTGCCGTGGCACTGCAACATTCCGCCTTTCCTTCCTGTAACAGTAAATGCTTTGCGAAGATAGCACAGTCCGAGGTGTGCTGAAGAAAGTGCTGCAGCACGATAACCTTTTTCTAGTCGCCATACGCCCAGTCCGATGCTTCCAACCAATAAGTGCTTCAAGACACGCTTCCGAATGGCTAAGAGGGCGAGACCTTCCACGACCATGGACTACTCAACCTCTCAACTTCAGGCCGGGTTTGCAATGGAGTCCGTCACCATTGACCATTGACAGTACAATCGAATCTCCCCCTTGTTGATCCAAGATCCGGACGTTGACCTTGACCAACGTACCTGCGTCTTGAAGGCCGGAATGTTGCGGGAATCTTGCTCTTCGTTAAAGGGCAGCGCCGAAAGAGGGGCGCCGCCTGCCGATCCCCCACGCTTCTGAGGCGTTCCTAAGCCTCTCAGCGACGCGCTCTGATGAGCAATCAGAGCTTCTCGGAGGTGTGCGGTCAGCGTCGGGGAGTGCCGGGGGATCGCCGGCTCGTGGAGAAGCGCAGTGAGAAGCGGCTCCCCACCTGAAGATAGAGAATGTAAATACAGCCGCAGGGACAAATGAGAATCTCGTTTGAATGGGGATCATTCGGGGCACCGACTTGTATAGTACACGGAGAAGCCTCTCCCTTTTCTATTCCAAGCGGTAAAGCTGAGAACACGGTGCTTCCGAAAAGGTGTTGCAAAAAGTATGATTGCTGTCCAGAGGTCCGAGAAAGCCATCAGTGCCGAAATCTCATTGACCAACTGTTGACGTCCTGTTGACGTCCTTTGGACACAGGCAGAAGCTCTCCACTGTGAGATACAAACGCGAACGTTGGCTCATCGAATCATGCCAAGATAGACAAAGTTTTCACCAGGACAGGAAGCTTGCTTACAGTGCAAGATGAGCGGCAGTGACGTCTCCAGCACCTCGCAGGCATACGTGGCCGCCATGTCCCCACAACAGAACGAGAGCACTCCCCGGGGCAAAGACGCCTCTGGTGATGTTGCGGACTCCCCTTCACAATAAGGCCTTTCCTTCCCTTCTGGTGAGGAAGACGACCCTGGGGTTCGCTCCAAGGCCTTTAGTGGCTCTGAAACTGCCGTGATTCCTGCCGTCTGTCTTCCGGATCCGAGTCCGCCCGCTTCCTTTTGCCCCGCTGATTCAGCTCCTTCTTCCAATCGATTTACTGGTCCCTCCGATGCCCCTTTTACTAAGCTTTGCGACACAAAATCTTGCTCAGAGTGCACTTCCCCTGACAAGCTTATAAACCCCGTCCCCTCTCCCTCAGCTTCTCCCCTGTTTAAACCCTTGCTCGCTAGAGTTTGAGGCGCACCTGCTGTCCCCTTCAACCCCCCTAGTGCGTGACCAAGTTTCCCCTCAGTCACCGCATGTTCCCCCGCACAGCTAGTTTGGTTTGCGGTCAGCAGCTCAACGATCAGCTGCAGCTCCTGCAACAGAAACGGGACACCCCCCCTCTTCAGAAGCTCCCCGTGCGCCTCCGCCGCCCTCTGCTGCTCTGGGGGCAGCTTTGGAGGCTTCTCTGGCAACCTGAACGAGGAGGATACTTCCCCAGACGGCTTGGGAGGAGAAGGCGGCCTGCGCTCAGCCATCTTAAACTGGGCCCCAGAAGTGGGGGTCAGCAGCTGGGGGCTTTCCGCTGGGTGGGACAGGTGGGGGCCATCGCATCTGGAAGGCGCCAAACGGCGGCTCCTGGGAGGGGTATGAAACTCGGCAGACGGCCCTGGCAATGCACTGGGGGTTGGCTCCTCAGTCCCCCAGGCGCTTTGGCCACCCCCTAGCCGGCCTTCCAACGCCCCAGCTAGCTTTCCTGGCTGGCCATCCCCAGAAACTGCCCCGCTAAACCCTCTGTTCTGATTCTCAATAAGAGGCGCCTCGCTGAGGGGATGCTCCTTGTTCTGGCCCCCCTTGGACCGGCCTCTCTTCTCTTTGAGCAGCAGGCGCAGGTCGACCTCCGTTGACTTTGCGGTACGTCCGAAGGAGGGACCGGAGTCCTCAGCAGGCTGGGCCAGGAGGAACGTGCTGTCAACCTGGGCGGCCGCCACGGGGGTGGGGGTGATCTTCTTTCTCTGCAAGAGAAAAGGATCAGCATCACTTCACCACCAATAAAAGGTGTCATTTCATACTTGCGGAGACACGACAGTTCATGTTAGGTGGGGTTATGGTCCCCCTTGCAAAAGAGACAAGAGTTGCTCTGGACTAGAAGAAAAAGGGTAGTCCCTTCTCTTGTAAAACCAAAAGGATGTTGTTTCTCCACTGATATTCAACTGAAAATCAAACCTGAGGAAATGTTATGTTGCTTTGATCATCCTTCACCAAATTCTTGTATCTTTTTTTCGACATGCTGCTGCTATCAATGCGATCAGCTCACTCCATTAGCCTACCCCCATAAGCAGCAGGTTTCATTGTTCCACTTGCAAATCGGTCTCTCTCAAATTTGACCATAACCGCTTGTCCGCCAACGTGCTGCTATAGTTGGGCAGGTCAGAATCATACCACTTTGGCTAGAAAGTCAGAAGATCCGCAACGCTACGACGCACCTGTTTGTCCGCTCGTCGTTTTGGGGCCAATGTGGCCCCTAAGGAGGGGAAAGCAGCGTCGTATGAATTCCCCCCTCCGAATCTTTGCCCGCCGTCTCTAGACCCCATCCTACGCTCCATCCCTACTTCCACACAGAAGGCTGCTCGCTCCAACGGCTTGCTTCCGGTACCAGGTTGCTTTGCTTGGAAAGTAGTTTTCAGCAGGGTTGTCTGCAAGCGTTTAGAGGGTGTCAGAAACACAAGCTTGAGGAAGGATTTGCTCTTGGATGTTGAAGGTTCCAAGCGGCTGCCAGGTCAAGAAGCGAAGAGACACTTAGCGGAAGGCTTTAAGTGAGTTGCAAAGAGATTGCAGAGACTACTGTGTATCATGGGGCTTGGGGCGATGCATTATATCTTTTTTGCCACCGGTGGTGTGCAGAATGCTGTATGAGTTGTGCTCCTTTTCTTTAAAAACCACCTCAAACATGATTGGGAGGGCAGAACTCTGTAAATAGCGTTTGCTTCATCAGTTTGACTAGCTAGGCCAGTGAAATATCCAGGAATGGACTCTCACGAACCTGCGCAAGATCAGGAGAATGCTTCAAAAAGTCATTCTGCACCCACGAGCAGCAATCACCGCATTTAGTGCAAGGAGAAACATACCTTTCGGGGCACGTTACATGTTTAGCCACTGCAGCTCGTGTGCTGCGAGAATGTTGCAGGATCTTCCAGGACCAGCTTCCTCAACTTGTGTTGCATCGACAGAAGTCTTTCAAAGACCACATTCAACGTGGGATCCACACTGTCAAAGGAGCCATCATCGTGTTTCTCCAATGCTATTGTGAAAGGCAAAAAGTACAGAAAGACCACTTGATCTTCAACAAAGCGCTGCGATCAGCTGCGATGTACCTAAGTAACTCGTTACTCAGAATAAGCTCAGCAATCTGTTTGCAACATTTCACCGCGCGGCCGCGCGACGACGACGACTGTCAAAATTCTGCGGCCGGGGTTGGAGGGTTTACGTGCACTCACTCGGTAATATGCCCCAGCTAACCAATGCCCGATCTGATGGCAATGGAGCATGCAGGACTGCACGGTGAAAGCTCCCGCGCACTTCTTCTGCATTCCCGCCATTTTCACGAACTTTTGGAAACCTCAGGAGTCCAAGTCGCGGCCGGCCGCGTGAGACGGTGAGGAGCTGTGTTAAACTTAAATAGTACAGAGCTAGCGACCAATGCCGAGCATGCATTCGTACTGTACATACATAGCTGGCAGTGGTATATCGCTGGCTAGCTCAGAGAATCTAAGACTGAGTCTGTAGCAACCATTTGAAGCCTCTGAAGCTCCAAGACGAGCTGCTGCATTATGTTATCATGCTGGCTCGTGTCTCGGCCTTAGCTTCCGCACCTTCCCTCTGCGGCAGGCTGGCATCCTTGTCCTTGCGAGCGAGACCGCAGCAACAGTCCGTCCTGCTGAGACAGCTGCTGTCGGAAGAGCCTCTGAAACCGCATTTGTCATATTCTGCCAACTGGCCCGCAGTTAAGAGTGCATTTTGCAAGTCAGAGAATCCTGGAAGTTCCAGCTTTTCAGGACCTTCCACCCGTGCAATTCCCCTCAATGTGAATGCAATTGGACTAGAAAGGAGGACCCCAAATTCTAAGGAGAGGGGCAAAGCAGCGTTCTTTCAACCAGTTCACCATAAGATTACCAATCGAGGTAATCTTTCCTACATACGTTGCAGCTCGTCTGGCAAAGTAGGAGAAGAAACGTCAGACCTAGGCGAGATGGTCGGGAGGAAAGCGGACGGTCCGAAAAGGACATTTCAGATTGTGGTGGCAGCCACGCAGGACCTAGGGATTGGCCGGAATGGCTCCCTGCCGTGGAAACTGCCTGGGGACATGCGGTTCTTCAAGCAGGTTGGTGCCGCCTTGGTCTTAGGTGTTTCTGATCATGTTGTGCAGCATTGTAGCGTGCATGCTCTCAAGGAACTCTTCCTTATGGTTGCATGCGTCTGCTGAAAGAAGTCTCTTAGAACCTGCCAGCTCTGCTTTGCCATATTGCCTGGGACAACACGATGACTGACCCAAACATCCCCAGGGATCTTTGGATCTTTAGAACTTGGGACTTGGAACTTTCAAGTCTTGTTCAGAGATGGGACCGCGTCCAGTTCCAGTAGTGGCCGAGCTGAAACCCTCAACTCCAAATCCCTTCAATGCTGAACAGAGTACACTCTCCAACCCGCAGGTTACAACCACCACATCCAGTCCCGACAAGCGCAACGCGGTTGTCATGGGCCGCAAGACCTGGGACTCCATCCCCCCAAAGTTTCGGCCCCTCCCTGGACGCCTCAACGTTGTTCTGACTCGGGCAGCTTCAAAAACAGACTCGGACAGTGCATATCCGGAAGGGGTCCTTGTTTGCGCCAGCCTGGACAGTGCAATGTCGCATCTGGCATCTGCGGATCATGCAGACAAGGTGGAGACGGTGTTTGTCATTGGCGGGGGCCAGATCTACAGGCGAGTTCTGCGACATTCTTTCAAGTGACACTCTGGGATGACTTGAACGGGACAGGTCGCTGCGGTGTGGGAGTCCGGTATCATGTTCATCCAAGACTGTGCAGAGACGCTGGATCCATATGGCAAAAACAGCTGTGTATTTAGACTGAGGTCAGGATCTTTGTGTCTTCGTGAAGAGTGCATCGCAATACGGGGTTGAGCTGCGTCCTCATGATTCTTCCAGACGTCTGGGCAAGTGCTCGTTTTCGGCTCGCTTACGAGGTTCACATACAGCGAAGCACTTCAAAGTCTGGGTTTAGCGTACCTTGATTTCTGTGCAATCAACCTTTCGAAATCGACCCCTGGATTAGTATTGACCATGTTTCTAACCATTGGCAGGGAGGCGATGGCGTCCCCCCTGTGTGACGCTGTGCACCTCACCGAAGTCAACACTCGAGACACCCCCCTCGAGTGCGACACTTTCATGCCCCCCGTCGACCCATCCCAGTTCCGGGCCTGGTCAGCGTCCCCCCCAAAGGTTGAGAACGATCTCCGCTACAGCTTTGTCACTTACGTCAGAACTCATGCCCCGGAAGAGCCTCAAGGGGTTGAAACCAACGGAGCGGCAGTTGCGCCGAGCGGCGTGGTGGTTGAGTCGACTGGACGGGTCGAGAGTGCGGGAGGCGCGGAACTAGGGGCGGGCGAAAGTGCTGCCGAGCGACCGGAACGAGGCGCGGAGGGAGATGGTGCTGGGAGTGCAGAAGCCGGGGCAGGGAAAAGCGCCCAACTGGGCGTTCTCGGAAAAGCGAAGTCTGGGAGCGATGGGGCGACGGGGCCGGGTGCGGTTGCACGGTTGCCGAAATCGATACAAGAAAAACACGAGGAGCTTCAGTATCTGAAGCTGATTGATGAGATTATCAGGGAGGGCGCGCATAAGGGGGACCGGACTGGAACGGGGACCATCTCCAAGTTTGGATGCTCGGTAAATGTTCTCTTGTTTCCTGCAAAAGTTTTGACGAGATCAGTCCGCCTTTACTCTATACTGGTGTTGTTTGAGATGGCTTGCGTTCTGGTCGTCCACTCTTTCGAGTGTCAAAATTCGTGCCATCAAGGGTGCCTTTAGGGAGAGTCTAGCAGAAGCAGTTAGTCATAAAGAAAGCGACTGACATAGATCAGACTTAGAAAGACCATCGCGATATGAGATCGTTGCTTAGTAGGATCACGTCTGATTTGAGGCGAGATATGGCACAAGCATGTCCACGTTTGTTGAGGTTAGTCGTGGCAAGTTTCTGTCTAATGATGGGCCTTGTACCACCCAGCAGCTTCTGCCGCTTTGCCGTGGAGTTTTCACGGACTCTCTTGAAGGAGTTGACACTGACAGGCAGCCGTGTTGGAAGATATTACCGACAGGCTGCTAATCGGAGACTTCCTGTTTCGAAGAGCCTCGAACGCCGTGCAAAGTGGTGTGACCGCTTTCTTTACCGCTTGTAGTAGTATACGTTGGCCTTTGGGACCAGTGCCCTTCTTACTGTCTTCTCATCTTCTTATGTGCAGATGCGCTTCAACCTGCGCAAGTCCTTCCCGCTCTTGACGACTAAGGTGAGCCCGTGATTCGACATCGGCGTGACCCCTTTGCCTAAGATAGTGCCCAAGTGCATCTTTGTCCATGCTTCGTTTGCTTGGATGTTGCTTGGAGCGGTCTGACAAATTTTGAACGTTCTCGTGGTCCGTCAGCGGCGATTGATCAAAAGTGTTGCGGGTCTGCTTGTCGCCCCTGAAGCACAAAAGCTCACGTGAATCGCACATGCTCGTCCATTGTGTGAGCTCCGAACCCTGATAACCTGACAACCGAAATTGAGGGTTCTGAACTCGGCGCCGCTCAAACCTAATAACTTGCCTCTCTCATCCTGTGATCCTGTCTTCTACACTCTGAACCCCAGTGTCCAGGAATTCCTTAGGCCTCAAGAATCGTGCACCCCAGGTAATCACCAGTCTCTGAATACGACTGGCCTCGAGGACGGCGACAGTTCCGAATCGAATCATAACGAAGCCACGAGTTCCCTGGGCCTCAGAAACTGCTCTCCCTAGGTAGACTACTGCACTCAAATCCCGCTTTGCCGTCGAGGGAAGCAACATTTCTGAGAACAACACAACGCTCTCATCGTGTGACGCAGCGCGTGTTTTGGCGCGGCGTGGTGGAGGAGCTGCTGTGGTTCGTGGCGGGGTCCACCAACGCGCGGCTGCTGCAGGACCGGGGCGTGCACATCTGGGACGGCAACGGCTCGCGCGCCTACCTCGACAGGTGGGCTCCCTTGAGACACTCTGCACAGCTCCATCCCAACACCAGAAACTGTCTCTTGGAGTTGATAGGAACGAGGGGACGTTCCTAGACATGTGTGGAAGTAATGGCGGTTAGTGCGCTAGCAACTCGTCATTGCCCGTCTGCACGGTGAGCACCTACCTCTCTAGATAGTAAGCTCAAGGTATGGTAGAGCCGTAGCTAACACTAGAAACCTAAACCCAACTAATTGTCCGCTCCGCACCGGTACCCACCCCTAACCACCATACTAACCCTACCCGTCCTAGTACTGTAACTTTAGCTTACTATACCTATCCCAAGAACGAAAGTGAGCACACATTCAGAAACCAGTGGGGGCGACTTCTTCTCTTCTGCTGGTATCCGCACTCCTACTTTCAAATTGCTCCGCAAATCTGTTCATACTCTCGCCTGGTTGGAACGACGGCACTACGAATGTCCAGCTCTTCTGCAAACGTGTCAACTTGCTCCGCCACCAAAAACCCTGCCTTGGTAATCTTACTTTCCAGTGTCCCTACTTCCGGACCTCTACGTACTTTCATTTCAGGCTTCACCTTCTCGTTACCCTTTCACCTAATTCACAAGTTTTCCGCCTCTTATGCGAGAACTCTGCTCTACTAGTCCGACAGCCGCTCTCTGACACCACCTCCACGTTTCCTTCAGGCGCTCCCTCGCTGTAGAAGGCGACCATTCAACCACATGGATTGCGCACATCTTGAACTTCTTCTGTCGATTTTCCCGGTGTGCTTCCGAACAGCTCCGTCTCCTCCCATCCAACCTCGATTCGGACGTCCACACTGATTGCCCACATCTTGGACTTATTTCAATTGTCCCAAAGTGCCTTCGAACGACTCCGTCTCCTCCAATTCAAACCTCACATTCGGACGTCCGCACATTCTTCACTACAGCATCGGACTGACGCACCGCGAGGAGCACGACCTGGGTCCCGTGTACGGTTTCCAGTGGCGCCACTTCGGCGCCAAATACACGGACATGCACGCGGACTACACCGGGCAGGGCGTGGACCAGCTGGCGGATCTCATCCACAGGATCAAGACCAAGCCCGAGGATCGACGGCTCATATTGTCCGCCTGGAACCCCGCGGATCTGCAGCTGATGGCGCTGCCGCCGTGCCACATGTTCTGCCAGGTGAGTGTCTTAGGGGTTTGAGGTTTTAGGGTTCTAAGTTTAGGGGGGCGGATGACGAAGAAGCAGAGGCGCTTGACACGATGCCGGATATGGTAAGCTTTCCGTAGAAGAAAGACTTATAAGTGTAAGCCACTTTGAAAGCTTTTTAATGCTTGCGTGGATACCGCTTGCGTTCCACGCAAGCAGTTCAATTTAAAATCATGCGCACAAGAGTTTCGTGGTTCTTTCGTTGGACCGACCGTTGCTATCACAAAAAGTGGATTGGACAGCCATCTCGCGAAAGGGAGAAGATTTTGGGAGAAAGCTCCGCTTCGCTCAGGAGAAGTTTCCTACCATCGTAAGAGTCTTATGTTTTCCAGTCCGTTTAACTGGAAACCATGTGCCGGATCATTTCGCGAAGAGGGTGCATTTCAGGGGCTCGGAAAAGTCGGCGACATTTCCTACGCAATCCGCATTTGATCGTGGCGACAGCGACCTCTCGTGCCGAAATTACTGTTCTCAGGAGCTTTCTTGACGGCATACAGTATGGTTTCGTTACCCCGTTCCTACCCCTTGTTCCGTTGCCCCTGACCGTAGTCGCGTCCCTCTTTGCCCTTAACCCTCTTCCTAAGCACCTGCGAGCTGGGCCTCGAAGATTTCAACCTTAACCCTGTCCCAATATCCCCACGGCGAGCTGTCGGATGAATGGGACTCTGAAAGTTTGCTCTTAAACCCGTTCCTGACCCCCGCAGTTCTACGTGGCGGATGGCGAGCTGTCGTGCCAGATGTACCAGCGGTCGTGCGACATGGGCCTCGGCGTGCCGTTCAACATCGCGTCCTACTCCCTGCTCACCCTCATGATCGCGCAAGTCTGTGGTGAGCTGTTCAGCTTCGTCGAGTTTCTCTCTCGTCTTTCTTTGTCGTTCAGCTTTTGTCGATTCTTGTTGTTCCCCTACCATATTTCTAACCTGTTTCCTCCTCCCAATCATAGCTTCTCTTCTCCTTTTCTATTATATCTTTGTTCATTTGGATGTGTCTCGTCTTCTTTGGTGATCCTCCTATCGTCTTGCCTTTATCGCCTTGCCAAATTGTGTCCTCTTCTTTCTGGTTCTCCGTCTTGTCTTCTCTTGCCTTTTTTGGATTTACAACTGGGATATTAACCAACTAAGTATGCGCAGCTTGTCGGCGCAATTCAAAGACTGGCGCCTCGTTTCTATTCAAGCTCCTAAGAGCTTCTGATCATCCTGACTGCTCATTGCTGACTTGACACCTTCGATCTGGGGCTTGGTTGGAACAAGCAAGAGGCAGAAAGGCGGCAACACCGACCACAATAACGATTCTCTGAAAGTTCGTGGCTTGCAACGCTTGATGCCGTGCCAATGCTGTCAGAGGAGGTACACTGCTTCGACATCGCGCATGCTTTCGTTCAGGTCTTCGCCTGGGGTGTTCTGTCCACTTCCCATTTCACTCACGCTACTCTTTCGTCAAAGTCCTCTCCAATACGCAGCCTCGTAACGCTTTAAAACCCGACCCCCTAAGCCCGCCTGGTCTCAAAAGTTGAGCTCCAAGAGCAGCTCCACAACTCCTGACACTTTCGCAGGTCTCCGTCCGGGCGACTTCATCCACGTGCTGGGCGATGCCCACGTGTACACCAACCACGTGGAGCCCCTTCAGGAGCAGCTCCGCAACACGCCGCGCCCGTTCCCGGTAAGCGGGCAGTCCCCCCTTACCAGGAAATTTGAAACGGTTTTGATCAGTATCAACCAGTCTTGACCAGTGTTAACCCATCTTCACCAGTCTTCACCAGTCTCAACCAGGTTTAGCCAGTACCGCTTTGATCTCTCAATTGAGCGCTGAACGAGGTTTTTCCTCGTCGGATTGAGAACTGGGAGGCTGCACGACCGAAGCCGCTTTTAACCAACTCGCTGAAACACAGAAGCTGAAAGCCAATGCCTAATAAGGCATAAGCCCAAGTTTGACTACGTTTCGTGTCCCGAATTTTCTCGCAGATGCTGAAAGTCAACCCGGCCGTCAATGACATTGACTCGTTCACGGCGGACGATTTTGAGCTCATCGGCTACGAACCGCACAAGAAGATTGCAATGAAGATGGCGGTTTGAGCATAACCTCTGGTTGCAAACCGTGACCCTCCTACCGGTGCCCCAAGCTTGAGGGCAGGTCGGCAGTAACAGGCAACTATGCAGTTTAGCTCCTTACAGTTTGAAAATGGTGCGGCATAGCACTGGACATCGCACAGATCCTTTCTGGTGAAGGGAGGAGTGGACCCACCCGAGCCGTTGTAACTCGACTCGAAGCCCCTCATGTCAAGGGCGAAGGCCGTCCATCCGGACGCAAAAGTTCCGTTGTTCAGATTCCAGAATCAAACGACGAGTGTTAAAAGATCTCTGGCAAAAATGTTGCGCTTGAAGAATAAGCACTGGTACTTGGAGAGTCCCTGCTTCCAAAGGCCTTGTAGGGGCATATCCGTGAGTCTCTGTGGTTTGTGGTTCAATGTGGATGCATCGTTCATCGAAACCTTTGTGGATGCATCGTTGTAGAGGTTCGATCATGGTGAACGGGTCAGGCACTAGGATCATGAGACCGACCGAGACAGCCAGGGCGGGTAGGGCGTCATTGTCATGCTAATCACGACGTAGTCGTCCCATATGGACAATTACAATGTTGAGTTTGTAATTATTTAGTCGGACGGTTGGCGAAGTGATTCGAGTGGACGTTAGAAAGCATGGCTTATGATTGCATGGCGCTATTCGTTCCTGTGCATGAGATACTTGCATGAAAATGCTCACATGTTAAATCAGCCAGAGGCCGCCGCACCGCTTTTGGCGGCTGATACGACATATGCATTTGATCAGCTATTCTCATGGCGGCCGTACTCAAAAGGACAAGTTGCTGCCGCCAGCGCAAGTATACATTGGGTCATTATCAATTCGAGACGCGCGTGCGTGACGTGTCATGGTCTCCGGATGCATAAAAAAATGCACGCATATATATGGCCACGTTGCATGCATGCATCATAATTGTGAAAATAGTATGTATATACCCCGGGCTGGAAATTTCGACCATGTTCAATCCATACATGTTTCCTTAGTCAATACTCTACGACCATGTTCCGACAACTTCGTACACCTCCTAGCTTTTAATGTTCCAAATCTCCGTCGATGGCGTACTTTCATTCTCTGACTCCCTTTGATTATAGCTAGGTCAAATTCAAGCTTTGTGATTGCACTGGACACGTGCACATGGCACAAATTCTTTCTGCGCATGCACTGGTCGGATTGGGGAAAAGAGAAGTTTAGGTTCTAGACTCAACGAATGGCGATCTTGTGTACAAATCAATAAGCAATGTATCATTTATGGGTCACTTGCCAGTTTGCTTTAGATATTCTGCAATTGAAGCTCTCATTGTAAATTACTTTACAATCAACTGGCTATAACCACTACCCTAAAATTGACAACTATGTGGATATGTTTATTATGTTCAAGTCGGACGGCCGTTTTGCATAGGTTCGTGATCAGCTCGATGCAATGTCCACGTCAATCTAGCATTGACGCGGGGGTTATTTACGGTTAGCGGAGTGAGTAAATAGACCAACGAAACCTGTTGTACGACATACACCTTTTGTTAGAGATTGTAACCAATCAACTGCAGCTCAACCTGGTCTGAGCTAAGCACCTAGCGTGCACATACAAGTAACTCCACGGACTTTATGAAAGACAAGCAAATCAAAATACCTTTGGCCGGACCCGTAAAAGCAGCTTAGGACCCGGAGGCTGATTGCCTCAGAATGGGCGTACCGGTTTGACGACAACACTTGAACCCGGCGCTGCCTGACAACCTTTGACAATGGGCATTTCCTAAGGCTCGCCGTCCGGAAGGATCAACACTCGGCTTACACCCAGGTCTTCCCAGACCGCAAGTTCTACTTTCCGTTTACACCCACTTCAAGGCCCCAAAAATGTTGCGTCCCACATATCCGGTACCACGCTCCCGCCGGCACTGTTCTCCGCCTCGTTTCCGGACGGCTTCGGCGGAAGCTCCGATGACGTGGCCACCCCGGATGTGGCGCTTCTGCTTTCCGGGAGGCTCTCGTCGCGCAGGAGGTTCATCGACGGGCCCCACAACGCGCTACTCGCGGGCATCGCTCTAGCTACTCGCTGCTGCTCGCTTAAGGCGCTCCGCCCGGCGTCGTCCGCCGGCGCGAATGCCGCCGCAGGTACTCTAGCTTCCGGGTCGGGCCCTAGTGCCCGGTACACACCCCCGGGCAGTGCGGACAAGTCACCCTGATGGGTTAGGAAAGGCAATGCCGGCGCCTGGTGGCCGGCCCGGTACAGCGGCCGGTCGCTTTGAAAATACTGGAAGTTGGGCGCCGGAGCGATGGAGGCCAGCTGGCTCAGATGCTCGCCAAAGCTAATGTTAGGGGTCATCGCCAGAGTCGTCGGAAAAATCTGGTTAGAGCGGCCCGCCGCTAAGGCTTCCCCATACCGGGGGAAGTTAGGTAATCCAGCAAGCGACATTGGAAGGTTAGGGCTAATCTGAATCTCGCGGGCTATCCCGCCCCGCCGCGGGGACCTTGCCCCACCCCCGGGCGCACTAGGGTCTGGCGCCGGGTTCGGGTTAGAGGCGCCGGTTAGCTCTAAGTGGGTCAAGCTGCGGGCGGTCGCTAGCTGCTCCGCCTCCGCGTGCCGGCGACTCTGCGGCTCCCCTCGGCCCGTCTCGAGGGATCCTCCAAACGACGCCGGTACGCCCGTGAGCCCCCCCGGGGGATCCACCGCGTCCAGCCTCCGGTAGCTCTCGAGCAGCAACAACAGCTGGTCCGTGCTCAGCCGGGGGATCTCCGGCACATCACTCCCCGATTCAACGTACCGTGGAAAAAGGTCCGCTTCCCGGAGGCCAGCGGCGAGGCTTCGCGGCTGCGTTGGAAGCCCCCCCCGCGATGCGTCAAAAAGACCCCCGCCCAACTCCTGGTTTTGCCGCCACGTCACGTTACCAAGCGGGGTGTGCTGCGCTCCAGGGAAAGGCGCCATTGCCTGGCGAGGGGCCACTTCTAAGCTCCGGTAAAGTCCCGGATTGAACGGCGGTGCCATTCCCCGGCCAGGTTGCTGAAGCACGGGGCGGGACCCGAGAGTGTCCGTCAGTTCGGGGGGCTCGGTTCGGAGAGTTGACACGTGCGACTCTCCTCGCGTCCCCGAGTTTGACGATATCGCTGACTGGGCCGGAGGTATCCGCCGGCCCCCCCCCAGAACCGGGGCGTCCTCACCCCCCCACTTGTCAAAGTTCGCCTTCCAGCGCTGCAAGAACTCCGTGACCGCCTCGTCCGAGGGGGGTTGGAACTCCGCCCCACCCAACCCCCCCAGAACGCCAGTCGGGCTCGATTCCAGCGTCAGCTGCGACGCTTGGCCGGACGACTCCGGCCACTTCTTGTCGGGGGGGGCATCGGGGGCGCGCGTTTCCTGCCTCGTTCGTTCCCCCCGGCCGGAAACCAACGAAGAGGCCCACCCCCCCGAAAAGCGCTCGTCCGCCTTTCCGGCGAGCAGTCCCGACGCGCTCTGCAAGGACAGGTCCGCTGGATCCAGCCCCCTGGAACGAGGGACCGCCGTGCCTCGCGACGAGTGGCGTTGTCGGGGCAAAAACAGCGTGTCTGGAATCCGGAACCGCGCACCGTCCTCCCCCGGTTCGGACAGCCCATCGTAGGCGGCGCCAAGAGCCGTCTCGAGAACACCCTCGGGACCGGTCCTGCCCCCCCAAAGCGATTGGCCAGAGGGATTTCCGGTTCGAAGTCCCCCGAGCAACCACTCCGCTTCCAGGTTGGCGGCTCGGGCCCCCTCCCCAGTCAACCGGGCCCAATCCTGGGGATCCAACCCCCTGGGATACGCCCCCGAAGAGAAGGGATCCCCCGGGTACAGGAGACCCAAATACGGGTCCCGTGCTTCTGTGGGCTCGTCCGGAGCAAGCCCGGTTCCCTGCAGGGGGGTACTCTTCTGCGGCTGGGGGTGCCTACGAGGGGCGTCATTACCCCCCCGGGGCAGAGCTTCCCCTCCCTTCTGACGCTTAGGGGGGGACTCGAGCACGTGCCTCCCGAGGCCCCCTTCTGAAGTGATGTCCTTCGGTGGCGACTTCCGTTTCCCCTCCGGTAGGGGGAGACTTTCGGCCCTGACGAGACCCCCCGGAAGGGAACGGGAGGGCTCCTTGGGGAGGGGGGCCGAGAAGGACTGGCGGGCTTCTTCTGCGCTAGCGGAGGGGGTCGAGTCGCTAATCGCTTGTTGGTGAGGGCTGGCCGGTTGGAGGGTTAACAGGTAGTTTAGGAGGACACTGGAGCGGGCGTTGCGGGGGGGGTGGTTCTGTGCGACGAAAAAGAGAGCAGGACGTTAGAAGAAGGGGTTTGGCGCGCCTGCGTTCCGGCAACGGCAGTGCAGAAGACCAGCTGTACTCCTGTCACAACTATTTAGGTGGCCTTCTAAAACAAACCCATTGGAAGCTCAGCAGAATGCACTGCCGAAGCCGCAAGCTTTCTCGTCTGTACGGTGGAGCCTCCGTGCTTGCGACATCTGCGTGCGTTTTGAAGGGTTGCCGAGGAAAGAGAGAGCAGAGGCGCTACCGAACGCCTTTCCCTGAGTGGTCCGCAGAGTAGAGTAAATTTGTCAGCGAACCCGTAGACAAACTCAAGATCCTTAGGACGCAGCGTGGATCACCGCAAAGCGTGCCAGGACCTTACACCTTAAAAAACGCCAATGGCAGAGGATCACCCGGGCGTCAGTTGAACCCAAATCTAAGCGACCAAGACCGGAGAAATATGACGAATCCGGGTAGAAAGGGCACTGACGTCATACCTTGGTTCGGTTCACCGAGTTCCAGTGGTTCTTGACAGCGGTTTCGCTCCGGCCCTTGATCTGACGCGCCAGGAGCGCCCACCTGCAGCCAATACGCATTGCGATTCAGTTGCCGGTGCAACAGCTGGAAACGGACACTTGTGAGCGGGTCACCACGTCAGCGTACGAGCCAGAATCCGTCGAACTGAAACCGCCCACAAACCTCTTTTTCTTGTCACGAAAAGCATCTCTCCCTTTGAACCGCCCAAAGAACTCAAAGTTTCCTATTGAAGTCAGCAAAGCATCGCTTCCGTAATCGTGTGGGTGCTGACAGACTCAGAGCTGGGATACCGCTGAAAGGCAGGAATAGGTTGCAAGGCCGTTCTTTGGGCTCAATAATGTTCTGCTTGACTGGCCAGGACGTTGGCAACCGGCACGAAGAGGAGCAATGAGAATTTTATTGATTTTGGCGACGCACCTCTTTCCAATCCTCCGATGCAAGTCCACCAGAATCTGCTCCTCTTCCTCTGTCCACTCTTCCTGGAAACAGACACAAACCGGCATGGCGTCAAAAACACAAGCCCGTTAGAAAAGATGTCAAAGTTTTACTGCAGAAGCTTGAAACGAGTCTACAAAAGCTGAGTTCATTCTGTGTCCACTCTTCTTGTAACAGAAACAAACCGGCTTGGCGTCAAATTCTCAGATGTCTAAAAGCTGGGAGGACTCAGAGCATACTTTGGGAAGAAAGTCCCTTGAACGAAGAACAATTCATCTGAGGTATTCAAGAGGGGCTGACCACCTCTTTAAGGACAAACGAGGTGCAACAGACTATCAGAGCCCACATTGTTTACACCAATTGCTCGCCATCTCTTCTAATGCGCTGTGAAGGCTGCACTTGAGGCGTCATCACAGGTCTGTAGAAAGCTTCAGAGACCGTCGAAGTCGAAGCTTTGCATTCGCTTCGTGCCATGACAGAGCTGACCGAGCAGGGAAAGCCCAAAAGTTTGCCCCGGAGTGGCCTCTTCCTTCGCAACAGACCGGCTGACACTTGCCACGTGGGTAGGCAAGCAACTTCAAGCAGTCGAAAACATACTGCGGTCTCGTAGAGGGGGGTTTGGAAGACAACAAACGAAAGGGTGGTAAGGAAGCACAGGGACATCGGAAAGAGACCCGAGGTGTTGGCAACTACTCCACGCGATTGGCCAGTAGACACGATCTCAGCACAATGAGCCACACACTACACCTCTGCCAGTGTCACTAAAGAATGCACTAGTGGATTTTGAGCAACAGGCTTTCAACGTGCTCGCGCTGCTTGCTGGAATGAAGGCAAGTGGGCTCACACGTGACAGCTCCGGGTCGAGTACGTGGTACCACCGGTTGCGGCACTGCTTGCCGGAGCGGTCCGCGAGGGTGTTTGCAAATCGGGACCAGCCCTGCGTCCCATGGGCTCCCACGTGCTCCCGCAGCTTGCGGTCCTCCTCCTGCGCGTCAAAGGCTCATGCGTCAATCACTAGCAGCCACTTGCTGACGACAGCTGGCACTGACAGCTGGCATACTCGGTTCTGGGGATGAAAAGTGAGAGCGTTGCTTAACTCTCGCCCAATCATCAAGCTGCTGTTGAGAGCTGGAATGTAGCCAGAGGAAGCGGTGACTACAGTCGGAGAAACCAGTCTGCTGATTACAGCTGGCAACCTGGTAACGACAGGTGGCAAAGGGGGATTGCCCATGCCGAGGCTATTGAACGACTCCTCAGCAGAGTGGGGGATCAGCGACAAATGGTGGCAGGTGGGACTGGAAGAGTCTTTAGGCAACGCCAATTAGCGGATCAAAAGAATAGGGGATTCCAGGGACAACTAACATGCACGAAGCAATGAGCGATGAGGAAGAGAGCCCACATCAAACTTCACAGCTGGCAGAAGAGAAAGGCAAAAAGTAATGTCAGAGAAGATTCCTACTTTTTACAAGTTTTTATGAGCGACAAATCAACAGCGCCGCCACTCACTGGTTGGCAAGATGGTGCATCTATCATACTTGAGGATGGCGTGGCGAGACAAGAAGTGGGCCATAATCTTACAAGATGTGCGGGGAGAGGCTGAGATTGGTGGCAGCATGGGAGGAATACAAGAAAGCGTGAACCAGTTTTGTGCCAAGTTTACCCGCTAAATGCTGCCGTTCTTGATTGAAGAGAAGCATTCAGGCTTGATATCAGGCGGCAGCTCACAACTAGCATGGTTCCAATTCAACGAGGTCTGACAAATAGCTCTTCAAGGGAGCCCAAACTCTTTCGCTGAGAAGAACTAGCAAGTTGAGTCACCCCAATCAACCAGTGCCAATCTCCTACACCTCTTCTTTGCTGCAGACAGCTTGCAGAACCTCATGTGCGCCCAACAAATGCTGCAGAAAGCTGGCAGAGCCTCATGTCGGCTGAAACAGAAGCCAACTTCTGAGCAGAAGCCAAGCATCAAAAGCTGAGCAGCCATGGATAGGCCGTATCACTCGTGCAAACCCACCGGGGTCCAGATCGTTCTGGTGGACTTGTATTCTGCGGGGGGAACCGTTGCACCACCGGTGACCCCAGCACCAACCCCCTCATCCTGCAATCAGATCGGTGGCGTGAGCCTGGAGAACAGGAAAGAGATGCCTGCAACATCTTTCTTAGCCATGCTCTCTCCACAAGAAAACCGCTACATCGCTTCGGTTGCTCCGCTCAAACAGCGGCGCCAACCACAGGATGCACACTGCTTGCCTATGGTAAGGGCAGAGGTGTAACCTCGAGCGGGATCTTCAAGAAACAACCGGCCTGGGCACGCAGAATGCTGTCTCACTTCCCGCAGACTGCCGGCACTACAAGCAGCCTGTGCTACGCGGCAAGCAGGCGTTTGACCAGCTTTGACTTACGATATGAAAGGGGCGTAACTAAAAGTTTCTGATGTGCGATCAAGGCCTGTTACTGCCCTCAGATTAGTGCCCACCTTTTTGGAGGCCTGGGCAGATTTCGTGCCCGGTGGGCCCACATTAGGATTCATCATCCCTTCAGGGGGGGTAGAACGACTGGCGCTCTGGTTTCCTCCGCCTCGGGCTTGCATTCTGTCCAACCCCCACCACTGCGCATCTTTACGGGCTGGAACCGATTGGCGAGGGACAGCGGTAAAAGAAACTTTCTAAGGTTACCAGCCACCCATAGCTGGCGCTACATAGCTAACCCAGTAAGGAGCAGCAGAATGGTGACAGCTGGCATGAACCTTACAATATGATCCTCTGTATTCCAAGCTCTTGGTCGTCGATGCGGTTGCGAAATGTGAGAGCAGATCGGCGCAAGAACTCAACCTGCAACGGAGAGAGAAGCATGAGATGCCTGCTGCCGAGACACCAAAGCTCGAGATTTGATATGTCCCAGTAAGACGTTCGACACCGTTATGGTCACACTTGCTCGTGTGCAGCACTGACTGGTCTGTCGGCGCTTAAGAGGAATTCGATCGATGCACACAATCATCTTGAGAGCTCGGACCATTAAAGCTTTCGGAGCTAGGAGAATGTTCCAAAATGGGTCGCATCAGATTCCTCTGGGTACATGAGCAGGCCAAGTCCATGCATCATGCAACTGCCTCCTTCGGAAAGTGGCCAGATGCTTTCAAAACAGGAAGGACTCCTGAACAGGTGTCCGCCGCTCAGCATGGAAGGTACAAGCTCAATCGACGGCGTAGAGGACCAAAAAGGACATAGACAGCGTTTCTGTAGACCCAAACCCCACCCCGTTCTGCGCCATCTGGGAAATGCCGGGCTGATCTATCGCCATACGTGCTCATCTGAGGCATGACATCACTCACCAATGAGCAGGCCACCAGAAGGGGCCGCCAATCAGCGCAGCGTCGTGCCCTCATTTAGCTCTTGCGGTGCGACGCCTATCAAGGTGCACTCAGCAGCTCTGCTCATTGGCAGCCACGACGATCCTTCTACCCACATTTCGAGAAGCATCTTTGCCGAGAGGCGGCCCATTCCAGCTGTCGGTTGCCTGTAGTACTCTATGCTTAATAGAGAGCACAAACCAGCGGCCGGGTAGCTTCAACTTTTCCCTTACATCCTCGTCAAGCCCTTGCCTCCTCCCCCTGCTGCAAATCTTCGTCCCGCCGGGAGCTGGTCTCACAAGCGCATGCAAGGTGGGTGGTGCGACGAGACCACAACCCAAATAGAGGTGGAGATGAAGAGGCAGTCATCCGAATGTCATTCCCGGGCCCCCAACCCTCCAGAATGTTGCCGCTTCATGATGCCAACTTGAATAGGCCATGGCCCCTTCCGCAGCTCTGCGAATGATCCCGATCAGGTCGCACAGGCTGCGCGGCAAACCAGCCGGCAATCTAGGATCGGCACTGGGCAACCCAGGCTGGGCCATGATCCAGTTTCTATCAGCGCCGGCCTGCATGCCAGGTGGAGTCCCGACTCACGATTCCCGGCTTGGGCGCTGACAGCCAGGCCCCAGTTCTGTCGGTTCAATGATTGGTACCGTGGGTACTTGATAGCCAGATACAAGCTAGAAAAAAACCCCCTTAGAGTTTAATACCTAGGTATAGGCTACCGGTACCGGTATAAGGTACTGTTCCGTAAAAGAAAAACTACAACCGCAGAGGAATGTTGTACATGCGAGGCCCCGGGCAACATTGAACACCTAGGGGAATGTGACCGATACCGTAGTGGAAAGGTATGAAGCCGAAAAAATAAATAATTGTTTACCATTCGGCAAGTTACATGACCTGTTTTTCATTCGGCAAGTGGTTTTTCGGATTTGATAAATGATTGCTCAATTGGGGTCGGATTCTCAGAACTATTGCCGGGCAGCCTCATTGACGCAGGTATGGGGCAAAAAAACCCTCGGGGAGAGCTACCGAGCACATTCAGATTCAGGGTCGGATTCATTAAATAGATCGGTAAAACAGGTCGTATTCGATTAAACCACCACCCGCGATTTATAATCGGGCAAATTGAAAATGCTGACGTGGCATAATTTGCCAACGGTCGTCGAGATCGTAAAATTCAAACTGCGACCATGGGGCGCATGATTTTGAAAACTGAAATGGGCGCTTCCGCTTGCAACTGTA